TCATCCTTTCAAAGAACGCACACGGAGCGGCGGACTGTGTGACAGCTCCTTAGCCTCCTTCTAACGCAGCTCCTGGGCCCAGGGAGATTGTTGCAGTGAGTGTACTATGTGTGGCGGCGTCCCCACGAAAAAGGCGAGCTAAAGCGTCGAGGCTTTAGCGGAGCAGCTACCATCACCTGCTGCTGTTTCTGCTGCTGCATGTGGCTAGGGGGATGCTGCGATAGCCAGAGCGAATCAGGACGCGTCGTTGTATGCGGCTGCTGGTGCTCGGCCTTCTCCGCCGAAGGCAGGAGATGCATGTAAGGCGGGTGCTGCATCGCTGCAAGAGCGACATCACACGTCGCGGCTTCTGCTAGGGCTGCTGAGGGGTTGCAGCAGCTTGCAGTTCGCTGCAGATGAACTTCTCTTACCGGTGGCGGGAGCAGCCATTGACTGCTCGGCGAGAAAAGGCCATTGTCACCCCCGGGAGCTCCTGCTCCTCCTCCTGCCGCAGTCGCTTTGTCAGTTGCACATTCTCCCGCAGGAGAACCCCTGGCTAAGCCACCCTCTGTGGAGTGCCTCCTCCGAAAAATGCCCCTTAGGGAAAATCTTTTTCCGCTGCTGCTGGTGTTGCTGGTGCTGCTGCGGCTGCGCTGCAGCGTTGCAGCGCCTTGCGTCCCCTGCTGCTGACTGGCCAGGGAAGAAGAATGCCTGAGCGTCTGACCGCTTGCAGCGAATGCAGTTTCGGCTGCAGCAGCGCGGAAAGGAGCATCAGCAGTAAACGCCGCGACAGGCACGGGCTGCAGAAGCTGCTGCCTCGGAGTCGATGCAGCAGGGCATCTCCATGGCTGAAAAGGCAGAACCTCCAGATGGTGCTCCTGCTGCAGCTCCTGCCACAGGTGCTGCAGCTGCTGCTGCTCCTGTTGCCAGGAGGTAAAACTTGGGACTAATGCAGTCGTTTCGTCGTCTGCGAAAGTCGCCACATCAATTACCTGTCGGTGACGCTGCTCCTGCCGCTGCTGCCGGAGTAGCTGCTGCTCCTCTGTGTGCTCCTGACATTGCGGGTGCTGCTGGCTGCTGCTTCTTCGACGGCCACTTACAGCCGCAAGAAAACGAAGCCCCCATCGCGCCGCACGCCCTCGCACTGACTGTTCGCGCGCAGACTCCCAGCGTGCATGCTGCTGCTGCTGCTGAGACGGCGAAAATGCAGGCGCGGGAGGCTCCACCCCCACTAAATGGGCAGGCGCTGCTGCTTCTGCTGCTGCAGAAAGTGTCACTTCCACAGCGCTCTCCTGCAGTTCTTGAGGCTGGAAGTCGTGCCCAGCAACGGGTTCAGCTGCAGATGGTGCCATTACTGCTGCAGGAGGAGCTGCCTCAAGACTCTGTTCCCTCGAGAAGGAGTCGGTAGGAAACACGCGCGAAGATTTGATCACAGGGGCATAGGAACGCCAGCGGCGATCTCTTTCTCGCTGCTGTTGCTGAGCAGCAGCAGCAGCAACAGACAGTTGCTCAAGCGCCCGTCCCACTTCTCGGCTACCTCTGGGGGAGAGCAGCGTCGTGGAGCATTGCTGCTGCAGCACGCGGAAGCCGTCTGCGAGTCTCTGTTGCCGCTCTGCCTCCGGCGAGGCAGCAGCTGCAGCTGCAGCTGCCGCTGCAGCGGCTCCTCCCCTGGAGTCTGAGCCTGTTGTAATCAGTGTGGCCGATCGCCATGCAGATTTTTCTGTGAATGGTGCCGGTGCCAGTCCTGCTGCTCCTTGTTCTCTTGCCAGGGAAGTCACTGCCATCCCCCCTGCGGCTGCTTGTGCTGCAGCTGCTGCTGCTGCTGCATGCCCTTCCTGAGGCATCCAGCCACCCCCTTCGGGAGCGCTCTGCACGAAACCAGACTGAGGCACCTCCCCCTCGGAGAGCCGCCTGCACGCGCGGTCTGCGGGGGGGGCAGTTGCTGCAGCGACAGTCGTGTTGCAGTCAAAAGCAGCAGCAGCTCCAGAGGCTGCATCCGATGTTGCTGTTGCCGTGGTAAGCGCCCACATGTCGGCTGCGCTGCCCTCAAGAGACGAACAAGGCGGCTCCACTAGGCCCTTCTTAGCGGGTGCCTCTGCAAGACTTGCAGCAAAGAATAGTTGCTGCTGTCTTTGCTGCAAGTCTTGCTGCAGCAGCAGAGGCTGCTGCCAATCCGCCTGTGTCGTACGCTGGTTCTGCAATTCCTCGGTGTGGGGGCAGACGACTTCGGAACTGCCGGTGAAGAGAGGTACACTTTTTGACGCCGCGTCAGAAAAGTAGCGACTGCGCTGCTGCTCCTGCTGCCTTCTCCACTCCCCGAGGCGCTGCTGCAGCAGCGACTGGCGGTGCTGCTCTTTCGGCTCCCAAGTCAGCGAAGCAGAGGACTGCTGTCTGAACGTTCGCTTTTGCTGCTCCACAGGCAGCGCGAATCGAGGCGTTGCTGCCAAACTGTGACAGGGCCCAGTTACGGGTGCCTCACTGAAGACAGCCGCTCGTGGCGGTGCAGCAGCAGCAGCAGCAGCTGCATCTGCAGCTGCAGCAGCAGCAGCAGCTGCAGCAGCACAAGCAGCATCTGCTGCAGCTACAGGGGGACCGTAGCCAATGGTGCTGCCGCTGATGCATGGAGGGGGCAGGAGACAGAAGCCATCGAAGTTGAGCGGCAGTCGTGGAGGTGTCTTGGGAATCTCGGAGGCTTCGAGTTTTGGCAGTGCCGTTGGCGGTGTGACAGTCTCTTTTTTCTGCTGCAGCTGCAGTTCGTCATCACAAAGCGCCGCTTCTGCCTCCCGGACTGGGTGCTCCTCCTGCTGTTGGATCTCTCCGAACTGCTCCTGACGCTCCTGTTGCGAATCGACTGCTCTCTCTTGCATGCGCTTCGCCTCTCCGAGCTGCTCCGCCTGCCTCCGCGCGGTTCGCTCGCTGTGCACACAAGCGTCCTTAAGCCCTCCTGACCTCCCTATGAGGCTTCGAACTTTCTGAACAAGCGGCAGCACCCTTTCCTCATCCCCTCCAATGGCAGCCAGCAGCACATCCGCAGCAGCAGTAAGGCCGACAAGGTTTGACAGAAGTTGCAATCGTTGCTTAGCCTCCAAGCTGCGGCTTTCGAATGCGCAAGATGCGCCTCCCCATGACTGGCAACGGCGCACTTCGATCGAGGCAGCTCCCCCTAAGGATCCTTCTCCTCCTACGGAGATAGTGGCTGCTGATTTCTTGACTAGTGTTTCCGCCGTGGGTTGAGCTACAAGAGCTGCTGTCAGTGAGTGCGAAGAGGACTCGGGTGTCTCTGTTGCTAGTGTTGTTGTTGCTGGTGTTTTTGCTGCTGTTGCTGGTATTTTTGCTGCTGTTGCTGGTGTTTTCGCTGCTGTTTCTGGCGTTTTTGCTGCTGTTTCTGGTGTTTTTGCTGCTGTTTCTGGTGTTTTTGCTGCTGTTTCTGGTGTTTTTGCTACTGCTGTTGCTGCAGCAGCTTTGGGGGAAATGAGGCGCTGTGAGGGCTGAGAAGGCGCAGTAATTCTGTTGCTCCCGCTCTGGCTGCCGCGCTGCATGCGACCCCTCACTTGGTGCGCAGCGGCAACTGCAGGCGTTGAAAATTCCTGCTTGAGCTGGGTACTGGCGCTGCCTTCTGTCGTGTGTCTTGCTGGCTCAAATGCAATGGTGCATACCTCTCTGCGGTGATGGTTCTGTGAGCGGTGATCCCGCAGCTGCGGGTGCAGCTCGCGCGACGAGTGGTGTATATACACCTTCTCCGGAGCGCTCACCGCAGCGAAGCAGTCTTGTGGCGATGACTGTTGCTTTGCGTGGATCTCAGTCTCAGCATCTGCAGGAAAAACAGAGGCAAGCGCTCCTGCGCCGGTCCGCTGTTGGTGCTGCTGCTGCCTCTGCTGCAGTTTCGTGTCTAGCTTTGCAAGGCCGGATACCAAGGAAGCGGAGTTTCGCTGAAACAATGAAGATGGTGATGGTGGTGGTAATGCTGCTGCTGCTCCTGCTGCTGCGATTTGTGGCAGCCGCGGCACGAGCAGCAGTGTAGGCAGGGCAGTGCTGTCTTCCGCGGCTGCTGCAGCTGCTGCGCTTGCTGCTAGTGGGCTTCGCAGCCAGTTGCTGGTTGCGCTTTGCTGCTGCAGCTGTTGACACTTCTTGAGAGCTGCTGATGCTGCTGCTGGAGCTGCTCGGGGGTGATGATAGCTCCGCCTAGACTCCGCATCTGCAGCCGCAACTGCTGCGGCTGCAGCCGCAACTGCTGCGGCTGGACTCTGAGGATGCTGCTGTTGCTGCTGCTGCTGCTGCTGTTGCTGCTGTTGTTGTTGCTGCTGTTGTTGCTGCTGTTGCTGCTGTTGTTGCTGCTGTTGCAGGGGTATGCCGCTGTCTCCAGCGTCGAAATGCCCCGCTGCTGCTGCTGCCGCTGCCGCTGCTACGGGTGCCTTTGCTGCTGCTGCTGCTCCTTCTAAAGAAGCTGCTGGAGGAGTGTGAGGAGCCGTTGCCTTTCCACCCTTTCGGCCGTCCTCACGCCTCGGCGTTTGACTTCCCAATGCTCGAATGTGCTCTGCAGCGGCAGAGACTGCTGCTGCTGCTGCTGCTGCTGCTGCTGCTGCACCGACGTGGGCTTCTGAAGGAGTAGACAAACGTTCACGGAGAAATGCAGGTTTCCAAGATTCAGAAGGGTGCCCAGCAATATTACACGAAACAGCGTCTGCTCTGTTTTCGCCGTGCTGTCGCTTGCCCTCGCGTTCCAGACGAGCGGCATGCGACCCCTGAGTCAGCGGCAAAGCCTTGATCTCCAGCGTCTCGAATTTTCTCGGGAGTGTCTGACGCATTTGCGCCGAAGGGAAGAGATGCGTCTGCTGCGGAGCAGCGGCTTCAGCAGCTGCCAATGCTAGCCATTGGCTCCCTTCCTTCTCTGTGCGCGTTGCTGCCTCTTCTTCTGCTGCTGCTGCTACTGCAGCGACTGCTGCTACAGCAGCGCCGTCTGCCATGGCAGCGGCTGCGCTGTCTGCAGCTTCTCTGAGCTCTCGCAGCAGCGACATCTCCTGCACTCGTTCCTCCCGCTGAGTCTCATCAGACAAAGGCCCTTCCAAGCCGCTAGCTCCTGCGAGTTTCGCCTGTTTGGGAGTCAGGAGCTGTGAGGCAGCAGCGTGCGGGTTGTTGGTGTGGGCGTGAGTGTAACTGCAGCGGCTGACGCTGCTGTTGCTGCTGCTGCTCAAGGACGAGATAGACGTCTGAGATCCTCCTAAACATTCCAGCAATCCCTTGGCGGAAGAGGAAGACAAAAGCTCCTTCTCCCGCAAAGGGACAGGCAGCTGCATGCTTGATCGAGCAGGGGAGGGGGAGGGAGGAGGCGGCTGTTGGGGGGATGCAGCTGCGCGGCGCGCATCTCGCAGAGGCTTCAGCAGTCTCTCCCTCAAAGAACGAAGCTCTTCTTGCAGCGATGTCAGCTGGCTCCCCCCTGTGCCTGCAGCTTCAGCCGTTGCCGCTGGCGGTGTTGCGGTAGACTCTTTAGCTCCCTCGGGTGTCTTTAGACTCTCATAGTAGTGGATGGGCATGTGCTGCTGCTGCTTTTTTGCTTTTGTCTGCGAAAAAAGGCTTCCTGAAGCATCGCCACTTGTGCTGCTCAGCGGCGTCGATTGCTGCTCGTGGTGCTGCCTGTGCAGTTGCTGCAGCAGCTGCTCCCGACGATGTCGCCTACGACTCTTTTGCCGCGCTTCTGCGGTGTGCAGCTTGCTAGGCAGCAACGAATGCTGCTGCTGCAGCTCAGAGTCTTGAGACTGACGCTGACACGTCTCTGAATGCGAGCATGCAGCTGCGTGTTTCCTGAGGCTGCGAGGAAAAGGGCCCTGTCGCTCTGCGTCGTCCCCTGCTGCTTCCGACAGCCGTGGAGAAAGCAGCACGTCAGAGAGGCGAGAAGGACGGCTGCCGCCGCTGCTGCTGCTGCTGCTGCCTCCCATGTCAAAACCGCTGCTACGCTGACTACCCAAAGCCTTGGAAAAAGCATGCGCTTCGTGGCTGCTTCGCCTTGCACCAGCAGCAGCAGCAGGTGTTTCCCGGTACGACGGCGAGGGAGACGCTGCTCTCTGTGCCGAGGCGCCCATGCTGTATTGATCGGTAGCTGCAACAGGTGGTGCAGCTCTTCGCTCGCTGCTGCTGTTCGTCGAGCCGTCGAGAAGGCAGCCTTTCTGCGCCTCTGGGGAGTCGCGCTGGAGCAGCAGCTTCTCTTCTAAGGCGCGCAAGCGACGCAGCAAGCTTGTTGGGCGATCGATGCTACACAAGGAGGGGTGTTCTCCCGCAGCAGCGGCAGAGGAAGCGTCGCCGCGAAGGCTTTTCCGAGAGGCGCAGTGTGCGCTCATCGAAGACAGTGGAGGATCCTCATCCGTTCGCCGCTGGTTCTTGTCTTTGCCAAGTCGGGGAGTCCTCTGGTGGCCGTCTTGGCTCGCACTGCTCTTGCTGCTGCTGCTGCTGCTGCTGCTGCATCCCCGACAGCCTTTTGCGTTGCTGCTGCCGCGATGCGTGCTGCAGCAGCGGCTGCGCCGGGGTGCTGCTTGTGTAGGCGCATGCACACTGGTGTTCTTCCGGCGGCTGCTGTTGCTGCCGTGCAACGGAGAGGGGGGAGACGACTCTGGGAGGCCCTTAGTGCGAGTTTGCACGCCTAAAGCATCAAATAGGGGCCCCTGATTTCGGGCGTAGGCGCCGCAGTGGCCTCTGCAAGTTGCTGCCATCGGCTGCAGCGCCACCCTCGCTGGCTGGCTCTTGCTGAAGCGTCAAGATCTGGCCATTCGCCGAAGCCCTCCGCTCGTTCGGGTGTATCTACAGCCTGCTGCGGCTGCTGGCGATGGTGCAACTGCGACAAGCGGACGCGATGTCGGGCCTCGTCTGGCACCCCTCTCGCGGGTGCTCCCTGCCCACCGCGGGTGTCGTGCAGCACCTGTTTTGCAGCGGCAGCAGCTGCCGCTGCCAGAGGAAATGGGAGCAAGAGAGGGGGAGAAAGCGAAGAGGGAGGCTTTTGGAGGCCCTATGTGCGTGCCTAGTCTTCGCAGCAACACGCTGCCGCAGTAGCAGTGTGGCAGCAGTGGTCTAGTAAAAGCAACTGGAGGATCGGCGCGGCGACAAAGCCCTTGCTTGAGAAGCGCTAAAGAGGACGCACCAACTGGGCGTAAAAATTCATTACTAAACAGAAGCAAAACAAGAACAGATGCAACATGCAGCAGCATTAGCATTAGCAGCAGTGGCTCTCTCTAGCAACGGAGGCGGTCGGCAGCAGGTCTCTCTGTCCCTATGTTTGCATAGGATCGTGCGGTGGCTCCTAGCCACCCAATACCCTTTGTTCTCCAAGAATTAGGGTTCCCAACTGCGTCTAATAATTATTTTTAGCAGGAGAACCGCAAGACACTCCGGTTTCTGACGTTTGCGTGGACCAAAATGCAAGGTGGTAAGCCGTTGTCGCGTTGATGCCCTGGCTATATGTGTTGTTAGTGGAGAGCGATCAGTTGGGCACTTGTTTGGTTCTTTCCCAGACAGAAACCCAAGAAGGCCAATGCATCCTCCCTCTGAAAGTGATAAGATTATTTCCTTTACATCACACTGGGGCACTTTCCTGCAGCGTAGGCGGCGGGTTGCTTAAGAGGTGGCCTGACGAACAGGCGCAAGAATACAGATGACGAAAGAGCTGTGGATATTTGGATGGCTGCAAGGCATTTTCCGCCTTTCCGTGTCTCAAATTTAAATCAAGCCAGTAAGAATGGCGCGCAGCCTCGCAGTGCTGAGTACAGATTTGCTCCTTTTTCAGAATGCCCCAATTCCCATGGTGGGTCCACAGGTTTGCATATAGGGGCGCTGTGTTGTAAATCTAGGCGTGTCTCGCATTCTTTGTAAATTGGAATGCATTGGGAACACCGATCCTTGCCAGTTTCAACTGAGTTTCCTAGGTAGACCACAATATTTATTGGCAAATGGGCTAGACTTCTTTTCTTCTCATGCTGTGCATATTGCATTGCCAATCTTCTAAACTATACTATTGCTCTGTGTATGGAAAGATGGTGGCTTAGAAACCGATCTTTCTTCTTAGGCAGCTTGTTGAGCTTTGCTTGCTCCGCATACATCCAGACGCCACCCGTTTCAAGTTCAACCTAACTGACCTAACGCCATGACCACCGCCTTTCGCAATCACATGCTTGTGCCTGTTGGTACTGGCATGGTGATGCATTTACCCGAAACGCGTACTTTTCCTTGAGCGTGTGGATCTTTGTCCACCGCCCCTGCCCCTCTCAAGCGCCCACATCAAACAAACCCTCCTCTTCCACAAGCCTCTACGATCTGCAGGGTCTCGGCAGGTTAAGGATAATCCAAAATTTCGACCTATCGATGCAATATACCTCTTTCTACTCCTGAATCCTTTTGTATAGCGGGGATTCCCCTGTTGACAAGCTCACGTATAGCCCAAGAATGAATGCAGTCAAGGATTTATTAAGCTAACACACAGGAAACTTGACCTGCTCCTCGGCGGGAGCGTAAAAAAACGAATAACTAAAGGAGACGGTGAGAAGAGGGCATTCATATTGTTGTAGAAAGGCATCCTGCCATACTGCCGCCAACTAGGATAAGGCGTGAACAAATTCTTGCTTTCTTCAAAAGCTCCTACATTAGCTCTTAAGCCCACACCACGTTTAAGCAGATACAATCCAATGGATGGCCAGTTCCATCTTGGGGGCGGTTTAGGTCGTCACTTTCTATGTAACCACATGAAGGTAAAAAATGCTGAACAAGTGCAATAGTAGCATTTTCGCCGTCATAATCCTTGTGCTTCAACATCTTCTGCATAGGAGTTTCCTGAAACTTTGGGCTTGGGCATAGCTTTAGGTTCGAGAAAGTGTAGCAGGGGGCGCCTGCGAGTGTAACAAGTTCATTAAGCGTAAGCGCTTCGCGGCCGTGCAAAGTGGCCTGTTTAGCGGCCAATCTGTCAGCTTTCAGTGATCAACGTACCACGTAAAGAAAAAACAAAGCAGCAATTAAAGGCACGAGGTGGCAGACTGTATAGTGCAGCCTCACCTGTACACGAATGGGCTTCATGAACACTCCGCGAACTACTAGCATGAGTTGAATGCTTTGGCAGCAGAGGCGTCCGGAGCAAGATATTCGGGAAAGCCTGCTTGTTTGGGGTGACATCTATGAAATTATTCTGAGTTACTTGATCCCCCTTTGGGTGAAGCCGCCCTGCTTTTCTATAGTTGCAAAGGCTGGCCTTTTGCGTTCGCCTGTGGGCTCCTCTTCTGGTCTGTTGCCCACCTAACGCGGCGACACCCTGCGCGCCCTGGTAGGTGCCCTCCAGCATTCTCAGGAACAGTTTTCAGCAAGCGCTGCAAAGCCATCAACTAAGTCCGTCAGTCTTGGCTCGTCAGCACAGCTTTCTAGAATCTCTCTAGGCTGTAAATTTGTATAGATTTTAGGTAGGCAAAGCTCTGGGCGAAACTAATAGGATGTCAAATCTCTGTCATTCGGAATTCCGGCTGGCGTTCTTCGAAGTATGCTGCCCATAAACTTCTATTAAGAACTGTTCTAGCATATGGGTGGACAGTACTATGTTACACCTTTTGTCCTTGTAGAACAGCCGTGCCAGGTAGTCCCTTCTTGAACGCCGTTAGTGCTGTAGCGCATTCTTCAATGTGTCTTATTCTCTTTAGAACATCGGTGGTGAGATAGGCAAATCTGGGTTTTTGCAGTACGCATCTTCATATAGCACCTCTAGCAGTATGCGTGGATGAGGGGCACCATCCAGCTATGGGTAGGGATGTTTCGGAACACTGCATGCGATGATACATGAACTCTTACGAGCAGGGACACAAGCCACTTGTTCCACCGTTTCATATCTTCTTCGTGCAGTGACCTCCTGGATGCGGGGCCCACGAGTGCATGCAGGGAGTAGAATCTTGGCTTGCAGAGGAGCTGTACCATCAAGTCCGAACCTCTGTGCTACTGCAAGCATCCGAACGACTGAGTTTCTTTTCAAGAGGGTGGAAGTCAACGCCTTACACATGCACTTCGAGGAAGCGCGCAGATAAGTCAAAGGCACAACAAGGAAGCTCAACCGGGGAGATGATTCGAGTAGCCTCGCAGTCGCTGCACATAAAACGCACCTTCGATTACTGCAGCGTCTGAAAGTCTAAAGAATGGACCTCATTGGCTGGCAAGCACCTAGCTTCGACACAAAAAACAGCTAGGATCTGCGCTGATAATTATAGCGGAAAAAAGCTTCCAGTAGCCATATGCTGTGGCAGAGCAAAACTCGGTAGGAAATCGAAAGGCCTATTGGGAGCATCGACTGCCTTCGATATAAAACCGCGTGCCTTCTTACCAGTACATGCGAACCACTCAAGGGAGTCGCAGACGAATAGGATAAGTTCAAGGCGCTGGCAAGCTTTTCTGGTCAGGCCGGCGGTAGATCAAGGCTGGCTAGGCGGGCGACACCCGCCAGGTGCCCCTGTATGGGGCCAGGGGTCTTCATAGCCACAGTGAGAAGAATGCAAATTTAGTAGCAAGGGGAAGTGCGAATACAATCGTGTCAGATCCTGAGCCCCTATGCTGTAAAAAAATGCCGACTTTAGCGTCACCGTTTGGCCAGAGGCCGAGCTAGAGAGTGTTGGCTGGTGTAGTAGAACAAGGGCCCAGCCATACGTGGGCCCTCTTTCTACTACACCAGCTGAACTTTATTCAGGATTCGTACATGCTCTCTAGCTGGTTAGGCTTGTCTTGTACATTTAAATTGCAGAGTAGTGTTAGAGCGCTACAACACGACTCAATAGTGTGTGCATTTGCGCCAGATGCTTTGCGGAGATAGCTGCGAAGGCGGAGGTGCTGAGAGTGTGCATGCTCCTGCGCGCACATAGCTGTCCTTCTTTCCCCCTATGGAAACTCTCAAGGGCGCACACGCGCAGGGGAAGGGGAAATCTTTGCTATGGAAACACCAGCCTTCTAGCTATCGTGAATAAGACCAGGATGGATGGCTCTCCCGGAAAGACCTTAGGTTGAGCCTTTTAGCCGGAATATGCCAGGCACGCAGGGAGTGGCTGCTGGAGTGCGTTTCGAGGGCACGCATTGGTGGAGAGCTACACTGAAAGGGTGTTGGGGCGTAAGGTGTTTAGCACTGTGATATCGAGGACGCTTTTAAGGCACAGCGACTTCCTTATGTCGCTTGCCTACCAAAAAAAAGAGCCGGTGGGTAGCCCTGATGGCCTTGCGGTGACAAGGGCCTCCTAGTGAAGAGGCAGTGGATTTTAGGTGGCATCTGGAGGGTTGCAGCAGTGGCGTTTCTGGTGTGCTGGTTCCTTTTGTTTTGCCGTCCGTGAGGAAAGCAGCATGCATTGGCGGGTTTCGAATAATCAGATAAGTCGATGCAAGTGCAGGCGACTAGGTAACTTGAAACCTCCTTAATGGGAGTATGCCCAAGTGCTCCCATTTAGGCCTCGACAGGGAAGGAGGCCGTACCGTCTCCTGTGTGGGCACGAAGGCGTGCATGGAAGGCATTGCTCGGGATGTGCGCGACTGCAAGCATCCACCCCAAGCCAGTGTCTCGAACCCCCTGCTGTCCTAGCCATTCATTTTTTCCATCATCATTTAGGGTCTCCTGAAAACTCAGACCCTAACGAGCTGCCTTCCTCTTGTCAGTACACGTCTTCGCGTCACGCAACTTTGCGTTGGCTTGGGCATCGCACAGCTACAAACCTTCGTAAAGGCCTACTCAATTGCCCTGGAATACACTACTGCCTAGCTAAAGACGAAAAAAGCGTGGCAGTACAAAACTCAGTGCACGTGAGAGCACAGCAATTTGTGGTGGCGGCAGCGCTTCTAGCACCCTGCTTTGCTGAATGGAATTTTTCGCTTGTGCCTGTACGCGTAAGGTCGTATGCGGAGCTTTTCCTACAGGGAATCTTCATGAAGGCATCAGCCCTCAGAAGATCGCTTGTGGAGCTTTTCCTACAGAAAATCTTCATGAAGGCATCAGCCCTTAGAAGATCGCATGCGGAGCTTTTCCTACAGGGAATCTTCATGAAGGCATCAGCCCTTAGAAGGTCGTATGCGGAGCTTTTCCTACAGGGAATCTTCATGAAGGCATCAGCCCGTAGAAGATCGCATGCGGAGCACTTCCTACAGGGAATCTTCATGAAGGCATACGCCCTTAGAAGCCTGCAGGTCCCAATTGAGTAGTTGCCTGGCAAGAATTGTGTCTAAGAATGCCATTATACCGCCTTCAGAAGCGAAGCCACCCCCATCGGAGCTTCGATTCGAGGGCCCCCTCCCTGCCCCCTCCCCGGCTGATACCGCTGTCTGATTTCCCCACACTTGCCGACAGACCATTGACCAACCGCGTTAGCCCCACTTGCTCCCGTTCCATTTGCGTAATTGTCTCACCTTTTCTTGGCGTATAGGGGCTAGGGCCTCGCAGCAGCTGCATTTTGTTGCAGCTCAACAGCCACCGGGGGCCCTTTTAGGGGCCCCTAGGGAGGAATGGGCATACGTCGCATCCGGTACTGCGTCATTAAAGGCCCTCTGGAGCTTTTGCCTGCTACTTTCTGCTTTATACCGCAGTGTTCCTCTCGAAGTTAGCTCTGAGCACGCGCAGAGGTCAGGCATCGCGCAAGGCTCTTTTTGTGGTGTCGGCGGAGAGGATTCTAGCTCTTTCCACAGCGCGTTGTTGAGTGTTCAGGAAAGCCTAGCAAATCTGCTGCTGTGAAGTCTTCTCAGGGTTCTTTTTCAAAGTAGCAGCTGCTCACGGCGACAAGGCTTCTTCTCGCCACTCTTTGAAAGAGGCCGTTATATCGAGGCACATGGGCCTAAAGGGCGGCAGAAGCTTTTGGGGGCCTGCTACAGCTACCTCTGCTGCACTTAAAGGCGGATCTTTTAGATGAACTCACGGAGGGACTCTTCCACGGGAGGTGGTCATGGGAGAAGGTTCGGCAGGAGGAGGCGGAGCCGCAGCAGGCACTGCAGCAGCAGGCGCTGCTCCTCTCGCGGAGATTTCTGAAGCCGTAGAGCTGATGGGAGCGGAGGCGTATGTACTGGTAAATCAAGAACAGCTTGCGAAGCAGCGAGCCGCCAACCGCAACATCAGATCCTTGCTGGGGGCCAGGCGAGGACAAGATGTGGCCGCCGTCAAGGAGCCTGCGGTTGCCTTGAGTATTCAAGTTTCAGCCGAACTTGCGGGAGCAGCGGCAGCTGCCGCTGGCTCTGTGAACAAGCGCAGATCGGAGGCTGCTGGTGCAGCAGAGGCAACAGTGCGAGACGAGAGGGAAGGGCGGCCTGCCCCTCTGCCTGAGTACGCAGCGCTGCCGGATCTTCCCGAGGATGAGCCTTCACGCAGCGATAGGCCCCTGCGACTGTGGCAACATCAGCAGCACCAGCAACTGCTTTGGCTTCAACAGCGCCGCATGCAGTTCCACGAACGGGAGCATAAGCCGCGGCATCCAGGCTGCAGATCTAGTGACGGAGGAGGGGACTCGCCAGTACGCCGCCCGCAGCCGGCTACTGCGAATATAGAGGAGGCGGAGGCAGCATTGGGGGGGGCATCTGCATCACTCGCGGGGGTGAAAATCGCCGCAGCAGGAGCAGCGGCAGCTGCAGCGGGTGCAGACTTTTTCGGGAGATTGCACGCCGAATGTATCGCGCTGCTCGGTCTTCTGACGCCTAGCGAAGAAGAAGAAGCGCGCAAACGGGAGGTAAGGGCCGATTCGCGCTCGTTTCTCGTCTTATCGGCGCCTGTCATCTGGCCAGAAAAGCTCTTGAGACCTTTCAAGTTCTAGCTCGGATTCTTGAAAAGCCTCGAGGGCCTGTCAGCACCTGCAATCCGCGAAGTGTCTTGTCCCCTCTGCCTCCCGTGATGTTTCTTTCTAGTGCTTCTTCTGTGGATGGTTCCCCATTCGCATTTAGTGCGTTGTGAAAGGCCGCGTAGCCCACGAGCTTCGAGCCAGGGGTTCGTGCGGCTCGTGCGTACAGCCGCTTGCAGACAGAAGACTATTTTAAGCTCTCCCCTCCTCGCCACGCCACCTCCCCCCTCCTCCCTTCCGTTTTGCGGTGTCTAAAAAGCCGGTGCCAGAGAAGTGGCCTGCTTGATTTGTAGTTCTCTCTTCTTGCTTGCTTGCTCGGGCGATGTGCTGCTGCGCTGTCTAGGCTGCCGGACGCGTGCGCGCGGCGTGTTCCCTCCTGTTTCAAGGCTGCTCAGTTGAGGTGTTTGGTTCTTCCTTTACCTCCTTAGACCTTCCCGGGAGCGATCTTGATCTGTGCGTGTTCGCGCATACTACCCCTCCTCAGCTGAGTTACTATGCATGCAGCCAGTGCCGCTGCTGCATCAACAGCGGTAGCGGCAGTGCAGATGGCGGCTCAGGCCGCAGCATCTCCGAGACTGCTCCCGGGAGCAGTGCGAGGATTAGCACCCCATGTAGACGCGAGGCGAGGGGATCCATCAGGTGCTGTTGCTTTCGTTCGAGTGTCTACACTCCGAAGAAAAACGGCCTCTGCAGCAGCAATTGCCGCCATGGGGGCCCAGAAGGGTTTAAGGAACTGATGCGGACCGCGGCAGCTGAAACAGGCGACACAGAAAACGCTTACGTTCGTGAACAGCGAATTAAGAACATACGGGTGAGCCAGGACTGTTGCTCCGCTGGCTGCGATGGCGATTCAGCCCCCTTGCGCTGCGGTGTCGCAGAGTGGGGCCCTTTTGCCTTGGGGGTTATGGCCATACGAGACTCGGGTTGAAAGCTCTTCTGGCCGTTGCACTGCCTGCTGCTGCTAGCGCCACTGCTGCGGTATGCGCACATGCATGTATATATATGTATATGTATATATATATATATTTATTGTACATGCATGTGGATGCAGTTGCTCGTATGGTTTCTCCATAAGCTGAACAGCGCATCGGCAGAAGTAGCGCATGGAGGCACCCGTGGGGGGCATCTCCCTAGGAAAGGGTTAGGAGCGTTTGCTCTAGGCATCGAGCCAATCCTCCAGGCCCGCGTTCCCATCTGCAAATTCAGGGATGCGGCAACAGGCGTTGCGGTGGATCTCAGCTTTGACCAGCCTTCTGCCCTTCTAACATCCCTTTATGTTCGCTACAAGGTGCGGCGACAGCTGAGGGTTCTGGTCTGTGTCTTGTGGCAACAAATCTGGGGGCCCACGATTTTCGAGCACTCAAAGTAAGCTGGATGCACAAAACGGATGTGGGGGTGTCACGTTGTGGTTACTATGCAGCTCAACGAATTCGCAATGCTACGGCCCCTCCTACTCTTAAACAAACTGCTCCTTCGCCACTGGAGGCTTCATGAGCCATTCAAAGGCGGTGTCGGCTCGTACCTCCTATTCGTTATGGTGGGCTTTGGTGCCGTCTAAGCCTTGAGGTCTACATTTCAGGCCCTATGTTCTCAATGCTTTACATGGGTATTCGTTGTGAACAGCAACCCGGCATTGCAGCCCGATTAGCAGATGAATCTTCGTGTACATGTTCCCCTTCTTGTTGCCCTTTCATGACGGCCCAACGCTGCCCCTATTCAGCTGCTTCAAGCGGTTTAGACACGCTTTCTTCTGTCTCTTCTTGAAGGTCTACTTTCTGCCGAGGGGCCCGCCTTCGATGGCCTTCGCAGGAGCTGCGTTATAGCAACTCTTTCAACGCGTCTGTGCCTCTGGTGTTGCTCGGGGTGGCTGCGCAGTGTCTTCACTTCCTACAGAACAACCCTAACCTCCGAGACACGAAAGGGCACCGCCATTTGAATCTGGGCCATTTGCTGTTTCAATTTTTACAGTACTTTGGCTGTCAATTCAACTACGCAAGCAACACCATCAGGTGCATCCCCGTCTCCGTCCGCCCTGCTCCTATCCATGCTAGCCTTATTTTTTGATCTATTCCCAGCTTTTATAAATCCTTGTAAACTCTTGAGAATGGCGTTCTAGAATTTTGCAGAATAATATCCTGCGGTACTGGGCACAAAGTCGTGCGCCTTGCTTTTAAGAGAAGGCTTTATTCCAAAGAACTCTGGCTGCTGTACCTTGATTTCTTGTGCCTTTCGATTTTCCCCGCTTCCCTGCAGTGTTCGTGGCGATGGCAAGCTGACACGCAAAAGGGATATCATGCATAAGGGTCAGAACCGGTTGCGGCTTAGTGCGGAGAGTCCCTTGGTAGGCCTGCATAGCGAGAACTCGCTTCCATCAGAGTTTCTTTTGACGTCCTTTGAGCTATTCCGTAGCGTTGCATGCGCCCTCTTGGGTAATCAAACCAGACTCGCCCTGCCTCGCTAGGAAGCAAACACAGGCCGCCAGACGGGCAGAACGTGCCGTAGGGTCCCAGCGGCAGGCCCGCGTGTTCCTTTATGTGCCTTTGCAGGATACATCGAGGGATATTGGGTGCAACGCGTATAAGATAATGGAGATCCGTGGAGCGTGGCGCAAGGCTTATCTCGTGAGCATCTCTCTCGTCCTTGAGGTGGCGTCTGCCTCCAGCCGCACTGTCTGAGCAGTGTCCCTTCCTGCCTTGTCTTCATGTTGTGCGCCTGTGTATTCAATGCCGCGCATTGGCCTCCTGCAATCCGCTCATCTCCCTTGACGGCTCCTGTGAGGGAGCCTTGAGGCTGCGCCGCTACCTGTTGTTTTGTGGGGGCTTTCAGCGACTGGCTCAGCGACTCGTGTCGGAAGTGCGTCAGGCGGCCTCCAAAAACTGCCAAGAGGCCTCGGCAGAGACTGCTGCAGGTGACATGCCTCTCCTGTGCTCTGTGTTCGGTACACCTCCATGGCCTAAAGAGTTGATGAGTGCGTCTTTCGTCGAGAGCAGCAATAAGGGTGGCGCTGAGCCGATCGCCTCTCAAAGGCCAGGGGTATGGATAACTGAAGCGGTCAGAACGGAGACCGAAAGAGCAGTGCAGCACCTTCTCGACTCGTCTGAGCGCCTGCGGAGGGCTCTCCGGCTCCGCCTTCAACCGGGAAGATTCGACGAAATCGTCGACGACTCGGGAGAGGATGTGGTTTGCTGCACTCGCACCGGCAGCAGCAATGCCAGCTGCAACAAGGGGCACACAATCTTCAGCTCAGATAGCGATTCGTCGGGGGAATTGCAACGGTGGCCCTGGGCACGAAAGCAGCAGCCACAGCAATCGCGAAGAACGCCTGGAGGTGCTATTTCCAGTGCTCGCCAAAACCTGACCACGTCACCAAGCAGCAGTCCTCGGATAACCCCCATGAGAGCTTTGGCCGTACGTACTACACCCTGTGCTCAATCTGCAACACGAGCTGCGGGCAAAAGTGAGACTCGCAGCCAACCTCCCATCATAAGCGTGCTCGACACCAGTGATAGCGATTCGAGTGTCGTAGAACTGCCGCAACACAAGCTACGCGAGGCTAACCAACAAAGGCGGAAGAAGCGCAAACAACGTCAAGCAGAGGAGAGACGGAAACGGCACAAGGCAGAGAAAATGCACACCCCAAATACTCACCGTCGGTAGATACAACCCCTTTATGACGCTGGTCACATGTTCTCGCCCCGGTGCTCCTGCAGCATCAGGGTGCTGACATCGCTGCCGTCTCTATCTTGTTGCGGCTTTTCGTGCTTCGTGTACTCCGCGGCTGATGGTAACCAACATAGCCGCCACCCCCGGGTATTGAAAGATACCCAGTTCTGGGAAGGATAGCACGAAAAAGACAGGTTGTACTTTAGAGCCACTTTTGATCGAACAAACTTTTGTAAGACGCACTTAAGGCACGTCATTAGAAGAGCATGAAAATATCCGGTTTAAAGGGTCCGTCCGTCCGTCGCTTGCTCGCTGCGGATGACGGGGTGCAGGCGCATTCCTGCTGTGATATGCCTGGGCTCCTTAAGCTCACTATTTCTGTGGGATAAGTAGAGAGGGAACGCATGCGGAACCAAGTGTATAACTCGTTCACGGTTATTAGGAATGGGCTCCAAAGCAGATCTTAACACACAAAATTTCTGGTCGCTAGTTGCTGAGCCTGTTGTTCACTTCGTCTACAGCGCACAGGAAGGCCCATAATTATCCGCTGCTTCTTTTGCAGTATGCTCGAGCCTTCGGAGAATTTGTGCTGTTGAGATGCGCTCATCCAAGAATGCATGGGGTCCAGAAAACAGCACGAACAGCTTTCAGGGTGGCCGCCGCTACTGCACAAGTGAAAAGGAGACTACGGGTGCTATCCACACAGGTCACACCTTCTTCTGGCGCGTTGAGAACTAACTGCTCAGTTTAGCGGGATAGTGCTCATTGAGTCGTAGGCATTGCTGCCCACGAAGTCAACAGCTTTAGCTGCCGCGTTGCCGTGAATTTCGCCGAGCATGCACAGAACACTCTTGCACGGTAAGCAGAGCCAATAAGGAGATGTGTGTCGGGTTGGTAAGGCCTGAGACCTATCCAAAATAGAAAACTGTATCAAGACGGGCTGCTGCTCAAACGGGGAGATAGCAGTGTGCGCTCTACAGGATCTATGTGAGGAGGCATCCATAGCCCACATTGAGCACTAAACATCATAGAAAGTAATAAACCGTAATTTCCGAAAATTTGTTGGTCCTCTTTTTTTCAGACTGTTAGTTTCAGTATGAGGGAAGAGGTAAACCAACGGCGTGCGTTGCGGCACCGTCTATAGCCCACAATCACACAACGTTTTATTTGTTGCGTTGAGCTAGCTCTACTCTGCAACAATTTACGGATACACGCTGTGAACTCATATAATTAAGTATGCTTTTTTTCTAATGCATCTAACGAATCTAGTAGCAAGTGCCTAGGCTTATTGGCATAGACTACAATATGCAAATGTGCATATTCACAAGCTTTATACCCGTCGCAGTGAGGAAAAAAGGAAAGTACAGTGAGCCTTTGTGCAATACATTAGCTTTATTATAATCTTACAAGCATTTGATTGGTGATAACAGTGTTTTCCCCCTTTTCAGGCATGTACAAACAACGGTAAGTGTCTAACGGAGCGTAAGTAATCCAAGGATCACTTCCAGTCCCTGAGTTAATCGTAAACTAAGCTGGAAATTGATCTTTTCATTAGCGTGTACGGGAACTGCGCCTGATTTCGGTTGGTTAGGAGCTCTTCCGAACAAGAACTCCCTTGGCCTTATGAACTATGAGTGGCACTATCATGTTTTTTGCTTGTGTTCGGGTAAATTTCCACCAAGCCTTTGCACATAGTAATCCATCAATATTTTGGTGCTTCCCTCTTCGAATGATGCTGAACAGAACAGGCAGAGGAATGCAGGGCCAGTAGCAGCCGCCGTCGGCTGCGACGGTCGGGCGTGTCGCGCCAGTCACCTATTGAATCAGGCTGGGAGTTTTGGGGGCCCACGGAATGAAACACATGGATTTTAAGGTATAGCTGTCCTCAAGGTTATCACAGTAGATGTCTCAATGCGACAAGTAAAACCTTAATGGGTTCATATGGAGGTGCCGTTTTCCTTGTGGGGTTTCGCATTCCTAGGTCACCTGATCCCAATTCGTGGGAAATCAAGGCGAAACAGGCATCCCCAGTCAACTCTCCAGTGTTTCACTTCATTTAATATGAGGTTTTGTTTTGTTTAAGCACAAGAAATTTTCTTGAAATTCACGGTTTTTCCGTCGATCGGCCGGCTGCCGCCTAGAGCTGCTTTTGAACAAGAGGGCCTAGGCCTGGAATTCTTCGCTGTTTTCCTCTTATATGCATCATAGCATTTATCCCAAAGCTCTTTAAAACAAGAGTGTTTTCCTCTGTAGACATAGCAACAGCGGTTTTTTCATTTGTTCCACAGCGGCGAACACCAATGCCATAGGCGGTGTGTATACCCTTACCCAGGTCCGAAATCCACGGGAGCAGCAGCGACACTAGCCGAGCGAGCCCTACAGGAATACTCTTCTACCGTCGGCAAACGCGTCCGGCTGCAGTTTAGTAGCAGCAGGGACCCAGGGACAGTTTTCCTGGGGAGTCAAAGCAGAGTAGCACGGCAGCACCCAACATTAGAGCGCCTGCCGTTCTTGTTACCGTAGCATTGCAGGCTCGCCATGAGTCGCATTCTCTCTTCACAAGGCGGTAGCGACGGATCCAAGTCTTCTTGAGCCCAGCTGCTTCAGCGTGGCGCTTGAAGAGAGGCTCTGGGTCCTTGGACAGTGTGGTTTCGGGCGTTTTTGTTGCAAATTCATTAGGCAACTTGAGTATATATATATATATTATACATACGTCCTGGAATCGTCCCTGAGGGAGAGGACTGTTGTAGAATCCTGTTTAAGCAATTTCGTTTATTACTTCAGGGAAGATGGCCATGCGAGCCGGCGCGTGGAAGGGGCTGCTGGCGTTCTGGCGTTTTTGCGGCGAGCTCCTGAGCCAAAAGCATGGCGTAGTAGAATCTATTGGTGATGGTTTTGCTTGGTGGGGAGGTATTTGTTTTCGTCATCCTGTGAAGGTGATTTTTGGTTCTATTGTTGCATGTTTAGTACTGGCCTCCGGTTTGCTTCCGCCGACACCGATTTGGATAGACGGCGCAGAGCGGCTCTATACGCTGCCCTTTTCTCGGGCCAGAGACGATGGCATACTACACGAAAACCTTTTCGGGGATGTACACGGGCGAAAGAGCGTGGTAATTCTTACTCATAAGAACAGAGGTACCAACATTCTGACCTGGGAGCATCTGGAAGAGGTGCGACGCATCGACTCCATCATTCAAGGGAAGGATACGGACCCGGAAATGGGAAGAAAACTTGTCATTCCGCGGTCTCCTGATGTCATAGCTGCTTCAAAAAAAAACGATAATGAGGAAGGGGGCACATCAGCACCTGGGCAGCACAGCGTGACAGATGACTCGGCCTTTCTTACCTTTGAGGACGTGTGTCTGCGGAACGCCCTGGGTGCTTGTTCAGCTGAATCAGTCTTGTCGTTCGGTTTGGCGGACTATAAGGCTGCGGGTCTAGTGAAGGGCGAGCCGGAGGTTTGGCTGTTCGGAGGCACCGCCTTCAATGTGCAGCAAGTAGCCTTCATTCCAGAATACTACTTAGGAGGCTTCACGAAGGAGCCTTGTGAGAGGCGCATGCCTCGGGCAATCGCAGAGCGCTTGTTGCCTCCTTCAGCCGTTAGGGAGCTACCTACACCCGAGGATGCCTTTGTGCTTGGATCGATTGAGTGCATAACTTCCGCAAGTGCTCTCATGCTGCATTACGATGCAGATGGACAACCAGTGCATGAGGAAAGGAATGCAACTTGGGAGAGGCTGCTCATTCAAGTCCTGAAGGCAAATCAGACAATTGGAAATCTACGCGCCTACTTTCAGGCTTTTCGGTCGCGAGACGATGAGCTGAAGGCTTCTACCGCAGAGTCCAAAGATGTTGTATACGTGGTGTTCACTTTCTTCCTCCTCGCCAGCTACTCCACAGCCCTCAACTTTTCCTGCGATTTGTATCGCTCCAAAATGTTAAGCTCGCTTATGGGGTTCTTCGCGGCGTTTATGGGCCTAGGAGCTGGCATGGGTATTGTGGCGTACATGCAGGTGGCCATGGTCCCCACAGTGCTCATCTGCCCGTTCCTAGTTCTAGGCATTGGCGTCGACGACGTGTTTGTGCTTTTGAATGCATACTGCATGGGGTATACTACGCACGACCCCGAGCAGCGTTGCATTGCGACCCTTAAAACCTCAGGCTTGGGGATTACCATCACCACGTTGACGAATCTGATATCCTTCGGAGTGGGCTCTTTCAGCACATATCTCTCCATCCGGAACTTTTGCGTGTACAGTGCAATGGCGCTCTTCTTAGGCTACATTTTCGTCCTCACATTCTTCTTCCCAGTGCTCTGTCTTGACGCCAAAAGGGAGTTTTACTCCCGCGTTTCCCCCTTCTGCCTTCCCACCACTTCGCAGCTGCACCAGAAACTCGAAGAAGAGAGGAACGCACTAGGGCCCACCGAGCTGTACGTTCACGACGTGCTCAAATCGGTGTCGCAGGAGGAGATCGTGGCGTACAGAGTGCAAGTATTCTTTGAAGAGAGAAAACTTCGAAAAGCAATGGTGAAAGAAGAGAAAGACAAACAACTAGCGATTACGGATGCACAAAACAAAAGCACTTCCAAGCCGCAAATCACGGACTCCCCCTGGCGCTTCCTCACAAAAATGTAAGGCCAAGAGTGCCCCGCTCTTAAGGCCTCCCTCCTACACGTGTAGATCCCGCAAGAGCGGCATGTCGCGACATAGCAAAATCACAGAAAAGAGCTGCATGCACTGTGTATGGCCTTATGAGTCTCAGGTTTTTCCAGCCAGCGAATGCGGAGAGGCATGGCCAGGAGCTCATCATCAAGACCACTGTGCGTGGTCTCAATCCTCAGCTGGCGCGTTATGCGTTGTATGATGAACCTCGAGGCTCTGTAGGACGTAGGTGGAGGACGTTCTTCCTGTCTTACTACGGACCCTTTCTCATGAAGAAGCCTGTAAAGGTAAGAAGAAACGCAAGCTGAATGAGGGGCCTCCACGAAGGAGGCATCCGGGGAGTGGCGTGCCCTCCCCCGAGGAGTGAGCTGCTCTAAAAAGGAGGAATTTGACGCCGCCGCTTTCTGTATTCTCTCGCTCGTGCCTCGCCGCTGCTGCTGCGCTTGCAGATCGCAGTGCTAGGAGTGTTCCTCACCATTGCCGCGGTCAGCATCTATGGGTTCTCAAAGCTGGAGTTAGGGCTGGAAATCTCGGAGCTAGCACCTACCACGTCTTACATGCGGCGCTTCGACGACGCGTACGTTGAGTATTTCAACAAGTTTGACCAGCCAACAGACATCTTCTTTCTTCCCACGCCTGCGCTTTCCGAGCAGCAGCAGCAGCGAGACAAAGGAGCCGACACGGATCTGCTGAACCCCGGAGAGTTTTTAGGACGGGGATTTGCCTCAGAATCCACCGATCAGAGGCCCCCAACGCAGTTGCAGGCCCCCCAGTGGTGGAAGCCAGAAGTTCAAGCCGCTCTGAGGCTTCTTCACCACCGTATAGCGTCGAGAGAGTCTACGTCGAGGCTTGTGAATCCCTTCATTGCAATGCTGGATGACCCCGAAATCGGGCCTAAGCTTCGGCAAGGCGACAAGCAGGCAAGGCGTTCCCCACACCAACTACTTGAATGATCGCACACGTGCTGCCGTTAGGGTCTCTTTACCCGAAAGGCGAAACGTCAGAAAGCGTCTTTGTGAAATTCTTGTGCTGGCATGGGGAGCTACTGCTCCTCACTCCACGGGGAGCCGCGAAAAGGGATGATGCAGCTCTAGTGGGAACTCTCTGTAGCATTTCTACGTTGTGCATGCTTTCTCGCCTTCAATCTGCATATTGGAGAGTGTCGTGTGATGATGCACACTGCCCTGCGCTGCTGCGTCAGATCTTTCTGGATACTCTTTACTACCAGCTGATGCAGGCGGGCTCCCCCTACCGCCAGTTCGCTCTGGATTTTGTTTGGAGTGGCTCCGAGCTCAAATCCTTCCGCATGCGCTTGCTGCCCAAGTTTATGGCCCGATCAGAGCAAAGGGCGTTTTGGATGCAGCAGCTGCGGGAGGACTGCGACGCAGCAATGAACCCCAAGGCTCTACTGAAAAATATGCTGCAGGAGGCGGAGCTTCGGGAGTCTACGGATTACTCCAAGGAGCTGCATGACTTGGAGGAGCTGAAGGCGGTCCCCATCGCTCCTCTTAAGGTTGCCTCGTACACCTACATGATGGTTTTCTATGAAAGCGACTTGGGTATTCTTAGCTCCGTCCTCATCAACATGCTTTCTGCAGGAGTAGCCATGCTGCTCGTAAGCTCGCGCCTTCTCTCCGCAAGTGGCTTGAAGAAAGCCCATCCACAAAGGCAGCCATGTACCTTAATAAGACGCTAATGCTTGGCAGAAGTGCCAATCAAAGACCGAACGCAGGGGGACTGAAAGGGGAGGGGGCGGGGTTGGTTGGTGGGTGGGCTAGGTCGCGCTTAAGTCATGAACGCTACTACAGCGCCTGGTTTGATGCCTATACACTGCGCTTGAGTTCTTTGATTTAAATACGCGCATCACGGTGGACAACCCGATTTATGCCGCTTTTAGCGGAAGGGCTGCTCTGCTTGCCAGTGTAAAACGCAGCTGATGTGGCAACAAGTGTGCGCACTCAGGTAGCGTTCATTCTGATTCCCGAGCTAAGTGCTGGTCTATTGGTGATCCTGATGATTTGCCTCATCGATTTGGCCCTTTTCGGCTTTATGTATTTCTGGCATGTAAGCAGCACTTAGCCAAACATTCTGAGGGCTGTCTGGCCTCTGCAGAGACTGGCAGTGACAGTAGCTAGTCATAGAGAGAGCTTTCCCCTTTCCACACACACATACATACACATACACACACACATGGATACATACATGCAAATACACATACATACATACATACGTACAAATACACACACACATACATACATACATACATACAGAGCGACTGAAATTGCACGGAAGGTTTTGGCACAGTGTGGATGTGGGAAAGGCAATCATACTGTTTGGCAGGCAGCGTGAGTACTTTTTTTTCTGCGGATAGAGGGACTTCCAAAGAGTCTGTGAATGAGCAAGCGAGGGGTGGCGGGCATGACCCTTCGCACCCTGTATGTTAAGTGGTGTTTTGCAGGTAAAGCTGCACATGGTGTCAACGATAGCATTGGTCATTTCGATTGGATTTGCGGTGGATTATTCTGCGCACATGTGCCACTGCTTCACGCACTGTCTCGGAGAGACCCGCGATCAAAGGCAAGGCATGCCTCCCTTCCACTTGCACTGCAAGGCATTTGAGATTTGCTGGACATATGGGTGCCTGGTACGAATCTGTAGAAGTGTGTGAGGCTTGCAACAGCCGTCTTGTCTCTTTTAAGAGGCCCAATGAGCCTCCGAAAAGCACTAGGTGCCATGGAGGGAGTCCAGAGTGCGCTTAAACGCGCTTCCCGGGATTTCCTCGAATAGCGATGCACGAAGGCTAGGAACTTGTGTTTTTAATGGCCTCTCACGGTGTTTCTTGTGCAGGGCGATAGAGGCGCTGGTGCTAATGGGGAACCCACTCTTCCACGGAGCCTCATCAACTTTGCTGGGTATCTTGCTCCTTGGCTTTAGCGAGTCTTTTGTCTTTACCGTCTTCTTCCGGATGATGGTCATGGTAAGCTGAACAGTGCAAGCCAAGTCCATATCCGCTTGTCTGCATTCTGTTGGTTTGCCTCTCGAAAAGCAGAGGTGTGCACTTAGTCTCGTCTGTCTGTGTAAGAGTCCCAATGGCTCCGCAAATGGAAAGGTGAACCCGCAACATGCATGCTCAGAGCAGTAGGACGAATGGGGGGGGCAGGCACGAACGAAGGGGGAAGCCGCCGCGTGGCTGCTGCCCTTCCCGTGCTCTAAAGGAATAGCAGTGCAGCAGAGTCTCGAGGAGGCGGCCGTATCACGAAGACTGCTACAGGAGGCTTCCTTCATGGGACCCCGTCCTGCAATGCGCTTTTTGGCCACATTTTCCCTCAGGTGGTGCTGTTTGGAGCGGCACACGGCATGGTACTGCTTCCAGTTATCCTCTCATGGCTAGGTCCCATGCCTTCTGCCCACGGGAAAGCGGAGCTCGACGATGCGGGTAGCCATGTTGACGAAGACGGCGATTCAAAATCAACGATGCAGGAGACAGGCACAGCGACGGCCAATGGCCCCGCGGATGAGAGAAGTCTGTACGACTCGCTGCACATGGCGATTCCCCCCCCAAGCCTCGCTCTTAAGCCTACCAGCTCCAAGCTGGGGTGCAAAGCCCCTTGTGCAAGCTCGGTTGGAGGCCGCAGTTACAACTACCCCCCCGCCGCGCATCCCAGTTCCTTCCTGCCAATACCACCGCAAAAGCTCGCTGGAAGCAGCGGCCTCTTCACAAGAGACAGGGAGGCTGCCAGCACCAGCAGCCCCATGAGGCGTTCTAGGTCTGCGGCAGCGGCCGCCTCATCCAGAAGCGGGATTGGGGAGAGCCAGCCTCGCAATCACCAGCATTTGTCCCGCCACACCTCTCTCTTCTCACGCACAGACCAGCTCTCCGCTACCAGAAGCCTTGACGGCAAACAGCGAGCCCACAGCATCAGCGCTTACAGTGCATGTGGAACGCGGCCGCAACTCCCGTCTTGTGTGGAGGACCCCAGAAGGGCACCACGCCGCCTTGGTGGCATGAACAGCACGAGCTACAGAGTAAGTGACGCCTTCATGCCAGCTGAATCTGCGGGGCACCCGCAGCAGCCGACTTCTAGCTCGATTTTAGGGCAGTCGGCTCAACAGAATCACAGGAAGCAGCCACCCCGGCAACTCCTGTCACCTGTCAAACACAGGACCACCAGCAGCGGTAGTGGACAACGCACATCGCAAGATACATCCCGACCTTTCAGCGGTAATGGACGCAGTAAGGGCACAGTGAGAAGCGAAACGTATCAGTAGCCGCACTTCCCTGCCCTGGATGCGCTCTCTCTGCAAGCTGCCACATGAGAATCCTTGGTCACCCCCGTACCAGAGCTGGGTGTCTCATGTACACCCTCGGAAAGAAAAGAGAAACCTTCTAGAAATTTCATTTAGTTGAGATAGTTGAATAGAAGGCATTCACTTCGCGCCATTCGCACACACCTTAGACGGGGTATCATGGACTTAAAAAGCCAATAGAAGAGCCAACTACGCGACGTTACTCCATGGCGCGGAGGTCCTCATGAAGCACAAAATGCCATTGGGTGCATTTTGCTTCATCAAATCGCTCGCATAAGGGGTTTGAAGATTCTCTAGTCTATCCATTCGCGATTTTTAATGAACTAGGTTAAGAAAGAACCAGCCCAGTGGAGGTTCCCCTCCGCGAGGCCGAATCGGGACGAACCTACCAAATTCAATTTTTCCCCCTTAAAACGAGCTCCCCTTACTACAGATGTCTGCTATGGATGGGGGAAAGCGCACTTAGCGTAGAGCAATTGGTTTGAGGCACCGTTAACAAATCTACTCTGGTTGTGTTGCCATACAGTAGAACCGTGTCCTGGGCACCCGCACTGACTGTCGTACAGACACTGGTACTACGCATTACGCTAAATGTCTAGCAGATGGGACACCCGTATCCGCATAAAACCACCAATTCTTTCCCAAGAGGGACTCTGTAGTTTCAGTGGCTGTGGAATTTGTCGTGGCTGTTCGCCACAAGGGAAAGGCACAGCCAAAGATTCTGAGTATGTGACTCAGCTCTTTGCATTGCTGTATTGACCTAAGAGGACGCACACCTACTTGTGCACTCAGTTCCTGCCTCAGACCCAGATAAGTCCGAATCACTAAATTCGTCTACCATTAGCGGCACATCACACATCTGCCTCCTCCTAAGTGTGACCCCGCAAAATCCCCTCCAAAAGCAACTAGTGTGCTCACCAAATCCTGTAGCTGTCGTTGCAATGCTGGCATCGCTACGGGCAGTGGGGGACTCGTCGGCTGCTAGTGAATGTTGTTGTCCAGTTTGCTGGTCCTCTTGGGCACCCTCTAGGCCAAAGGAATGCTGGACGGTAGATGACGCAGTTACTGCGGCCGTTAGTAGGCGCAGGAAGCCCTGGATTTGCTGGGGCAGAGGAAGTAACGCGGCTATTGTCGGAGGCATCTGCCCGCAAACATACACAGCCACCAAACGAGATCAAGAGCCACAAAGATGCGGGACCACGGAGTTCTATTTCTCTCTAATCACCAATTCTGCCGGATGGCACTCTGACCTTCAGTTCGACGATCCGTAGTATGAGTCTCTGTATTTCAAGAAGCGTCAGTTTCCATTCGGTGACTTCTGTCCAAGTAATCAGGCCGCTGCGAAGGTCATTTCTTAGAGCCATTTGTCTCTGCTCGAGCAGAAAAAGGTCACGCTGCTGCACTTGCTGCAGCTTTGAGCTTTTGGCCGCAACGGCATTCGCCACAACCCCAACGGAGGGCTGACTTTGTTCGAGCTTTTCAAATCCGCTGTGTTCTTGATGCTCCTGCTCTATATCAAGGCTTTTGTCGTCTTCCGGTAGAACACTACTGATTGCGCTGGTGGTGCTATCTTTCGAAGGAGGCAGTATTTCCAGTATCACCGCGACCAAAGCGAGAGAAGGCAAGGCAAACGTTTGAAGGGGAGTCGACTCCAACAGTGCTGCGGCCTCTGAGGACCAACACCGATATTTTCACAATACAGGAGCTCCCTAACAGTGTGTATCCTGTGCCGCGAATTTGGACTCCACTTGGTGAAATACCATTTCAGGCTGTCTGCAACATTGAGAAACGGGCTGTCTTGAGTTCCTATCCCCAGCGCATCCCTCCCTGATTGTGGTGTTTCCAGATGTCAATACACAAAGTAACACCTTTTACCTTCGGCAGATTTGGGCGATTCTGGGGTCTTAGTATGTCTCTGAGCCCCCTGTGATATAAGGTTGGCACGCAAATGGCCCTCGTAGAATGATTCAGAGATTCCTGTTCTACTGACTCCTCCCATACCCAAGTGGAACCGTGACGTGAGGGTGCGCAGAGGGAGAAGAGACGCCCCGAGAAAGCAAAAGCACCCATCGTATTGAGCCCATTGGTACATGTGCCTCCATAATTTCACTAGTACAGTGTAAGGTGGATACAAGCCCTTCCAATCAACAAAGGACTAGCCCTGGAAAGGGCAATATATATATCTGCTTCTTACAAGTCGTGACAGTCTTTTGCGGCTACCAGGGGCCCTCAGCACCCCAGCTGGCGTCCCAGAGGTATTTCTTCGGCTTCTTGATACGACAGGCGCGGCAGGACTGCTGGTGGGAGATCCTACAGAGAGCAACGCAACAGCGAGCAAGAAATTCGAGGTCTGCGATATATTTACGCATCAGCAGCCTTGCTGGCCTTTTGGTGGTAGCCCCAGGAGTTGGCAGATGGTGCACTCAGGTCAATGAGCAGGCTGTGTGAAATGTGGATTTGTGGCTGTGTGACTGCTTCATTTAGTGCCATAGCGCCAGGATATGCACATGCAGGGCCGATGAAGGGTGAAGCTGCTGCTGTCTCTGCTGTATCAGCTCTGTGACGGTACTAAAGTGGGCAGCGCTACTGACGGTTTGCTGTTTCTTTGTCTGTTGAGTCCAATCGATCTGTGGGTAGGACAAGTCCTGCAGACTGCGTCTCAAATAAAACATGAGGCTTGGGTATGAGGCCATCGGGTTCTGTCTAGACAAGTTGTGGCCTCCCCATTCACAACTCGCATGCAGCTTTAAGGCAAACGCACTACGGTAGCCCAGGCATGGCTCTTTGGACGGTAGCCCTGGTGCTATCTAGCGAATCACAGTTGCCTATCACGTCCGGCAACCCCGAAAAGCCCGTTATTGCAGCAAAAGAGATGGTGTTGGAATCAGCTTTGTTTAAAATGCTTCGAGCTACAGACATTTTTAGAAGCCACCGGGACCTAGGTAATGGACGTAGAAATTAGGGTACGATTACGTCAAAGACATAGAACACGGTTCGAACGGTGCAAACCCCAGCTCCTGGGATTTCTGTTGAATGCGTCTTGCCTGCGCCACACCAGCGGCACCAAAACCTGGAATAAAGAAGATCTTCGCTGGCTCTCTGCTGTACACTGCAAAGCAACGGCGTGTTTGGTATACTCAGATAGGCATATTGAGCGTAAAGATAGTAATAGGTAATGCAACAACACCAGAGGCCTTGCGTGGCTTACAAACATCCGTCTCGCATATTTTAAACAGCTTGTTGTGCAGCTCGTCATTCAGAATGCAGTGGGTCTCTGCTAGAGCCGCTTGAGTGAATACTTTACTGTGACGCCCTGCGCTTGCTGCTACTGCATCCATGCCATTTTCCCCCTCTACGAAGACTTTGTTTTCTGCTCTTCTTCCTTGAGGTACGAAGTGCTCTTTGGAGCAGTTCATGCGGGGGGGCTCTGCTGCGTCCAGCAACCCAGGCGAAGCCTCCTGGGGACTTGAAGAGCCTACTGCCTTTTGTTGCTGAGGCTGCTTAGGGTTTTTACTCCGTAAAGAGCCTCTTTTGCATTCCTGAGCAACAGCGTTCTGGCTCTGTGACGGTGGATCAGAAGATAATTGCTCCTGTTGCTGCATCATTTCCGCAGACTGCCCACTTAAAGTAGACCACGTGTCCCCTTCACACTCCTGAGACGACTTGGAGGCCTGCGGTGGCTCATGCCGCTCCTTTGATGCCTGTCTTAGTGTGCTAGGATGCCTCTGCTGCCTCTTCAGTATTTGCTTTTCAAGCGAGTCGCTGAGTATGTGGAGTTTCTGGCAGAGCGAAATCCAAGCAAGACTCAAACTGTAGGAATCTTCTGCGTCAGACCATGCGGCAGTGTCAGATTTAGGGGTTCCCCAAACCCAATCTTTTTCCGACTCCAACACAAGCTGTTGCCCCATGCTCCTGCTTTGGCATTGCAGTCTGCTCTGCAGCAACAAAACCAGTCCTCTTAGGAACGCAGGGAACAACACAGGCCTCCTTTGAAGAGGAAGACATTCTTCAGCAACGACTCCACAGGCGAGAGGCTGCTCAGGTGATGAGTGGCTGGGGTATTTATCTATATTCCAAGATGTCCTAATGATTTCTTCTGCTGGAATCGCACCAGAAAACGCGCGCTGCGTTTTTGGAAGGTCCTTTTCTACTGGGTCTGTAGTCTCGGCAAGCTCTTTACGGTCGCCTAGACAGCAGTCGCTGCTGCGTAGGCTTCGCCTCCTTTCATTCTGAATAACCGAGAAGGTAGCAGGAACGCCACCGCTTAGACGCCGGGCCCGCTGAAAGCTCTCGTCGCTCCCAGGAATGAGCACTAGCTGCTAGCGCGCAAGCCATACGCAGTCCATAAGCCTTGCAGTGGGTGACCTTACCTCGAATAAGCTGCTATCACTTACTAAATAGTTGCTGCTCGAACACGTGAAACCGAATACGGAACAAGCGTAAAGCTTTGGTGTATGGCGGCAATAGCTTGTAGTATGCAGAACGCGACCAATAGCTTGTAGTATGCAGAACGCGACTCGACAAAAAAACACTTGACAGTGAACGAATCAGCGAAGGTCAGATATAAGGAATGACAAGGGATACATCTAGTCCAAGAAGCGCCGACCCGCTCTATGATTCTGCCCACAGTGGTTATAGAACGATGGGCGCACCTTGACAACGTCACAAAGCGAAGCGGACAGATGAATCAAATCGGCGTCGAACGCTAGACACCTGGAGGAACAAAGCACTGCAAAAAGCATAAAAGATATCGATGGATACAGTTATTCGGAGCCTCAGCGGCGGCGAGCCAAAGTGTTGCTGCCATCAATCAAATGAAAGGAGACCCTTGCATGCAATGGAACGTAATTGATTAGTCCTTCTATGTGGCTTAACATACGGCTCACCAAAACTGCGCAGCAGAGAGAACGAAAGGATCGCTATAAGGCATTGGAGCTAGTTTTCGATATGCTGTGTAGACGCGGCGAAGGATAGAGACGTTTCTGAATGCACGAATCAAGCCCTATCCATCATCCGGTGAAAGTAGAGGGTGCCCCGATACTAATGCATCATGAACCCTGCGTACAACTTGTATAGCGGCGTCAGGAGGAACACATATATCCCAAAGTGTCGCCGTTTTGTATAATTGCATGGACGGTAGTGCCAGGTTTTGCGGACAGAAAATACAGTGTAGGCCCCGCACAGGGCACATGAAAGGTCACGTCGTCTGCTTGCCTCAGCATTGTCTGATAGACGCTCCTTATTGTTCTTGCAGCTAGGCGTTCGCACACGGGTGCTTGCCTCCAGATATCTGTCCCCTTACAGGCCTCAAGGTGTCTGTACACCTCAAGCTGCTGGACCACAGAGAGGTCGACAAATGCCCTTACTGGGTCTTCCACAGCGACGGGTTGCTTTTCAGCCATTCTATCGTTAACGAAAAGGCCTACCAATACAAGGGGAGTTCAAGAGGCTTTGTGGCTGTCGCATGCTTTGAGATGTAGCTGTATTGTGGAACGAGGCTGCCGTAAAATATGCACTTTGGAGCTAGCGTGCTCCTCGAGACAGATGACCAGGGGAGTCACCTGTAGGAAACTTATAGGGCTGACGTGGTCTCTCTTACCTTCATACAAAGACCCCATCTCCGATTTATATTTGCCGGCTCCATGCTTTTGGTCTGCCCTCCAAGAACCCTCATACCGTGCCCCGTTAGAATAACTGAAGGCGCCAACTCCTTCTCTTCGGCCGTTCTGTTTTGCAGGGGTCATTTCAAAGAAGATATACGAGTCCTCTGTCTTTGGTAGGAGCGACGAGTACACGCGATGGAACAAGTGCGGGGAAGTAAAGCTAATCCCAGAGTCTGACAAGTCCAATCGGCCACTCCTAAAGCCAATGCTGGACGTTGCACGTGGGGACTCTAAACCGTTTACCGGTGTGGCTCGACCTATCTGATCTCTTTTTCGCTGGCTCTAGTTACTTTTCTGCTTGCTTGTTCCCTATATCGTGAGGCTCTCTCTAGATATCTATCGCTTGACGCCTGAGGAACTGTGCCGATACTTTAAATTGCCCTTCGTAGTGGTTTTGCTGAAGACTGCGTCCGACGCTCCCTGCAGTCAACGCAACACTCGCACAGCAACCAGAGCCCTCAATGGCTAAGCAATGACAAGTCGTGCATCGTGCATCTGCATTTCACCATTTTGCTGTGCTATACTTGGAGGCAGAAGAATAGACACTTCCTACAGGTTCCCGTGTCTTCGGCATCTGCAGCGTCGACCCATGTTTGCCTGCCCCAGCCTGAGACGTTGCCTTCGCACCATTCCCCTGGAGCCTCAAAGCACACAATCAGGCCTTTAAAAGTTCTTTATATGGAGATGGCAACACAGGCCTTCTCCTGATTGTAGTTGTCTAAAGTGGCGCTGGGGCGCAAATGCTATTGTACCGCTATAAAAAAGCTGTCCCCCCCATCGCAGGAGGGCTCTGAATATGTGTTCACGGCATGTATTTGCGTAGTCTAATGCAGAGTAGAAAGCTGCGATAACAAAAGGAGTAAGTCGTCCTCCTTACCAACATACTGCACTGCGGGCTCCTTCCAGTCCATAACGCCCTGGCCATGCTGTAGTCCATCCACCCATTGCCCTTCATAACGACTGCCATCTGCAAATATTTGTTCTCCAAAGCCGTGTCGAATCCCTTCTCGCCATTCTCCTGCAAAAGCCAAAGTAGTGAAACGCAGGTCCAATGCAGTCGGGGACACACGGTAGGGTCACCTCTATTTCCTCCTAGAACACACAGCTGGAATATATACTCTCTCTGCCAGCATTTTCCACTGCCGCTGCCGCATGCAGACTTCGTAAGACATAAGGTGTTCGATCCTACGCAATATGCAAGCACGTGCTCAGTTATACAGTCCCACTCCCCCTAATTCCACTCTAGCTTCAAAACCCCAATTATCCAGCTGTAAGACGGAGACGCGTTTTCCACAGGACAAAGGCTGCTGACGAAGTTAAAGAGGCAGTGCTCATCTAATTCCGGCAGACTCTCACCGCTATACTTGCTGCCATCGGAGCTCGTCAGGACGCCCCAACTGTTGCGCAGTCCGTGGGACCACCCTCCCTCGTATGTGAAGTTCCTGAGGGAATGAGGGGGAAAAGGGGTAATAGTGGAGCTTTCAGCCCTTCATGATAGCTCAAAGTGTGAGCCGTTAACTTGTTAGAAGGTCTATAGTCATAGCCTGTCTTTCTGTACCTGACTCGTTACTCTGGCATCTCCCGAAGCTTGTGTTGCTTGGCAGCACAGCGATCTTACCCGTCTCCTGATGTGTATCTACCGATCCCATTGCGCATTCCGTCAGAAACCTGCAGCATTTTGCAGAATTTTATTGCGACACGACAGATATACTGGAACGTTTGGGATGATACTGAAATGGCGACAAATGATTCTAAGCGGCCTTTTCCGAAGGCTAGAGCTGACATGTATGGACATGAGCCCGGAGGATGTCAGGATACTCTTGTCTCAAATACACGTATTGCTACAGATAAGCCCTACGCATATGCTGTATACAAAATCTTTAATTCTACATGTCAGAGAGCCATTGGATGAGTCCCAAATTTTTGCTGTGCTTAGAGGTTTATAGCCGCAAGCCTCGTGAAGCCCTTTTATTCTTGGCCTAGCCATAACTAATCATTCTTTTTGTTCTTTCCGCAAGTGGAACACTACTGCTTAGCAGACTGAGTGCTACCTGTCCTTCGTAGGTGGCTCCGCTGGGCCACCGAATTACGGCATCTCCACAGAGGCGCATACTCTGGCTAATGGGACCCCAGTAGTCTATACCGTTAGCGAAGCGCACAGTAGCTGCTCCAAGACACGCATCAAGCGGTAAGGGGGCCTGCAAATTTGCTTTCCTTGGAGAACTCCGGCTGAACTCCAATTTCTAGAAGACAAGTTGTAATATTTAACGGTAATTTTGGTGATAGAAGAAGGGAGCATTTCAGCAACTCATACAGGGAACTGCCTTGCCTGGGGTGGCGATGCGTACAGATCCTTGTTTACTGATAATCAAATCTCCAGTAAAAATGACAGAACCAAAGGGCACGCGCTTTAACGAATACGTTGTAAGGCAGGAAGGCCCATCTTCTTCTGGTAGCGCCTCCTGCGATGTTGGAGGCTGTGGCGCACTTGTTGTAATGCTAGCAGTCCCACATTTCTGACCATATGCTTCACCCTCCTCAACCTCGTTGCAAGCGGATACTGCTTCACTAGAAATGGTCCGTGCACTGTTCAACCTGTGGACCAGTTCCGGACCTTGTGAGCAGTAAGCATCAGCCAAAAGCCGGGCTGCGGCCTCCCCCAGAATGCGGAAGGACTTCCCTTGGGCTGTTATTGTACTAGGACTAGGAGGAGGAATACCTAGCTCCGTATGTATCGCGGCAGGACAAACTGCAATTTCCTCCACAATTGTAGTCTCCGTTGGCTCAGGAACCATGCTGCTGATGGGGTGCGGGAAGTGGCATAAAAACGCTTTAGCTTCCTGTGACAACAATCCTTGTTTTTAGCCCTGGAGAAAAATTCCCTTCTCATGGCTCTACACATGAGGCCGCAATGGGAATAGAGTATTGGACGTATTTCTGCACTATTGTTTTTAAGGTGTCTGCCTGTAAAGGAGCTTTCTCCTTGGTCACGACAATCGTACCGGGCTGCTTTATAAGCAGCGTAACTCGTTCTGTTTGGCAAGAATAATGCGGCTCTTCTCTGTTTGGAGATTTACAGCTCAGAAATTTTTACTACCTAAAGACATCCTTCGCGCTTCAAACGGTGGCCAGGATGCCTCGCAGGAAAGTAGGCATCAGCTTTTGTAGATCTCCCTTACAAATACCACTCTGACTGATGATCAGCAAGGCAACTTTTAAATGCAGTTACCCATATATAATATGCTCAGGAGTTTCTTTGAGCCTGCTTAAACCGGAGAAACTCTCCTGCTACGCGCACTGGGGTCGCCTGCATGGTCACGGAGGCCGAGTTGACAAGGGGTTAAGCCCCCAGCCAGTATCGACTATTCTGAGGGATATTACAGCATTTAAATGCCACACTATTGGTTTTAAAATCAGGCAAAGCACAAATAAGCGGCAGATGCGTACTAAAATTGCCAACAATTAACGGCGAAGCGGTCGACAGGTCCAGGGAGGTGACGGTTGAGCCGCTACGGATACCTGCACAAATTTTCAGGCCTCGTTTTTAAAAATGTTTCTACGAATACGTACATTCCCTTACTCCAATCCTGCAACACGCAGTTCTGATTGGCTCAAAGCAGAAGCAACTACTTATTCGCAATATGGCCCTCCAACTTTTTGTCCGCTCCTCAAATAGACCGAGTCCTCGAATGGTTTGTCCATGCACTAAATGCTTTAAAATCCTTTTAAGTCCACTTTACGTATCTTTAAATGGCATCCTCGATGGAGTTCGGTCTAACCCCGCCCCCAGTGTCACACTAAATCCCTGAGAAGCCACTGCCTGAAGACCGGCCTCAAGTGCTTAGTTTGGGTTTGTTACCTTGTATCCCTCAGCAAAGCAGCCCCCCCAGCTAGTTACTTGTAATATCATTTGTATCTTTACACTGCTGCTTGCTTGAAAGGCTGCTCTCCCTCATCCGTCTGGGTGGGGAGCCCGCCTACGATGTGGTTTTCAGCACATCCATCAGGAGTGAAGTGGTGCTGCAAAAAAAGAACGTCGCGATTTAGCCAAAAGGCTCGGGTGGATGTACATGGGCAGTCATTCGTAGCCCTTGGCCCAGGAAAAAACAATAAATTCACTTTCGCACGATGTCTGCATTGCAGCGAACTAAACGATTGTGTGACTTTACCACCAAAGCATATAACCACCGCCGATGGCTATTCCAAAATGGCGGTGGAACACCATACTTTTTAAAATGCCTTAAGACATTTAATCTCCAGTAACTGAATGGCTAGTCGCTCCGGCGACTTCATCAAATTGATAAAACGCCATGCACTCCCGTGCTCTGCCAGTGGAAACAAGATATATATACAAACAAATAGGTACACACTGAACTAAAAATTCAAATACATTAATATTTCTTGTTCCTGCGGAGACCAAGTCGGCGCAAACTCGATCTTCGAGACGCCGTTCTTAATAAGGCACCGCATTTCCCTTGATGTATTTTACAGAATGGTCACATGATCCAGACAGTTTCCACCTCGTCCACTTGTCAGGATCCCGCATGCTCTCCAGGCTCCCCTTTAGCTTCGCGTCCTACTCCGCTCCGCATGTGCCAGCAGAAAGGTAAGCACGGTCATTCAAAGTCGTCGGAATCCATTTCAGTATCAGACAAGGTGGCATCAGCGGATCCTTGCATGAAGCCCATGCCCGCCGAGGTCGAAGCAGACTGTGGACCCTCAAGCTCGGTGTCTGAGTCTATAGGAGAAAAGGGGGGGAAAACTTTATATGTATGCTCTAGAACTAACTTGCCTCGCCTCTTAGCATCCATAGACACGGATGATGTTTCTTCAGGGTTGGCTTCAAAAGTTTTGGAGTTCTTACTGTAGGGATATGGCACCTGTTGAGGGGAGACAGCCTTGAACAAAGCCGAGTTGTCCTCGGAGATGATGAGCTTGTCGGGCTCGATGGGAACGATCTCCCTACCTAAATAACATACTATCTTAGCTGTAATGGGAAATGCATTCACTATAACAAGCGCCGTACAAATTGAAAAAATCCTAGCCACCATCTCGTCTATGGACTTCCTTTCAGAACGAATATTAGTATCTCTAACTAATTACATGGAATTGAAAAGATCCAGGTTCCCGCGGTCCGCCTCTTTTTCCACTGACTTGAAGTCTATGACGAGCGTAAAGCCTTTCCGATTCGTCCTCTGCAGCACACATTCAACTCAAAGTTCCCCTATCAATAAACGGTATACAATGCTTGAAGGCCTGTTCGTACTAAAACTCGTGGAATGCACCATTTCTCCATAGGGAATGTAGAAATCACAGGCGAAGTGCCACATTGCCTACTATGCACAGGGCTATGGGGTCTTGCATTCGGGTAAAGCCTTAGTATCTGTAGTTAGATACAGTGGAACCAGAAGCTGGAACGTGCGCCTACTGCAGAGGCAGTGCGGAGTTTCTTTGCGTGTAAGATTTTTGATGCCTTCACCTTTAGCTCTAGGTCAATGAGATAACAGTCTGTCTGGAGAACAGAATACTCGTAAAGTTTCTTAAGTCCACTCAGCTTTGGTTTGTAAACCACAGGATCGTTATTCTTGTCCACTCCAAAAAAGAATGTTGGAGTATTAGCGCCTCTGCACTCCAGCTGCGTCAACAAAGAAACCTCCGCTGCGAAGTCTATGCTGCAGAAGCACGCATGATGCACAGCACAAGCTGCTCTTTCTGTATCCTGTTTGCAGGCATAATAGAACCATTCCAGCAAAAAGCGCCACAATTTCTTTTAAGCAACCCGCATCGCTGCCCAAATGGAGTGCAAAGGGCATCTGCCAGGAAGCCGGAAGCCTGAGTCCTACTACAGAGCACGCTGTATTAAGGCCAGCTAACTGAGAGACGTCGGGGGGTCTATGCCTCACCTCCCCAACGCATTGAGTTTTTTATACAGAAAAAATCCGGGCACTAGGCATTGCAGCTAGCCTTGTCGGGGACTTGCGCACAGTGGTGATAACAGAACTACATGAAGGCTCTTTCTGCTCACATAATTCTAAGGCCTGAATCGCAGTGAAACGTAAAAAGATGAGTTAAAGGCCAATAATCAACTTACTACACCATCCTGCGCGTGGGGGGTAGACCCATCGGCAATATACGAAGCTCGCCATTTGGAAATTCTGACAAGAATTAATGCGTACCAGACAACTAAAATACTGTAAAAGTGCAAAGACTATGCGGCAACTTGCCTCCTTCTGGCCGTCTACGCCATAAGGCAAAACAACCGACAGGGCGACGACCTCCAGTTTATGGCGCTGGGCGGCCATCGATTTCGAGCCACACATCAGGTTACGAGACGGTTGCTGGTAAAGACGTTAATTAGGCAGTTAATATGTTTTTAAAATAAAACCTGTCAAATATAGAAGCATAAAATTACTTGTCAACCGTGTCAGTACGCAGATTTACATTGTAGACAGGTGTGCAAAATTACAAGCCTTCTCCGTCCCCCCTATTTCTACGGTTTCCTCCACCTTCATTAAATGTGTACGAAAACGCATCCGTAGAAGTCCAGCTCACTTATAATTCCATCTTGCTTAAGACAGCAAATCATTCAAACGTGTGTGGTCCGTGACCGGTGGCATACTGCATCCAGATGCAGTTGCTTCGTCCTGCGGCTTGGGCCCTTCGGCTGCATTCATTCAGGCCTTCCTTAACAGCCTCTTTCGTGCCTCAGCAGCATATTCAACAAATATTTGCTTGTCGCTCGCCACTAAGGGATCCTTCGGCTGTAAGCGGCGCCGTTTCCCCTGAGTAGGAGGACCCCGTCTTTAGCACTGTGTACTTCAGGTTTTGCGGGCAGTGTTATCTATTCATCAAATGCACAATGTGAGCATATGCCAGTGCATCTTTTTGACTATATAGGGCCTGTTGCTCTCCTTCACTTCTCTTTGTGCTGCTCCGTCTGCGTCCGCCCTCCCTAGCCCTCCCCACAAAATGGTGAGTTCTAGGGAAGCTGATGCCTGTCTCCCAACTTCATTAAACATATATATCTGGCCTCTTTCCTTTTTGTTATCTTCTAGGCAGATTCACCCGCCATTACTTCTAGTAGTCTGTAGGAGTGCGTAAAGCTCCTGCCGCGTGATGCTCCTCACTCTCTGTGCGTCGTCATCCACAGGCGTGCGCTGAGGTTATTCTAGTCCCAACGCTTTCGGACAACTATGCCTATGTAATTATTGACAAGTGGGCATCCTTTTCTGCATGATACCGCTATGGCCGCCGCTGTAGATGCTGCTACTGCCCTGCCCCTCCCGAAGTGTCCGTGCTCAGTAATGGACCCCTATGCGCCGCTAAACATTTCTGCATCGTCCATGCTGAAAGAAGCAGCAAACTCAAAAAGGGGCGCCAGTTGCCACGGCGAAGCTTTCAATTCAATGTTTTGTTCTCTGCTGTCTTCGTTGTTCAGGAAGACGAAGGCTGCGGCCTGTGTTGATCCTGCCGAGCCAGAGAAGGTATGACTGTCGAATTTGGACTAAAGGGTGTATGTTCAGGGATATGTATTCAAAGGCATCTGTACAGCAATTGCTGAGTTCGGCGCGTGAGTGCCTTCTGTGCTTGTATTCGTGCAAATGAGTCGGCCGTCCCTCAGACTTTTGTCTGACCCGGATGCTAGTGTGGTTGCTCTGTTTTACATTGCCTTAACGTGTGTACACAGGTTGTTGCTGCGGCAAAGGAGAGGGACGTGACTTTGCGGGCTTGCCTTTGCACCCATAAACATGCAGATCATTCAGGTGCTCACGCCCCTCTCCCCAGCTCGTGCTTTTTGCAAAGGGATATTGCCTGTCAAAATTTTTTGGCGCTCCTGTTCACTTTTTAACGAGCTACTGATGTTTTCTGCAGGCGGTAATGAGAGGATTAAGCAGTTGGTCCCGGACATAGAAGTGTTTTGCTCGGCATACGAAGACACCCCCGGCCGAACCAGAGCGGTCTACGATGGAGAGAGCTTTCGAATAGGCAAGAGGCATGACACACTGAAAGAGCGAAGTCAGATAAAATTGGCGACGCTTGCTAAATGCAACTTAGGGTGTACAATACTTCGTTAATGGCGGCTGCAGCGCTTGAAGCATGGCGGTTTCCTGGGTATTCATCCAGTTTAGTAGTTGTACAGCATATGATCTAAAATATAACTTGTGGCTCATCCGGTGCCTACAGTGGCAAAGCTGTCACCTATTTCTCGCCGAACGCCGGTAATTCTAGTACCGTAAGAATCTGACCTCTGGATTAGGCGGCTTTTGGATGTCTGTTGGTGCGCATTAGGGGACCTTCACGTGAAGGTAATGCACGCGCCGTGCCACACCAGTGGTCATGTGCTCTACTATATGGAGAGCCGCACGGATATGAATGCTAATCCAATAATTTTTACTGGTGGGCTTGCCCTCTATTGAGGCGGACCAGCCATGGCGGTTTGCCTCGCAAGCCGTGTTGTGCATCTCTCTCCCGGCATTTTTGCGTCCAGTGCCGGGTCCTGGTAGCTCTGTGTCTCCCGTGCTCCTGCTCGTATCGTCTAACTCTCTCTTCTTTTCTGTGCTTGCTACCAGCATCGTCTGACTTTTTCGATTTTTCCTGTGTCTTCTATTCGTTCCCTCTTTGTTGCCTCTTGCGAGCTTGTGAAAGGATCGCCTTTCTCTGAGCCACTGCTTTACGTCCCTCACTTCTCTGCAAGGGGATTAACTTTTTGTCTGATTTGGTGGAAATACGTTTAACCTTATTCCCTCTGCGACAGTTGCCTTCCGGGAATAATTATTTTTGGTAGCTGTCCCATCACTTTCCTTGTATTTGGTCGTGCATGATCATAGCTTATTTCACACCCCCTCGTGGTGCCTTTGCGTTGGTCTGCTTGCTGATCAGGAGATACTTTATTTCTTGCAGGCTGCGGGCGGTTTTTTGAAGGGGATGCTACCCAGATGCACCGGGCGCTCATGAAGTCTATTGCAGCACTGCCAGCAGAAACTCTCGTATATTGCGGTCACGAGTACTCTGTATCAAATCTTAGGTAAGGGTCAGGAAGTGAGTGAAAACAGGCAGATCCTTGTCTTTGTTCATTTTCGAACTTCAAAATCAACTAATAACTTTACATCCTTCTTCGTTTTGCCCCTTGGTATTTCTCAAATTCAATATTTATTGCGCTCGCACACTCTGTCCCCAGTCCGTCTATCTTGTGGCGTCTCTAACTGTCCCGTAGGGCCTCATGGGCCTTCATGTGTGCATTTCCTCATTTTCATGGAAACATGTTTTCTGAGGTCTTCCACAGGTTTGCCGCGAGCATCGAGCCGAATAATATGGCATTAGAAGCGAAGTTGGAGTGGGCACAGAAACAGCGGGCCGAAGGCAGACCGACAATTCCCTCTTCTATTGGCGAGGTCCGGCTAACGATCTTTCTTCATTTCTTGATTTCAGCGAGCTTCAGTGACATAGTAGATAGGCGAAGCACACACGATTTTCAGTGCTTTTCTTGGCTTAGCACAACTAGAGCGCCCCTGTTCGAGAGTCTAACGCAATGTAGCCCCAACGTCTTGGACATCACTACGAACTGTGACCGTTCAATGTAGCCTTGCCTAGCCGATTATTATCACTCTTCATTGTGCATTGCACTGCTTGCAGGAGAAGGCATATAATCCGTTCATGCGTTGCGATCGGCGTGAAATCCAGAAAGCAGTGGGGGCTCCAGAAGGGGACGAAGTTCAGACTATGCACATCCTTAGGGAGCGAAAGAACATGTTTAGAGGATAATGAAATTAGGAATAATCTAGAGACTGTTGAGCCATTTACTCTCCTGATTCGCATTGATGAATCTGTACACGCGAAGGGCTGAAAGGCGACTAGATTGGGTAGCGTAACCAAGCATCAATAGAAGCCGCTCGTACGCAGAAGCGGCTTTTCTGATTAAGGGCATTTGAAACCGATTACAGACGACATAGAATTAGATATACAAGCAATACTTAGTACAGGGCAGCTTTTATCGTTATATTGTGAATGGAGGCAAGCAGGTTGCTGAAGTGCTTCTGATTTTGACTGGCTGGCCGGCATGCCGACCTGTCCACTGGGTAGTTAGACGTTGCAGCTCCTATTCCCGCCCACCACCAAATACACCAGCTTTTCATGTAACTGCGCGTTGCATTCATGGCCCATCGGCGATTAATATTATGTTTTCATAAGAAAAGTTCATCCATTTCTTGCGTAATTTTAACCTGCCGCTATTCAATAAATAGCCTTCCAGGAGACCTGTCTACCTACCTTAGGGGAAGACCTTCTGTGTCGATGCATGTGAATTTCGCGCATAAAATCCCTCCAGATAGGCCCCCGACTTGACTTCTGGTCATAATGCTCTACCCTTCCCACCTGACTCCGCCCGGGCAGCTAGGGGACCACACGAACACATAGCCCTAAAGTTACAAAGGTACTGATGCCAAACTCCTTACAGCGGACCCCAGTGGCAGCCTTAAAAGCTTTTATAAGCGGAGTTTGGTGGGTTCTAGTCGAAGCCCTCGACTATGCAACTGCCCGTGGTTGAGCCGGTTGGGTTGGGGGGATCCCTGGATCCCCAGGGCCTACAGGTTGACCGGCGGCAGGAGCCTTGGGTTGCATGAATTGCATGGTGGTAGACATAACGACCATCATGATCATGGATGAGTATTGTTGATAGTTGACCTCGCCGTACCTACAGCTGAGGAAAGAGCTACCGGCAACGAAGAGAGCAATGTAGTACAAATAGTATAGCTTCAAAAGCGTCCCCATAAGGACCGCTGGTACGCATAGGTACAGTAGAAAATCCGGATCTGTTTCCAACTTGGTGTACGGCACGTAGCGTACTATCCTGGAGGTATCATGAAAATCTGCAGCACAACGAACACTGGTGGCAAAGGCAAACGAATGAAGACAAGGGTAAATTGAGACGACAGACGCGACAGATAACAATACGTGGCAAGTATAAAGTAGCACGAGCCTTGCGCGCCAAAATCCTTGACAACATACGAGGAATTTTGGTACTGGGACTGTGTGTCCCACAGCCGTCCTACGGGTGTATGCCCACCTGTGTCTGCCACAGATCTCACAAAGAACTACTAAGATACGCTAGTCTATATGGCTCATATGCTTTTCTCTTATATTCCGCTACAGGGGCTTGGTTGGGGAAGGGTGGATTTGTGTTTTATACCTGATGCACGCTGTCCTGCTTGTTTCATCATCTTTTATATTGACACGAGCGAAAGCGCCCTCCAAAATAAGGTTATAGCCGTGTGAGACTTAACTAACGAGGGAAAATACACAAAGGCAGAGCTTCTGTTTTACAGGCTGCGAAGTCGGCTGTTGGTTGCGCGTGTTGGAAGAAAAGAAGTAAAAAGGAACATGGCAGCCTAACAAAACGAGTAGCCGCAGCCCCCCCAAAACAAAGAAACTTACTTGTTCACTTTGCTTGGAAAAAATAGCCGCCACTAAACGGTAGTTCAATGCACAAACAATGCAAAGCCCCAGTGCATGCAAAACCCAAGGTTCCTTTGGTTGGTTTTGAGTTTATCTGCCACAACTGGCCGAACTCCACATGTAGAAGCCACGCTTCTGTTGTTGTGCGAGGGAGTAGCTATACAGTGGACTTCAAGCCGTTTCACCGATACTCTTCGGTGCAACCAGAAAGCGAACTATGAGAACACAAAACACTGTTCGTGTATCCACCACACTATTGGGCTTTTGTCTACACTAGTTATGCCTAATCAAGAATTAGCAAAGAATTGACCGTTTATGCTTACTGGATGTTTACCGTATGTCTTGTAGAGTAGCTTATGCTCGATGCAAACAGAGCCACGGTATCGCTTCTAGTACAGCTCCACCGGAATGCACCTGGAGATTCTTGACTCCAAAATCAATATAAATTTAATTGATTATTGCTATGTGCCTCTCAGAGGGGCTTTTTTTCTTTCCATGCTTCGGCTTATCAAAGTTTCGACACGAGGGGACAAGAACAGTTGAGTGCGCATAGCAGAGCCCTGCAAGCACTCCAAGCATTCATAGTTAGCATATAGCATATAACGCGAACGCTTAAAACGTTGCTTCGTCATGTGTGCAAGTAACGAAACTCTGCAATAAAGAGGATACACGAATATCCAAACCAAATAGTCGATTGCCTACTAATTCCTTTGGTAGGAGCTTAGCCCACTACGCCTTCGTCCCCGTTAATTTCAAGCACATCCTCTTATGTTCCATACATGTAAGATCGAGAACGACTGGATGCAGAACAGCGAAAGAGGTTCTGCAGTATTGCCATCCACTGGGCAGGCAGAAGTGCAAAGGCAATGAACATGTAAAAAGAAAACGTCTACATCCACCGAAAAAGTGAACTTGGCGCGAAGAAAGACACAGCGTCTTCAACAATGAACCAGGGTTCATGCCAGCACGACCGCGAAGGCGCAATGGCTCGCAATTCTCAAAGCGCTTAAATGCGTGTGACCCCAGCTATGAGAAAACAGGAGACAAGTAAAATGCGGAGGTGTACACTGGTTCAGCAGTCGCTCCGTGTTTCGTGAAGCGAAATCTGCGTGCGAAACAGTGGGTGCATGTAGCATAGGCGATTGTTAAGGTGTAGAGGAGGCGTAAGGAAGAATATAGGGGGACATCTGCGAGCGATTCAACATTGATCTGCGCGTGGGAAACAACTTAATGGTAGTACTAGGCAATTTTTCAAGCAACATGCACAGACGAAGGTAGCTATTCGAGGCCGAGCCTGAGCTGGAGAAGAACAATTACTGGGGAACACAAGGAGTAACGCCTATGGCGATTCGAGTTGTTCAGAAACTAGAGCCGCACACTCCCCCTATCTAACGTACAACTGGGCCGTGGTCAATCACTGAGGTCGGCATTAACCAATGCATCCTTTTATTTACAGGTTTTTCATCAGTGTGTTCTTGGCGCCCCGAAAAACCCAATAATTCAGTTCCTTAGAGCGCTAGTTTGGGATAGATCTAGTTACTTTTCATCTGTGCGTGACATAGAAATCTTAGCTGCAATAGAGCTGTTATCTGTGAAATCACCCTTTGTCAGTAGTCTCGAAGATCCTCATTTGCCCCAAACGAGACCCCAGCGCCAAGCGCCGCTGGCCGGAGAAGACAAGACAACATTACATATGACTCTTCCCATCCAACGATGTTTGGAGTCAATTGTCTCCCTGCGCAGACTTTAGATGCAGACTGGCATTACAGGTCGGCCGTTCCCCTGCAATCGGCGCTCCGTCACCGTCAACCTCCTCCGCTATTGTTTTTTTTCAAATTGTTACCGACGAAAGTCGGATTGTTGAATTGCGAATAACCTGATCAAAACCAAAAGGCGTACAGAAAAACCTGACATCCCACTACCTTTGCAGCCAGTAGATGAGTGGGGAAAAGTTAGATCGGGTGATCGGGTGCGTCCACCTGTAACGTTGCATCGACGGTTGCTCTGGGGAGACTCTCTTCACTTCAGGGTCAACATACTTAAGGGAAAGTTATAGAGTGCTTCCCACAATAAGGTTCCTCCTACCCCTGCCCATGATCCTCAAAGCTTCCATCAGAAGATAAAGGAAACAACTAGGACGTGTGTACTTGCACCCTTCCAGCATTTCAAGCGCTCATAGCTAGCTGCAGGTAGCTCAAAGAGCGCACATGCACAACATTTCATCGCCCTCCATTACCCTCCAATGAATTAGCTACATGCACAGGGGAGCCAATTACTAAATTTTCAAACAATCCCTAGTTTAGTTTAAATAGCGTAGTAGAGAATGATTGAGCGTAGCTTAGCCTAGACTAGTGTGTGTCGGCAGTGATTGACTTTTACAAGATAGCGCGAAATTGTACGCACTAGCCCAAGACTCTTGGACACTAGGAAATTAGTCATAGTGCTTGATCTGCAGCCCTCAGTAACCCATGAATCCCGAGCATTGCGTCTTGGATGATCGCGTGCTGATATCAGAAAGGGTCCTGACCAGGGGGTACTACGCAAGAGAGTGTTCAGGGTTTTAAAGTAATAGGCGATAAAGGCGAATGATTCCTTAATTGGCATAGATATATGTGTGTCCGCATTTTAATGCAAGCAAAGAAATTGCAAGGTCCTTCTTGCTCACTGGGTGTGTATGTATAACTCCATCGCTTCCCGCGTGGTCTGTCGGCGGGGGCCCCTTGCAGCCACCGCTTTGGACGGGCGGGCTTCTACTAATCGCAGGCCCTATGGCAGCTAAAGCGTCTCAGTCTGCTCATTAGGAAAAGGAAAATCTTCGAAGGGAGCTCTTTTTGTTCGCTGCTGCTGCCTGGGGCCCCCCTTCTGGGGCCCCGCAGAGGGCCTCGAAAATGCAATAGCAAAGAGGCAGGAAGCAACCCGTCACAGACCACGCCAGAGTCCATAGAAGGCAGAGCAGGAGCAACACAAGAAGGAGCTGCTCTGGCGGGGAGCAGCAGCGAGCTGAGAGGAGCAAGTCGGCCATGGTAATACCTCTGGCGCACCGCTGCTTTGCAGCACGGGCTTCCTCCCTGGGGAGTGTGAAGGCTTTTCAAACAGGTGGCTCTCCGGTCAGAGCCGCTAAGCATATGTCGGCAGTGCTGGTTCTCCGGCGCTCCTTCCATGTGCGGTGTACTACCACAACGGGGGAGGCGCTGCACCCGCCAAAAAGGACGATCCCAAGCAGGAAGGGGGGGCCCAGGCAACAACAAGAAAAAGAGCAGCAAACGGAGAGCTCACTTGAGCACTCGCTCGAGAAGTGCCGGCTAGAATCGTGTCCACCGACGGCGTTTGTGCAATGCGGCCTTAAGGTCCACACCACAGAGCGCATCCGCGAAGCGGCGTCAGCAGCCAGCACAGCACAAGCAGATCTCTCCGCTGCTTGGGAAAAGCTTCTGATAGAGCTCCAGACAGCACAGAAGCGGCAATGCGGCGAAGGGCAACGTGGAACGCTCACAACACCCAAGGAGCTGCATCGGCTGCTCGTAGCAGTGCAACGGCTGCTGCACCTACAGGGCCAGCAGGAGCCACTGCGAGAGCAGCCGATCCAGCTGCAGCTGCAGCTGGATCGGCTGCTCCTGCTGCTAAGGAGTATATCCCGCCTGGCTAAGCCGTACAGGCACATGCTGCTCCAGCAGCGGCCGTTGAGGCTGCAGGGGAGGCCTGGATTGATAAGAGCTGTTGCAGCCGCACCAGCTCCTGGGGGGCAGTTTTTGTCAGCAGAAACTCTAGGTTCGTCTTTCCCCGTGGATCGCTTCACACTGCCAAGACGAGACTTGCCAGTTGCCATCTCAGCAGCCGTAAGGCAACAGCGCCTCCCGGATGCTCAGCGCATGTACACCCCCGTAGAGACAGTAAAGCAGATAAGGCAGCTGGTGCAGCAGCTCTTGATGTGCTCCTTGCGGCTGCTACGGCAGCAGCAGAGACACCAGGACGAGCGGCAGCAGCAGCAGCAGCAGCAGCAGCAGCAGCAGCAGCAGCAGCAGCAGCAGCAGCACCAACTGCTGCAGCTGCTGCTCCAACTGCAGGCCATGGGCCTCTGTTGTTGGGAGTTCACAGCTGCCGCAGCTGTGCTCTATCGGCAACAGCGGGAGCTGCTGCTTGATCCGCCAAAGCTGGCACTCCTGCTAGACTGCTTTGCTGCCACATGTACACGCACAAGGCAAGTACAGGTCGGCGGAAGAGATGCAGCACTTGAAGCAGCACCAGGCTCTGCTGCTGCAGCTATCGCTGCAGTTCGTGGACTCTTTCGCAGGGTGGCTCACCATTTGAACTGCCTTTCACGCGCTGACGCGCATCGCCGTCGCGCACTGCGCCAGCAGCAGCAGCAGCAGCCGCCGCAACAGCAAATCCAACAAGACGTTTGTCAACAGGAAGCACAGGAAGTGCACCAGCAGCTGCAGCAGAAGCAGGAGCAGGAGCTTCCCCACGTGCTGCTTCTCCAGGCAGGCGATATTGCGCTACTGTTGCGGGCTTTCACGCGTTTGGGGGTTGTCGATCTTCGGCTATATACGAACCTCACCTCTACCCATTTGACGCGCGCACTGCAGCAGCGGCACTTTCTGTGTGATGGAACGGCCAACTGTCGACAGCTGAGTCGTCTGTTTGTTGCGTGCGTGGATGCGCTAAGGGCAGCAGTAACAACGACAACGGGAGAAAATCGAGCCGCAGCTGCTAAAGCAGATTCTGCTGTCGCATCATCATCAGCAGCAGCATCAGCGGCAGCGCAGTCTGCAGAGCAGGGAGAACATGGGGTGGCATCAGCGGCAGCGCACGTGCAAGAAACGGCAGCTTCTACGAAGCCTGCAGAGTGGACTCCTGAAGAAGCAGAAGGGGCAACAGCAACAACCCCAACACACAGACAGCATGCCCCTTCGGTTGCTCGGCTGCTTTCCCGCTCGCTGGCTCCTGTCTGCAAGGGTTTCACGCGTGAGCTCTTGCCGCTGCTCCCATACGTCTCGACGCAGGATGCGCTGCTGCTGGTGCGTTCGGCCTGCACGCTGCTGCGGCTGCTGCAGAAGCTCCCGCCGCAGCAGCTACAGGAGGCATACGCTCTGGGAAGGGCTCTGCAACAGACGAACAAAGAGAGGCAGATGCAGCGCCAGGAGGAAGCCAAAATAAGAGAAGCAGCTGCAACAACAGCAGCAGCTGCTGCAACAAGGGCAGCAGCAACAAGAGCGGCAGCTGCAACAGCAACAGCTGCAACAGCTGCAACAGCAACAGGCGCAGCTGCGACAACAACAACTGAAACAACAACAATAGCAGCTGCAACAAAAACTCCAGACTTCTTACAAACAGCTGAACATGAGGGTGCTTGTGGACCAGATGCGGCAATAGCTACTGCAGAGTTGCTGCAGCTGCGATGTATGTGCAGCTTGAGGGCTCTCCTTGAGAGCCTTGTTCTTCGACTGTCTCTTAGCCCTCAAGAGCTATCATTGCAGCAGGTGGCGCTCATACTGCAGGACCTCCATCACGTAGACTCGTTTGCGGCGGCAGCAGCTGCTGCACCTGCAATGGATATCCGAAAGGCACACATGGCTGCAGCTGGCACTGAGCTGCATGTCTTACCCGACGGCTCAATCCCTGTATCTGCTGTTCCTTCTTGCTCCTCTTTCCCTGCGTCACCGCTAGTTTTGAAGCCGCTTGCGAGCGTCCTGCTGGGCTGCCCGAGCACTGCGCACCATTTGCAGCAGCATCTGCGGCAACTGCTGCAGAGGCAGCAGCGTCTCACAGCTGCATCCGCCGCTGGCTTACTGCCAACGCAGCTGGCGTCAATGCACTGCTCAGCTGGTCCTGCTGTCGTAATACTTCAGTGTGCTTCCCGGTGTCTGTACAGCCCAGCTGATGAAGACGATTACAGTCTGCAAGTTCATGCAGCAAGTGTTGCAGCAGCTGCTGCCGCGGTACGACTATGACACACGTTTTGCAGCCGTTTTCGCCATGGCTTGTTTTGTTGCTGTTGCTAAGCCCTTCACACTCTCCAGTGCTGCCCTTCCCTCTTTCATCAGGGCAGTCTATAGTAGGCAGGCTGCTCTCCTCTTGCGGCTTGTGCTGCGCTGTAGTGTTTAGGCTCGTCTGAGGCATGGACAGGGCTAGGCCCCCCCCGCCTGGCAACTTCGGCTGGAGCTCTTGCAAAATGCATTGCAGCAGCGGGAAGGGTAACTGCAGTGTCGGTGACTCATGGAAAAGTGAGCGCCAACTGGAGCACACTGCAAGCAGAAGGGGCATTTGCTCTTCCCGCTGGAAGCTCCCAGAGGTTGCCCACTGTGGATGCAGCAGATGATGACGGCTTTGCGCTGCCAAGCATAGGGAGAAGCATCAGCAGCGCCTCCAGCACACCCAACGACGGTGGCCAAAGCACCATCACCACTGGCAGCGAGCAACAGCGTCCTGCTGCATCTCCGCTGTACGCCGACGCCTCTGTATTCATTAGGGCATTGGAGGGCCTCTCTGGAAGCCTGCTGAAGCAGCTGCAGCGCCACCAAATGGGGGACTGGAGGGGTACTAACAAGCTTCCCGCAGCAGTTTTACCCATCTACCAGAGCACTACGACTGCACCAGCCGATCCGCACACAGCAGCCGCTGTTACAGAGGCCTTGAGAGATCAGCTCTCTCTCCGCGAAGTCACCCTCTTAGCGGCGTCTTTGCTCAGGGCAGAGGCGGCTGCCGCGCCATCCAGCGGATGCCCTCAAACTCGAACGCTCTTTGAGGTACGCAGCTGCTGTCTCCGCAGCTTCGGCTGCTTCTACCCGGAGTACACCCTGCAGGCCGTCGAGTTGGCTGTTCTGCCGTGTTTTAGCGCAGCCAGGAGTAACTGCCCGTCGTGTGACAGTTGCGAAGAAGACCAGGTGAGGCTACAACTACCGATGCAACGTTGCGAGTGCGTACACCGATTTCGCAGGTATTATTGGCCTTCCTGGAGCAGCAGCAGGAGCATCTGATGGAGGCTCACGTGCGGATCATTGCCGTTGCCTTGCAGCAGACGACAGCAGCCCCCAGAGCTTCCGTTGCAGCTGCAGCAGCCAACAGCAGCGTGATTTGTGTGTCCACGGCCTTAAGAGTGCCTGCAGCCTCTGCAGCAGGGGCATCCCCCCATTTACGCGAGGCCGTTCCCGGAAGAATGGCTCACGCGGAGCGCTTACTGAGACTAGCAAGGGGAGCCTTTTTACGGATAGCGCAGCAATCCTGCAGGAGCAGTGCCCTCTGCAACGGCAGCTCGGAGGATCTGACACGAGCAGACACGTGCGTGGCGCTCCTGACCTCAGCTTGTAACATTGGGGCGCAAAAGAACGAGCAGCAAAAGCAGCAGCAGCAGCAGCTAGTAGATTTGCTGGGTGCGTACTTGACCGTAAACGCTACTAAGGACTCTGCGCTGCTTATGCGAGCTGCCACTGCTGTGCGGCGGCTTGCTACGTACGAGCAGCAGCAGCAGGCGGGCAGCCGAGGAGGCCTCGAGTTTGCAGCTGAGGAACACGATGGCCATGCAGCAGCGGCTGCTCCCGAGAAAGTGTACCTCAAACTGTCTGATGCTGTGTTACACTACGGGGCCGCAGTACTGCTCCAGCTGAGAGCAAAGGCTCACGTAGCAGGAGAATCTTTGCAGCAAGCACTTGCAGAGAAGAGCGCAACCGATACCGCTTCTCCTGTTGCTGCGACTGCTGCAACTGTTGCGGCTGAAGCTGTCTGTGCCATCCTTGGATTCGCTAGTGTAGTGCGCGCCTTACGTGTGCCCTTGCGGCACGCAGGCGAATCCTTTGCAGCACTCACTCTTGAGGCTCCTCCTGTGTCAGATTTGGCACTCTCGAGAGACGATTTGCTTGCATCGGCACTCAGGGGGCTACGCGATGGCCAGGAGACTGTGCGTCGTCTGAGATGGCCTCAAACCCTGCGTTCTCGATTCTAGGAAGTGGATTGCTGCAAAGCGGGTGTACAGGCTATCTATTTGCGGTGCGCTTGGTTGCTATGCAGCTGGGGGTGGCATTTGCCTCAAGCCACGGTCATGAAGATGCATTCAAGTTTCCTGCGACAACAAGCGCCGTCGTCTCGTACTCACAACGGGACAAGCTGCTGCAGCAACAGCTTCAGGGTGCTGCTGCCCGTCTGCGTGCTTCCCAGCTGTGCCTAGCTGTGTGTGCGTGCTCGTCTCTAGCACCTCCTGAGGAGGGTGAGTGGCCCCTTAGGACGTGTCGTCTGAAATTCTTCTTTGCTGTTTTCGCTTTTGCTGTTGCTGGCGCTGTTGAGGCTGTACTCTGGTTCGTCTGCTTCTAGGCATACACTAAACACCAACCAGACCTAAAACAAGGGCATCTGGCCAAATGTCTTACTGCGACACCACAGGCCCGCCGGGATACGTGCAGAGGCAGGGTGTGAAGATGCTGCTACTTATTTTGCAGCAGCGGCTGCTTGCTTTGCAGCGAACAACTGCTTACTCAGGCTATTTCACCTCCGAGGTCTCAGCAACAGAGCTGCAGGCTGCTCTCTCCGCGGCGCACCGGCTGGGTATGGCACCGCACATCGTAAGGCCTTTACAAGACTTACAGCAGTGGCTGACGCAGCAACAGGCTTACACTGTGTGAGGGATGGTAAGCGAGGAACGGGGGAGGGGAGGGGGGCGGAAAGGGCGGTTCCTCTATGGTGTGCTTCTTGCGACATCGTAGATTCCTTTGTTGCAGTATATTGACTGCACATGACAACCAGATACTGTCAGAGTTGCTTTAGAGGCGCCTTTTCTACTATCGGAGCACAGCCTCAGACACAGGAGTTGCACTGCCTTGTAAAGGCTAATCAGTATTCTGCTGTGAGCCCCATGCATAAAGCAGCCTAAGGGAGGTCGTCTTGGCAACACTTGACGGTTCTTGATGATGCGGCTGCTGCTGATCTCGCTAGCTTTGTTGCCACCGTCTGTGTGTCCAAGGCCACATGCTGCATGCAGTGGCGTCTGCTTGGCTGTGTCCGGAGTGCTGCTTCCTTCTTCATGGTCTATTAAGCCCTCCCTCCACACAGCCGATGACTAGGGTGCTCGCTTGGACCTAAGGGTCCTCGAAAAGGCGGTAGCCGCGAGAATCAGAGGGGACAGGAGCAGTGGGTGCGAAAATTGTACAGGCAATCGCGATACGATGCTCGTTGAGGTCTAGCTGTAGTTAGGGCCTCCTTTGCTGTTCAGCAGCTCACCAGAGGGCTGAAGAATGCTTTAAGCTTACTGGCAGCTTCTCAACCATCAGCTTTATCATGGGGCCTGGAGGTCTTGCCCTTCACCTAAAGAGGCCTACAAACGTCCAAGTGAAAACTCGATGGCATGTAGTTCCTTGAGATGGGTGGTGGCTCATATGAGAGCTTGCTAGCTACGAAACAGGCTAGAGAACAGTATTGAGGGCGGTAGAGCAGCTCTTCAGGGTTGCACATGTGGCTTGATATACACAACGGAGATGCTACACTTGAAGACGCCTTTCGCCTTCAGAAGAATTCTCGTGTGTGGAGTAGAGGACAAGGGGCCATCTCTGCATCTCAACGGCTTCTCATGGGGCCAATGCAAGGCGATAAGGGCGTCACTCCGATGGAAGCTGATTCGAAAACTCGGTCGAAGTGCTGGCAAGCCAACTGCCTTTGCGATGAAGAGGCTACTGAGGTAGCTAATTGGACTAACGTGAACGCTAGTTGCCCGAGGGCGAAGCACTAGGTAGCTATAGGAAAGCTTTTAGGGTGAATTTCAATCGATTAGAGAGACTGCAATCACTCGTAGAGCCTCAAAGGTGCACCTAGGGCAGAGACAGCACTGCCTCCTTTTCTGAAAGGCCTAGAGGGTCACTCCGCACAGGAAAGGGCGCCGTAAGGATTTCGCCCGCATCCAGAGTAAGCAGCCAGCAGGCTAGAATTCCCACATAAGCAAACCGAACACCGCAATACACGAGTCTCCGAGGTGGCGGAAAAGCAGCGATGACGCCATCAGACACACGAGCCACAGCACGATCTGAGACTGCCCTGTGAAGGAGGAGCCAGTCTCGGGAACTGCGAAAACAGCGGGGAAGAAAGCAGGCAAGGGTAGAATCAAGAGGCACACCACGCTTTAAAGCCTAAGCATGCAGGCAGGAATAGCCGAAAGCCGATAAGCAGGCGCAACTAGGGGTAAAAATGCGGTGTCTCATGGATTCCTCCAGGGGTCGGGAGCGGCTTCCGTTGGTGACTGGGGGAGGGAGCGGCTGCTGCCTCTGACGCTGGGGTGAAACTGCAAAAGAATGGCTTTTCCCTTCATAACGCCATCTCTTACGCTCTCTCTTGAGGCCATGCGCGCACGTTTACGTAGAAATAACGGCAGCAGGTGGGACCGCACCAGCAGAGCCTGTCGACTGCTTCGCCTCTTCTAGCGCACATTACATGAAATTGGGCGGCCGGACAATATGATAAGCGTTATTTGAAGGGCCTCATGAGAGCCGCTTAGATATATGCCGAAGCGAATAGGGTTTTCGGGGGGACGGAAGCCACGATTGTGCAAGTGTCAATTCCACAGCAGCACGAGCAGCAGCATCGCGCAAGCTTTTCAATCTCGAGCACGATTTCCCCCCCGCAGCGTATTGAATCTCTTTTTCGTATGAAGGCATATCTTGTAGGAGCACCGTGCTCATTTATTCTGAAGAAATCCAAGAACTCGTAAGCAGATACCCCAGCTCCTGCCGGCACTCGCCTCCCGTGGAGGGCTGCATCTGCTCCTCCACGAGCATTCGGTCCCTTCAGGGCAGCCACACAGCGTAAATCCGTAGAACTAAAGGATCGGCTAGAAGACTGAGCGGCAAACGAAGCGGGAGAGCCACCGGCGCGGGCATAGGCCAAGCCTTCAAACCTCAAGAATAGCTGCCCCTTGCCGAATTCGCTCTAGTCCCACTATAGAGAGGAAACAGGAGGAGGCCAACCGAATTGCAAAGGGATAACGCATGCATGCGTGAGAATGAGTGGGATAACGCGGCGTCGTTGGTACCTTCTTCGCCACGCACAGTCGTCAAACAACTCGAGGAACAAGCTTGACATTCCAGAGATCGCACAAGAGCAGCAACAGCAACAGCAGCGTGGTCACGGCAAGACGCGCATTCCAGACGCTCCTTTGACAGATTTGGGGAGGCAGCAGTCTGTGGCTGCGGGCTGCTTTCTGCAGCACCAGCAACAGCACGTTCAGCGGCAGCATGCAGAGGCGCCAAACCCCCGTATTGCAGCCATTGTCGCCTCGCCGATGCTGCGGGGTGTCCAGACAGCTCGCGAGCTCCAGAAGCTGTTGCAAGTGCCCGTTCTGATCCACCCCCTGCTATTCGAGGCGGGGGGCCTATTTGAAGGAGAGCGACAGGCAATTGAGTCCGCTACTTCTGCAACAGCAACAAAAGTTGCTGCGAACGACGCAGAAGGGCCCCAGGAGGAGCGACTCGGACTGACGTGGGAGCAACTGCACGAAATTTGCCCAGCAGCCGTTGTGGCTCCTGGGGTGTCTTGGCCCCCAGCAGAGCAGGGAGATGCGAGTTGTGGCTGCTTGGACAAGACAGCACTGCCTCGCTGCGGCGAGTCTTCCGCTGCTAGCGTCTCACTTGGCGGGGGGTACAGCCCCGAGGCCCTCCGTGGGGGGGCCCCTTGGTGGCGAGGCCCCCGTGAGACATTCTTTGGTACCTTAAGGAGGGCCTTGTTGTTGGTCCAGTGGATCGACAGCTGGAGCGCCCACGCCGGCTCCGCGGACGGTAGTGCAGCTCCGGAAGTCGCAGAGGCAACAGGAGATGAAGAAGCAGCAGCGGTAAGCGCGCTCAAGGGGGATGGTGCCCTCTTGGTTGTAGGACACGGCCTCTTGATGGACCTGCTCATGAAGGCACTTGTTGCAGGCCCTGCAGCGGGGATCTGTAGCTGCACTGTGCTGTACGAGCAGGAGCGGCAGTTGTTTGAGCAGCTCCAGCACAGTGAGTGTTCGCTTAACGCCTTGTACATGCCACAGCAGCAGGCGGTGTACTTTCTCTCGGGCAACTGCAGTCTTTCTTGCATCGATGTGGTAATACACCCGGCTACTGGCAGCCCACAGACGCCGCAGCAGCAGTGCGTGCCCCTGCGCTGTGTATCGCGAGACGGCCGCTGTTGCTGTTGCTGCAGGTGCCACAGCTGCACCAGCAGAGGCCTTCAGCGGACGACAGCCGTCGTGTACTGGGGGAGGCAAATCGTCAGCCCCGAGATCGCAACGGGTCACGCACTAGGGAATTCCGTTGTGGTTTCTATCTGATTGACGGGGGGGCGGAAGGTCAGTGTAAGAGGCATCCCCAATTTACGGAAAGAGGCATGCATCTTGGACCAGGGACGTCACGTGACCCCTCCAAGGGGGCTGCTCACGTACCGGTGGACAGGAGGGCCCCCTAAGCAGGGAGGCCCCGTGAGAGGCGCGCACACATCACCCGTTTCCCACAGCGTGGGACCGTCCGACTTTGACTAATGTTGAAAAAACAGAGACACTCTGTGTACACGAGAGCGAGGGCACAATTCCCAAGAGGAAGGGTAGGGGAAAAAGCTAGTCAGTCCTCTGAGAAAGACGAAAAAAGAACTGCCCGGGGCATGAAGAGGCAGTACACGAAGGGGGCGGGGGTGGGGGGGAGGGGGGGAACAACAAAATGCGCGATATATGGTGGAAGACGAGGGGACACTAGGTCCTTCCCTTCCACAGGCCAGTTCGGGCCTACAGCTTCCTAGGGGGTCTTCTCGCTTTTGCGGTTGTCTCTATGAGGGGAGCCCAGATGCAGACAAAGAGACAGCTGGAGTAAGTTGAGTTCCTCTAGGATGTGAGGCCACGGTTCTAGGGTAACAAAGAAGTCGGCGAACAGAAGAGGCAAGCACATATACTCACACCTACATACATGCACGCGCATACACGCATGCGAACGGGCTGGCACGCGAGCGAACAGGCGTCTGTTCACAACCAGCGCTTCGCGTTTTTCACGCCCTTTATTCTCCCACATGAAACCCCACTACCTCCGAACCGCCGGGACCTGTCGCTCTTGCTACCGTCGCTGCAGTTGTTGGGGTTGCCGCAGCTGACAGTGTTTCTGCGAGCTTGCTGCTGCTTGGCAAGTGCGCCAGCAAATAACGGAGACCACTGCCGCCGCCACGCGGCCACAGCTGCAGCAGTCGCATGCGGCGTGTTCTCGATTGCATGGGCAGCAGCATCAGCCGTCTCCGCGCCCTCAGATAGGCCGACATCGGCAGCAGGCCGCAGCCGCACGGAACGCGTGGAGGGGTCGATGTCTAACACCTTGTCTGCCGCCACAGCGGCAAACAGAGGGTCGTGCGTTGCCAGCAAGACAGTACCGGGAAAGGCTCTCAGTGCGGCAGCAAGGGCAGCAGCTGCAGCGGCGTCTAAGTGATTAGATGGTTCATCTAGCAGCAGCACCCCCAGAGACCCCGCCTGTAGAATGGACATTGCGAAACTAACGCGGGCTTTCTCACCCCCGCTCAGCTGCTTCAGCGGCACCCTTAAAGAGGGCCCCCTTAGACCCACTCTCCCTAAGGCGGCTAAAACCTTCGACTCAAGCATCGAGTCGTCTAGGCCCTCTGTCGCATCCGCTTCTGTTTCCGCTGCTGCTCTTCGCTCCGCAGTAGCGGCAGCAGCGGTCAGGGCCTCTATGGGCGTGAGGTGCAGTGGCAGCACGTCTGCGTGGTGTTGTGGTACGAGCAGTATGGAAGATTGCAAAGAAGGGGCACATGTTCGCTCACCCCCCACCAGAACGACATCATGCTCTTGCTGCTCCTCTTGGTGCTGCTGCTGAACCCTGCATAAGCCGCCGGCAAGGGCCTTAAGGAGAGTGGATTTGCCGCTGCCGTTAGGCCCGACGATAGCGATCTTCTCGCCGCGACGGACCACCAAGGTCACATCACGCAACACCTCCTTAATCCCGTTGTGGTGGTTGTGGTGCTGCTGCTGCTGCGCTTGCTCCTGCCAGAGCTGCCCCCCTGGCGAAGGGGAGAAACACCGCACAGCGAGAGTGCACCCCCTAAGAGCGAGTATCTCTGTGGCCCTTTGAGGCTGATGCGGCAACAGGAACACAGGCGGCCTTACAGGGGGTTTAAGGGAAAGAGGCGCTGAGGGGATCTGCTTCAGCCGTTGCAGCAAAGCCTCGTCCGCTGCAGTTGGCGGTGCCCGCTGCACGCGCAGTTTCTGCTGCAGCTGCTGCAATTGCCGCTGTTGCCGCTGGACTGCTGCAGTCCATTCCTTTTGCTGCTGCTTCTGATGCTGCAGGAAGGACGCGAAGGAGCCTGTATACTTCGGCTCCAGGTGACCCCGCTGCATGAGCACTACACCCGTGCAAACTTCCTGCAGCAGCTGGTGGTCATGCGAAGCGATCAGCATGGGGAGAGGCAGCTGCTTCAGCAGCTGCTGCAGAGCAGCAGCCGCTGCGGCGTCAAGATGATTCGTAGGCTCGTCAAGAAGCAGCAAGGAGGGCCTTTCCGATAAGGCCTTCGCCAGCAAAATCCGCATGCGCTCACCTCCACTGGCTGCGCTCACAGGTTGTTGCTGCTGCTGCTCTGTGAACCCCACGTGATGCAGCACTGTTGATACCCAACGCGCCTCATCCTCTGCCTCCTGCTGCTGCTCCTGCAGCAAAGACAGCTGCGAGGCTGCGGCGAGAACTGCTGCAGACTCCTCCGCCGCTTCCGTCCTGCCCTTGCCCCTCGGATCGCCTTTTTCCCCCCGCTTTACCATCGACTGCAGCAGCACTTCGTGCTGCACCTTAAGCTGCTGCTGCAGCTGCGCTTGGCGCTGGCGAAGGTGCCAGTAAACTTCCTCCTTAATTGATCTTGCAGCGGCTGCCGAACTCAAACCGTCTAAACCCTCCTGCTGCAAGAGGGCCACTTGGGAACAGGAGCCGACAAAACAAATATTTCCCGATACAACACCCGTACTTATCTGAAAACACTGCTCATTCTTCTGCTCTTGCTTCTGCTGCTCCTGCTTCTGCTGCTCCTGCGGGTGCTGGTTAGCCTGTCGGCGTAGCTGCCTGCGGGCAGCTTTGCTTAGACGCTGACGGTGACTCAGATGCTCCGCATGCGCATTTCGTCCCTGCTGTTGTTGCTGATGCTGCTGCAACAACAGCTGCTGCTGCTGTTGCTGTTGCTGCTTTGCAGCGGCAGCAATGGCATGCAGCAAAGTTGTTTTGCCAGCCCCGTTGCAACCGATGACAGCGAGTTTCTCGTGGCGCTGCAATCGCAGCGAGACGCGATCCAGCAGTACAGCGGAGTCTGCGTGAACCGAGACACCCTCAAGCAGCAAAACCTCTCCTTGTGCCCTGTCATCCTCACCTGCTTCGTGCAGATGCTGCTTTAGCTGCAGCACATGGGGAAAGCCTTGCTTTGGTGGATCGGCAGCAGCGGCTCTTAATGCGTAGCACCCTCTACTGTCGACTCCCCGGCTTGCGATGCCTAAGGAGTCGGCAATTGGCCTCCTCAAAGAACGCAACAAGAAGGATGTATGAATATGCAGGCTGACAGGAAGGACGCCGAAACAGCAGGTGAAGATCAGCAGGAAAAAGAGGAGGCGCAACAGCAGCGGGGGCAAGCGGGTGGACTGAAAGGCACACTGCAATGCCATGAGGGCAGCGAACGGGAAGGCGCTACATCGTGTGTTTCAAAAGCAGCGACAGCTACTGCATGTGAATTTGTTGTTGGTGGTGTTGCTGGTTGTTGTTGTTGTACGTAGGTAGGGCCTTGGGGTTTCGCGAGAAGTACTGCAAGTGATGGGGGGAAGGGGGAGGGAGAGGACTGAGAAGGTAAACGCGCGCTTATAGACTAACAGGGGCAGGATGACAGGCTCTTGTCTTCTGGCGTTGCCTGGCGTCTGCGGATGCTGCTGGCGCTGTTGCAAGCGGAAGCAGAGGAGGAGGAGCAGCAGCTACTTAATCGCAAGGTCGGGGTAAAGGAACTTCGCGAAGCCAGGCAGCCTGTGTGTGATCAGCCCTAAATATATGCGCGGCAGCTATATGCATGCATGAAAACGACACACGGCTGCGCAGCGGTCTTCTAGGGGGAATGCTATGGCCACTGTCACTACCTCGGAAAGGTTGTTTTGAATAATACGTCGAGGTTTCCCTGTCCTCACCAAGTTGCGCAGCAGGCTATGTATCGTCGCGCTCTCCCACCCTCCCCTGCCTCCGCAATCCCTTAGAGGATTTCGGCGTCACAGAGCTTCAGAAGCATGCGGCTGTGAAGTTTATAGGCTGAAAGCACCCTCATGATATTATCCGCAGCTTCTTGTGGAAATTTATATTTCTTTGTTGGAAGTGCTCCTACTCGTGGGGGACTGCATGCACGACGGGCCTGTGCCGCTGGCGGCTGCTGCTGCTGCGGCTGCTGCTGCTGCGATACATATATATAAATTATAAATATGTACCAGAGCTGCGCTTTTAAAGTGTGTATATCAATGTTTAGGGGGATTAGTCTCTCCAGCGAAGACTCCTAAGAGGCATCTGCTCCAGCGAACCCGCAAGCCAGCGTCACCCCTGCCCACAGAGGCTTGGTAGGAGCTTCCAGCCGAACTGCAGCGCCGTCCGCAGCGAGCACGCAACAACGCCAGCCGCAGCAGCAGGAGGGCGGCATCGGGGAATCTTTCCGGAACAGGCGTACTGTTTTTGCCGCTGCTGGTGCCAACTCCGATGCAGCACAGCAAACCGCGACAGGGGCGTTCCCTTCCAGCGCACGCGTGAAGAGCAGCAAGGCCTGCAGCTGCTGCGGAACGAACTACTCGATGCAGCAGCAGCGTCTGCAGTTGGAGGCGAGAGAGTCGCTGCCTCGAAGGGTCGGCGGTCAGCGAGACTGCCGCTAAGCGCAGCATGCAATGTTCAACCCCCCCTCCCCAGCATGCGGCTCCCTTGGGGGCAGCCAGCTCTGAAAGGACGAATGCAGCAGCAGGAGTAGGCCTCCCGAAGAGGCGCAGTCGATGGGATCAGGGGCCCCCCACGAGCCAACTGCTGCCCCCCCGACAAGAAGACACCCAGAGGCATCCCAGTTCGCAGAAGCAGCCTCCGAGCACTCCTCCAAGCGGCATACCAGCAGCAGGAGAAAGTGCCTTGGACCTGCCTCCGCACGCTGGTAGTCGCAGCTGCGGTTACTTCACTCCCGATGGCAAGAAGACTCCTGAGCAAGCGCATGCGGAGAGCCGGTGTGCCTGGACGCTAGAGTCTGGCAACGAAAAAAACAGCAGCTCTCACACTGGCTGGCAACGCACGAGTCAAGACGCGAGGGTTCCAAACGCTCGAGAGGCTCCCCACAACACAGCCTCCAGCACCGCCAGCAAAACTCATAGGACCCTAAACAAGAGACGTTTTGACCAGGGCCCCGAGTCTGCAGGTACGCTGACCTTGTGGCTGTCTCAAGCGCAGCAGCAGCAGCAGCAGCATCAGCAGCAGCAGCAGCATCAGCAGCAGCAGCAGCAGCAGCAGCAGCATCAGCAGCAGCAGCAGCTGAGAAGCGAGGGGGGTTACACGCGTAATCGCTCGTCTTCTACAGTATATTTGCGACATGAAGATCGCCGTAGCCGGAGCAGGGAGAGAGTTGGGCGTAGCCGTAGCAGGGATTGTCACTTCAGAGAGGCACAGAGCGGCAGCAGCAGCAGCAACAGGGGTGGGAGCTACAGCAGCAAGGGCAAGGGGGGGGAAGAGTATCGGACTGCACATGGAAGATTTGGACATGAAGAACGCTGGCAAGCACTCCCCCAGAGTGCCCCCCCTCCTCTCGAGGGTTCCGCCGAAGGGGCCTCTTCTTGGGGGCCCCTAGGGTGGAATCCTCGCCACCTTGAGAGTCGTGGGGTGTATGGACAGGGTGGTGCATCAGGAGACTCTATCGCTGCGGTGGGATACTCAGGACGTGGCGTGGCAACAACGGGGGACGGGAGAGCCGTCTGCGATTCGAGAGAGCCTCCTGCATATGCTCAGAAGCAGCCATCTCAGCCGCTTCATCAGAAGGCACATGGAGAGCAGCATCACCACCCCCCGCCTCGTGTGCTGCCTGTGCCTCAGCAGCGCGTTCTGCATGCTGCCTCTGCTTCCCAGCAGCAGCTGCACAGCACCCCGGGGGGGTTTTCTGGTGGCGATGGTGGTGTTGGTGGTGGGGGGGGGGGTGGTTCTATTGCTGCTGCTGCTGGTGCTCTTTCTGCTGCTGCACTGCGTGGCGTCTCGGGGGGGGGAGGGGCGGCACTATCCTCAGCAGAGGCTTCCGAGGAGACAGCGCGTGTGTGGGGAGCAGCGGCCGCAGCAGAAATAAGGGCACTGGCAGAGAAGGCGGATCTGTCTCTGCCTGCTGCAGATCCCGATAATCCCTGGGGAGATATGCGCGAAACGGAATTGCACAAGCTGGAGATGTGGGGTCGTGCTGCCGTTGCTGCGCGAGTTCGGCAAGGCTATGGAGGCGCTGCTGCGGCAGATGCGGCTCTTGGGGAGTATAAAAAAGTGCTGCTGCAGCAGCGGCAGGCTTTAGCTGCCGCAGGCACACCTGTCTCCGAAGGAGAAGTTGTAGGACTCTTCGTCGCAGAGCGTCAGCATCAGCAAGCGGAGAAGGAGGAGGAGAAGGCGTCTCACCGGGACCGTTATCCGGAGTCGGATCGCGCTAGAGCTGCCGTCGAGAGTTTGCAGGAGGAGCGACATCGCCACAAGAGCCGTGCGAAGAAGGAGAGTGGCTCTGGTAAATCGTCTTCGCATCTCTCTGCAACAACAGCAGCAGCAAAGGGGGATGCACAAAAGGATGCCGAAGACGCTTATTCTCTGGAGGCGGTCGACGTCGGCGCCAGTGCCGTGGCTACGGCTTCAGAGACTGTTAATTCCACTCGTCCTCCCCAAGGGGGGGGGGAGGACGCTGGGGAGGCAGAGACTAGAATGCATCGCGAACGGCTTGCAGTGGAGAAACACGAGGAAGCAGCTGTGCAAGCTCCAGGCAAAGGAACCTCCAAACGCCGGCTAGAAGCTGCGGACAGGACTGCTGCAACTGCGTGCGCCAGCCCCTTGCAAACGGCTGAAACTTTTGTGGCAGATGCAACAGCAGGAGCAGCAACAGCAGGAGGAATGGATTCAGCAGGAGCGGCAGCAGCAGATTTCGGAGTAGGAGCAGATTCAGCAGGAGCGGCAGCAGCAGATTCCACAGCAGGAGTAGATTCAGCAGGAGCGGCAGCAGCAGATTCCACAGCAGGAGCAGTGCTGAGCGAAAGTGCAGGGGATATGCCAGAAGGCGGAGAAGCTTTCGCAGACACGGCAAAGATGGAGGGATCTGCAGACAAGCGTGGCTTCGAAATGGCGGCTGCCGACGATGCGTTTTTGACAGCCTCGAGTCTTAGGGGAGATGCAGCGCCTGTGGAGACTGCGAAGGAAGTGCATGCGCACAAAGGGGATTCTGAGATGCATGGATCCGTGGAATCTGGGGGAGGGCTAGACACCACCCAACCCTCGCAACACCAACCGCAGGAGCAGCAGCAGCAAGCTGCTGCCGCTGCGTCTCCGAGCGCGACGGAGAAGAAGCCTGGAGAAGACGCAGGGGAGCAAAAGGAGCAAACAGCGAGTGCACCGGAAGGGGATCCCCAAGGAAATGCGAAGGAAACTGGCGCACCAAAAGCTAGCAGTGGTGCAAGTAGCAAGAAGAGCAACAAGTCCAAGGAGCAGCGTGTCTCGCGTGAGCTCTGGGGTTTGCTGCAGGAGAATTACCAACCGATTGAGCCACGCAGGACGGCGGCTGCACGCAGCAGCGGCAGTATTGCCTGCACGACGACCAGCAGCTCCTCAGGCTTGCCAGCGGGACGGCACAGTCATGCGAAGAATGCAGAGTCAGTGCACCGGAAGGGACAGAAGCAGCAGCAGCAGCCGCATGCAGGCGTCGCGCAGGCAGAGAAGAGTGGCAGCAGGCGCACCCCTGAATCGACCGGTGCAACTGCAGCAGCAGCAGGCGCGGAATCTCACGGAAAGCAGAAAGAAGAAGCACACGGGCGAAAGGCGAGCAAAAGTACTGATGCTCCTGTCTCCGCTGCGTCTGCTTCACCCGTGGACGCCGTCATGGCAGCGGCTCCAACAAGAGGAGCGAAAGCACCAGAGACAGGAGACGCTGCACTCTGTATGTCGAAGGTGGTCGAGGTGTCTGGTACGTTCTGTGGGTTTGGTGCACAGCTGTTTTGCGGAGGGGCCTCGTGTGTCGCAGTGCAGCAGATCCTGCTGCTGCTGCGATACTTTTTGTCTGCTTCCGTGTTTGTTTTTAGTGCATCTGTCGCTAGCTGTGGCTCTGGTCTCTCTTTTTTGTGGTGTATCCTGCAAAACGCGGTTTTAATAGGGGAGGGAAAGGAGGGGGGACAAACGCGCGCGGGTGCTGGCGTCAGTTGTGGTGGTGGTGCTGCTGCTTTTTGCCCCCGTCGCTGCTGCCGCAGGCTCCTCAGAAGGCGAAGGCATCGAGGCGTTGCTAGCAGCTACGGGCATACGCCTTACAAGGACGATGCTGAAGCAGCTGCAAGAGCCTGCAGCCACGCAAGCGCCCCAGCGGCAGCGGCAGCAAGCGGCTCCTCGGATGGCGAAGCCTGCACCAGCACCAAGGGAGAAGGAAGCTCCTGAGGATCCGTTTGCTGCTTATGGTCAGAAGATCGAGGTTCGAGAGGATCGTCAGGGTAAGGCGGATGCTCGTTGAGCGATAGTTGCCGGCTGCCGCTGTATGCGCAGTCCTGCTGCGAGAGGCTTTCGCGGCTTGGGCTGACGTCTTTGCCACTGCGTAGTGGGTGCTGCTGAGTGCTCTCTCGTCGGGAGTTTTTTTGCGAAGGCACGCATGCACAAGCGCATGCAGCTCCTCTTGTTGCTCTGGCCATCATTTTTGACTGCCGTCGTTCCGCGAATCTGCTCGAATAGGTCGTCCCCCTGCCTGCCTGTCTCCTCTGTGTGCTGCTACCCATCCAGTCTTCTGCCTCATTGGGTGTCGAGTGCGAGTAGTGCGAACGTGGAGAGATCGGCAGAGTCCTGAGACTTTTGAATGGGCAGAAGGCATCTTGAAGTATTACTTGCCGAAGTATAGGACGATCTTTGTGCACTTTCTTCTGACGGAGAATAGGGAGGAGCTGTGCTCGCCAGCCGATGCGCCTCCGCTTCATCTCCGGGGTGACAGCCTTCCCCTCTCGCCGGAGGAGACACACAGGGGCTGGTTCTCGTTAGCGCACGATGTTGTTCGTCTGGTGTCTACGGAGCCGGTGTGGTGGCGTTTCGACATTCCAAAGCCCTTGCTTTCGCCTGGCGAGAAGCACCAGCAGAGACTGCAGGAGCAGCAGCAGAAACTGCAACAAGGCGAGACGGGGGAGCTCCCGATGAGAGCCTCTGCCGCCTCAGGTGCCGAGCAGCCACCTCAGCAAGAGCATGCAAAGGGCTCAGATACGCGACAACGGAAGGCCGAAGCCTCGGAGGATGCGCTGCATAGCGCATGTAATAGCATGCCGAGCAAAGGCAGCAGCAGCAGTCTCCCCACCCGATGCCGTAGCTGCAGCAAGCCTGTTTGCTACGTCATGACTCCTGGACTGCCAGTAGAGGTTCCCCCCACTCTCTCCCCTGAGGAGATTCTGGCTAGCTATCCTACGGGCGTTGAGCCTACGGCTGCGGCGCGAGCGGCAGCCGAGATGCGCAGCAGCAGCGACAGCAGCAGCAGCAGTGGGGAGGCAACAGGAAGCTCCCCCGGCAGCTGCAACAACACGCCTGCGGATGACAGACCTCCCAGTGCACCAGAATCGCAAGAAGGGGCGGAGGGAGCAGACACTCTCCAGCTGTACTGGGGGCTGCAGTGCTGCTCTTGCCAACGAGTTTTCCACGCCGGATGCGTGAGACCTGCCCACAGACGGATTGCATCCATGGGGTAGGCTAGACTGTGCAGAGTAGAGGGTGCATGCATGCAGGCATGAACGAAATGAAAGGAAATGAAGCCTGTTGTACGGGTTCGAAGGCATACGACTCGATACGGCCTGTCGCATGTGCCCCGAGGGGGTGCATGCGGCCTTGTGAATGCATCTATGGTGTATATACAAAAAACACAGGAGTTAGTTCCGTCGGGCTCTCCTCGATGATGGTGGTGGTAAATAAGTCGTTCTCTGGGGATTTGTAGCCAAGTGACTGACTCTGGCGCTGCTGCTGTGCTGCTGCTGCTGCCCTTTAGGGTCTCCCCAAACGCTTTGTGTGTGGAGGCATTACGACACCGAAAGCTGCTAGCCGAGCGAGAAGCGGCTATTGAGCGACACAGGAAGGAACGTGATGCTGCAGCGGAAGGCAGCGGCAAAAGAAACGGTGGCAGCAGTGGCAATACCAGAGAAAGCAAGCATTACCGATACGAGGCTGCTATCTCATCTCCTACGGGGGAGCCAGATCCCCGAACCACCCAGCAGCCGCTACTGTCTGAGGAGAACATGCAAGACTTGCAGCAAGACAACAGCCCCTTAGGGTGGCTTTTGATGCAGCAGCAGGGCGAGGAGGGAGCTGACGATGCAGGTGAGCGGCAGCGCGTCGTCAGCTCGGGATCTGCAGCAAGGCTGCGCCGGCAGCATAGCAGCATGCTGGAGCATGCATCGCTGCTAGACATTTACATTGCTAGACATTTACGTTGCTAGACATTTACGTTGCTAGACATTTACGTTGCTAGATATTTACGTTGCCAGGCATTTGCCCTGGGAGCAGAAAGCTGAGGCTGCGAGTGCGGCTTTCGCTGGTGTTGCCGGGAAGGCAGAAGGGAGGATGCGGGGAGAAGGGGAAAGTGGAAAAGTGGGAAAGTGGGGTTGTTGGGGCTGCTGGTGGTTTGTTTTGTGGGCTGCACTGCATTTTCCTCCTTGCTTTTACGGGGTGTTGTGTATAGTCATGCTGCTGTTTTTGCTGCTGCTTGTGCCTCCGTTGCTGCCGTGTGTTATCCTGCAGGGGGATGGCCATTGGCTCCGAGCACCGTGGTGTATGACAGATCTAGGAAGGCATACGTGAGCACGTTTGTATTGCCATCTCGCCGTCTTTGTTTGCCGCCAGGTCTATCCGTCTCTGCGCGCGCCAGTCTTCTTGCAGGCTTCAAGAGGCAGCAGGAATCTCGGGTGCTGAGGCGATCTTTTTCCTTATCCCGCTTCTGCTCTTTGCCGCTTGCCTTCGCCCGTGCCCAATCTGCTCTTCTTTCAAGGCAAGGCTCGCTGCTGTGGAGGGTGTCTAGACACCCTGGCGATGAATTGGAAAGTGAAGGCACCCCAGCGCCACCCGTCACTCTCACCGTCAAGATGCGGCAACAGCAGCAAACGCAGCAAAAGCAGCAACAGGACGGTGTGCCATCTGAAGATCTCCCAGCAGGCACGTCGATGCAGCTGTCTCATGGAGAAGTCGCAGAACCGGAGCAGCAACGGCGGTCCCCTGAGCCGCCGCAGAAAGCGCTGCAATGCGAGAGTTCTAGGAAGGACAGTTGCGAAAAAGGGGTGCATGACGTCCAACAGCAAGAGAAAGAGCGACAGCAAGAGAAAGAGCACCTGCAAGAAGAAGTACAGCAACAGCAGCAAGAGAAAGAGCAGCTGCAAGAAGAAGTACAGCAACAGCAGCAAGAGAAAGAGCACCTGCAAGAGGAAGTACAGCGAAAGCAGCAAGAGAAAGAGCACCTGCAAGAAGAAGTACAGCGAAAGCAGCAAGAGAAAGAGCACCTGCAAGAGGAAGTACAGCAACAGCAGCAAGAGAAAGAGCACCTGCAAGAAGAAGTACAGCAGCAGCAGCAAGAGAAAGAGCACCTGCAAGAAGAAGTACAGCAACAGCAGCAAGAGAAAGAGCAAGAAACGGGGGAGGGCCTTCTGGAAGGCGAGAAGGCTTCGCAGCACACCCTTAAGGTTCAGCTCTGCCCGAATCCTCGCAACATTATGGGCTTGGAGGAAGGTGGACGCAATGACAGGGGAATGCGCACCCCTTGGGTGTGCAGAGACTGTGCGCAGTGTCTGTACTGCTGCGAGCCTATCGATATGCCCCTAACTGCGGAGAGAAGTCCTGCAGCAGTTGCAGCTGCCGCTGCAGCAAGCCGCGCAGCCCCTGGTACTGCAGCAGCAGCAGCGACAGCAGCACAGGATCCTTGCTTCCAGCCTGTCTTGAACTGCCACTGCTGCAATTCCTATGCACATGGTGCCTGCTGCTACCCGAGTGTACGCATGCACTCCCAAAAGTTGGGGCCCTGCCACGGAGGCGGGCTCCTTTTTTTGTCCCCTGAGGATGCTGCTGCTGTTGTTGCTGCTGTTGCTGCTGCTGCTGCTGTTGCTGTTGGTGCTTGCTCTGCAGCTTGCTCTGCTGCTGCTGTTGCTTGCTCTCCAGCTGCCGGTCCTTTTGTGCGCGGATTTCAAATCGCACGAATGCCCGTACGACACGCCGCGAAAAAGCATCGTTTGGTGCCGGTGCTGTCGCGGCTTCCTCACGCAGCTTCGGCTGACTTCCTTCGTCTCGCGCTTCTCTCCGTTGTTGTGCTATAGGCTGGCCAGTTGCACGGCTCCTCCACTTACCGCTGCGACTCCTGCCGCCGATGCACCAGTTGCGGCTATGTGGACCTCTACTGGCCAGAATACGCTAACTGGGATCCAGCATCCTTTCTTCTCTGCGCACAGTGCGTCCTTGGGCTGTCTGGATTTGAAGACTCTGTGATTCAGCTGCATGAATTCATATGTTCGTGTCTATAATTGTATGTATTTATGTACGTGTATGTATATCTGTGCTTGTATATTTGTACGTAGATATATGGCTGTATGTATACGTATGCATGTATGCATGGGTGTATATATGTTTGTATTTATGTATATGTGGATGTGTATATATGTGCGTTTGGATGTATATATATGTATATATGTATTTATGTGTATATATTTATGTATTTATGTGTATATATCGGTATTGATCACAGAAACGCGATGTAGCAGGCTCTGACACTCGGCGGCTGGCCGAAAATGTGCCGCCGTGTGTGCGTGCGTGTGGATGCCTGTATATTATATGAATATGCATGTCTGTATATTATTTGAATAGGTATGCATTTATATTATTTGAATATGTATGTCTTTATATTATTTGAATATGTCTGTATATTATTTGAATACATATGTCTGCATATTATTTGAATATGTATGTCTGTATATCATATGAATATGTATGTCCGTACATACATATATATATGAATATGTATGTCTGTATATTATATGAATATGTATGTCTGTATATTATATGAATATGTATGTATTTATATTATGCGAATATGTGTGTCTCTATATTATATGAATGTGTATGTCTCTATATCATATGAATGTGTGTGTCTCTATATATATGAATATGTATATCTGTGTGTCTCAGTGTCTCTGTGTGTATGTGTGTGTTCTTTGTGTGGCCCCTTTTGGCGTGTCTGTGTCTTCAGCTGTCGCCGCAGCGTTGACGAGGGGCAGTTCTGTTTTATGTGTCTCAAGACGTGGGCAGCCGACGGGGCGGGTGGGGAGGACTTGAGTGCAGGAGCCGCTGGTGGGACAAGTGTGAGTGCCGTTGAGACATGGGTTCAATGCGACGGTTGCAAGGCTTGGATTCACACGCGTTGCGATCCCCGGCTTGCAAAGGGCACTCACGATCCTCAGCAGCTGAAGACAATGAAATACAGGTGGGCATGTCGCTTGCTGGCTCTGCGTGAACCCGCTGCTGCTGCGCAGAGCGGCCTTTCATGTGGCGTCAATCTGTGGCCTTTGCATCTGTGAGAAAGTCTGCAGTCTACATATGGGTGGGAGCACGTGTGCAGGGAGGGGAGAGGGGGGAGTTGCTGCTGTTTCCGTGAACGCTGAGTGGGCTTGTTAAAGGGGTATATGCTTGATTGCGGCTGAAGCGAGAGGAGGCTGCTTGCTCATTTTTTTCCGACGCAGATGCCCCTCCTGTCGGTCGCCCTCGCGTCGGCAGCGGTATGAACGGATTGTAGCGGAGTTGATGTCGCTGGATAGGAGCGGCGAGTTCTCTTTCCTGCCGGATGCAACCTACTCTTTGTACTGGCGCGTCGTGCAGAAGCCGATGTGTCTGTCCACAGTTAAGTCCCGCCTGCGCACCGGTGGCTATAGCGCCTTAGGCGACTTCCTGAAGGATCTGTCTCTCATTATACAGAATACCAAAACGCTGCACATGCCCAACACGAGACAGTACAAGGCAGCTGCTGCGTTGCAGCGCAAAGCGAACGAGCTCCTCGTGAGCGTCCTTGAGCTTCCCCATAAGGAGCCGTTGGCGCTGGTAGACGCGCAGGCAACCCCGAGCAGCAGCATTAGCAGCAGCAGCAGCAGTAGCAGCAGCAGCAGCAGCAGTAGCAGCAGTAGTAGTAGCTGTATCAACAGCACCGGGGGCAGTGCATCTGGGGAGAGCTGTTCGCGGCAGCAATCGGCGGCACAGACGCCCTCGGAAGTCTCCGCGCTGCCCGTCCTTGACGAGCAGCAGGGGGATTGCTCTCCAGCAGTTGCGGATGCGGAGCTTATACCCCTGACAGCCGACTGGAAAGCTCCCCAAAGCAAAGTCACGTCTGGCCTTCGCCGAGGGAGTGCCAAGGGCTTTACGAGGAATCGCGATGTCTCAGCAGGGGCCTCTCCTGGATCCTCTAGTGGGCAGCAGGCAGACGCAGCAGCAGAGGCTTCCGCAGTGGCACTGACCACGCACCAGCTGCTTCTTCTGAAATCTCCCGCTGCTGTTCGAGGCTTGCAGCAGCTGTTGCGACGCCTCCAGCCGCACTTCCCGTGCGGCTTTCCCCTCGCCCCCCTTTCCGCCTTGCCGCACCGCTGCCCCTCCCCCATGCTGCAGTGGCGTTTCAGCCATGAAAGTCGTCTCGAATCGAAGGGAACGCTGCTCTTGCCGCATCTAAGTCCTCCGATCTGCAGTCGAGAGCCGCCGCCTCCGCCACCTAAGGGGCTTCCGCTGTACGTGCTGCAGCTGCCTGTACACTTGGCGGGGGACGCAGCTGCGCAGTGCCTAAAGGTTCCGCAGCAACAGCAGCAGCAACAGCAGCAAGAGCAGCACCAGCACCAGCAGCATGCCATGGGCATAGTAGAAGCTCGTCGCAGCTGCACTGGGCAGCGGAAGAAGCGGAAGAAAGACGCAGAGGCACAGCAGCAGCAGCAGCAGCTCGCGATTCGGCCCTTCCATGCAGCATCGACAGCAGCAGGACTCATTATCGACACTCCTGCAACCGCGACTCCTGCTTCTGCCATAGGCGCACTGCGGATGTACAGAGGTCGCATGCCCGCTTCGGTTGCCGTGTTTCCTTTTGCAGAGGACACGTCTGCCTATCTTCAAGCTTTCCACGTTCTCTATGCAGCCTGGGCATGCGCGGGAGGGGGAGGAAGGGGACCTTCTGCCGATTCAGGCAGGGGCGTTCGCGGAGACGGCGCAGCAGCAGAGGCATGTGCTGCTGCCGCTGCAGGAGCAGCTCAGCTGTGGAGCGACTGCTGCAGCCTCTGCGGCTCCTTCGCCTATCAGCAACTGCTGCTGCACTGCCGCTGCTGCGGGGAGTCCTTTCACTCCTTTTGCTTAGGCTCTCCAGCTCCCAGAGCGTTAGACAGAAAGATGGAGGCGCTAGAGGCTCTCTCCAATGGCAGCAGCAGTCTTGCCAGCAACTGCAACTGCAACAGCAACTGCAACAGCAACTGCAACAGCGACTGCTGCAACAGAAGCAGCACAGACTTCGCGGTTGCTACTGGGGAGTGTCCAGCGTGTCTCTCGTGTGTATGCTGTGGAAGGCCGTCTCCCTGCCTCTCTCTCTGGGATTCTCGCAACATCCTGGATAAAGCAGCAGCTGCTGCCGCGAGAATGCTTCCGCAAGAACTCCAGCATCAAACTGAGCACCGCAAGCAGTGCACTCCTGGCGCTCGCAGTTCGTCTAGCACCCTTCCTGCTGCTGCTGCGACTGCTGCTGCTCCTCCCACAGCCGCAGCTGCAGATCGCATGCTGGATGTCTGCTTCTGCAGCGACTGCGGAGCTGCCGCTCACAGCCGCTGTCTCGCTAAAGTAGAGGAAGTCCTCATTACGCATGAACCTCCGCAGTCGCCTCTGCAGCAGCACAGCCTGCAACCCCTGCGCGTCTCGGAAGCGGAGCAGCAGCATCCCACGGCTGCTGCTGCTCCATCGACGGCGTGGAGGACTGCCACAGAGCAGAAGGCGCTCAAGGATCTCAAGGGAATAATACAGCCTCGGACGCGACGGCAAAGCCCGTTGTCTGCTGCCATGCCCGCTACTGCTGCTGCGCTCACCCCACAAGCGAGAGGCTTAGCAGCAGCAGGTGCTGTGTCGGATCCTTTGAACTACCAAACTCTCTCCGCTGCCGCCACACTGCGCTCCCTCCAATCGCAGCAACCGATGCGCACGCAGCAACACCTCCCGCGTGTGCTGCAGCAGCTGCCACAACATGCTGCGCTGCAGCAGCAGCAGCACGTGCAGCAGCAGCAGCCCATGCTGATGCATCAGACCTCGCAGCAACTGCAGCAGCAGCAGTTGCAACAGCTGCTGCACGAACGGATTGAGCACCTCCAACGTCAGCTAGATGGATTTTCAAAGCAGCAGCCCCAGCAACATTCTGTGCAGCCCCCCCAGCAACCGCAAGCGCTGTTGCAGCAGCAGCAGCAGCACGAATCGCAGCAACAGCTAGTCCACCTCAAGAGGGCAGTCCAGGAAGAGCAGCAGCAGCGAGAAGACCAACACCGCTGCTCCTTCGGCGTCATCGTGCAGCCGACACTTCAGACCGCAGGCAGCACACCCTATCATCATCATCAGCAGCAGCAACTGCTGCAGCAGCAGCAACAGCAGCAACAGCAGCAACTGCTGCAGCAGCAACTGCTGCAGCTGCGTCTTTCCAAGCAAATCGGGGAATCACAGACTGCAGCAGCAGGTGCTGCAGGCCTCTTTGGAGGAGCAACCTCACCTACGATGGACGCCTCTTTGGTCAGTGCAGCAGGTGCTGCTGCTGCAGTGTCAGGCCCAGCTGCAGCGCTGCATGCAGCAGCAGAAATGAGTAGCGGGGCTTTTGCATTAGGGGGTATCTCGCCGAGGAGTGCCTCTCTGACGACAGCAGCAGCTTCATCCAGTGCTGCTGCAACTGCAGCCATAGATCTGGAGGTTCCAGCACAACTCGCTGCCGTGGAGTCTCCTCCCTCGGCAACAGCACCCAAGCCGTTGAGCTTCGCTGCCGAACGAGGCGCTGCAGGAAGATCTTTTTCGGCTACTGCTGCTGCTGGAGAAGGAGGTGGTCTTGCGGAAGCTGCGAATGCAGCTGCAACAGCCCACAGTCTCCCTGAAGCGTCGTCTCCTGAAACTCCTTTGGACGTCTGTGAGCCAGGGGATGCTCAAGAGCCGGCGCAACAGCAGCAGAAACTGTCCGCTGCTCCTTTCCACCAACAGCAACTCCCGTCGATGCAGCAGCAGCAACAACAGCAGCCGAACGAGATGCAGCAGCACGTGGACCTGTTGCCGCATCAGCGCCTTTGGGCAAGTTCTTCGCAGACGCTGCATCTGCAGACTTTGCAATCGCATGCGCAGTCTTATTCGCACCAGCCGTCCGTGGTAGCGGGGTTGCCTTCTACTGGTGGGGTTGGTGGGGTGTTTGCTGGCGAACCTCAAGCGCTGAAGCAGCACTTGCTGCAACACCAGTCGGCGCTCATACGCAGAAACGAGGAGCTCATTCAAGCCTTGCAGGAGCAACGTACATACTCCGCAGCCTCTGTCGGTAGCACAGCTGCTTCTGCGGCGACTTCTACCGGCGCATCAACTGCCTTACTCCCCGCTAAATTCGCGCTTCCACAACAGCCACGCCTTTTGCCGATGCAGCAAGACACATCCTCTGCAGTTGCGGCTCTAGCAGCGGGTGCTGCACCCTCATCCCTCCTTGGCTTGAAGGGGATGCCATCTGACACTCTCTCCAGTAAGCCTCATCCGTCACAGTTTGTTCAGCAGCACTTGCTGAAGCAGCCGTTGCTGCCGCAGCACCTGATGCAGCACACCCTTGCCGGATCGTCTTCCTTGCTGCCCCAACAGATCCTGAAACAACTGACACACCCTCTGGTAGACGCTGCAGCAGCAGGAGGAGTCAGCAGAGCAGTGCCGCCTTTACAGCAGCCATCGCCACAGCAGGGCATCGTAGCCTCTCCAGTGAGTGTGCTGCCAGAGCTGGCTAGCCAGACGCGTTGCGCACCAGCAGGAGCGTTCTTACTGCAGCAGCAACAGCAGCGTCAGCAACAGCAACAGCAACAGCACCAACAGCAGCGTCAGCAACTGCACCAACAGCAGCGTCAGCAACTGCAACAACAGCAACAACTGCAACAACAGCAACAGCAACAACTGCAACAACAGCAACAGCAACAACAACAGCAACTAGTAGTGAGGACTCTTGGCTGCATTTGGCAGCGCTGCGGAAATCTGGCCGTTCTCTGTGAGGCATGTAGCAGCAGCGGTGTATTGGTGCCTCTCGCCTCGCGTGTAGCCTTGCAGCCATTGCAGCTGCGCCTTTTAGGGCTCTCAGAAGAAGCCGACAACGCTGCGTGGCATCGACGCCAGCGAGCAGCGCTGCATGCTGATCCCGATACGCCGAGTTTGACCTCCTCGGACTGCTCTCCAGTGTCTAGGGAAGTCGCTGCAACGTCTGAAGCAGCCGGAGGGGAAGGGCGAAACAGTGAGACGGCCACGAAAAACTTCAGCTGCCTCGAAGGAGACAGCAGCATCCGCAGCGTTGTGACGGTATGCGCTTTGTGTGGCTCTCTCGACAAACGTGTCCCCGCATTCAGCGGATCGGCGGAAAATTCACTCGAAAGCACAGGTTTATCATCGGGAAGCAGCAACGACTTGAGTGCACGCAAAAGGAGACGCAAAGCCCCCCTATTCGTGATGGACGGCCTTGAGGGCTTATGTGATGCATGCGCAGAGTTAGCGGATCATCCGGCTGCAGCGCGAGCTGTTGCTGATGCTGATTCGAAGACTGGGGATGCTGCTGCTACTACTGCTGCTACTACTAATGCTGCTAATGCTACCAATGCTACTACTAAAGCTACTACTAGTGCTACTACTAATGCTACTACTAATGCTACTACTGCTTTCCTCGGGATGCTTCCGCAGCATAGCGGCGTTCCTGCACTGCTTGCGCGTGCCCACGCTGCTGTATCAGTTCACGCGCAGCTGCAGTCCCTGCTGCTACAGACACTGCTCCCCCTTGTGGATCAAGGGGGGAGGAAGGGCAGCCACCCCACAGAGTCTCTGAGAAGTGCTGGCAGTGCGATGACGCGCGTCCCCCTAGCAAGATGCACACTGCAGCCGGCCGAGCTTAGATCCGCCATCGGAGATCTCGTAGATCATCTGCTGCATGCAGTCCAGTCAGACACTTCCGACGTCGATCAGCTGCATCACGGGCTGCCGCTCGAGGGGAAAAGACAGCAGAACGCCTACAAGCGTCTCTGTCTCCGCCTTTTCTCACTCCTGGAAGGCTCAGCGACGTTGCCATCTGCCCTGAACGCCTTCGTCTTGGCGTCACTACGCCGCTCGGCCCGTGCAGTCAAATTGGAGAAGGAGCCGCGAGAGGAACCAGTAGGATACCTATTATATGGGGGAACATCACCTCCTGCTGCTCTATGAGACGTCTCCATGTCTCGTAAAATGGCCTCTGGTACTGGGTATAATGGGCAGTCTGGAGGGAGGAGCACACACATGGCGTTTTTCTATACTATTTGCCTGTTGTTTCAGGAAGAGACGGAAGAAGGGGGCCTGTGGTGATGGCGATGTAATGCTCGGTGTTGTTGCGTTGCAGGTGCTCTACGCGCTGTTGAGTGCCTGCAAGGAACTCGTGCAGAACCAACAGCGGCGGCAAGGATCAGAGGCCGCTTTCACGGGTGTCGTGCAAGCTTCAGCTGCTATTTCTTCTTCTCCTTTAGCTGCTGGATCTTCTTCAGCTGTTATTTCTTCTTCTCCGTCAGCTGCCACCTCTTCTTCAGCTCTTCTTTCTTCTTCTCCTTCAGCTGCCACCTCTTCTTCAGCTCTTATTTCTTCTTCTCCTTCAGCTGCTATTTCTTCTTCTTCTCCAGCGGCTTCTGCGGTATTCGGCTGCAACGTTCGAACCTCCCTTGGAAACTGCTCTCCCTGGTCTGCAGCGTCTCGGGAGCTTCGACTCGTGCGTCGCCGCCTCTTTTACCGACTGCATCGTGCTATGTGTCGTCTGGAGAGCCTTAGCAAAGCGGGCGATGGGGTCAGCAGCTGCTGCACGGGTAGCGCTGCTTCGGCTCAGGAGGCGGTCGCCATCCCTTCGCTGCTGGTTCGTTTGCTGGCACTAAGCCTGCGGAAAAAAAGCGGCGATCCGCGCAGCTGTTTCTTGGGCGCTTGCACTTCTGCGGCGGCAGCAGCAGCAGCGGGAGATTCTCGTTTTTGCGTCTTTTGTGGAGTTAGTGGTGACAGATTAATTGCAGGCCACCTGCTGCCGCTGCTGGATTCGTGGGCACACGCAGGCTGCTGTGCATGGGGGGCCTCTTCGCATGCACCAGCAGCTGCGGTGCTCTCTCCGGAAATGCTGCAGCTCGCTGATCCTTTTGCTGGACTCCAACGCATGCGGCGGCAGCGGCAGCGGCAGCCGCAGCAAGGCATGAAGATGCAGGGCGAGATGGAGCTGTTCAGATCCCCTGTTTCGGATACACCAACAACGCATGCATCCGCATCCCCCACAACTCCCTCAGACACTGCAGGCGATGCTGCTGCTGCAGCACATCGCCGACTCCATGGAGGCAGCAAAGAAGTCGTCCGGCCTTTTGCGGCTTTACCCGAGCAGCTTCCGCCGATCGAGATCTCCGCCGATGTGCTGCTGGCAAATGCCGCAGCTGCACGTCGCAGCCGCTGCGCGGCTTGCGGCCGCAATGGGGCTTTCGTCGCATGCGCCGGCATGCAGCAAACAACAGAGGGGATTAAGCCGTGCAACACACGCTACCACTTCACCTGCTTGATTCTCGCCGCAACCGGAGAACTTCCGCAACAACACCAGATGCAGCATCAACAGCAACAACACCACATGCAGCAACAAAAGCCTGGATGTAGGTCCCGACCTCGTGTTGTATGTACACTCCGTCGATTCTGGTGCGGCAGCTGTTGTGATGAAGGGCGTTCTGCAGCGGCTGCTGTTGTTGCCGCTGCATCGCCAAGTGCTCGCTTAGGGGTAGGTGTGTTTGCCTCGTCGCCAGCAGGTGCAGCGGCTCAAACGGCTGCAATACCACTGGAGGAAGCTGCAGCGGAAGATCCTCTTTTTGTCGCACTTGAGGGAGTCGGGGGGGGGGCTGCAGCGGTTTTGCTGCGGCTGCTGCTTCAGAGTCTGCGTATCCAGCCTCCTAGCTTTGCATCGGAGGCAAACGCAGCCGCAGTTACTGCCGCAGCACTTGACGTCGACTCGCATCCTCTCGGACTGGCCTTAAGGCAGCTGCCTGCGGCGACAGCAGATGAGGCAGCTGCTACTGGCGAGACTGCTTCAGCGGCTTCAGAAGCAGTTGCCCTTCTCCAGCAGCTGATGGAAGATGCGCATGCAGCACTTCAGAATCAGTGCTCCTTCTTGTCTCCAGAGCTTCCTCCTTCTGCAGGCGGCCGCTGTGCTGCTGCTGAAGTCTTGCCATGTTTTTCCCCCGAGGCTGCATCCAGCATTCGCACGCTGCAGGGGGAGGTGCCAGAGACGCAGACAGCTAATACGGCTGTGGCGGCAGCACACACGCTGCAACAGCAACAACAGCAACAACAGCAACAGGAAAAGCAGGAAAAGCTGCAGCAGCTAGAGCTGCAGCATGCCCCCACCTCTTCGGTGCTCGTGAGATATGGAGGCCTTACCCTGATATCTCTTGGGCTACCGTTGTTGTTCGACGGAAGTCGCGATTCTTTGTTTCCCATCGGCTACTGTGCTGCCCGGCGATTCTGGAGTGTGGACGTTCCCGCCAGCGCGCACGATCCTCTGTGCAGCAAGAGCAAGAGCAAGAGCAGCATTAGTAGCAGCAGCATTGGCAGCAACAGTAGTCGGAGGCTTCGAAGGGCCACATATCTTTGCAGCATCACGGCACACAAGGAGCGTCCCTACTTCATTCTTGACTGCCTTTCCCAGCCTGCTTCTGGCCCTACCGAAGTGTTGTTGGCAGCGACATCACAAGCAGCATCAGCGCAGATCTCAGCCCCTTTGTGCTCTGCATGCCGCTTTGGATGGCGCGTTGCAGAAGGTTTCGATGTGCACCTAGTTGTTGGCACGCTGTTGAAGGAGTTGCAGCGGCAGCTGCACCCTCAGGAAAACAGCAATCTCGCTTCCTCTACGGGGGAGACTGTCGCCGGTGCATCCGCATGCACAGAGGACAGCGGGAGCAGCAGCCCGACCATGAACCCGCTGCCTCCTGTTGACAGCATCTCAAGAAACGAATTCGAACTGGAAGGCGCTAGTGCTACTCCAATAACAGCACCGCTAAAGACTGAGCAACCCTCTCACCAGCAACCCTCTCACCAGCAGCTTCCACAAAACTCCCGGCAGAGTCAGAAGCCCATTACTTTGTCAGAGGTGGACGCTGAGGCCTTCTTTGGCCTCAAATGCCCTTATGTCGTACAGCGCTTGCGAGAACTGCTGCCTCAAATCTTGGCATCGCGTGCTCTGCAGCAGCTGCGGCAACGGGCTATAAGCCGCCTTCCACCGCAGAGGTAAAGAAGGCTTGCCCTCTGCTTTATCGGAGCCGTTGATCAGCAATTCCTGAATTCTTTCTTTCTGCGCCAGCAAGGCAGAGAGCCCTTCCCCGCAGTCCTATCTTGCTGCTCTCTGGGTGTGTCCTGATGGGTGTATATATATATATATTATGTGGATGCATGCATGCGTGTGTCTACAAGTATATGCATATGTATGTGCGTGTTAATGCAAAACTTTGCAGCTGCAGCAGCACCGCTTGGTCTGCGGGCAGCGCAGCCGCGGCGAAAGCGGGAGGCGCTTTCTGCGTGCCTCGCGATCTGCAGTCCTCTGCAGTCCCCGAAGCTGCAGAGGGAGAGGAATTCTTTACTCGCGTGCATGCCAGAGACAAGGTGTGGCGCCTTCTTATAATCCTCATCTCCCCCCCTTCTTTAAGGCCATAGTCGGCAAGAGTCCACCAGCGCTGCCGCCGGCATTTTCTTGCGGCTTGCCGTTGCCTTGAGGCTCGCGCTGCAACGGCTGTCTTTAATCCCCTCGTTAATTTAAGGGGCGTCGGAGATGCAGACAGACAGACACACACACACATGCACATGCACATGCACATGCACACATACATACATACATACATACATGCATACACCTTTGAGGGTTTGTTTGTTGGATTTCTGTGAGACTTTTTTACGACGTACTCGTGCGCTTTATGTGCCTACACCGGTCTTCATCTTCTTATTCTCCTTCTCCAAATGTTTCTGCCACTCCTGCTGCTCCAATGCGTGCTGCTGCTGGTGATTCTGCTGCTTCAGGCCGACGCCGCAGATACAGTAGCGTCCTTGGCGGTGATGGGGAGTGGAGGATCACGGCAGTCCTCTGGACGGCTGCGTACCCAAGGAAAAAGGGGATTCGATGCACTTTCTCCCGCAGCGCTTTACCGGATGCTGCAGAGTGGTAACCAGGAGGTATGCAGGCCTCCAGTCGCGGGAGCGCCCTTGTTTCCAGTGCATCAGGAGCAGCTGCCTGTGTGCATGCACACAGGCAGCTGCTCCTGATGCACTGGAAAAAACGCCGTGCCTTTAAGTGGAATCTACGCTTTTGTCGTCTAGCCTACGTGTGTGCATTCCACTGCATACGTGCTGCATTGGTTGCCTTTTTTGTTTTGTCTTTGTGCGCAGGAACGTTTGGCGGTGTTGCCTTCAAAGATTCATGGCTTAGGGCTCTTCACGCTGGTTCCTATTGCACAGGGGCAGGTTCGTTGCTTTTAGAGATGCTTGCTACCACCCTCTGTAATTATGTATGCTTCTTGTTGCGGCCTTGTGCCTGTCCAACAGCCGCGGTTGGGGTTCGCTTCTTCGTCCGTCTGTAGACTTGTCTCTATCCCCTGTGTGCCTCGTGGGTAGGTGTTCACGTTGGCTTGTGTCAACATGTCTTTGTTTGGCGTCTACCCATACGCTGTTTTTTGTAAATTTTTTCGTATCGGGCTTGCCAGCGCAGCATCTCCCGGCTGTGGGGCCCTTTGGTTTTTCACGCGGTATTTTTCGTCCTTGTGCCTTTGGACTGCCTTCTCGAGTGTCGGCAGCTGCATGCTGCGCAGCTGTGGGGCCCCTTGCGTGCGTGTTTGTGAACGCGTACAGACGCGCCGACTTGCGGTTTGACCTCATGTTGATGCATGCTTTGTCGCGACACACTGCAGCTCCTCTCATGCTTGCGGTGCTATGCAGTGCCTTTGAGCGAGCGCCTGCCGCATCGTGTGCCTGCTCCGCGTCCTTGTTGTCTTGCTCTTTATCGGGGCATGTGTGGCGTTTGTTCGGCTTGCATAGGACTGTGGCTGCTGCTGCTGCTACTGCTGTGTCGCTGCTGCAGCCGGTGGTAGAGTACGTGGGTGCAGTGATCCGCAACGTGGTGAGCGACAAGCGGGAAGTATTGTATGAAATGCAAAGAGGTGGCGATGGCTCCTGCTACATGTTTCGACTAGATGACGCCTTCGTCGTGGACGCAACTCGCAGAGGAAATGTTTCGCGTTTCATCAATCATTCTTGCGCGGTAAGCGTGTGGAGCAGCTTCCAGCACGGAGACTGTGGAAGTAGCTTGCGCGCGGGAGGGGTGGAGGGGGTGACGGCTTTAAATAGGACAGGAAAAACTTGTCTCCGTGTGTGTGCGCACTTTGATTGTCTATCTAGATGTGTATGTGAATATGGTGGGTTGCGTTATAATAAGAGCCATGGTGTGGTAGAAGAGAGAGAGACAGGGAGAGAGAGAGAGAGAGAACCACAGTTGTAGTAGTAGTACTAGTAGTTGCTGCAGTTGTAGGCGCCCTACAGAGGGGTAAGCGACAGAAAAGCATGCAGAGCACGTGGAGAGAGACGGCCTTTTGTGCGCATTTTCATGAGATGTGGGCCATTGGGAATAATTGTCTCTGTATGTTGTAGATAGCCTGTGTTGTGTACGGCGTATCTGTGTATTTGTCTGTGTCTGTGTTTGTTTGTTTCCGTCCGTGTTGACCCCTTGCATCCGCCTGCCCGTCATGCAAAACCATCATAAAGCATGCTTCTCGTGCGGCTATGCGCGTGTTTTGCTGCTGTTTTTCATGCAGCCCAACTGCACGTGCCGCATAGTCGTCTGCGAAGCGGGTCTGAAACACATCCTCATCATTGCCAAGGAGGATGTTCCCGCTGGGGCGGAGGTGACTTACGATTACCAGTTTGGCATTGAGGCTGAAGGCGACAAGCTTGTTTGTCTCTGCGGAGCGCCGGGTTGCCTGGGCAGAATGAATTAGAAGCCGCATCTGCACTCGCTCGCGATAACAGGGGAAGCGCCTCCTTTCTCGGGTAGCTGCTGCACGGGAAGCGCATCACCCGCATGAGTTCGCCGAAGGGGCGCTAACACCTCCGCGTGGCTTTTTAAAGTGCAAATATATATATGTATACTTAGAAAGTTCACGGCGGCGATTTTTCTGGTGCAGCCTGCGGATTGCATGTCAGGTTGCTAGTCCGGTTACAGTAGCGTGCAGAATTCGTGAGTCTGCTACATGCCCACCACAGCGCATGCCCTGTTGCCGCTTCAGGGAGGCAGGCACGCCGCAATGGCAGCTACGAATAAACGTGGCGTCACTCGAGTTCTTCCCACGTTAGGGTTACGCGCGCAGAGTGCTGCCCCTCTGGGGGAATATGCCCTGCCTGTCTCGTTTTGCAGCTTTGTCCCTATCTGCAGCGATTGCCTCGTGTGCGGCGTGTTTGCGACAAGGGGGGACGGGAAGGGTGAGGATAACATCCTCCCACATGCAACCCCCACCTTGACTAATCTCTAGAGAATTCACGGAACTCTGAAACGGCCATGAAACAGGCCAGCATGTCTCTCTGACTTGCAACGCTACGGCAGAGGCATGAACCCTAGGGAGAGAGACAGTAGATCCTACAGCGTGGACCATGATGCGGGGTGGCGACTGCTACTGCTGCTGCCCTCAAATCGTGAGCGTAAATCAGACGAAAAGGAGGGAAACGGAGGGAGGAGGATGCGTGAGGGTGCACCCCTTGCAGGGGCACGGCGCATAATCTTGTGTGACGCTCTTCTCAATGTCTCGGCAGAAACACACTTTGCCATAGAAGTCTATGAAAACTTGACGGGAGATCATTCAGAGGTTCTCAAAGGACCTTGCTTTCTCCCCTTCCTCCTGCCCACGCCTTCCAGAACCTCCATAGGGGGGTGGAGAGAAAGAGGGGGGCTGCACGTAGCTACAGCCTCGAAAAGCACCCCGAGCATTTACAGCGGGTTGCACATTGATTGCACTTCTCACGCGCATGCCCACGACAGTTCGTCTTAAATTTATTCGGATATACGATGATGCATAAGCAGCGAAATACATCAGGACTTTACTAATTTCTTGTTGATTCGAACTCGTCGTAGAGTAACCAGTGTCAGCCTGGAGCCTAGCCCGGTAAAATCCGAATACCTCATAGCTCCATAAGATCCTAATACCTCATAGCCAGATAAAATCCTAATACCTCATAGCCAGATAAAATCCGAATACTTCATAGCTCCATAAGATCCTAATATCTCAGCCAGATAAAATCCCAATACCTCGTAGCCAGATAAAATCCTAATACCCCGTAGCCAGATAAAATCCTAATGCCTCGTAGCCAGATAAAATCCTAATACCCCGTAGCCAGATAAAATCCTAATACCTCAGGGCAACGAGCGCTGGGCATTGCTCCTTTTGTGCGGTACGAGTGCAACAATTAGACAGGCTCAAGGCAATATTGTAGAGAGAGTAGCAAGGCCGACCCTATTACAGATCGCCTCCTGAGTCGTCTTAGCTGTTGAACTGCTCAGCTACGCATGCAAAATAACGGCAGCAGCCAACATACACCGTGCCGTCTTGGACCCATAGACGAAACAGATATTCCACAGCTGTAAAGAAATCTCATATCAACCCCTATTTTGGGGAACTAAGGCAATATTAGCAGCACCGTTGCGCAACGGTGTTCTGATGTAGAGGCAGAAAATGCACAACTGCACAGCAACAGTCGTCGCGCCGAACGCAGCATTGTACATCGAGTGATGCACGGGAGACTCACACATCCTCTATTGGGAGACCATATTGCCCAATTGTCCACTGATTCATCACACGCTGGTGAAGATGCAGCGCGAAAAAGCTGGCTGCGCTTAATATTTTGATATGGCACTCTTAGGGGGAGTTGCTACGCGACTCAAAGCCATCCACGAATATACTCCCATGTGTGGATGCTTGCATGCATGCACGATCTCACAAACATACGCAGGCAAACACAACAGACCCGCTGTTTTTCTGGTCCTGCAAAGACGATCGCTAATCGCCTTCGGCGAAGGAGTGCCAGCACATTCGGCGGCACTAAAAGGTGCTACGAGTCCAACAGGAATTTCTCGAAATCCTGCAGATACAGCAGAAAACCAAAGCAAAACGCCTTTGCCTGCTAGCACTCCGCAGACGTGCACCCGCAAGAAGACACTCTCGAAATGCGATAGAGGACCGCTTATTACGGGGCAATCGCAGAAAAAGCGAGAAGACTCCCGCATGCTAGGTCGAAGAGTCCTCTATAGACACCACCTATTCCTCCCTATATAACATCCTTACCTGAAGTGTGACAAGACCATCTCCATCGATATCTCCAGCGCTAAGAATGGCTTTTAGCTGCATATCTGCATGAACACACACACACACACCTCAAAAAACAGGCAATTATCGCTGCGCCTTCCTACACGCGACGGCAGCCGCATCTAAGGAACGGGAGACCCCTTCGCCTTCTAGCAGGCTGCGAGAAACACCTCACACAACGCACCAAGAGCTTCCGAATCCGCCTCGAAGCTGTCGGCTTTCTTAATGCATGACTTAAGATCAGCAAGACTCAGCACGCCGTCTCCTGAACGGTCCAACAAGCGGAATGCCGCCCTGTAGTCCACAGAACACACGCCAAAGAGAGAAATACACGCTTCCGTGCGATCACAAAAACTGGAGGTGCCATAATTACCAGACACGCGGGACGCACTTATCCAACGCACATGCAGCCTGCGGTTGCTTATTTTGCCGCTAAACTGAGCAGCAAGCACTGCGCGGAAAGACGCGTGGATATGCTGCTACACTGCAGTGAAGGGCACAGATGCGTGGCAGGCAGCAGCACAGCGAGAGACACCAGGAGACCGGCCTCATGAAGAAGCGCAGTAGCATCCGAGTCTGCACATGCGTGAACGGGTTCTTCTAGCCTGGAAAAAGGCATTATGCACGGTAGAAATAGGCACACGCACAGACAGAGTAAGGGCTCGAGCCTCGAATGCATGCAAATGTGCGGCCTACTTGCGCAGCGACGGCTGTGACGCCAGAAGAGAGGCATCGAGCGTGGCAGCGAGAAATTCGGAAAGTTCGATTGCCCCGCTACCGTCACAATCAATTTCGCCGGCAATGACGTGGAGCTCGAAGTGCAGCATGAGCCACCGCGACACCCAAGGAAACGTGCATTCCTTCATTTTTTTGTCTGGGCTTAGCGACTTGTCTAGCTCGATCTGCTGTTTCCCCCAGCCAGCCTGGGCGCCAGGCATCAGCGCCGCGGCTGCGTTCTCCTCGGCGTGCTGCTCATCCTCAGGCAAGCACAGCTGTCTGTGAATGCCTGCCAGCAGCAGCAAGGAAAGCATTCCATCTGCGAAGTCCTTATAGGAAAGAAGGCCGTCTCCATCTTGGTCAAGAGAGAGAAAAAGCAATTGCAGCAGCCGCCTTTCCCTGAGCAGCTCTTCCCCTGCCTCGCTACGTCCTGTCCGCATCCGCATGCCGCTACTTGCCCTAGTGCTGCTGCAGGTATTGCTGTACACCGACATGCAGGGACTGGAGTGCAACAGACGCATGGAGCAAGCACATGGCTCTCCGAGAGGCAGCGTTTCTTCGTGTTGCTGGTGGTGCGGATGCTGCTTGTGTCGCATATCCGTGGCACTTGACGAGGTGACAGAGTGCTGCTGCATTTCCTTGGGCAGCAGGTGCCCCCTGCTGAGCTGCTCCATGCTTTCGGCCTTATGACTGCGCGTCTGTTGCTCCTGCAGCTGCTCCTGCTGGATCCCAACACCGTACGGATCCGTACCGTGAAATGCAGCCGAATGGCAAATGCAGCAACAGGACACTAGCGGCCTCGCCCCTTTGCAGCAGCAACAAGCTCCATCATCCCTTGTCGCTGAATTGCCAGACAGGCTGCATCGACAGCCTCTGCTATCGTCGAAGCGTCCACCCAAAGACTCGCGACACACGTGAGCATGGTGCCACAGCTGCTGACTGACACTAGTGGAAGGCGTCGGAGAGGCGCTTCCTCTAGCAGCAACGGCTAAAGCCAACAAGGCCTGCCGTCGCAACAGCGATCCCTGCGTTGCCGCACGTAGGCGGCGGAGCAACTCCCCAGCCGCAGCCGTATAATGCAACAGATGCAGTTCTTGCTGACCTAAAGCACAAATGAAATCGTCGTGCATCGACGATTCCATGAGCCCCCCTTGAGCCTGTTCATCGGCAGCCAAACATGACCTCGAACCCAAAGAGTCCACGCCGTTCCGATCTCCCACATTGTTGCTGCCAGTGTCAGTACACGTCCAGGCAGCCGATACGGCCTGAAGCTGAAGCAAAGCCATAGCGACACGCCTCGGGATGTGTAGGTGTGGCTCTCGCTGCCGGGGGGGGGGAGGGGCATCTGCGTCGCGAAAGTCACCCCACGAATCGAGCTGTTCCCGAAACTTTTGTTGACCTTCATGCTCGAGATACTCTCCAGATGCAGGGGAGGCACAAGGCTGTGCTGTAACTCCGTCCAAAGCCTCACGCGGCAGGCAAGGCCTCTCGGGAAAGGCAGCAGGAGCTGCTGCCGCGTCTGCGTGGACTGCCACTGCTGCAGCTGCAGGCGCAGCAGCATTTGCTGCTGCTACTGCTGTGTTTGCCAGATGAGGATGAGGCGCAGCAGTATTTGCTGCTGCTACTGCTGCGTTTGCCAGATGAGGATGAGGCGCAGCAGCCTTGGCCGTTGTCGCTGCAGCGGTGGCAGCCGCAGCTGCAGCGCCAATGCGATCCAATGTGGACGGCATCACAGCAGGCGGGGTACACCAGACAAGCGGAGAGATCTGAGTTTCTGGTTTCATGAGGCCTTGCCCTTGGCGTCCTGCTTCGGATGGCGCTTGCCTCAGACTGCTGCCCTGCCTACTGCTTGCCATGCTGCTGCTTCTGCTGCCGTTTAAACGACTGCCTGATGAGCAAGCGGACTCCAGAAGCGCCTGGCTGGTTCGCCTGTGCCGTCGCTGCCGCTGCAAGAGAGACGGATACTGATCGCTGTGGCTAGTAGCCCCCCCCCTGCTGAAACTGCCTAGTCCGCGGCATGTCTGGCAGCCGCTGTAGCTGCATTCCTCCCTGCATGAGCTAAAGCCGCCGCCTGTAGGGTGAAAGAGGCTTCCAGCATTGAAGGCACTCCCTTCCGTCTCAGATCCTGGCATCCGCGGGAGGGATATCGACAGGACGGTTTCCTCCAATCGGTTGCTGCCAGTGTAGCTAGCGCCGCCAAGACCTTCGCCGCTGCCAACGTAGCAGCACCCTAAAGAGCAGCACTGTGTAGGCTGATCGTTCGAGCACCAGCACAAGTACGTGCATCTGTCGCTCAAGAACATGAGACGCCTATGGGCGTGGACACTGACTGGCTGCTGCTGCTGCGATGGCAGCGGCGCGTCATGAAGCTCGTCTGAAACTTCTTCGTCTTTTCGCTTCTCAGCTCCTGCCTCCCCAGCAGCTCCTGCTGTCTCCCCTTCCCAAGGCCAAGGAGGGAGGCTACAAGTGCTCGCTTGCTGGAAAGGCAGCGACGCCACACACGCACTAACCTCGGCAGCCGTCGGCGCGCTCGCAAGGGCAGCGGCGGCAGCTGCTGCTACCTTCCCGATACTGCAGAAGCCGTTTTTTTCCAGCAGCCGCTCAGAGGCAGCAGCGGGCAAGGGGGATGCAGCAGCCCCTTGCGTCCTACTGCCTCCCTCCGCCGCAGCCGCCAGCGGATTAAACGGAACGATCACCAGGGGAGCTCTGTTGGAGGCATTCAGGCTACTTGGACTCGGAGCAGTCTCTGCACTGCGCAGCGTGAAAACGCTCTCCCCCGGGGAAATTGCTCGCGCTGCATGCATATCCAGTTGAGCGGCTGCTGCTGCAGTCAGTGCTGATGTCGCCGCAGCAACAAAATACGCCTTGGAGGCGAAAGACGGCAGTCCGTGGCAGCGACACCGGTACCGACTCGTAGAAGGGAAGGCCCTTGAATGCTCCGAGGCACCCTCTTGGATGGGAGACAAACTCATCGCGCTGCTACTACCGCACACTGCCGCTGCGGCAACAGAGAGATCCTCATCCTCTCCCATAGGGGCTGTCGCAGCTGCTGGAATTGGCAAATGCAACGGCAACACACTGCTGAAGAAGCTGCTGCCCAAGGCCTCCCCGACGAGAAGCCTCCACGCAGGATCTGGCTCCAATAGCGCAACAACCAGTTCTACCGTTTCAACGGAAATTTCCTTCCATACAGGATGTCTAAAGTGAAGCTGCCCCTCCAAAACCTGTAGCAGCAACAGAAAAAAAGCGCAAACACGCCGAGAAATGAACGAACAACCACCCCCGTCTCCCCCAGAGCCCGCACACGTTCACATACACACACATACACACAGACGTACACACATACACATACACACACATACACGTACACACACATACACATACACACACATACACATACACATGCACACACATACACAAACATACACATACGTACACACACCCTCCGCGCGGCCCTCTCCCGCCAACTATACTTCAAGAGCATCCCCATTACCCCCGCGTAGCGACAAATAGCAGGAACAAACACACACGCAAGCCCTCATTCTTACATTGTAGGCGATGGCATTATCGTCAGGCCCATCAAAGGGCAGCTCCCCGCAGAGCAGAAGATACAGCATCACGCCACAACTCCAAGCGTCAGCGCGTTCCCCATCATATCCTGTACGCCGCTGCTGCTCTTCTTGCTGCAGTTGCTGAAGCGTATCCTCCTTCTCTTGCTCCTGCAGCTCCTCCTGCTGCGACCCTTGCCGCCACTTCCCCTGCTTCAGCGCACGGCTCTGCTCTACTAAGTCCGAGGAGAGCCGCAAAACTTCAGGAGCCGCGAAGCACACCGTACCCGCAATAGAGTGGAGCATTAACTTGGCATCTTCTTCTCTCAGCTGCTGCTGCTGCTCAGCTGGATTCAGAGGCTGTCCAACGCTACTACGGCCGCTACCCTCTGTTGTGCCGTTACACGCAGTGGCGTTGCTGTATGCCTCTCCTTGCGAGCGACTCGCAGCAGCAAGCGGCCGCTTCGAAGCAGCATCCAGCGGGGCAGCAGCTGGTGATCTATCAGCTGCTTCAGCGGCAGCTGCTGCCTCCACAAAGGCAAGCAAAGGGTCTTTATTATGGGTTACGTCCAGACGCCTCCTGAACCGCCTAGCCAACCCGAAGTCTGCGAGCTTTAGTGTGAGGCTCCCTGGCTCGGCAAAGAGAAAGTTCTCTGGCTTTATGTCCCTGTAGCATCAGGAAGCGCATGACTGGTGGATAGATGGATATATATAGGCATGAAGCACCAGCCATCGAAAAAGGCTCAGCACGAACAACACACGCACAGTACCAGCAAAAGGCACACCCCCCATATGCTACTCGAGAAGCGGCAGAAAATCATACAAAGCAGCAGCAACGCCAGCGACGAACAGCGCAACAGCAGGAGCTGCTGCAGAGGTCATCGCCAAATATGTTGCCCCCACCTGTGGCAGATGCCATGCTTGTGGCAGCAGTGGGCAGCCGAAAGAATCTGATACATGATGAGGGCCGCTTCTTGGCGCGTATACCGGGGATGAGGAAAATCTCCATAACGACACAGACGCTCCCTACACACACCCTGCGTGGCGAGTTCTTCAAATAGTTCGCCTCCCCGACACAATTCCATCACCTGCCCTCGCGGCAACAAAAACACACAACATGCAGTAGCAGCACATATGGACACATGTAGACGCATCTAGATACACAAATGGACTCCTGCATCCACGTTTACATCTATCTATAAATATATATATATATACATGCGCATACATATATATATATATATATATGCGCACATACACACACAAGTACACAGCCGCATGTTTGCCAAGAGTCTGTTGCAATAGATGGCGAAAGCCTTCTTGAAAGAAGCGGGGCAGACCATGTCGGGCAGGAAGAACTTGTGTGAGAACGGAGGAAAAAGATGGCGTATACGGCGGCCAGAAGCAAGAAAGCAGTGTGCATGTGGCTCTTAATGTAACGATCATAGGCAGATCACGCAGCGCACAGGCATGCGGGGTGACTCAGTACGGCATTGCGTGAAGGCAATGTGTGGTGCTAAGATCTTACCACGAAAAAGTAGGCCGTGTCATCAAAACAATCAAAGACCTTGACGATGTTCGGATGATCCATCTCCCTCATCAGCGCTACCTCCTGCCGAGCCATGGCCACTGCATGCGGTGTACTGCAGCAACCACACCAGCACTGCAGGGGATCAGGCGATTGCACCGAAAAGGCACTTCAGACAGAACCGATATCGCGGCAACGCAGGCGCTTTCCTTTGGGATCGACAGCTATGTACCTCTTCGGTATCCTCTTTACGGCACGCTGAAGGCCAGACAGTCTCTCAACAGCCACAAACACTTCCCCCCAAGACCCTGCACCAATCCGCTGTTTGAGGACATAGTGCTGGAATATCTTACAAGAGGAACCCGTCATCTGTGAGGTTTTCTCAACAACAACAACAACACACACACACACACGGCGCGAGCATATCCATACCCTGCTGAGGGTTGCAACGGGTTCAACAAGACACTAAGAACCTGCCACACACGACTGCATGATGCACTGCCCATAGAAGCGGACTTTGCCGTTCTCTTTCGCAAGAGGATTCAGCCTGACTGCCTTCAGCGGAAACTTAGGCGTGCACGAGAGCACCACCCGCGGCTATACAGCTAGCTCGCACCGCATCACCTCACCCCAGCCTCGAGATTGAACTCCGAGTGCAGTCCTTTGCAGCTCAGGATTGCCCGAAGGGGGTATGTAGTCGCCGCGATGTGACCCTCGTGAGATGCACCATACAAACGCTGCAGCTCCACTGCAGACATGTTCCCAGACCGAGTCAACTTGATTCCATCGGTTGATATGGATGTTGCCGTTGCGAATGGTGCTGCTGAGGCTTCTTCCTCTGGTCTTGCTGTTATTTCCCCTTGTCCTGGTGGTAATGATGCTGCTGCTACTTCTTCTGCTGGCTTCGCTGCTGCTACTTCTTCTGCTGGTTTTGCTGCTGATGATGATGGTGCTTTTGCTGCTGACGATGATGGTGCTTTTGCTGCTGACGATGATGGTGTTTTTGCTGCTGATGATGTTGCTGCTTCTTCTGAATTTGCTACCATTGTGGCTACGTCCGCAGACGTGCGAACAGAGATTGCCGTTACATTGCACTGCCAGCCTTGATCGGCAACAGCCTCCGCTCGAAAAGATGCATTGTACTCATTGAACTCTTTGCCACCAGCAACGCCCCCCTCCGGATTTTCGAGAGAGGGGCCTACGCACTTCGCCGTGTGCGCCATACACTTCAGCGCAATATAAAAAGCACTGTTCTTGCCTCAGTAGGTGCTGCTGCTCGGGTGTACAGACGCCAGCGCGACCAAAGTGCCCTCGGTTGATACCCCGTTGGGTGACGGAGGGTTCGAAACCAGAGGCGTTTGCCTGGTCGCGGCGAAGACGGAAAATGAAGTAAAAAGTGAGGCCTACAAAAACGAAAATTAGCCTATCTCATTGGGAATGCCCGCTTGGCGCAGAAACTGCAAGGCACTGAGGCGCTGAGTGAAGAAGTCTCACCAAATATTGGAATACGCGATACAAAGAGATTGGTAAGGGACATGCAGGGAGCTCCAAGAAACGCAACTCAGTTGCTGTGTCACCTCACTGCTCGTTATTGCGTCCCAGGCCTGCTTATGCAGGGAGGAGCCTCGTAAAACAGAGTTACTTGACGGCAAGTGTTGCCACTGCCTCGGATACGCCGAAGCACAGAGCCGCTGCTGCTCTTGCCAGTTGTCAGCTTCCTTGATGCGCCAGTCAAGTCCGCGAAACAAAAAGACAGCAATATGCCAAGAAGCTCAGAAAGTTAACTCGCATGCCGAAGGAAATCAGTTGTCGTCTCCTCTAGATATGGTTTGACCTGCTGCTCAGGGCGCTGCTCCCACTTTAGGCGTTAAATAAAACGCGTATGATTGAACCTATCGAGTAATGGACAATAGTGGGCTTCAGCACAGGAGTAAGGAGAAAACTGCGAGCATAGGACTCTGGCAGAGAACAAAAAGTCTCCCCAATGGGTGCGACTGCACGTGCTGCCGTTTGCCGCGAATACCTGAAAAAGACAAAAATCTCCTCTTCAATGAAAGAATTAGTATAGGTAACTATTAGAAAGGGCAATTCTAGGAAAAAGCAAGTATAGCTTAATAAAATAAGGGCTCTGCACTTGATCTCATGCCTACGGTCCAACCGCCTGTGCGCATAGGGCCCACGCGGCCTCTGGTATTACAGGGACGCACTCCTCTACTAGAAAACACAAAATAAAAGTGCGCCTCAAAGCGAGTTTTACGTTCAACGGATGGTCTTGCATAATATTATGTTAATGATGTGGGCTCAGCATATGCGTGAACGCTGCTTTTGTCTTGGCATAAGAATGTCCGCTGGACTTATGTGAAAGCCCCCGGAACGCATTCCGGGGTACTTGCTGCTCATTCGGCTGATGCAACTGTTATAGAAGAAGCAAAATCTCAGTAGGTCTGTGACTTTCCACATCAGTGGGAAATGAGATGGAAGATCCCCGCGTGTTTTACGCCAGTAGGCGTGTCAGCTACATGTTCCAGGTCCATGGGCGCTCACTGAATCGCCTCCCAGAACATTTAAAGGCACAGTGTACAAAACGGTTCATTAGTATTCATGTACGCAAGGGTAATCTAGTAGGTTTCACTTGGTTTTACCCCTCAGATTTTAGCCATGATTGCTCACTACTCGAAAGGGAAAAGAACAGTGCTCATCAGCTCGTGATCTAAGCACCCACACAGCCTCAGCCAAAATCAAGCAAGACAATAGCAGTACTACCTTCCAAGCTCTAAAGAATTTCTCTTCATCCCTCTGCTGAGTACCAGCCCAACCTGCAATTGAAACCTGTAAAACGGATCCCAGACGCCTCCAAAGCACAGAATATACACATTTCCCACATTTTTTGGGAGCGTAGAAACCAGTCCGATCGCATTGAAGGTCCCTTTGTCGCGGGCCGCTTTCTGTAAGGAACAGCAGGCTTAGCTACACTCAGACAATCTTCACCACATTCCTAATTTTTAACTACGAAAACAAGGCATTGCCTAATCGGTTTGATTGCTCGTACTTTTAATTTCTTACACAGCCCTCTTTACTCAATGCGGAAAGACGCAATGCTGCGAGTGCTCGACGTTATGTACAACTAGGTACAAATCCTTGCAGTGCTTAGAGAAGGCAATTGCCCCAACCTTTAGAGTCTTCATTTGGGGAACTTTGAAGAGAGCGGAAAGGGAAAGAAGAAAGTTTTAACGCGAACCACCCAGAAAAAATCCTTGCTAAGTGCGCCTTGATTCTGGAGTGAAGGGTATCTTTAAGGTGACAATAGATTGAATGTCACTGTTGGTTGCACCGGAAGGTACGATGCAGCACTTCCTCCTTGATCCAAAGGATGTGGATACTGTAGGATATCAGGTTTCGTTATAGGTTTTGTCTACTTTGTATAAAACTATTTGGTGTTCCAGTCATCCGGCCTTACTGGCAGCATTCTGGGGAAGACGGTGTAAACGTAATTTGATGGTGGCACAACACCCACTGAGAAAGCACAGGCTAGCCTACAAGCTGATATGAACGCAGTAGCTATACAGCCGGCGGAAACGCATGATTTCTCAGCTGCTCATTTAATTAGGGGTGTACTGACAAGGTTGTGTCGACCAGGATAGCATGATGGCCTAAGCAAGTTCTCTATGAGTTACTCAGCCGGTTGGAGGGGTACCTTGCTTTGGTATAGTGCTTGATAAAAAGAGAGGCGCTTCAGCGAGGGCTCTATCTATGTTAATGAAGTAATCTACCTGCAGAGATTGGTAGAGTTCAAGCCTTCATAGAAGCCCTGGTTTATTGGCTTATGCCAAGATCAGCCTAGCCACGGGCCTCCAGGAAGCTGAAAATCGCGAAGCAGATGACCCTACCAGTAGATTGATATACCAAGAAATATAAGCCTTGGGATTGCAAAAGCCATATCGCAGGCGAATAGCTGCTTTACCATTGGTGTTTCTCAGGTCTGCTCAAAGGGTAGCGTCAGATGGTAGCAGGGTGAGCAGCCACTCGGCAACTCAACCAGCGACGAGTGGGGCACCCACAAAGTATGGACAAGCTGAGGCTTCAGGGGCAAAAACACGGAATACATGTGTCTTAAGCTCAACAGAAAGAGTCAAGTCAAGGTGTAGAACCCATGATGTCGGAGCTTTTCAGCCTGCTGTAGGCGGCAGTCTAAGGAGGACAAGTAAGGAGAGCCAGAGGGAATTTGAATTAATAAGCAGCTGCAAAAAGGCTCACAACAACGCACGAGCTTCTGTTATTGGAAAGTGGGTGGCATAAATTGGAAGTGCAAGCGCACGCAAAAAGCTACCGAACGTGGACGACGGGAGTGGATCCAGAAGAAGACGGCTGCTTGGAGAGCCAAGACGACAACTCGGTGAACCGAAAACCCCGCCACGCAGGCTGCAGCTAAGTGAAGGAGGCTACACAGAAGGGACTTGCAATGGGGGCTTACCACAGGTCATTTCTGTGCTGATACAAGCTCACTTTGAGGATAGAAGACTGCCAGTATTACTTGGCACCGCAGGTGAAGTGGGGCTGGTGTCCGAGGAAACGGCACGCGAAAGTGCAGTCTGCATGTAACGCCCACCCTTGCATGCTGGCGGCATAACTCAAGGTCTGGCAAGGATGTGCAAGCTATTGGTGCACCAAAGTAAACCTGGGTTGTATCGAAATCGTGCGCAGCTTTTGAGGATGTTCCGATTTACCAATGGAAGGCGTGCATGCGGTCACAGCTGCGCGCTGTGAAGCCAATTGTGCTAGGGAGCGCTAGGGGAAGGCAGCTTTTGGCTCCCTTAACATAGCGCATTTCATTTCTCATGGGCTGGCTACAGATGGAAACCCAGCGATGCATGCAGAGTCTTCATGCTACCTGCTCAGCACTGCAGTAAGAGTTGACGGTTCTGAGCTTGCAGTCCACCTCAGCGGCTGTGAACTAGTTCTTGATCAGACAATCGAACTGCACTTTAAGCCGAAGAACCGCAGAAATGGGCAATCGTCGATGGAAAGCTCGCTATAGGGCTAATAATGTTGAGCTGCTAGTAGTGTGGCCACCTGCTAGTCGTCCAGCACATCGCATTGAACTACTCCACAGGTCAGCTCCCAAGCAATGCTCCCCAATTTTCACAGCTCGAAGAGGAGATTGATTAGCTGGCGGGTGATTTGTGAAATGGTAAAATGGGGGAATCGTTTAGCGACTGTGGAAATCACCCTCTATTGCTACCCTTTGCAAAACTGAAGTGGCGCATATGCGTTGAATTTGAATGCCTCAATAAGATAACCATGGAGCACAACCCCTCGTTGCCGCGTGTTGGCGAATTATTTGAGCGCACACAAGCTTCTACTCGACTTGTGAGGACAACACGAGGCATGCTCTACCTGATGCTTTTGTGCCCCCCTTGTAACAATTCATGAAGATATATAAGCCTTTTCCCTGCAATCGCTAGAGAAGCTTGCTTAACTGGCCCTACGGGAAACAGGCCGGGCTAGCCGCTTCTTGCTGAAGCTGCCTTAGGTGGGGAAAGCTGCACGGGTTGATGCGTCAACAAGTTTAGCTTCCGGACCAAAAGGAGCAGCTTCCCGCCGTTCGACACGCGGCATCGATCCGAGACAAGCAGAGATCTGGGATAATTCAAACGCTTTTAAGGCTCAAGACAATTTCTCACGGTTTTTTTTTTCTGGTGGTACTAGGAGTAGAGAGCTTTAATTGAGGAAACGAAGTGCATAGGAAAGACCGGCTGCAGGCGTCATGCTAGGAGGCCCGCTTAATGAGCATTGGCCTACCGACTATGGCATTGTGCAACAAGATTCTCTCTCTCTATGGAAGCTGGAGCACACAGGTGCCTCTGCATACAAATACCAAAGAGTTCACACCACAAGCCATAGATAGGCCACTAATACAAGGACAACTACTCCCTTTCCCATATGATCCATACAAGTTCAGCATATTTGTCTTTGATCCAGAAAGGTAGGGGAGGGAGGTGTTGTTGGCGTGGGGTTGGACCGCCGGCGCATGCGCCGTAGGATAGCTGCACGGAAGGTGATTCTGCTGGGCGTAGGGTACCCTGGTGGTACTTTTTGATCATTATTTCATTTGTCTATATTTGCAAGTGATTATTTTTAAGCTTTAAAGACCTGGAATTTCTCCCTTTCCTACAGGTTGCAACCCTTTGTTGCAGCAACACAAACCCCACCACTCGACGACCCCCAACACTTTGTTGGCGCAGCTCTATATAGGTAGCTGCCCCCGACATCATTGATTGAGCAGGTGTAGCGTCTCTCTACGAACACGCCAGTAGGGCGTCACTGCAGAAGTAGCATCACCAGGAGCAACAGCTGCAGCGTCACCAACAGCCGCAATGGCGCTGCCGCTGCAGCCTGCCTGGCGGGAGCCCGCCAAGCGACAGCTGCCCTCCTCAGCCTCTGGGCAGCTTTTAGAGGAGGCAGGCACTCTATTTGCCTCCCCGCCAAAAGCGAAAGCTCGCCGTCTTGAAGGTCCAACAAGGACACCCCGTATATCTCCCCCCAGCACTGCAGCAGTATCAGCCACAGTCCTGCCGTGCTCCTCCCAGCTACAGAGCAGCAGTCCTCTCTCTTTGTTTCCTCTGAAGAGGCGGCTGCAGCCTTTCATGGACGCTGAGGAGGATGCTGGCGCTTCTGCCGCAGTCGCTCCTGTTGCAGCTCGAGCAGCTCCCCACAATGCGACTGCAGCAGGTACAGTAGCAGGGAACAAGACCCGATCCAACACCATGTTGCAGTCTCCAGTTCGAATGTACTTTCCTCTCACCGCCAGGGGAACTCCGCACGCCTCTCGGGAGCTCCCGGCCTTTCCGTCGGGAGCTTCGAGATGCGCCCCTCCCGCCGATGCTATCCCCGGTAGCTCAAATCCTGCATCTCTGTCACCACAGCGGCTGCAAATTCAGCCTGTTAGGCCTCAGCACGTGTCTCCAATGGAAGTGCGACGGCAGCGGGAGAGTCCTTTGGCTCTCGATGCGCGATCTCTGCTTACCGCTGCTGCGACTGCGGCTGCTGCTGGTGGAGCCCAAAGCCCGCAGGGAGCTCAATCAACGCTTAAGGAGCAGCAGCGCTGCTCTTTCCTCGCCGATTTGGCATCTCCTTTTAGCTCCAGCAAACGCAGCAGGGCATTGGCGTCTCCAGGCGCAAGCGGTAATGGCGATGGCGACGCGGCCGCTGCTTCGAGAGGCACCACGATGGTTGTTGCAGCTGCAGTGGCAACTCCTTCATCCACCCGACGAGCTACTGATTCTTCCAGAGGGGCGCCTCCTGGTACTCCCGGAGGGGAACCAATAGACTACAAAGTTTCTCCCGTAAGCAGCCGGCGACGTGCCTCTCCCTACCATGGCATGAGGAGCACCAGCACCAACAGCGGCGGTAGAACTGCCACGCTGAAAGATGAGGAGGCGCTATCCGCTTTTCGCCTCACCCCTCCAAGAAAGAAACCCCAACTCTCCTTCGATAGTACGACGGCACAGGAGGCTGAGCACACACAGCAAACGCAGGAGGATGACAAAGATCGGCAACATCAGGGAGCAGCACCAGGTTGCGCCAGCTTACATCTCACCCGGCAACAGATTGCTTCCATGCAGCGCCTTTTCTTGCAACAACAACAGCAGCAGCATAGCGATGGTTTCTGTTGCAGCTCCCTCGACAGTTTCGCCGCGACAGAAACCACTCCCAATTCTGTGCCGCTCAACAGACAGCTTGAGCGCCTCTGTCGACTCTATGGACTGTGAGTTTTGGGGGGATCTCTGCTGGTCCTGATGCAGCAGCGCACTATTAGGCACACATGTATGTGGCTGTGCATACTGCTGCAACCGAACAACGCCTTGCTGTTTTTGCATCGCCTGTAGGAGTTTCAAGGGCTTCTCCAGGAGCGCCTGCTGGCTCTCAGCCAGACCACTTGTAGCGATGTAGCAATGCGCTTATCGCGCTACTTATTAGCCGTTCTTTGCATCTTCTACGATCACCCCACCTGCATCAGTGTCTCTCGTCTGCTGCACTGCTGCTTCCTGTTGGCTCCTCTCTCTTGGATAATGCTCCCACTTTGTCGTTCTCTGCTGCTTCACCCCCGTATCCCGTGGTTCTCCTCCTTGCCCGTAGGCAGCCTGTACACGGTGTTTCTGCTGGCGTTCGGTGTCGTGTCACTTAGGCTAAGGATTCTTTTTGACCGCTTTCACGACCGCGGGGAGCCTCTCCTGCTATTCACTTCCATCTTGCCTGCGTACACGAAGCTGGCTCTCACGCATCATCCCCGCAGCGCCTCGGAGTCTCCCCTCCGCACCGACATGAGCGACAGCAATGCCAGCAGTGCTAAGGACGGCGGAGAGCGCTCGCTTAGCAGCGCCTCCCTCGGTAGCAGCAAAGTAAGGCACGACCTTATAAAGGATGTGGGCCGTCTGGTGTGGCTGCTGCCGCAGCTGCTGCAATGGAAGCCGCGGAAGCTGCGTAATTCTACTGCCGCACCACCACCAACAGCCAACTGGGGCCCATTGCAGCAAAACCACTCACAATACGACATACAGATCCTCGAATTAAAAGATGGGGTCCCCCTTTCCGCGCGTGCTAAAGACGGAGAGGAGCGCCAGCAGCAGCTGCGGCGGCGCCTCATCGCCTATGCGTTGCAGTGGCAAAACTATTGCCTAGAGCAGCAACAGCAGCAACAGCAGCAACAGCCGCAACAGCAGCAACAGCAGCAACAGCCGCAACAGCAGCTATTGCTGCTGCGCTGGAGCAGAGAACGGCTGATTCAGCACGCCAGCTGGGCTCCCGGGTTTGATGTGGAGATGATACCCTCTCCTCCTGCTGCCACAACGCCTGCGCTGCACCCGCAGGAGCAGAGACAGAACGTGTTGCTGCCTCAACAGCCACCAGGAGCGTTCAAGGGAGACCCCGTGATAGGGTGTATTGGCGGTAGTCCTGTTCGCTGCGTCGTGCCAGAGCAACAGCCGCAGAAACAGCAGCTGAATTTGCTGCAACAACTGCAGGATGAGGGCAGCAAAAGGGTTGTCTCTCCCCCGCGCGCTGCCTCCGTCAGTGGGGCCTCCTCTGTTAATTCTTGCTGGACGGATGTCTCGCCTTACCAGAGAGCCACTTCGGATGCAACAGCAGGGTCGAACTCGCCCGCCGTGCAGCTGTCTCCTCTAAGCCGTGGTCGGCAGCCAGTGCGTAGATTCCCTCTTTTGTCTTCGCCTATAAGAACCCGCAGCCCAAGCCCTCTCGACCGGCGTTCTAGTTCCAGCAGCAGCACAAGTCCGACCAGGTACAGCCCCCCTGCTTAGCTTTCACGCTCTCTAACAATTTCTGCCTACTGTGGATACCCTGCCTCTGGCTGGGTACAATCAATACGCAGCCACCTGCTGCAAAGACTTTTGGCCGCAGCAGCGGCAAACTCAACGTTTCTGCCTGATGGGGTCCTGCAGTCCCTCAATGCGGTTCGAGGGAAACAGAGAGGCATTTGCACGGCGCCAGTCAGAGAGAGAGCCACCAGACGGCTCACGTGCATGTGCCTGATGGCCGCTTGTGTGTGGGTGTTTCCGCAGAAGTCCTGTGTCTGAACGACTGCGCCGCAAAGTGAGAGTGCACCAGCGTGCCAACAGCCATACTGCGGCAAAGGTGGCAGCCCGCAAAGGGAGGAACCGCCGATGTTGCGAAAGGGTGGGTATGCGTGTGTGTTGCTGCAGACCGAGGAGCGCATGGCTGCTCGATTGCAGCAAGAAGCAGCGCAGCAGTTGCGAAGAGAGTTGTATGAGTAGGTCGTTGGTGTTGCTGTTGCTCGCCTTCTGAAAGCCTAGGGTTAGACGAACTAGGGCATGCGCACGTGCCTCAGGAGCTCCTGTTTTCTGCTGCTCTCTGCTCCCGCAGCAACGTCCAACGCCTTCAGGAAGCGCACATTGTGTTGCAGTGTCTTCTGGATGCATGTGTCTACCACGATCGACGCTCTGTGAGCCAGTATACCCCAGTAGCACCGCAGGGTAGCCAGTTCGCTTTTTTGCCCTGCCAACTAGCCGGCAATGACTAGCACTAACTTCCAGCAAAAACTTCTTATACAGTTGTTGGCCGTCCTGCTCTGTGTGCTTTTTTTTGAAGTGCATTGACATTAGGGTGCTAACAGATTTATTTGTTTCCAAAGTGAGGACCCCATTGCCTCTCCCAGCTGTCGAGAGGGCTGTGCTCTTCCTTGAGGGTCTTAGCCCACCAGCGTAAGCTTCTTGACCTATTTCGTATCCCTTCGCTTAGACCATTAGCTGTATAAGCTTTTAGACTGTGATCCAACTAGACACTACCCGTTGCGGCTGTGCTGTTTCCTCAGCATTCAACTCCGTGCCAATGTCATTACGCTGGCCTCTTCAATAGAGTACCTCACCACTAATACACACGTCCAGTGGCACTTGAGTCCGTACAAACCGGTTAATTGAGAGAGAGTTAGCGACACGTTCGCATGAATGTCTGTGTAGAGCATGCTTTACATGCGTAGGGGGTGTCTGTTTGTAAATGGTTCTGTCACGTGACGCAGTCCCGCGGCCCTCAGGAAGGTGGTGGAGTCGCAGCTTCGAGAAGCACAGGATGCTGCATTCGCTGCAGATTCCAAGGAATGCCACGCGACACTTGGCTCGTGTAGCCCGTTGCTCAGATAACTGACTGACCGACGCCTTAAAGGCTTGGTTCATGGACTTCGGAGATAACAAGCTACGCCTGTCTCCGGTTGTAGTTGATGTAGAACTCCACAGCCAGTGTGAGGATAAACTCTGGCTCTGCTCCGTTCCGTCTATTCTGGCCACCCCTGGCTAAAGCAACAGTACCCACGCCTGTGGTGGTGTGTAATACGTTATAATGCCAGGTCGGACATATGGTTCGAAAGCCACATGAGACCTGTTGCCCCTAAGGGTGGGTTCCTTAGAGCCCGTGGCCACTCTATTCTACCGCATCCTCCATATTTATGTGGCCGCTTACCACTGCGTGGTGCGTGAGGTTCTCTCGATGCTGTTTAACGAGTTTGGTACCTCGTTTCCCTTGATGCACATTTTTAGGGGGCATCATGTGGATTCGATGCCATAGCATCTAATATTCTTTCCGTTCGTATCGAGTTGTCGTGACTAGCGAGAGTTGACTCATAGTGGCTAATGGATTAGGGCTAGAGCGAAATTACAGTACTGGCTCGCGCAGTACCTCCTTTAAGGTGCTGACAGCGCTGCGTGGGAGCTTTGGCTTCGTTTAAAACAAGGGCTGCTTGGTCATTGCATATCGGCCATATCAAATGGCGTCAAAGATTGGTCTCCGGACCACCCAAATCGTATCTTGCAGCACATGGCTTCCAATGCGTTTTCCTTGCCAAGTATGAGCGAAGCACAGCAGGGTATCAGCACTACACTGAAGACAACCCATAGAGATGGCTGAAGGCACAACGTCAGGGAGAGCGAAGGAGCTACATACATACGATGTAGAGCCAGTAGTGAGTAGTCGGAGGTACAAGAGATATTTGCATCGGGTGCTACACTTTTATAGGGATCGCCTATCACTCGAGATGGAGATGCTGTGGGTGTTGCATTCGATTGAATCGCTATAAGCAAACGCGTAGCTATGCTAGCCGATGCGCCAATATTACTACCGTATTAGGAGCCTGGCCGGTTGTCTCCTTTATAGTCATGGAAGAAGCGCGCATGACACTGGGGAAGGCCAAACTAGACCTCAATACTTTAGACGACGGTAGTTTACACCCAATCATTGTCTCTCTAGCTTGGCTATTCTTTAGCGATGTATATTGCACAGCAGGGGAAGTTTCATACCGATACACAATATGTATTATACACTCGTGTGTTAAGTTACTTGGTGGGAATGATCAGTGGTCACTTGCAACTAGACTCTCTTTCGCCCTTCGACGGGGAGGCCGAGGACTTTTACTTGAGCGTCCATATGAAAGAACTGGAGGCATAGGCAGTGAATAAAAGCGATACTTTAAGAGGTTTTAGAGGCTTATGGTGCGGACCTTCGTATGAAGATGCTAGATTTTACAATACTGCTAGAATGTACATTACCTCGCTACACCCCTAGCACATCGGGTCCTGCAAGTCCTTGAATCAGAGGTTGGGATACAAGAGACCACGTAGCGTCTATCAGTATTGCCTCTGCTCATAGCGTTGCATGAGTGTCTTCAGACGTGTATCCAAAACTTCATAGCTATGTGCATTGTACCGGCGTTTGTCACCGACATAGTCTTATCTCACCTCTGGCTTACTGGTAGTGAAGCTTGCAGCCATTGTGTTGTCGAGTGCAAAAATTTTGGAGAGGATACATAACAACTGGTTGGCTTCTTGTGTTGGGCTCGCATTCTTAGCTGCAGCCGACAGTGCCTCTGCGGAAGAAAACGGAGCTGCATGGTACGTGCATGATGTGGAGATATGCTGCACAGCTTCGGTGATGAGAGGTAAAATTCATACCCTTTGGGAGAATAATCTCATAGCAGCAATTGCATACTCTATTGAGTGATTGCTTAGTTCTCGTGGTTTCGTGTTTTAGCACAGCAGCGCCTCTGTACATGACTGGGTATATCCGGAGGAATTGAGCGGCAATGTGTTAAAGTGTGCGATTATGCTCAATAGCATATGTAAAATAGTGTACCATATTTTTAATGAAGTCTGCACTGTTTAGGTGGGAAAGTATGGGATCTTAGGGCGGCTTTAGGGGCCCTCCTCAGGAGTCGGCCTCACGGCGAGACAGCGGTCCAGCACGACGTTTACCGAGTCCTCATTATGGATCAAGAGTTACGCTTTTCGATGTTTATTCCGGTCTTTGCACGTGTGGCATTGTGAATGCTTTGCGGAGATCACGTTAAGTTTATCTTCCCTTCAGCAAAGGCTTGGTCATTCTGGCTGGCTCTGGGGAGCACTACGTTGTTTCCGTTTGTAACTGCATGGGATAAGGAAGCAGAATATGCAGACTTCTGCATTCCCACTATAACCGATGGTAAAATACCCTTGTTGACCATACCAGCACTGATTTTGCCAGGGTCCCCCTCTCCGTTACGGCAGGCACTCATCAACCTGCTCGCCGCATCGACTTATGTAGCGGGTTGCTAACAGCACCCCTCGTTGCCTCCAACAATTGCCTTTCTCAACATTTATGCCCCCTAATGTATGGACGGTACTAAAATATCCTGCTTCTACCTTCTTCCCTCCACCCTCCGCGCCTTCGTCCATCGGACGTGTAGCCTATACTTAAGGCACTGGCCACCTCGCTAGGAATGCCTTGCTAATACTTTTCACAGAGGTTTACATAGCATTTTAACTCATCAATCTTTATTTGAATTTCAACGTCTTTCATGTGAGGTGCTCCCTTTCGCGGCGAAGCATATTCCCTCTCTGGCTTGTTGGTTGCAATATTCCTTCGATCGTCGTAGTCTGCATTAGAAATTCAAAGATTTGGCGGATTCAGCTCTTTTTCCAGACCATAATCGTGTTCAGACGGGAGCATGCACCTGGAAGAGCCATTTTTATCAGCGGAAATGCATTAGCTGACGAGGATTGAATATCTCGACCCGCGTTGCAAGTACAAATGCATAAGTGCTCAACTAGTACCCTCTCTGCCAACTGCCAGAGCGGGAATTTCGCATTGTTCTTGCAGCTTGCTTACTACACTTTTTGCTACTGAGACCGTGTCAACTAAGCGAGGATGGACGCCGATAACTTTGCCAAACTCACCACCATACTGGACTTGCTCGACCGTTGCAAGAAAAACCTTTCACAGGCAATCCAGCAAGAGACGCCCATGAAGACTCGTAGCTCGATGCATGCAGGGCATACACTATCAAAGAGGTCAACACGCAATGAAGGTATCTTTGACTTCGGCACGCACGGGGGTAAGACTCCAGCATTGTTTCCTTTCTGTAAGATCCTTCGCAGTATTAATTTCTGCAGTCTTGAACAGCGCAGAAGAGGTCCGTGTGAATATGCGGATTTTGCTTAAAGCTGGGCGATGAAGTTATTTCTTGAAGCGGAAGACATTGGACCCGGTGCCCTGCGCAGGCAGCGTTGTTGATAGGTTGTTGAGTATGGCAAGCGAGGTCCGTACGGCAGGTGGATTGAAGTGTAATCTGGGATTTGCTCAATTCCACTGCTCAGGCTTCTCGAAGAAGGATGGAGTTGTGCATGTTCTGGAACGGAGGAAAACAATCAAGAGGACGCAAACTCTGCTGTTACGGAGGCGCACACGAATGAGCAAATCATTCCCTAGCTTGTCGGAACATGCGACCAGTTCTCTTTCTCTTTCGTGTAAACTAGACGGATAGCGATGTACCACCAGCGCTGATTGTTAGACCCTGAAAGATAGCTTCTCCTTCCGTTTAGTTACGATAGAAGATTGCTAGCTGCTGGTAAAAAGCATGCTTCTTCCATTTATAGTGGCTACCTTTTATTGGGAGTGCAGAAGCAAGCCGTCACATATTCCAGGTATCCTCCAACCCAACCCATATTCTCAGTGTTGGACACCCTCTTACTGTGCCTGGCTCAGGTCTCGATCAGGAGTTACAGGAATGCATTCTCAGTCGGGGCCTGATGCACATTTTTGACAGCAGTGCCACTTCTAACGGGCAGAGCGCTGAGCCGATTGAGTGCGATGTGGTAAGCAGGGCATTCCTAGTGCCCTTTTGGCAAAGTTTGCTGCTGGTTTCATTTTGCAGGTATAAAGGGTCTCTGTTGTCCTTCCCTCATCACATGCTTGTATTCGCACTCTCCAAGCTTGCCGGTGCCCGCGGAAACGTGGCTGGGCAGTGGACAGGCCGCAGTATAGCCAACAACCTTTGCTTCAGCGCTATTTAGTAACGCTAGAGAGGTGACTTCTTCTCTCTATAAGAAGTTCTGTGAACTGTTTTGGAGGCGAAAGCGCTGCATGACTGCACCATGGAGTTTCAGTCTGTCCCCGATTCTTTCTGGGTTTTTTGGATGCAGCAAAGCGAGTGCCTAGATTACTTTTCAGAAGAGTCCGAGCATCCTCCCGATGTTGACTGGGAAGGTGCATTGGAGCCCCTACGTCTTGAACGCGTGGCTAGGGTATACACTTTGCTACAAGTTGCGAAGCACGCTTTACTGCCGCACTTCGTGTGGCATTACATTCCGTGTAGCGCATGTTTACAACTGACTGTGGATGACTTTCAGAGATGCCCCAGCGAAGACGGTTCTCAACGTGCAGTCTGGAGAACATGACGACGGAAGACTATACCCATATGCATCCTCAGATCCTGGGACAATTGTTTGACCGTATCCTGGACTATCTGCAGAATGATTTTGATGAATTGGTCGAAAAGCTTAAGGAACAGGTAAGCAAAAAGCGAGCGCAGATCCCACTTCATTCGCGCATCATGAGGCATAGGGCTCTTGGAGCTTGAAAGTAGTACAAATCATGCGCCAACACTTTTGACTTTATCGTGAGTGACCTTGTGATGCAGAATGGCCACTTAAAACAGGATGTGATTTCTCTGCGGAAAAAGCTAGACGACGCAGTTGAAACGAATGATGAACAGGTCAGACGGGCCGCCCGTTGCCTTTGAGGGACAAGCCCCGCGGTGTGTGGGCGTCAGCCTTGCGGTGTTTGTGCACAGCGTGAGGCGAAGCTTGCCCAGTAGATAAAATCGCTGGGAGTCTGACTGTGTGTAGGCTGGCTACCTCTGCTGCCTGTTCCTAGGTGCAAGAACTCAAGGAGATGACAGAGCGCATCTTGGATGTAGAGGCCGAGGGGCGGGAACTGACACGTCAGTTAAACCTCATGGAAGCCCGTATCAAGCGTTACCAGGTGTGGCAAGTTCAAAGCGGCTGCTGCGAGCCCTCTGAGCACCTGGGAAGCCTGGGGCAGGTGCACAGCTTTTAAGATCGTTTCCTTGGCTTTTTTGTTTTTCTACGCAAACTGCATGCGTGCGTGAGATCACTTTTTTCTCTTCAGGACAACCAAAAGGGTGTGGTGAAGCTTGAAGAAGAGAAACACAATCTGGGCATGGAGTGTGCTGCTCTCCAGGAGCGCATCAAGGAGCTAACTATCCAAGTCAGCGCACAAGATATGCAAAAGGTGGCGGAATTGGCGCACGACCTCGTTACCCTGAAGGGCACTACCCAGGCTAAGGATGAGGAGATAAAGTCTTTGAAACGCGAGCTGGACCGAAAGGGGAGGCTGCTAGAGAGTCTGAACGTGACCATAGCAGCGCAGCAAATGTACAACTTTGAGTCTCCAAGAGGAGACATCACAAGTCGGCAGTTGACCCCTCGCAGCTCCATAAGCCACCTGCTGGCAGGAATTACCAACCCTCGCAGGGCTGCCGTCAGACAGCGCTTTAGCGCCTCAGTCCCCTCCAACAGCGAGCATTCCATGTCCTTGGCCACTGAGCTGCAACAAACAACGCCGCCGCCAACCTTACCTAATGGGTGTGCTGCCTTACGCCTTCGCGGCCCCTTGCCTCTTTTGGACCCCATCGCGGGGCTTGTTGTATGTCTATTAGCGCTAATTGAGCTCTCAAGGCTACGTATTTCCGAGTCGTGCCCTGTGTGGTATGCTGTTAAAGCCCCAGTCTCCTGCAGGAAGCTCATAATACACATGCACAGATGCCCTAGCTATAGACAGAATATACGGTGAGTGTCGTTGGTGCGCGCCTTGGTCTTGCTACAGGCTGCGCGAAGCACAGGATAGGCTGAAGGCAGCACTCGCCGAGATGGAGAGCCTGAGGCTATCGAACGAAGCTCTAAAGGAGCAGATGGTAGAGCTCCGTCAAGAAATGGAGGCCAAGGATGCCTTTATGCGTCAATCACTTGAGGTATAACTCATTTCTGAGCCTCATTTTGTGGATAGAATCCCCACAAGTGCATCTCCTGCTCCTACCGCCCACCGTGGCGGTCTTATTTGCCACTCTGGCATTTCACGTGCGTAAGTAATGCTCTCTTAGACTGCCGCAGCTTTGCAGCCCGTCGGGTATACAGGACAACCGGCATCCTGCTTTCCCTTCAGGCAAACCTTTATGACGCTCTGCGTGATTTGCCTCAGGAGAGTTCGCAGCACCTGGCCACTACCCGAGAACAGCTGGCAAAGGAGTCTGCAGAACTGGAGCGGACAACAAAGGCCCTTCAGGCCACAAAAGACGACCTGCGGACTTCAATCGACGCTTTAAACCTTACAACAGCCGACAATGAAAAGCTGCTTGCCGAGGTGGAGGAGGCGAAAAGGTTACTCCGCGATGCTCAGGTGTCCTTCATTGCCGTGCCTAAAGATCCAGCCTTCCTTGGACAATATTCGCATACACACGCACACACGCACACACACACACACTGACAAGCATGCGTGGATACATTTGCCAACGGCATAACGAACGTCAACCTGTTCTTTTCGTGTGCGAAATGTGGATGATGCGTTTTGTTCTCAGGAACATCTTACAGATGCGCTCGCATCAAGAGCGTCTCCAGAGGTCGTTAGGGGGCTGGAGGATAAAGTTGCAGTGCTAATTGAGGAGCTCAGAACGAAGGCTATGCGCCTTGACGAGTGCGAAGTACGTGTGCTGTTGGAAAGGAGGGCACAGCTGTCCGAGAATGTTGAGTGGGAAGGGAGGTAGCGCCGCACGGATCGCATTGGTAGACTCAGGCAGTTAATCTAGCTCAAGGATATCTAGAGTAAGGAATCCGGTGTGCCACATATGCCTGGCGCAGAAATACCAAAAAGAGCTTGAGGAGCAACGGGTGACCTTGCAGAATTGCGTGGAGAACAGCATGAAACAGATTGACGAACTTTCATCTCGTGTTGAGAGCCTTGAGGGGCAGCTTATAGCTACAACGAATGTGGCTAACGCTTTGGGCGCGGAAATCAGGTGCAAATCGCGATAGCATGGTTTTGTGTTAGCTCCCTTTTACGAGACACAGCTCGTTCCTCAGCTTCTCTTTGCTTTCTCTTCTGCCTGTAGCGACAATAATTTCTAATATTCTTAGCTCTGCAGTATCTGACTAATGCGCGCTGATCTGAGCTCAGCAAGCTGCTGGAGTTGGTTGAAAGGGGATCTGTTAGCGACAAGGAGCGCGAAGAGGCAGAGAAGCAAAGAGAGGCGCTACTAGCTCTGGTAAGTGAACCCACATAGCTATTTAGCGGTCAAGTCAAAATCTTTGCTTCTCTTGTGCACTTAGATGAGAAAATGGCGGGGAATGGGGTCAGATGCGCAGAATCACTCGGAATGCTGGAAGGAAGGAGTGCCAGCTGAACCATGCACTGCCTGGCTTTGTCCTGTGCTTTTCGATACAAAGCTGGAAGGCGAGAGGCACCGCGCGGCAGCGCTCGCTCAGAATATTGCTCAGCAGCGAGTTGTGGAAGAGGAGCAGAGGGAATTTGCAGAGAGCGCCTACAGGCTGCAGAAAGAGCTTCAGCACCAGGTTAACTTCCTGAGGTCGGAGCTCGCTAGGCGGGAAGGCGAAACGGAAGCGATGAGGCAGAGGCTTGATGAGCAAGCTGATGCTGCGGAGAAGGCGAAGCAAAGCATGCAGATAGCGCTGTGCGCTGCATACGATAAGCTGCAAGCCCGGCAAGTAGAACTGGAAGGTCTTCTTAGGGAGAAGGCCGACTTGGAGATGGCATCAACAGATGGCAAGCTGCAAATGCAGCGGCTTCAGGAGGAGAGTCAGGCGACTTTGGAGGAACGGGATCAGGAGTTGCAAGAGGTGAAAAGGCAGATGGAAGAGTACGCTGCGAAGATCGACTACTACGTTTCTAGAGAAGCGGCTTATACTTCAGAAGCTGACCGCTTACGTGAAGATATCAGTGCCCTCGAGCTCGGGCTTCAGACAGCGAAGGAAGAAGGTGAGCGCCTCCTGGCACTCAAGCATCAAGAAACACGACAGCTGAAGGAAGCACAAAAGGCGGCTCTGGCAGCCATGCAGGAGCAGGTTGACGCCTTAAAGAAGGAGCGTCGGGCTCTGAGGGACGCTGCGCCCGAAGCGCACGACTCAAAGCTACTGAGCGAGTATGAAGCCCTTTTGAAGGCTGTCAAGGACCTTCGGGAGCAGAATACGCTCCTCTCTGCTGCACTGGATGAAGGTCGCTCTGGCCACGTGTTGGCAGAGGAGAAACTGCAGCAAAAACATGCCGCGCTTCTCAGCAGCTTTCATGAGGCTCAAAAAAAGTATGAAGAACTGCAGAAGGTTCTGGACAGGACTACCTCCGAATACCACAAGTCTTTAGAAGATGCTCAGCGGCAGCTCGCTGACCTTAAGCCACAGCTAACGCAAATGGCGGCAGATCACCAGGGCAGAGAGGCTAAGTTGATGGAGCGAATACAGGAACTTGAGCAAACGCGACTTTGTCTGCAGGCCGAGGTGGCCGAACTCAAGGAGCGAAACGGGAGCGCTCTTGTAGAAGCAACGCACAAGGCTGAGGCTGAAGCATTACGCGCAGAAAAAAATGCTCTAAATGCCCAGATAGAGCAGTTGCACGCGCTAATAAAAGCAAAGGACATGCAGAGGTCTGAGGCTTTGGAACAAACGGAAGAGAATCAAAAGCTTATTCAGCAACTGCTTGACTCACTTCAGGAACACCAGAGAAGGCTGGAGGAGGCTGATAAACTTCTAGCAGACAAAAGCAGTGCGTATCGTACTGACGCAGAAATCGCTTTCACCGGGACGACCCTTGCATGACCTTAGCTTTTGCTGCAGTTTATCCATGTAACTTGGAGCACCAGTCTACCCACAGAACGCTTTTGCTGCTAATAATGACGTTCAGGTCTTCAGGTTGAGCCCGACGAACTTCCTTTCCCATGTGCTGAGGAAACGACAGCCGATGATATCCAGCTAAAGGCGAATGCACGCATGTGGCAAGAAAATGAGTCTCTGAAGGTGCGGTGCCTGTAATTTCATCTCTTGCATTGGCGCGCCTCCAAGGACGGCCAGTTGTTGACGGTGAAGAGACCTCTACTTTACAGCATAGCAACACTAACACAAGGGGTTTAGTCGAACACGCTTTGCTGGGACCCCCTAGGGCAGCATTCTCCATGTGTACACATGCCAGCAGGATGTGGTCATTTGCAAGGCAGCCACCACGGGTGGCCCGCCTTTTGTGCAATGTTTTTTGTCATGTCTTGTATTTTCTGTGTAGGGCCAGCTGGAAGAGCTGAAAGCGATGATCATGGTGCAGAGGCGGGATACGGATTCTGCGGGTGTTCTCGACATGCTTCAGCACCAACTGCAGAATCTAGCAAGAGAATTTAGTGCCTTTAAGAAAGTGGAGGCACAGCAGCTGATGGACTTGAAGGGTGCGATCGGTGGTACAACGCAGGTCTTCAATGTCTCCTACCCCCCGTTTATCATCCCGCTGGTTAATGTGCATGAGAGTAAAGACAAAAACGACAAGACAATCAATATATCCGGTAAGGTAAAAACACTGTAGAACTTATGTTAAGGATTTTTTGTCTCTTGAGTTTTATCAAAGACCCTATGAATGGGCTTTCTCATTATGCTTTGCACCGGGTATTTCAACATAATTGCTTGCGAGGCAATTCTCTAGCTCTGTAGTAGCGCCCACGCTGGAGGACCGTTATCTGCGATTCGTGCATTCTTGGTAAATATTGCCGCCACCATTCGTTTGCAGGTATGCTGGATATTCGGGCTGCAGCCACTGGATTAGCCCCCTCTGTATCTAAAGGCTTGTCTCAGGCACGCCGTTCTGCGCTGCAAGGCAGCAGGTTTCAAGATGTTCTCTGCAGGTGGCAGGGGCGTTGTTGGACTGCTACCGATTCCTTCTGGAAGGACTGCTCTTGCACGCCTGCATCCGACGTCCATTCGAGCGTGTCGGATCGTTGGATGAGCCAAACACAAGTCTTTAAGCCAGCGTAAGCATAGCTAGGTAGTTAGCTATCCGAAGTTCGATTTCTCTCTTCGTTGTCAAATCTGGCGCAGTGTGTTACAACAAACATATGTTGTACGCGTTTCACTTGTCAGTGACATGTCTTCCTTTAATGTAATGGGGGAAAATGAATTGCGTTGTCTTTTCATCAGTGGGAAAGACGAAGTACAAGCAATGCGTGTCCAAATGGGCGCCTTCCGGACGTCCCCGCGTGTAGAAGGCCCTTTGCAGCTCTCCGGGGTAGCTCTTTCACCGCGACTTGAAGCGGGTGGTTTTGCAGAACACGCTGCTCCTACCAAAGCCTTCTGAGTCCTAGAACACGTTTAGGGCCTTGCGCCATACAGCAGAGTATTCTTAGGCAACAGAGTGCCGCGTGATGGACCACTGCAGGACTTATCAGAGCATGGTGCTCAGGCTTTGCTAGAAAGGCACTGCAGTACAGTTTATCTGGCTATTTCGAAGACTGCAATCATTGTTTCGGGTGGCTATTCAATGTAACAGGAGTCTCTGCATGCCCCCGTGACCCAGCGGGGAGAGTGGCATTTTTTTCCGCGCCGTTGGATAATCCCAGTACTGAACGGCGCTGAACAGCAGTGAAAACCCATGGTGTACTATTGCCTAGCTTTATCTTTATGGGTGAACGCTTTGCTCGCATAGTGATCTTTTAGAAGCAATACGGGCGGTAGGGTTAGACAAAGCCCAACCAGGTGCACTCTTCCGCGTCTGGCTCGTGGAATGCACCTTGGGGCATTGTCCAATCTCTTGTTGGTCTTAGTTTCCATTGAATTGTGTGTATTAAAAGCTTTTTATAGTTTTCGCGCTTTTTTCTCAGGGACACTATTGAATTTATTCTGTAGTACGTAGAAACAACACCAGAGTATGCGCCGCATGTTCAAAGGTATCGGTTAAATGTGCACAGTGGTTGACTTGCCTGCTTGCAGCCCCTTGCGGTAATCCGATATTTACAGCCTACTCACGGTACGTCGCACAATTCAAAGGGCAACACTGTATATTTTTCGATGGCTGTCTGCCATTTCCACTGAAGGCCGACGGGCATCAGTATGCCCAGGGACCACTAGGGCTTCCACTGGGCCAATGCTTTTCTTGGTTTAGCCTCCACTAAGTTGCGCAATAGTTTCAGATAAAGTGAAGCATTTTGTATTGAGAAGATGAATAACAAGCAGCATGAGCTTGTAACCTAAGAAGTGAGCAGCCTTCTCGTAATGCAATAAGGACTCAGGTGGAAACAATAAATTACAATTCGCTTACCCCTTCCTCTGCCTATTTATGATCAATGAGTTTTTTCTATGCCTGCGACTGACTGTGTGAGACTGGCACTTGAGCCTTGGCACTGCTTCTGCTATAATCGGCTCTTCCTGACGTCTGTGTGACTCATAATTACCTGCATGCCTCAAAAGTACTGCCTAAGAAGCCTTCGGCCCAAATAAGGAAAAAGAAGTCTAAGCCACACGAGGGGACCACACCTAACAAGCTGCTTTGTAACGATTCTCTATAGTGGTGCCATTCTACACTGAGATGCATCTGACAGACCCGGAAATGAGGCAGCGTATTCTAGCCTACAGAAGCAGATCGCTGTCCCCTGCTCCACCACTTTCTTTTTTTAATCACCTTTAAGACGAGTACAACGTCAGCATTAGCCACTAGGACGACGACGGACTGCACTTGTCTCAGCCATAGACCTCAGTGGGGGGTATGGGAGGCTTATGTGACTTGAGGCCTCAGTACTGAGGAGGAAAAATCATGGACTGAGGCCTTTACAGGTAAAGAATGCAAAATTAGCCAAATAAAATACTTCCTGCGTTTAATAGGTCATTCTGCCTGCTCTTTTGCTCAACCGGAGGGTCGTTGCAGCAATTGGGCAGCGACCTGTCCATTGGTCTTGAATGGCTCAGAACGTAGCTCTCCAGAGGAGGACATGCTTGCCCCCGACAATTTGAGCTCCATTTTTCAACCTATATACTGTCGCTATGAAATGCAACGCCTTATTGCTATATTATACGTTGTCAGCCAGCTGATTAAAGAACAGTTGGTCTCGAAACCCTTGATCATCACCTCGCATAGCGTTTCCATGAGTTCCAATGCCATGCTAGTCGGTTTCCGCGAATAGTAGAGGCCTTTTTGCATCTATACCACCATTTCTCATGAGTGGCAATACGTGAAACCGTATTGAAGTCGTATATGCTCTTTGTGTGGCAGCCTGGTCACTAGAGACGGAGGCGAGACCCATCTCCCCTGGCGTCTCTAGTTGCGTCGCTCTCTTGATCTCGGTTCATTGGGCGGGCATTCGGCGAAACACATAGACTCTCTGAGACTCCTCCCTGTTCTGTTACCTTGTGCGCTTTTTACCCCACTAAATTTGCACACTTGGCGCTGCTGCCTTTCCGTGTTCTTGTAACGCGACGATCACGAGAGAACCCCTGACCACTGCACCTTACGCAACGTGCATTGTAAATCAAAAGGGGATTATATTAACGCGTACAATTCTTGCATTTTCCCTCAAAGCTTTGTTATATACAAACAGTGAAGGGAACAGGCAGCAATCAGCGTGCGGCCTTCCGTTTCCCGAGTAGCATGCAGGTTCCAATGCACATCGAATCCCGTAAGGCTCTTGCAAGGGTTTCCTCCTTTTGGAAATTAATTCGACGGCAACGGCGCCTTTAATTTTAAATAAGCTAGGAAAGCTGATCAATTGAGGAGTTGCGGTCTGCATTACCTCAATATCGGCGTCGCGGGTTTCAAGGAGATTTTGACCGCAGGAAAGGTATCTCTTAAATTTCAGCGTCGGCTGCATTCCTTAGAGATTGGGTTAACATACTGTCTAGGCTCGAAACTGGACTGGGAGAACAGCCACACAGCCCCAGTTCTATTGTACTCTGCCTTCGCGATAGCGTCTCACTAGGTGGGGACAGTTATATCTGCGATCTGCCTTCCTCCTCAGTGCAGTTGCTTCTTGTTACCCTTTGTATTTGCTTTAGCGCAGGCAGAGTTTTTGAATAGCGCTCATCATTCGGCATGCAGGTGCTCATGGGCATCATCGTAGACATCTATATGAATTTAAGCTTTTACCCGTTAATTTTCCTCTGACGTGTGTTCATTTGATTCCATTGGGGGGTTAACTTGCATCCAAAAGGTTTGCAAAGTACATAAAGAACATGGACGGATTCAGGCATGTATTCCTTACTCCATCAGACGGTAGCTTTTCGGCGCCCCAGGGAGCTTGTGCAGCGACATGGCAAACAGGCAACATTGCAGAAGCGATGGAGGCGCTTTCTCTATTGTCCTCACGTAGCTCCGAAAGTAAAGGCAAAGAATGGACATTTTGGGGAGGCCGTGCATCTGTAGCAGGAGATCGTGGTGAGGCCGATAGAGGGGTCGCTAGCAGGGGAAAAAGCGTAGAAATGCCGAATGGCCGGCGTTTGCCAGAAGTTGAGCAGCTGATGCCCCGGTACCCTCGAGTGCGCCCTGGCAGGAATTCGCCACTGGAGCAATTGCTACGTGTCTCGCCACAAGGCTTGGCTCAGCTTCTGGTAGGCCACCCGGATAACTACCGGTTTGGAAACCCCGCACTGCACGATGTTTTTGTAGCATCTACAGTTGGAAAGAGGCTTCAGACAAAGGGATCACCACCCCTGGTGAAGACTTCAGACGGTGAACGCCAAATACACGTGTGCTCGTCTAATCGAGGTTTAAACGGACAAGCCGAAAGCCCCTTAGCATTGCAGAATGCCCTTGTAGCAATGCTTCACCTCCAGGCCCAAGGTGGGGTGCAGCGAATGCCTGTATTCCCTAAAAGGTAAGCACACCGGGCGCAAGAACGAAAGGGGGGGCAAAGGTCACCAAATTCTTGGTTGATTGATAAAGAGGTAGGCTTCACGACTTTCTAAAGCATTGTACAGGGGATCTTTCTTTGCTTTTCTGCAGGAACCTTTTGTGCCTCAGCATTTTAAAGATGGGCTCATGCCCCAACAGGAGGATCTGCAATTATGCACACAATATGAGGGAGCTTCAGAAGAAACTGGAGCTACGCAAGACATCGTTGTGTAAATACTGGCTAAAGGGAAAATGCGAGAACGAAGACTGCAACTTCGCGCACGGGGAGCACGAACTGCAATCCACTGTCGGAGTCTTCAAGACAACTATCTGCAAATATTGGAAGCACGGGTGCTGCTATAGTGGAGAGTTTTGTAGACACGCCCATGGTGACGTGGATCTTAGGCCAGAAAAGTACGATTGGGCTCCCGACGTAGAACTGTACACCTAGCTGCTCTCGAATCCCACACCTGTTTAGAGTTAGGCAGTGTCCTGATCGATCGATCGAGCCCGACTGTGTAGGAGTGGAATCAATGGGCTACGTTCATGTTTGCAATGCCCACGTCTCTGTGTTTTCAGTCTCCCTCCTCACTTGAAGAAGAAGCAGCAGCGGTGTTCACGACTGGCTGAGCAAGGGTCAGCAGGGCATAGGAAGGAGCGTGGTGGAGAATGCGAACCGGGTGCCAAGCGGGATGATAAGTCGAGTGAGCATAACGAGGCAACGTTGGATTGCTTTCAGCACTTCATATACGATGGACTTCTGTGTAACACAGGAGCAGAAATGTCCACGCAATCCCTTGAACGAGTGCATTATGATGTAAACAATGCAAAGCAATGGGCTACGCAGAACTCCAACAGCTCTGATCTGTCGACAGACATTTTGCTTTCATCAGCTTGCGAGTCCCCCAGATGCGCGCCCTCCCGTAGTGAGACAGATACCTCATGTGCTTCAGCGTGGAGTTTATCCCAAGAACGCAGCCTTGTCTCCTCTACAGATGCGGTCGTGGGCGCGGCGTTTGGTATAAAAGGAGTGTTACATCAATACAGCTGTCAGGCAACAACCCTCTAGAATCCAGCAGCCCGCCTTTGGTAGAGATGCTTACCAGCACGCATTTCGCCACCGGACGATCGAGTTGTGCCCCTCCGCTCAGACCAGAATGACTGGTGGAACTGAAGCAACCGATCGATGGCCCCCATGCGGGTCTGTTTCCCTCATGGGAGAGCACAATTCGGTGCCTCTTCCCCGAATCTCACGGAAGGCAGCAACAATTTGTGCTAAAACAAGACATACTAAAGGCTCGATGATCTTCCGCTCCCTGTGATCATGAGACGACTTGAGTGTTCTCCTTCCGAGGTGCTTTTCATTTAACTTTTGAAGTGGAGTCTGCTGAAGAGGATAGATGAATTGGTTGCTCAGTAAACGACAGGAAAGGGTGTATCATGAAGTGTCGGAGGCTATTTATGCCACCATTTTGGGTTGTCTTTATAAGTAACGCATCGTTCCGAGTCCCCAGTGTTTCCAACCAGGGCAGAGCTCGCACATCTTGAAGATTAAGATTCTCATGTGGATGATTTTATACCGCGGGACGGATCATTTCCGACAAAGTTTTTGCGAGCAAGTATAAGGCCCTCCTTCGGAAACTAGGAACTCGCGTAAAATATGTATTTAATGGGGAGCCCCTCGGTAGTGTGATTTGCATTTTAACCCGGTGGTGGCTCACAGAGTTTTCTGTTCGTCAAGGCTTTTTTGCGTTTAAGTGGTGTGTCCTTCCTCGAATAGGCTGGCATCCATTGCCTTGTGGCCTCCCTCCTTTTGCCACCTGCAATTCATGCCATGGTGCTTCGTCTGCCTTTAGCCGCCATCATCCGATGGTATTCCGTTGCTCCTCAGTTTATACACCTAAATATGGGTTCGGGAGTACATATACTGTGGCTTGCCCTGTGTGTGGGCATATATATGTGAGCCTTTATTGCACGGATTCCCACTTAAAAGAAGATGTACTGAGTATGCAAGATTGGTGGCTACATTCAAGATGCAACTCCCAGCTACCACAAGGGCTGTGCTTCCTTCAAGGCGGTCGACCCAGACGCTGTCAATCCGATTAAACCCCTTTATGGGCCTCTGTGGTGCACTCTATAATTTCTGTGACAACCGCTAAGGCCTCACCAGGCTGACAATTACCCTAGGCTGACAAAATTATCTTAGCTAGAGTTGGGGGCCTTCCCTTCCCCTGTCAATTCTTGGTCGAGTTTCCGAAGCCTAGAACATGAGTAGCCTCGTTGACAGTCCACCATTCAATATATATATATACATATATATGTATATATATATCAAGGTGACGGTAGAAGGGGTCAAAGATGCCGGTAATGCCATATCAGTCGGAAAGTCCTTTCTTTTGATGGATTCGGCCCAGTATACAAAGTCACTATTAGTGTAGACGGCATAGCGACACCAAATGCATGAGCCAAGAGGGTGCAAAGGGTGGGAGCTCAAAGTAAACTGGAGACGGCGGACTACAGAGATAGCAGGATAGCATATGCCGAGCTAAATGACCCTCGTTTCTCCCGACGAAGCGATGAGAATGATCTGGCGTGAACACGTGTAATGTGAGGTCAGGAATTTCATCCCATACATGAAGCTTATAGACGCCTCAATTGTATGCGTCTCCTGATAGCCTTATGCTACATACCATCATTCACATTCTGTCATTATACAGCAGTGCAAATCGTCTGGCTGGACTTAATTTGCAATACTTCCACATGCGCGTTTGCTCAGCTCGGCCTTCTTCCATATAAAAAAGGTAAGGCGAGAAGTTTTGCTTCGTGTTCCACGTACATAGTACAGTTAGAACGAATTTGCACATAAATACTACTCGTCTCTTTGGTAGCTTGCTTGTGGTAAGCTACAGCTGAGAAGCTGTCCAGGCCTTCCCTTGCCCTAAAACTGCCCTTCCAATCAAACCTGTCGGTTTTCAAGTACCGACGGACGCATAAAGAATCGGCAAACTGATGCGGACTTTCCAGATAATAGTTGTTTTAGGCAGGTGACGAGTATGCACAGCACGCTCTGAAAAGAAACACTACACAGCCGATATGTCTCGTCTGGCTTCACTTTGGTTCCGCTGTCTCTGTTGCTGCGCTCGCTGGGCCCTGCGGAGTTCCTGAGTTCCCCGGTGCACAACCTAGCAGCAGGAGAAATAGCACAGACAAGGCACTTTTCATTCTTACACGTGCTTAGATACGAACCAATACGTCTCAGATAGAACGAGCCCTACTGCGCTACGCGTTCGACTCTGCATAGAGGATGCCATGGCTTGCGTTTGTGGTCAGCGTGTGGTGCCAGGACGACGTGGAACCTTGTTCTTCCCTTACCCCTTTGAGCAAGTTGTCGAAGCTGTCTCTAGCGTTGAACAGGGTCATTTCCAGTACCCCCTTCTGCGGTAGCTTGAGCAGATTCTGTAGGGGGTCCTCGCTACTCGCCGCTGCTGCCACTGCGGAGGCTGTCTCTATTTCTGTATGAGGCTCGCACATATGCTGCTCCTCCAGTCCTGCCTTCTGCCTGTAGGGCCCCTGTTGGGGATTCAAAGCTGAAGGCACTTAAACAGTGCACAAACCTTGGACACGTCAGCAGCGCAGGACCGCCGAGCGCGCTGAGCAGGCTTTGAACAGGATTGAGCAAATAAGTACCCACGTTGCTAGTAGGCAGCCACATGCATTGTGTGCACGCACGCATCTGCTTGCATAGCGAAGCAAAGAAATACATCTATCTTCATTTTCTCAAACCGTTCACGGCACAGTAGAGAGTGCTAAGGAGGTGGCTAGGGGTGGCCAGCGGGTGTGGCAAAATCCTCAAGTCTCACCTTTCTGTTCATCCAGGAAGTTTATTATCCTAAACGCTGTCTCCGTGTCTGTCTCTCGCAAATCAATCATCCCACTATTTATATATGGGATCTGAGGGTCACAGTCAGCACAGCGTGCGTACAGTGGATGGACAGGTACTCAATGTGCCATGATCTTGCTCTCTTCGTTGTACAGGTTCAAGAACTAGTGAAAGGTGTTCAGGCTTCTGGCTTACGAGAATACGGCTGAGCTTCTTTACCCATTCGTTTGGGTCTGTTTCTCCCTCCTGCGTGATCTCACTCAACGTGTCGCTGCACTTATCCCTCTGCACCGAAGAAAGCAACAAGCTCTACTGTCTGCGCACATTGTGAACGCGAAACGTACCTCCTAAGCTCTGGGCTGCTGACAAGTTGCCATGTACATTTCTACGGAGTTACATGCTAAACCCCTGGGTAGTCCACACGGGAGGCAACTCTAGGAAGGCCGGTACATTGCTGAACGTAGAGATGCTGCGCACCAGTTCCGCCTTGATGTACAGCAGAGACGTCAAAACTCGGACTTTCAGGGGCGTGGAGAGCAGCACGAAACGTGGACGGAGGTACGCAATGAGTTCCTCATCGAGGAGCTTTGCGGCATGACAAGAAGACCAGTTGTCTTTAATGCAGCCCAAGTAGGCGACGTACTTGGCACTTATTGCGGGAGACTTCTCGCCATCTTTTTCAGGCGAAGGGTCTTTCTGCTTGTTATACTCTGAATTATGCTGTAGCTCGTAGCCACCCCGTGGGGATCCTTCCAAGGAGCTGTTCGGGCTATTGCCTTGTTGCTGCTGGCGACTGCAGGAGGCTTCGAGAGGCTCTAATGGATCCACAGCGCTTAAATGCTGAGGCTGCTCTTCTTTCATACTGGAACGCGTTCGACGAACATGGCAGGATCCACATACAAGTGATACGTGCTAAGCCCCGACCGGCCTTCTACGCCAAGAAAAATACTTCAAAAATCCCAGAGAAAACATATAGAAAAGACAAAATAGTGCTGTTACCTACCTTTTAACTCAATAATTCGGCTCACGCTCCGGTAGTTTCCGCCCACTAGCCTCCTTCCACTGCATGCAAAGCCAAAGTCCAATACGGGAAGCAGGAAGATCATTGAAATAGCAACGAAGCATGATTGCCTCCCCTGAACGCAATATCTTCAGGGTAGTAGAGGAGAGTCGCTCTACTCAACGTACACCAGGACCATGCAAACATCTTGTAGCTTTCTGTATGGTGGGTGCTTCGCATGGTTCAGTAGAAACACCGTAGTGCAGCAAGAAACACATCTATTCAATTGCCCCTCTAGCAAGGTTCTCTCCATGTTGTGTAGTATCTATCGATTCGTCGCTTTTGCCAGGCCGTTTGCAGGGTGTCTGAGCCTCTCTTGACAATATGATGTGCTCTGATAAACGTTAACCAAACTCCACGCGAAATAGAATATTGCCACGGGTACGTTCTTTAATGTCCTTTTGCTTGGTGTCAGTGCCATCATATCCTTGATAGGTTGCGGCCACTAGAGTATGTGCATGCACGACACTCCACAATAGTCAATATCCAGGCGTCTGTGCGCGGGGGCCAGGGAGGCCGGGGGGAGAGGGAGGGTGAAGGCGCAGGGTGCCATGAATATGCTCATAACACACAACGAGTGACTCTCTTAAACCCAACTGTGCATCGATCTCGCTTTTTGGTGTTATTGCTCCAAGCGTGTAGACCGGCTACTGCTGGCTCGGAAGTGTTTACTCCGCTGGCTATTTTTTCGATGAGTGATAGTCTTTTCGGAGATGCAGCACAGCTCTCCAGTATCCAAGCCTATCAATGCGCATTTAGCATATCTATGGTCCCGCATTTCATTCCTTATTATTTACTCAACCGCAAGGATGCATGCAGGAGCTAATCCATGTGCCATGGAACCAATTAGTGGCGAGGTAAAAGGCGCGAGGCCCCACCACTCACAGGAAACTGTAGGGGTATCGCTGTTGATGGAGGCGCATTCACTGGCAACAGTGCAATCCTGTGCCCTACTTTACTTCAGTAAACCACCTAACTCCCTTTTAATGCATCTTTTCGTCTGGTGTTACGGGCGCCGAGCTTCCACCAGCGGGTACGCTCCGCAGCGTGTTTCTATTTATCCAGATTTAGTATGAGTGTGCCTGCAGTCTGTAACACACGCATGTATTCGAAAAAGCCGGCTGCACTTGGTGCAGTTGAAAGTAAACAATTGTCAGGGTGAACGCCCTCTGCCAGGCTTGCTACCCGTGGCTGTCTGTTGCAGCCAATGGCGCTACTTCGGTGCCTCCAGAGCAACTGAAGTAGTGGCTGAGAGGTATTAAAGGACCTTGGCGCCCTGCGTCTAGGCGGGCTTTCGGTCCATCCGGTTGCTTACAAATGTGTATGGAGAAATAGAAAAGACAGAAGCACGCTGGTGGCTATATCGTGCACTGTGTTGCATGCATGCACTACTCGAGGCCCTTAAAGGGCCAAAACAACATTCCAAAACAGCGAATATCAGCAGTGTGTTTGGGGGGGCGCAGAGTACCGCGAATATGCTCATGACACACAGTGAACGACTCGCGTAAATCCTACTGTGCAAAGCATCATTGTGTCCACTGCCCAAGGGTTCTCACATACTGTGCAACTGAAGCGAATCCAACGGAGCACACGTATACATAGGTGTGCTCGCGGATAGGTAGAAGGGATGTCCTATAGATAGTGTACCAGATTGACGGACAGCATCACTTCCTGTCGCTTTCGGACGCGCAACTGATGGGGCCGAGCAACCCCTCGCACCATTGCAGCACACGATCCTGCGACCACTGCTGCCTTGCTAACAAACAAACTTCACAAAACTGCACTATAACCCTCCCCAAAAGATTGGAGTCGGGCCTCAGTCATGTAGTCGGCAAGGGAACGCTCACTAACAGCCCCTCCACCGCTCTTCTTCTAGTCTCCTTCCTCCACTCCTTGTCAGGCCTTCGGGCTGCTGATGCTTTTCCCCGTCGTCCCCAAGGCTTCAAGCATAAGGGGACCTATCATGACCACACCTTCATTCAAGTGCAGGTGCTTGCTTGCCGAGATATACGCCACCCATGACAAATACCCCGCATGTGGAGTTCTGGTAGCCGTACTACACAGCCGAGCAGGGCTAGAAGGCCGCCAAGTCCATGCTGTCAGTGTGACACATTCGCCAGAGCACTGCCCGGTTCACTTAACCCATGCTGCTGCTGTTACTGCTACTGCGCATACTGAACTACTAGTAGGTGGCATCACGCTGCTACAACTGCAGCCAGCTGACACATGGGAACATGTGCTGGGCCGGTCTTTCGAGTCAGAAGGCGCACGAGCAAGCCACTGCAGCCGGATGCAGGTGCGCGATGAAAGCTGCTGCATGGAGCTGCCGATGTCAAGCACGTGTGCTGCAGGAAGAAGGCCAGAGACGTAGGGCTCTAGACCTGCGGGCCTCAAACGTGGCTGCAGACAGCGCAGGAAGGGGTCAGATCAAAGGTAAAGGGAGGTGCTGCTGCTCGCAAAAAGCCTGCTGCTGCGACTGCTGCTGCATCTTTTCCATTAGGAGCTGCGATTGCTGTTGCCAGAAGCCAGTGCTGCTGCTGTTGCTGCCTCCAGGAGAGGACGCATCGAAATCGGGCAGCATCAGTGCTGCTGAAGGTCCTGAGGTGGCTCCAGTTCCAGGGCCTCCGTCCGTCAACGTGTTGGTGCTTTGGGGGGTTAAGGATGAAAAAGGCGAGGCAACGTTTGGTCCTGATTCTTGCTGCCCTTGCTGCTGCGAGGCGAGCGGCTGCGCTTGCTGCGGGTGGCTCTCCTCAGCGCTTCTGAAGGAAGCGGGCTGAAACTGGGGAGGCAGCACGTCGTAGAGGCCGCATATCTGCAGCAGGGCGTAGAAGCGATGGGAGACAACGCATGCAGGCGAAGAAGGGATGCACACCCTGCAAAGGCCTCTACACAGCTTCACGAGATGTCTCAGCCAGCCAGCGGGAACCTCTCTCTCTCCCTCTCACCTGGGCGAGCTGAAACAGCTGCTTGGTGGTAGCACAGCGAACTCCTGCAACAGAGGAGGCCCTCTTACGCAAGTGCGGGAAGACGCGCAGCTGCCTGCACATCCCAAATAGACATTTTTTTCCACACCAGTGGAGCGTGAGCGCCCAAAATGAGACCGTTTGGGCTGTGGCACCTCGTAAGTCCTGCTGTCTGACTAGCAGGCTTCAAGGGGGGGCAACCAGCATTTGAGAAAGGAGGGGAGGGAGCACACCGAATGCAACCTGCCTGCTACACATGTTCGACCTCCTTTTTGCCGCAACTTACGCACCTGGATATGCGACTCTTAATAATGGCTCGGCCTTTGTCCCCCAGCTTAAACATGCCTTGAGCTCGAAACTGCTGCCACTGGTTTTCGGTGAGATTCAGCAGGGACAAACAATCCTCGCTGTCTTCGAACTGAGGGAGACACACCGGCACGTCGACGTTGCACACAAAGGGGCCGCCTCCCGCTACTGGCGTTGCCGCGGCTAACTTCGGAGACGGTGCTGCGGAAGCGGGAGAAGAATCCTTGCTGCACTCCTGAGGACCACCAGTTGCTGCCACATCGGCAACGCCAGCAGGAGAGTCTTGAGACAGACGAGACAGCTGACGCGCCACCACAGACCTGTCGATCAAAGTGCGGAGACCGATGTGCTGCTGCTGCTGCTGCTGCGGTTGTTGTTGCTGCTGCGGATCCAACCCTAGTGCCCCGCAGTTACAACAGCTCGTCGCACTGCCACACCCCAGGCAGGTTGTTGCTGTCGTTGGTGATCCGTGTTGCAGCATCAGATGCTGTTGCTGGTGTTGGGATCCTGCAGTGCCCGTGGAGGGGGACGAAGAAAAATCATAAAATGACGCTGGAGAAAGCTGCTGAGGCTGCTGTTGCTGCTCTTCCGAAGATAGCAAAAGAGAGGAAGCTCCGAGGCCATCGCATGCCCAATGCTCATGCTGCCCAATACCCCACTCGTCGCAGGCTGGATCTGCAAGTGCACCGCTAATGACGCGCTTTCGCTTTTGCACAGGCAGCAGCAGCAACTCGTGCTGCTGTTGTTGCTGTTGCTGTTGGTGCTGTTGCTGTTGCTGTTGCTGTTGGTGCTGTTGCTGTTGCTGCTGTTGCTGTTGCTGCTCCTGCCGGTGGTAGCATTGCTGTGAGCCTTCCATTTCTAGCGAAAACAAGCCACCGTTTGTGTGCTGCTGCGGCGAGCAGATGCAGGGATCGCTTCCGCAGCAGCAACCTGCAGCAGCAAGCGGGTGCTGCTGCTGCTGCTGTTGGTGCTTCCCGGAGCTCAAGGGATCAGAAGTGCGTCTTCTGCGCAATCGCGCCTTCCTGGCAGCTGTCGGCGAGTCTTGGTGGGGTGAAGCGTCTGATTTGGGGTATTCCCCGGCGGGCTGGGTGCTTTGTGTGTCGAGCACCTGCAGCTGCAATCGCTGCTGCGGCTGCACCTGCAGCTGCACATCTGACTGCGTCTGTTGGAGCGGCGAAGCGCAGTGACTCGCACAGGAAGACACGGGAAGCGGAGATGCGTGATCCCCCGCAACCTGTTGCTGCTGCTGTTGCCGTTGCTGTTGCGGCTCGCAGCACTGCGGGGGCAGCATGGGGGCAGCCTCAGGTGTCCTCTCCCTGTGCAGCAAACCGCCGCTTTCGAGCCGGAGAGCGTCTTCCACAGCCTCGCCTCTGCAGTGCCTCAGCATTTCAGTGTCGATAGCACAGCAGCAGGTACTGGTGCTGCTGCGGCTTGTGTAAGTTGCGCTAGGACGCTGCTGCTGCTGACACCTCTCTCCTGCAGCGTCTCCTTGCGTTGCAGCAGCAACCTCCACCCTAGACGGGGGTAGGGGGCCAAGTGCAACGCCTCGAGCATTCAAAGGACTCGGCGCACTCGTCAAGAGATTCGCATCGCAGATGAGGTTGCTGGGAAGCTGCAGCAGCAAGGCTCCAATGCCCGCTGCCACCGCCCTTCTCTCGAAATCTGAGCTTTCCGCAGCTTCTGTACACCTGCTGGGAGCTCCCCAGCAGTCGCGAAAGCCCCAAGCCTCTTCTTCAGATCCCCACAGTTGATCGCCTCCTCCGCCATCCGTGTCGAGAGGGGAGGGGGTCTCTTGGAGGGCAATACAGGAATCGCATGCAGCGCCGAGTCCGCAGCTGACGTCCTCCATGAGAGACTGCGGCAGGGGGCCCCACCCTTCACTGCTGCTGCAGCCGCCGTGGTGGAAGCAGCAGCAACAGCAGCCGGAGGAGGCTGCAGCAGCAGCCGCTGCTGCAGCTGAACGCTGCAGTTCGGGGTGTGGCGATCCGCTCGATGGGGGCTGCGCTGCAGCCGTCGCTGCCGTGCTCACCAGCTCTTCCGACTTTGGGAGAGCTGCGTGGCAAAAGGCTGCAGTCACAGACGGGAAGGCGGCACAAAGGGAGGGCGATGCGTCACACCGCAGCCGCATCAGCTGCGCATACGCAGCACATCTGCTGCAAGGCCAATCCCCCCCCGCCGCTAAACAGCAGGGTTGCTGGGTGAGCGCATCTGCTGCCTGGTCCTCGCACCCGCTGTTGTTGCAGCTGCCGCCACTATTGCTGCATCTGCAGCAGCTGCTGTCATGGCAATGCTCAAAGAAAGCCGCAGGGAGCTGCGTGGGGGAGAGCAGCAGCTGCTGCTGCAACATCGTGGCGCCAGGTCGTATAAGGACCACCGCGCAGTATGCTGCTGCGGCAAAAGGCACCGCGCGCACAGCAGCAGCAAGTAGCTGGGCAGCGTGAGAACGCCTGAAGGAAGCAATCGGCCGAAGTTCGAGGCTTTTGTGTTGCTGCTGCAAACGTGGCTCCTCCTCCTGCTGTTGCTGCTGCTGTTGCTGCTGCTGCTGCGGGGAACTTGACTGGCCAAGCGGGCAGGCAGAAGGCCGCCGCAGAACCGCGAGCAGCAGCAGCTGCGCTCCTAGCCAGTCATGGAGTGAGGATCCGAGGGAGACACTACACTGCCGACCCAACGGCTGGGCAAGTGCCCCCTGCAGGGAGGGGGTGTTCGAGCAAGACTTCTGGGGGAAGCACTTATGAAACCCTGAGTCCACTTGATTATTGCCGCCAAAATAAGCAAAAGTGCTGCAGCAAACAGCTGCTGCTGCTCGTGCTGCTGCTGCAGGACGCCCGTGCCCCCCCGCGACTGCCCCTGTCGGCTGCGGCGTCCCCTAGGGGAGAGCAGCAGCACACGAAGCAGGAGGAAATCTTCAACCCCAAACTCTAAAAGTGTTAGTACACCGGACCCACGAAGGGATCCCTGCAAAACGAAGGAGGAAGAGAAGGAGAGAAGTGGAGGCTAGTGTTGCTGTTGTTGCTGCTGCTGCAACAGCACGACGGGCGAGTCGAGCACCTGCAGCAGCAGCCGCCGCTGCTTACGGGTGTGGAGCCACAGGCACAAAACAAAACAAAACAAATTGACCTTTAAAACCATGAAGTGGCATCTGTCTTTGCAACTGAAGGGGGAGGATTGCTGCCGCTCCTGTAGCCCTCCTAGCAACATACGCATAAACAGGGGCGCAGCAACACTCCTGCTGCAGCACCAGATTAGCAGGGAGCACCAAAAGATCAGGCTGACGCCTGTCTTGAGATGAATACACAAGTAAAAACCCGACAGAAATACTGGTGTGCTACCGCAGTATCCCCTACCGCAGCAGCAGCGGCTTCGGCTACACCGCCAGCTGCTGCTGCGTGGCAGCAGCAGCAGCAGCCGCCGCCGCAGCCGTGCAGCGCACGCGTATATGCTTGCCTCCCCTTTTTGCCTAAGATTGTTTGGCTATACACCCCACAGATAAACAGAAACTAAGTATTAAGCAGGCAGCAACAGTGTCGGAGGTCTGTTTGCTTCTGTGCCGCTTAGATGAATCAGGGAGACCAACCGCCGATACGTCCTGTGGGGTCTCTAGTCTCGGCGTTTTTTTTTCCTGGACTTTGTGACTTTTAGTGTTTTTCCTAAACTAAAAATACACCCCATACCTGCATATACACCCCAGTCCAGGACGATAACACTATAAGAACCTAGGCACACTCTGCAGAACGTGCACGGGCCCCTCCTGTGAAGGCAGGGAGGGGCCCCCAAGAGGGCAGGCATCACCCAAGACCCCGCATTAAAGTCAATACTTTATTGAATTAATGCCATAAGCTGATTAAGTGTCACAATAAAAAGATTCCGGGGGCATCGTGAATCCTTTCAGTCTCCCAATTCAGCGTTACAAGTCTCGGCTCAATAAGTTTTAGCATGTGCCAGGTCCCCTAGCCGGGCGGCCATTTTCGAGATAGCGGCCTCTCCTCTGTGCATCTGTCCCTCTAGGTTTGTTTTTCGACTTTTCAGTGGTTCTAGTACCTTGCTGCTTGTTTTTTATGGGCAAGGGCTACGAGCACCCACCCCAGCGGTAGCTGCATCACCGGGAGACAGCCCACGCGGCTGTCCAGCAGCACAGCTGCTCAGTGTCATCCGGTTGAGGCCGCCGCTGCTGAAAACTTCCTGAGTATGAACTAGCTTGTAGGGTTTCCTAAATGCTCCCGTCATCATGGAGATCCCGGGAGAAAACAGCCTCCAGCAACCGCTGCGGGCTCAACAACAGGAGCCAATGCTGCCTGCAGGAGCGACCAGGCAGCTGCCAGGTCCATATGAGTTGCTGATAAGTGCAGCCGTAAGTGGCATCGTAACTAAGACCACATGCGCCCCGATGGACCGCCTACGGTTGCTCTACCAGATCCAGGGGATGCTGCTCCAGCAGCAGCACTGCGTGTCAGAAAATCCCGAGGGGCTGGCTAAAGCCCGCAAGCCTCGTGTCTTTCCCCTAGGATGTAAGTATGGAGGCGTCGTGGAGTCTTTAAGGCTAGTTGTAAGGGAGGAGGGCCTAAGGGCCCTCTGGAAGGGGAACGGCGTCAATGCGTTGCGGGCTGCCGCCTGCTACGCCATCAAGTTCCCAGCTAATGATCTGGCCAAAAGAGCCCTTGGCTCCGACGATAATAACAAAAACAGCAGTTTAGGCTCTCTCCTGCTTGCTGGAGCGATCGCCGGGTCCCTCCAGAAGACCTTTTCTTATCCACTGGACGTCTTGTCTGTTCGGATCGCTGTTGGCATCAATGCTGGCGCTTTGGGCCGTGCAGCAGCCTGCAGTACCAGCAATTCCAGCAATCAGGAGTATGCGGGAGTCTTAGACTGTGTGCGAAGAGTGTGGAGGCATGAGGGGCCCGGGGGATTTTTTAAAGGCTACTCGCTCGCCTTAGGCACCGGTGTGCCTTACGTGATGTTACAAATGACTTTTTTTGATTTGGCAAAGAGGTGAGTGAAGGCCAGCAACACGCACCTCTCAGCTTGGAGGGCAGAGCTTGAGGGGTGTAGCGTAAGTCTCTGGTGTGTACAACAGCCTGGAAGAATGCCGTGCCGGCTAACCTGGCGGGCTCTCTAAACGCCCCTACATCCTAGTTTTTCTGTCCCTCACCTAGCCGCTGGATTGTGCTCGAGAATGAAAGCGCTAGAGCCTGTGCGGGGCCTTTGGTAATCGCTCAGAATCTCTTTTGCTGAATTTCGCAGCTGTGGTCACTGGGGCTATAGCGGGGGTCAAGGGGGATTGAAGGTGGCTAAACGGGCGACGAACTCGTGGGGAGTGCGACAAAAATAGCGGATCAAGTAAAGCCTTCCGTGATTGCCGCTGCCAGAACTTTTCTTCGGGCTCAGGAAAGTGGGAGATGCAGCAGAGAGGCGACGACAAGGCAGCTCCTGGCCGCAAGTTCTGTTCATTGCAGCAGCCTCAGGTAAACGCACTTCAGCTGCCGCTTCAGCAGCTGAATGAGTGCGGCATGCACGTATCTGCACGGTTGAGACATTCGCTAGATTTTTAATTCTCGGGTTTCCTCGTTTGTGGCTGAAGTTGCGATATAGAGCGGCGCGGCGCGTTTCCGCCTCTACGAAGCTGCCGAGATGCGCTGAGAGTTTTCTAGAGATCATCTGATCGGCTCAGAATGCAGGGGACCTCTCCTGATGCAGTTGGACGTTTTTGCACCAAGCAGGAGTACGGTGAGGGCCTGTAGAATAAGGATCTATTCATGGTAAAGGCACATCTCTCTGTATGGCCTGTGGTGCACGTAGGGAGTGCGGCCAGTATGGCAGCTCAGGCGGTTGTCTTCCCCTTTGATACCATTCGGAAGCGTCTTATGAGCGACGGAATTGACGGCCGCCCGCGGCTCTACAGGTCAGTTCCTTTGGAGCCTTCTCAGCATTGGCTTGCTTCTGCTTGTGCCGTCCTTCGATCGTTATGGCATTGCTTGCATACACAACGCTGTTACTTGTTTGGCTAGGTGGTACACTCTCGTACATTCATAAAGCCCGAAAGGAAGGCGAAGGAATCAAGAAGAAATATGACTTTGCCGTCTGTAGATCGCAAAGACGCTGCCTTGCCCTAAAAGTTGCTTCTTGTCAAGTGTTCGTTACCTCATATACATACCTTGTCCTTCCCCTATCGTCTTGCCTATTGTCTCTGAATTTAAGGGGCTTGCACCTGAAGGTTAACAACATTTTCGGCTTCTGTTGTTTCTCCACGGGTCACACGTCGTTGCATCTGCTACTATTTCAACGGAACACCCGAGGCGATTTCGTGGTATCCGCTGCTTGTATCGTGTATGTCTGCAGCTCTACTTGGAACTGCCTCAGTGCCATTAGACGGACTGAGGGTCTTCAAGCCTTCTACTATGGCATTTGGCCAGCGACTTTACGCAGCGTTCCAGCGGGTGCCATTCAATTTGCATGTTATGAAATGATGAAGGAACTTTTCCGCGCCCGTTCTGTAGCGGCAGGTGTTCAAATGGCTTAGCTCCAACCTGTAAAAAAAGATAAGCATAGTTACTCTCTGTGTGCATCCTGTAAATCCACCTTATGGCTGCCTATGCATGCATTCTACGTACTCGGACCCAGATGCAATCACCCTGCCACTCTGCTAAGTCGCTGTTTGCGGAGTAGGCCGCTTGCTGCTCCCTCTTGTATTGCCTATACCGCATTAAGTGCATGCAAACGAGGGACAGAGGTACATCTCTCTCTTTTCCCTATACTCTATCAACTCCAGGTCATTTCGCTACCTTGAAAACTGTCTTGTCTGAAGATGGCAACTGAACGATTAGTTTCTTTGTAGGGGGCCGTGTCATAGGGAAAGTGGATTCTTCAGCTCTAACGCAAGGCCACCTACAGATTAAAAAGCATGCTGAAAGGTGGTGGAGAAACATACGACACAGAAAAGAAACCTTAGACTGTTTGACCTGCAGAACTTAAGCATGCAGGGTTTCACACCTAGTTGCCTTCGGCTCAGTGTGCGCTTTGATGGCCTTGGACCAGAGGCACCCACTAAAACATCCCCGATTGTTAGAGTGTTAGTCTCATGGTTTGCGAAGAAGGACTACGTGTTGGGGCTACAAGTAAGGGTCTAGGATCTATCCTGTTTGCTGCTGCTTTTGCCTTGAAGAGCTGTTCTTCATGAGTCTGTAGGAATGTTTGGAACTGCGGCTGAGTGGGGCAGCTGAAGAGTGCTCATAAGTGTCAGTGCCGTAACACCTCGAAGACGACTCCCAAAACTCCCAGCTCTTATCTCTTACCGTGCCATTCGGCTGGCTAAAAGGGTGTTCTGCAGATAGAAGGGGCACAGGCAGTCCCAGCTGGACGAATACTCTGCAGAGTCATTCTCCTTCAAAGTCGGGTGAGGTTCCTGACTTCAGAAGCGTGATGCTCTCCTTTAGGTTAGGGCTAGGGCTCATCGGGCTGCACCTTGAGCGAACATTCGTCTCCATATGACGTAGTATATTAGTATGTCCCGCGCTGCGGGCTCTTTGAGGCCTACCCACCTAATCTCTCCCATGCCATGGGCCTTTTCGATGCACCAGTCCCTCCTGTGCACTGAGTGAAGAACCAGTACTTTGCCGAAAGGCCTTTTTATTCCGTTACTGGGGCGGGGGAGCGACATGGCTGTAAACGTGGAGTGATGCTTCTCTCTTCATCAACTAATCTCCGGCCGAGTGTGGGTGCATTACAAGCGTTTTCCATCGGTTAAATCGAGAGAGCGCTGGCAATCCCCATTGTGTGCTCAAACGGATAAACTTAGAAGACTAGAAGTGTCTGGAAGGCTCGAAACCCTGCACCCCTAGCCAGCCTGCAGCACTGTGTGACCAGGAGTCATACGGGGTTTTCAGGTCTCAGGAAATTTTGGATGAGAACCTCGAAGAGTCAAGACTTACTGCACATATCTGCTTATTGCAGAGGCTACGGAGGACCTTCGAAAAACAGATCTTGGTAGAGCTTCATGGAAATGAGCCGTGCGAAGGGGAAGCACAGCTCCACGAAGGCTACACTGTAGCCTGCGAAGCCACACCTGAACACTTTCTAGTACAGTTCACCCAATTTTTCCAGAAGTAGTAAACAACCAAATACTTGGCTTGTATGTTCCTTCTTTTAACTTGGTGCAAAGTACTGTTAGCTACGCTACACGATGCAATGGTGTGCGCATGTGCGCTTAAAGGCATGTACAACAAGCTGTGAATGGCTGAAATGCTCGAGGGGGGATGGGGAAGAGGGACCCCAGAGGTGCCTCTTCCCTGACTTCGGAACTTTCAGGATAAAGGGCATCGGAACGAGTGTGCATTCGTGTAGGAAAGGCGAGAAATCAAGGAGAAACGCTCTGCAAAACCGTCCTTTTACGCATAAAATAAAGCTTTATATCGGTCTACCTGGCACACAGAGGAGGCAAAGGCGCTGGCATGAGGGCGCTTTTGTTGGTGTGCGTCCCTGCTTACATGTGATGCTACATGTACTAGGTCTCCGTAGGGAGGCATTTTACTGCAGGCACATGCTTTTCTACCGTAGCTCCAGGGTCTAGTGCACACTATCTCATAAGTAAGGATGTGACATTGCAAACTAGTGCTGAATTTCTTCTTTCCTTGCTACTTGGTAGGTAGAGCATTGGCCCTTGGAGCCATCGAGAGGCAGGGGACTTTCGTCTTTCCATTTCTTGCACCAGTGCGTCTAGCTGGGGATCAACACAGCTATTGGCAAAATCAAAAGGTCATTTTAGTGCGCCTGAGGCCTTGCCAGGTGGCGTAAGAAATGCAGCCACGAGAGTGAGTGCATGTGGCAGTTGTGTTTGGACTGCAGGGGAGGTGTAAAACGTAAGGCAAGCAGCTGTTCCTCCAATATCGGAGGCTTTGCTAGAGGGGGCTGGATCAGAACAACTGGGGTATCAGAGTGTAATTGCTAGTGAATTTTTTTCGCTACTTCCATTGCTGCGAACGCAGCTGCCTCCCTGCTGCTACCATGCCCCGCTCCCCAATGTGTCTCTAAGCATGTGTTCGTATTTTTGTTCTCTTACTGCTGTAGCGGCCCCAATAACATGTTAATCGTGATTTGGGGATAGCTCGAGAAAGCACAAGGGGCGAATAACCGCAGAAGACGCAGCCTGTGGGGTCACCGCGGAGATGTGCCGCCCTGGACCGAACGCCTCCTGTCTCTGTATTTTGGGCGTGTGTTTCGTTGAAACCTTTTCCTGCAGAGGCCTTTTGTGCGTTTTAACAAAGATACGAAGCGCTTTGTCCGAAGGCACCCTCCGCGGTGTGCTCAACCGCTGCAACATCACCCTACAGCAGCACTGACTACGCGGGTCCATAGTCTGCTACTCTGAGAAATTTCTACGTCTGGTGCCGCCACTTTAGGGGGCCTCCAATGCCAGGCCATGAGTGCCACGCTGCTCCCTTGCTCACCGAGTCCGCCGGTGAAGTAGCTTTTAACGCTGCACCCCTAGGAATTCCTCCGGTAGCTGCGAGAGCGAGCGAAGCAGAAGCAACGAAACCAGCAGCAATAGCAGCAGCAGCAGCCACAACACATGGACTGGGTAGGCCCACGGGGTACTGGCTGCTGGGTCGTCGCCTGACTGGAGACATAGTGGCCGCATGCTGCGCCTCTTTCTGTATATCCCCGATTGTAACCTTGGTTGACAAATCAGTAGTACTGAGTGCCACGGGGAGGGGCCCTCTGGTGCCCTGTTTGCTTGATTCCCTCATGCGTGTTATTCGGAGTCCGCTAGGATTCCTGAGGGGCCGGGACTTCAAAGTAGTATTTGGGGTATATGCCGGGACATACCTGGCGGCTAATGCGTCAGAAACCATCGGGGCGGCATTCCACAGCACTTCTGCGCTTCCCAAGTTTGTCGGGATCACTCTCTGCAATGTATTTCTTTGTGTAAGGAAAGACATCATCTTTTCCCGCCTGTATGGGGCACCTCAAGGGGCAGGCGGGTACTACAAGGACTTCCCTCTGGCATCTGTGGGCCTGTTCCTAGCCAGAGATGGACTAACCATTGCCTCAGCCTTCAATCTACCTCCTCTTCTGGCAAACATCCTCGTGCGCTGGGCAGAAAATACAACGGATGCCCTCGACGGCCCAGAAAGTGAAGTTCTTGTCTCTCGCGGAGGCCAAGAAAAACTACGACATACACAGAAACAGCTGCAGCACCAATCACCACGGCATCAGAGCCACTATCACGGCACCCAAGAAGACGGGCACCAGCCAAATGAATTGCAGGACGGCAAGCAGAGAACGTCTGTTCCACAATCTGCAGGGGCGTTTCCCGATGGTTCTCTCCGCGCTTCGCTCTCGAGGGGCCCTTTGTGGGCTTTACGACGGTGGATTCTTACCGAGCCCCTGGCAGCTTCTTCAATGGCCCAGGTGCTGTCACCTGTGGGAATTCAGTTGGTGTCTACCCCGCTTCATCTGCTTTCTCTAGATCTGTACCACAGGCCCACAGCCACGTTTGGACAAAGGCTCAGCGCCCTTTCATGGGCTTACTGCCCTGCAGTTATCGCGAGGGCTGCCCGCATTGTGCCCGCATTTGGAGTTGGAGGCCTCGTCAATTCCAGAACTCGGAACAGCTTGACTGCAGCAGATGGAGAGACTGCAGTGACATGTACCCTTTCTAAGACAACACAGTACAAGTAGGGATCATTGTGAACCTACAGTTTTCGGGGGCCCTAGGAACCTGAAAGCACCCTTGAGGGACTGCGTGTATTGGGATCTTTCACGCCCCGTGGGACAAAGCGCACCAACGGGGACCAAGGCATTTGCAATATCAAATTTCACACAAGTGCTTATCGAATAGGTTCTTTTGCGAAGATCGTTTAGGGCAGTCCTTAATGAGGGAGGACGCTCTAGTTTGCCTAGACATGCACCAGTGAGGAGCGTCCCGACGCCCCCCGTTGTTCACTGGCCTATTGTGCATTGCCCTCGAAGGCCCCTATAAGAGGGACCGCTTTCTGTTACTATTCTGTTTGTTTTAGGGCTATGTGCAGCCCATGATGACCTAGTCCTCCGCGGGCTACCTTTTAAGCCCTCTGGGCGGGACCCACCAGGAAAATGTCTTCCGTTGGAAGCGGGGCGCAGTGAGCACCCTTTGTGCACGAACATTATTGAGGACTCTACTTGCGCTGTCCTAAGTATCGACTAAAGGAGAACGTATGGCCAGCCGGTGCTGGCAAGCACTTAGGCGACGAGCACCTGGGGCAACAGGGGCCCGCCATCACTGCTGGGTACAGGGAAACTCTCCATATTAGCCTGAAACTATACCACCCTAGTAATGCACATGGAAAGGAAGCGAGAAGTACATCCAGCACTGCGGCAGCCACTTGCAGTACTGGCAGCAGACGAGCACCCGCAGAAGCGCTGGAGCTATTGAGAGAGCGGCCTACTGCTTATGGCACAGATACCTAAGGGAGCGAAAACTCGAAAGCGTGCACCGAATGCTTTCTAGTAAGTCAAAAACGTACGCAGACATGGGGTATCGAGGACGTGGACACTGTCAAACTGAGGGATCAGGAGACAAAAAGAACGGGTGCCCGCAAAACAAAGAGTCCGTAAATTGCCTGACCATGTTCAAGGGGGAAAATACGCTGCTGAACAACTTGACAGGCACAAAGACGAGATAGGCAAGGCAAGGGAGAGTAAAACCGTAGGATATACGCAGATGGGGATATGTGAGCCATAGACAGGGAGAGAGAAAAACAGACCAGGCTGTGGAAGCAGCATCATAAGGAACGCCTTAACTTCCCTGTCGCTGAAGCGCCCTTCCGTGTCTTTGGGATAGAGCCGCTAGTCGTATGGCTGCCGAAACACCGGCGGCCCTCCGCTATGCGGCAGGACTACCTGGCTTTTGCAGCGTCTAGTTCATCCACATGACCCCGCTAATCGCGGAGTCATGGTCGGGAGCAGCTTCCCGCCCAGCAGTGCAGGGACAGTCTTTTCCTTCTATGAGAAAAAAGAATGTGGGGCGGCCCCACACAGGAGGTTTAGAGGATAAAGGGGCTACTCCTGGTACAGGGACGAAGGATACACTGTCACACGAGATGTGCGGCAGCCGGCCTTGTTTATGACCCCTCTCGAGAAGCCCTGCATGGCAAAGCACAATACTCTTCCCTCTGCCCTCTTCTGTCTCCCTCGAAGCGCGCACAAAGCACTCTATCTGCGCCTGCTCTCTTGACCTTCTCCCCTGAACGCTCAGCTGCAGTTCCCTAGGCAGCAGGTCCTCTTATGTGATCCGGGCAACCCTCCAACCTATGTACGCGCTGATGCACGCAAGCGCCAGGGTGTATACGTAGACTGTTAGCCGCATCTTGATGTGGGAATGTATATGCAGCTGGAAAACTGTGGCTAGGTACAGCAAGGAAGAGTCACCAGAATATTGCATGGACGCAAAAGTTCATGTGACAATTTGGCAGAGAAGCACAGGGCAGGCAGGGGTTCCAGCACCGCCAAGCTCCTCCTCTCTTCATAGTTCATTAAAAAGTCTGCGGCTCATGTATACCTGCAGACTGTTTCTTCTAAGAGCTGGCCAAGCTAGCTTTTAGAAGACTAGGGAAGCATGGGGTAATTCCAGGCCTTCGTGAACTCGCATAGTGACACCCAGTCGCGCCCTGCTACTACTTTCAGAGTAGGCTCCACCTCGACATCCACTTTCCCACCTGTCTGCATCACAATCGCGGGCGATAGGCTCGATAGCCTTCTTGGTAACAAGCAACCTGACATGCTTGCCAGATAGCCTTCCAAACACGCACTGTCGACCGGGCTATGCGGGAGCTGGTGCATCTTCCAAAATGCGCCCTAGCTTTTTCGCTTGTTTGCTCGTGAACCCCTTGGCCAATTGTTCTAAGGGTGCGGGTTCCCCTGAAGTGCTAATCTTGTGGAATACAGTGACGATATCCTTTTCGAGATCTGCGTCTACAAAGGTCGTTTTGTATATTCCAGCCAAAACCCCCAAGGCCCGAGATACGCGAGCAATGTCTCCACTGAAGAAACCGTTGCGGTCCTGAGAGACAGACGTGCAATGTAGTCCACAAGGTTCAGCTCATTTATTTACCAGCCTCAAACTACTCTGCTAGCCAAAACGCAGGGCAAGCAGTCAGCAAGCCAAGTAGATAGCCTACTAGCATAGGTAAAGGGCAGCACGCGAAGGAGCCGGCATGGCCCTCATATAGGCTAAAGGGAGAGGATGCATGCCAAAGGGGTGCGGAGAGCAGTCCTAGATGATAACGGCACCACCGAAAATCAACGGGATCAAAGACAAACTAAAGCGCGGGCCTGCTTTCCCGGCAGCTCCTCAGCAGTGCAGTGAGTAGATCCTTCCAACCAGAAACCTTGTTCCTTACCCTTTGCAGGGCATCCAAGAGCTGTCGGTGCACACGAATGCCTTCAGTAGCATCTTGCTTTAGCGGCAGCTGTTCCAACCAAGTTGCCGTCAATGCATGTACCTCGGAGCCGAGGGCGGTGCCTTGATATTCCACTAAGTCTCCCAAAGCAGCAACTGCGTTGTCAATAGCAGCCTGGAGCAGGACATCAATCCACAGCAGAGCTATACGAAGCTTCAACGCCAACAGGAATTCTCTCTCGTAGTAGTGATCACACTATACATGTCTAATACTGCAGAACAGCACTGCGCCCCCCGTTCGCAGTCCTGCAGCATCAAAATAGAGAACCGATGTTTGTGTGCGACTATTGCAACACCAATTCAAAGAGAAGGCCTCACAGCGTGAAGCTTTCCGCGTTTGTCCTTGCCGTTTCTGATGACCTGCAGCAAGCTGTTGGCAGCAGTACCCGCAAAATTAGCAAACCCCTCAATTTTGGCTGCCTGCTGCACTCCATAAGCAGCAGCCTGCACGACACGCTGGTCTTCACATAAGAGGCATTCTAACACCTGAGGCAGGAACCGTGGCCACAGGCCCATAGCCCCCCCCTGAACATATACACACTCACATTCATGGAGGCTAGCGCATAAATTATAAACCCTACAGTATTCAGTGAGTGTGTGGGCCTTGGGCGTGCGCCTGCAGGAGGTGGAGAATCTCTGATGCTGTCAGGACTGGCTAACAAGAATTGAGGGCGCTGGATATGTGGATTACGGGTACCTTTAGGTGCTGCAGGATGTCACAGCACACAAACAATCCAACGGCCTTATCCTCGGAGCAGGCCTGAGACACCAAGAGGCCCTCAGCAAATTGCAGAGCCGTCTCTATGGACGGCCCCCCCAGGAACTCGGCGGGGTGGCTTGCCATGAGAGCTCCTATCAGCTCCACCAAAGTCGAACGCAGCGTTTGCTCCTGCAATAGCCACGCACAAGTTGGCAACATCATAGGCCAAGTTCGCAGCAGCAGCACCCAGCGAGAACCCTTCAATGGATTCCACCCTGTGTCAGAGAACCGTTTCCTCATGAGCAAGACCATCACGGTTACCGTCCGCTGTTTAAGCGGGCCTTACGACTACAGGGACAGAAACCGGAGCAGGGGTCTATCAGTTCTCACTGTTTCTTCGTCGTCCTCTATCTCCGTGAGATCATCATCTTCGAGCTCCTCCTCCGCGTGGCGCTTGGCAGCCAACTCGGTGCGCCGCTCACTGCTTTTACCAAGTAACTCCAAGACACGACGCACCTGCTCGGCAACCTGCAGAGACAGCCCACAGACTGGAAGCACCCACGCTCAGCTAGCGCAAGCGACAAGTTGCATGAGCAGCAGCGATATCTCAGAGCTGCTTCGCGCCCCACTAGACGAGGTGAAGAAAGGATGAACCGGCAGCTTCGCTGTTGAAGAAGGAGCAATTTTTTGCATGCTTGGACTAGCGAAATGCATTCTTCACAGAGCTTAGATCCAACGGAATAGGGGCAGCGCGCACGCGCGAACAGCGCTCTACGCAACGTATATGAAGGAACCTGATGCAACCAATACATGTGCATTTACCTCCACCGCATCCAAGATGCCTCCTCCTGCTGTTTCAATGCACTGCACCAAGCCGGAGGCCTGGGACTGAATGGAATCCGGCTCTGCTTCTGCCTCGGATAGCGAGCTGAAAGTGTCGTTCAGAGTTTGTACCAACAGAGCCTTGCGGATGTCATTCAGCAGAGGGCAGAGAGCAAGCACCCCCAGGAGGGCCCCCGTTGCCTCTAGAGCCCGCTCCTTCACTGACTCAGAGAGCAGGTGACGCAGCAAGGGCGTCACCGCGCGCCCGGTCTGCACCAGGAGTCCGCGCACCTCGTCGGCTGTTTCTGCTACTGCAGCAGCAGCAGCTAAAGGCTTTGCTAACACAGAGAAGATGGTCTGCAGGAGCTCAAGGGCTCGCTCTTGCTCCTCCAGCAGCGAAGTACGCAATCCCAAACTCTTGCCCTCATCGATCATCACGTATGTCATGTCCTAAAGAAATACGCACACATTACTCCAAGAAAACGTTTTCTGCTTACCGTTGCTTTGCTATTCCCTTTTTGCCCCCAATCCTGCTGCCCTGCCTCCTGCATAGGTTTGCCTTCTACCCAAAGACTGGTCTGCAGTGCACCAGGCACCTTCGCTTCGGTAAGCACAGGTGCACCAGTAGGAGGCGCTCCCTCCACATTGCGCACACGAGAACCAAACCGGAAAGCTCCCCATTGAACAAGGCGACACAACGGTCATCACCCACATACAACCTAAACTCTATGCCCCAGGCAAAACCATTTGACGGCTGTGTGTTTTCGCCATACATCGAATGCGTCCTCTCCTTCCTCCGCTTCAATTTCGTCTTCTTTGACAATCTTCGGCTCCACAGACAGCACCGAAAATAGTTGCGGAAGTAAGCGGCCTAGAAAAGGAATAAAGTCGGCCTCCATAACGCGGCAGAGCCTTGCAATCGCTTCCGTTAAGTACTCCCGTACTGTCTCCGTTTCGTCTCCATCCGTAGTGCTGCTGGTACTGTTGCTCTTGCTGTCGGCGGTAAGGGGTGCTTCAGTGGCGTTGTAGAGTTGCAGCAACTGTTCCATAACAAAGCCACTGTCCGGAGCAAACACCTCGCGGCCTGAGGGCAACAGAGCAGTCTAACAACTTTTGCCTCCTTCACATGGGTATAGGTGTCTCAATGCAGCGCACGTGGCGTGACTATCGCCGTCCCGCTGCCGGTGTCTATATGTTTCTCTATTTCGAGTGGCCCATATATAAGGAGTCAGTTTGGACGCGCCAAACGGTTTTTCAGTCTGCATAGCCTCCATGACCTAACAACCCGAGAGCCTTTGTGCAACTAACCAACGCTGTATCCGACAATAGAGGCAGCCTCGATGGCTTTGCACTTGAGATTGCTGAGAAGAACAGTTTCTTTGTGCGTCCCTTGAGGATTTGTCTCCTGTACTAAACGCAGTAGGGCTGGTAACACTGCGGAGTAGTAGGGCTGAAACTCCTTTTCCAAAACGCCAGCAATAACTGCTACGCAAGTTATTGCGTGCTGACGCACGAGTAGCGCTGAGCAAACATTACACCAAGGAGTATGCAGCAGCACTGCCGGGACGAAAAACCAATAGTCTGCGCTACACATAATGCTCCTGCTGTTTGCCTTTTGTTTCGTGCGTCTATCATGTACAAGAGCCTTGAAGGTGAGAGCCGACGCCTGACAACTTGTGGCTTCGGACTTACGGGATGAGGTATCTGCGAGTTGCAGGATCTTGGGCATCACAACCTGGACAATCTCCCGCATTTGCTTCTTCTCGAGCTCTTCAGCGAAATTCACAAAGGCCGCGCATGCGTGGCTCCGCACTCGTGGGGTCTGAAGCAATAACACGTGACTCACACAATGAGTCGTGCAGCAACTCAACCAGCCACCCACCTAGCTACCACATGCTAAAGCTATTTTCCCGGCTAAAGAGACATGTCAACCGTCTAGACAACTAATTGCAAAGTGGCAGCTAGGCGCCGGCAAACCGGAAGCACTGATGTACAGAAACGGATGTCCAAAAGTACGAGTCTGGCAGCCATTCTCTTCGTCTAGCTGGCCTCTAGCTGGATATACTGTCTAGTAATATATAAAGCGAATTGAATAGGCAAGCAAATACCTTGATTCCGGAGCAAACTGTCGACTGGTCAACTAGAGTTCGGCCCGAGCAAAGGGACTTACGGGGTCGGAGAAGCAACCAATGAGAGGCTCAAGGAGCACATGGGAGTATTCATGTTGTACCGTGGGGGCATGGTCTAGCGAGAGCTGCCCCAGGCATTGACATGCAGCAAATCGCACGTGAAAGTCCGAATCTCGCAAACCCTACAAAGGCAAAGGCGAACAAACAGGACAGCAGGGAGACAGACGCTTGTGTGAGGACGATGACTGAGAGGACAATCAAGAGGAGCTCCCCAAAGATCTCGCTCTTCCTCTCTTAGCACAAACGGGGCCGCTACTGCAACACTCGGCAAGCTACAAGGACATACTACTGCGGATATGCAGATAAAGTTGTGCCCCTCAGCAGCAGTACAGCAGCAACCAAAGCACCGGTAAGCTGTTGCAATTACCTTGGCAACGGTATCTACAACGGCAGCCAGCTGCTGCTCCTCTCCTGAAGGGATATATTCCACGGTTTGCGATATTGCCATCAACGCCACAAAGCGATATACCCAGTGCTCTTGGACCAAGAAGGGTTTGATGAGCTCAGCCAATAACGGTAACATGTTTGTTGCCGCAGACAGGCTCTCCCGCTTCCGCCTGCTTCCGCTGCTGCCAACGGCCTCATCGTCATGCTCATCGAAGCAGCGAGCCACTCGGTCCAAGCCCTCTTCACCAATGTCGTACATTCGCTGATCCTGCGCCCAAATCATATACCAAAAGGGAAGCGACACACACTGCCGCCCAGGTGCGCAGACAAGCGTAGGGTGAACTGGAGTGGCTCAGAGGCCGCACATATCGCAGAAGCAGCGGGAGCAGCACATGAGTAGCCTACATCGTCACTCTCCTCCCCTGACTGGAACCAGTCCTCATAATCTTCTCCTTGGGCCTCCAGCATGCAACGGAGAAGCGTAGCGATGGTCTCTTTCAAACTTTCCGTGCAACCCGCGATGGTCTGAGGCTTTTGCTCGGCATAGCACAAGACTGCCTCAATGGCCAGGCGCCTTACCGTCTCGAAACCCTCGGCCTTATCCGCCGTCGCAGCACAGGCCGCTCCGGCTACAGAAGGCCCAGCATCCGGTGTTGCTGACCCTGCTGCTGCTGCTGCTGCTGCTGCAGCAGCAGTTGCCGCAGCTTGCGCACGCTCAGCAAGACTTGGCAGGGCCTTCCCAGCATTGGCCAGCGACAACAAGTAGTCTAACACCAGCGAAACATGGCCCTTAAACAGGGCAGCACCGCCCCCCCTATCCGCCTCCAGCAGCTGAACCACTAGGCCTAGCACCCTGCAACGGCACCAGCAGCGCATGCAACTCCCCGTGGATGCAGGAGCCCCACAGACAACGCAGGGAAAGCAGGAATCACCAGTCAGACACATGCTATAGCCAGCAAGCCATCACCAACACCAGTAAGAAGCCAGCAAGAGCAGCGGCAAAGGCAACAACTCAACGCACCTCTCTGCAAGCTGGCAATCCGGGGCCTCCCCTTGTGTGACCTCGGCCCCCGCCTGCCGCAGCGCTGCCTCAATGGCAGCAATGACGAGGAGTGCCACGGGAGACTCCGCTGTGCCCACCTTTCTGTATATACCTGCACAGTTCAGCAGCACCTGTAGCACGAGTCACGCCATGAGACGGCAAACCACGGGAGGACTTAGCTAGTGAGGCAGCCCCAGTATCAAGGGGCTCAACAACCCACTCAGCAGCACCACTGGGCAGCATTTTTCGCAATGGCGGCCCACTTCTCTGAGCGTCTTCAACGAGCGCAACAAGAAGTGAGAGTGCTTCTGCGCGAGTTTCTGCAGGTTTGGCGGTGCTGAGGCATCCCCTAACAAGAGCTGCAAGCTGTGGACCCCCGTCGGTACTGCCCAGCTGGGGACCCAAAGCAGGAATGACCTCCGAGAGGATATGAAGGGCCCCCTGCTGCTTGTGAGGCTCGTTCGTATAGATTAGGCTGAGGAGCTGAGGGCCCAGGGTGGGCCATTGATCTATGGGTACCAAATCACATGCAAGATCTGCTGCAGTGTTGCATATATTGCTGCGGACGGTCTTGCTGCTTTCATTTTCCACGCATCGTATCAGAGAGGTCTTGACATTTTCCCGAGTCTGCTGAGACAATCGGCCCCACACGTTAGTCTCCCCGTCCAAGGATCCTCCAAAAGCAGAGGAACGAAGCAGGACTGCAGCCTGCAAGCGCAGTTGCTCTGCAGGGTGCTCTCCTAGGGTTTGTAGCAAACATGAGACAAATACGTCGGGGGCCCCTTTCTTCAGTTCCGTGATGCGAGATTCTGCCTCCCTACGCACTGCAGAGTCGGGGTTCAGTGTCGCCTCCAATAGGGCGCAAAACGAAGATGGATCCATCTCCTAGGGCTTTGGCTTTAGGGCTCTGGGCAAGAGAAGCACGTCAAAAGTGCCTACGGAGAAGACGTGGGGCCCCCCTAGATATGTTAGACGGGGCCCTAAGTTATCCTGGGGGCCCCTGAGGCCCCTGAGGAAACAAAAGATGGGACAAGAGGAAACAGAAAGCGGACTCTTGCTCGTGTGGGAAAGCTTCTAGGTAGGGAAGGTGCAACTCCGCCGGACTGGAGTTAAAATATTACGCGTTCCCGTGTGGAAGAGCTAGAATACCACACCAGCTAAGAGCAGAAAAGCCCAAAAGGCTCGACCCCACCAGAAGTGGGGCTGCGGCGCCGATGCTTCCCGAGGTGCTACTGCAGCCGCGATTGTTAGTAATACCAGTAATGTTGCTAGGTTTGCAATTAATGCTGCCACTACATGGCACTTGGGTAGTTGAGCAGGACACTACACCAAGAATCCTAAATCCTATTAGTTTTTGTGTTGTCATCTCATCTGTGGCATAGGTCCCCCTATGCGCTAGGGCGTTCATCGGCTCTACTCCATATCCCGCTGAAAACTCTATGCGCTGGAACTCTGTGTCATTTTACATCGATGGCTAGAGCATTGAAATATTTGCCCAGGGAGCGATGGCTCCTTCCATTAGCCTTCCCTTTTCCAGAACAGCCACGCAGCGATGTGGGCGGGGGAAGACTACCTCTTTACAGGCATACCTTCATATAGGTCGCTAAAACACCTTAAGGGAGCTCCACACGTAGCAGCTGGGTGGAGTTTTGGCACGGAAGCTCCTGCTACCCGAGCAGTAATCGTCGTTGTGCCCTAGGGAAGTCACGGGCTTCGAGAGGCGGAAAAAGAATATATTGTTCTCAGTTCTCAAAATTCACTGGATTTGTCAACATGTAACTTTGAAATAACTCTGTACCCAGCAAATCAACAAGGTTGCAGCGAGTGTGAACGTGGACAATGCTCGTGGAATAATGTTTAGCACGTGTGGTACCCTCTGATGCTGTTCAGTGCTCCTTCTATGATGCATGTATATACCAGCACCCGTTAACCCTTTTAACAGATTTTCAGGTTGTGACTAGTTGGAGACTACTGTAAGTCCGGGTAACAGAACGATGGACATGAAACTGGAATACATAACTCGTGGCCTATTGCCTCTCGGTTGTTTTCTGGCGTGCTCCTATTCGACAGTGCGAATGCCAGCGCTCTGACGGTGGCTCATGGTCTCTGGATGTGGAACAAACTTGTCCTTAGGGGCAGTGGAGCTATACTGCTCAAAAATTATTCCCTCCTGAATCATCCTGCGCGTTGCTTCGGGCATCCTGATGACGTACTTTCTTAGATCTTGGTCTTCCTAACGATTATTCAGTCCTAAGCTAGCCTCGTACCAGCCGTATAAGAGCCCAGTGTGGCTCTCCTTTATCGTGATGTCAAATTTGTGTTTCTGGTCCACGGAGACAACCGCGCGATCTCGCTCCCCTCGATGGCGAAAAGGTCACTGCTAAATAGCTTTCTAAAGCACTCTTTGCACAATTCCCTGATCCCAACGATTTTACAATGGACCGGTGGATTTTTGCTCGACGTGTAATTGCTACTCTGTACCTATATGGTCAGCAATACTCGGCGTTCTTAAGCTTGGAGGCTTCAGTTCACTCAAGCTTTTGGGAACACTGCTATGTACATGCACATTGGGTCATGAAGGTGATTCGTACGCGTACAGCATTATCCTTAACACTTGCGAGGAACAACGAGGATGCCTACTTGTATTTCACAACCAGAATAGGGAAGCATATGTTGTACGAATTGCGTGTAATGTCTTCATAGATACCACATATCGAGCAAGAGTATTTTCCTCCCTTCCCTTGCACACGAGCACGTGTTCCTTTTATAACATCTGTTAACGACAGAAGCAAGTGGGGGCTTGGACCCTCTCTCGCCAGCAATCATCAAGTGCAAGCAAGGTGGTTTCCAGCCGAGAGTTCTTGGAGTCGTCTTCTTACACATCTACTCTCCCTAAGTTCCCTGGAAGCCGTCACACTAACTTCCATGGGTATATGGTTGTGGTGTAGCTCGTGCTGCTTCTATAAAGCTGTGCCTCCTCCTATGCATCATGTTTTCATGATTTCTTATAACGATCTAGTCTCCCAGGACCCGCCGCAGTCTGTGCATTAAGCGATCATGTGCATCTATGCTGGACCCTTGCAGGCCTTTACCCGTCCCCTGGACCGCAAGAACTTTTGTAACTCGTACATACGCCGTGCTACACATCGCAGACTGGGGCTCAAGGCTCTGCGACACCTGAACTCTACGATGCACCCCACAATAGCCACTCAGTATACATTATCGGCGTTTCACCAGAGACGCTCATCTTCACTGAAGGTGGCTTCCGGTGTATCTGGATACTGGTGTGGGACAAGCACCCTGGAGTTGTCAGGGTGCTCGGCTCCAGTAGCTTGGAAAGGAGAAGCAAGTGGACCGTTGTGCTGACAGAACAGAACCTTCTGCAAAAATATTAAGAATTTCGAACTAACGAATACTTCCTTCTAGCACATGATTTCAGTAGTGGCAGCAACGAGCATGCCAGAAAGCAGGCATTTGGCCTTTTCGCGTCAGGGAATACACTTCAATAGTTTTCTTGTGCCTGTGGACTCGTGTTCCAGGTCAAAAGAGGTAGCTCAGTGGGACAGTTACAGCGCGGCGGAGAAACGACCACCCGTATTTTGTACTAAGACAGATACATGGGCATTCGATGAGAACGTACTGATGGATTTGCATTGGAACCGTGTACAAACAGTGCTGGAAGGCATGTGGAATTACTGATCCACTAATTTATCCCTTTTATCCAATGCTGCTTGCATACAAGCCAGCTCTAAACTGTGAAAAAAGATTGAATACCCAATTTATGCAATATATCTTTCATCAAAAGCCCATATAGCTGTCTTACTACAACATATGGGTAGTTATTTCTCAGCTGCGCTGTGACTGCCCCATTGAGCTACCTCCTTTGCTTTAGATCAGCAAAGCTAACTTGAACTGCGAACGCCTGCAGGGCCAGTGTAGCGCTGCCTTCGCTTTCTCCATAACGAGGCCTGTACAATGCAAGATTTCAAACTGAAGGAGACTCTTCGTTTTTCAAAATAAAGTGCTGAGTCCCGTTTTCCCGCATTATCTTAAGATGGCAAGGGTGTAGGCGGTTGCAGGCTACCGGAAAGTTAGGGATACCCATGAGAAGAATAGTTTTAGGCTAGAGGCTGCAGTTACGCTATTTGCAGCGTCTGAAGCAAGTACACATGGCACAAAAGCACGTCCCCCAGACGCAGTGGCAACAGCGGCACCCTCCGCACACTACCTAAAATGCTTCAAGAGATATTTATAAATTGAGCCAAGTGCTATGCCATCAAGTGGCTTCTTTGTCCAAAATTAAGTGACCTGCTCTTCACACGGGACACTCCATGAAAACCCGAATCCGAGAAGCTATTTCTGTGCTTTTGCCGTGTGGGACAGAAAAGTCGCTTCAGACATTAGTACCCCGAAGGAAAGTGCCAATAAGGGGTCACAAATAGTGCAAATTTGTCGGAGAGAATCACCCCATCACTTTTCGGCGAAGATGCACGTAGGCAGGCATTATTTTTCTATACTCCATTCAGATCAGTATTGACCGTGTGGTTCAGCACCTCTTATCTTCTCTGCTATGAATCCCAGTCGTCTTCGTGCAAGAATAATTTACACTACGTTCCTGTGCTAAAACTTGGTGCCTCCTGCTGTCCGTAATAGATCGAAGGAGCGCTCGGAAGGGTGTAGCTTCATGCATTGCGGCTAGCTTGTCTCCCTTCGGGTCATACCCAGTGAGGTGTGGGTAAGTGGACGTGAAAACACACCAGCGAAAGAATTCATAAGTTTCAATCAATCTTCGCATCTGGAAAGGTCTTTTCACTCTTAATGTAAGTGGAAATTTGTGTACTACACACACAGCGTTCAGGGCATGTTCTTCATGTGTGTGAAAGAAGAGGAGCAACAAATGCATTAAGAGCGCAAGTTGGAAGATCAATAACCAGGAGATTATGCGTATCATTTTTACATAGGCAGAACTGTATGAGATCTGAAGCTCCATTCATATTCAGGGATTAGCATGCACGCGGCGAAGCGACCCAAATTGAGGTCAGAAGGCCAACCACGATGGCGTAGCATTGCATAGCACTTAAACGTTTAAAAAGCATAAGATAAAGCCTCTTCCTGTTTGTAAACCAGAAAAAAGTGGAAGGCTGCTACGGTACTACGGTACCGAGCACAGAGATATCGAAATCATAGCCCTTAGAAAGCTTTAACTTCTTCGTTTCACTTATGAGTATTCCTCTTGATAAATCTTAAAAAGCATATTTTTCCTTGAAGGATATTTTTAAAAAAGGGGAAGGTAACTCGCGTGTTAAGAATCTGAACATGCAAAATAGGGCCCCAGTTGGCATGTCTTGTGGAATTCCTCCAACCGAATGCACTATTTGAAAGCACTGCTCCGATTAAGTATTTTTGCTTTTTTCAGCATCGCCTTTTTCCCTTATGGGACTTAATTTGTTCCTTCGAGGGGGTACGGAGAACATCCCATGTAGTCGATTCACAAGCCGTCTGCCTTAAAATCTACTTATTAACCAAAAGCCATGTTTTACACCCCTTCACTATTTCCTCTCACGGTAGGGAGATGCATATAAAGCTGTGTGGGGGGCCCTCTCGCGTCTCCTTGTTGTTGGGCCCCCTAGTATCTTCTCCTACTGGTGTTTTCGCCTACTTGTTGCTCCTTTACCTCGTTTCCAGCCCGACTCAATCGGTAATAGTGACTCGTGCTTTGCTTCCTGCCTTCGTCAACTGTGCCAGCATAGCCTCAGTGTGCGTACAAACTCCTCGGGATCTAGTATCACCCCTTAAAGCATATCGCCCCAGCGACCCTTGCAGGAAAGGGAGGAGAGGGACTACCCTGACCCTCAAAGCTCTTGTAGAATCCGGCCCCGCTATTCCCCCTCCACAGCATCCTGCAAATCCGGTTAGTGTCACCCTCATGTTGTTCATTGTTCTCTAGTTTCTGCTTTTGAAATTCCATCCCTCTATGTCTCTAAAATTGCCTCTCTATTACTCTCGTATGATTCTTTTCCAACTGGCTCATAGCTCATACCCTTCGCTCTAGACATGAATTTTTAAGAGCTAGCTACAAGGTGTTTGGTGTACCTCGCATTCATGATACTTTCTCAATATCTGCTGTGCTGTACGCAAGCTCCAGCCGCTCCTTCCTACCGCGCTTCGCAGCGGATCCGACATTTTTAGCCATTTATTGCATTTCAGTAAGAGGATATTTCTGTGGGGCCCTCTAACTGATGAGGTCGCTGCAGCTCTCACAGCGCAGCTGCTGCTCCTTTGTGGAGAGACACAAGAGAGGAACAAGGAGAACAAGAGGAGAAATAGGCATGATAACCTAATAAAGACGATAAGCAATGATGTAGAGGGGAAGGAGGAACAAGATAACACAAGTGTAGAACTGGTCATAAACTGTAAAGGCGGCTCACTAACTGCAGGTGAGTCGCAAGACCGCAAGCTCTGAACCCAAAGCATTCAGTTGTCATAATACAGTTGATAAGGGGGTTTCTCTATTTTTCACGTAATTTTCACACGTGATAACGGAGCTTGGTTGTGCCTCTTTCATTATGCTGTACAGTCTAATGTGTTTCTTCTATTCGCACCTTGTTTCTCTATTGCTGCCTAGGTCTGGCCTTGTACGACGTACTGTCGCTGGTATCCAACACTCTTTCTGTGCGGACTCTGGCTGTTGGCGCTGCGGGACACATGGGAGCTCTTCTTCTCTGTGCTGGGAAGAAGGGACACAGGAGGGTGACAAAAAATGCAAGAATTTTTTTTTGCGAATCTACGGGTAAGTGGACGGAATGTGTCATTATAGCAAGGTGTCACTCACAGGTTGATAGCCACCCTCATTATGCTGCATCAGAACGCGGGAGGCATAAGGGACGCTTGTGCTGAAGCAACACAGATACAATAACTGGTGTGCAAGTGGTTCTTATTCTGTCTTTAACTCATGCGCATAAATGGTGTTAAGGTGTTCTGGTTGTTGGGGGAGTTGCAGTGGCGTTGTTGCTGCTTTTTGGCAACAGCAGTACCAGGCGTTTAATTGCCCCTCAATCTAATGCAGCCTTTGAAGTTTTTTCTATTTATTCAAATGTACATGAAAGGACACAGGTGGGGAATCATTGGCAGAAAACAGCTACAAATAATGGTAGGCGCATCCCAGATCAGCGGGCACGGGGGAAAAGCATTTTCCGACTTTTTTTCTACTGTGCAGCGCATGCCCAGGGCTCTGCCAACGAGCTCTTGTCTCAAGCTGCTTCTTTGGCCTCACAGGAAAGGTCAATGGATAAGCTGCTGGCCAGACATACGAAGTGTCCAATTAACGAGGTACTTTAATATAGGCATCAAGTCGTATTGGCTGTTTAAACTGCGTCACACGATGGTTCACATCGGCTTTAAGCAGCCACTAATGACTGTAGAGCACGACATGAAGTAGGGGGTACAAGCAGGACACCTTTTTATCTCTTTTGCTCCGGCTCAGATATCTAAATGGAGGCGGCAGTCCAAAGTGTTTTCTGCTGAAGAAGCCCGGGCAGTTGGACTTGTGGATACAGTAATTGCTGAGGAGAACAATATTGAAAGAACTAGCCTTCATTAGTTCTTGAAAATCGACTGTTTTTTCCTTGATGAATTGTGTAGATATTTTGCAGGGATAGTGAGACTGCTATTTGCCCGCTTTGTGCATTGTCTTTCGGCACGTAATGATTTTTGCGTATTCCGCCACCTCCTACCGTTTTCCTGCCTGACATTTCTTCTTCCCCATATTGTTCGTGTGTAGTTCTACTTTCTTACACTCACTTCAAGTAGAGCGCGCTCGCTGGATCGACTTTGTAGCCTCATATTTTCCCTGCACAATTTTTGACATGCGGGTTGGACTTTAATGCACTAATTGATCTCCCGCACATTACGGGAGTTTGGCTTGCTTAGTAACCACGCGGAAAATGAGACAGAAAGGCATGCACAAAAGCAGCAAGGCGTTGGAGACATGAAGAACAATGCGACGAGTACTTGGAATGGTCGAAGACGCATGGAATTGATGAATATAGCACCCAAGCGTTTAAAGGGGAATCATCGAGGCGTTAAACCATGTCATACCACATTCTGAATGTTAACATATGCCCCCATTATTTCATTCTGGCCCTTGGCTTTCGTATGGAGCATGGTCCTAAAGAATACACCTACTAAAGCAGCGGGGTATAGCAACACATTCTCATAACTGTCTCATTTGGCCCAACTATTTCTAGTTTTTCTTGAACACCCAGGTTTTCCGGTTGAATGCAGCATCCTAAGACACATTGTCAATGCAGCTCCTTCTCAGCACTGTTAGGCAAAGACGGTGGAATGAAGGTGTAACTGAACAATTGTAATGCGAAAACAAATGTTCAGCCGTATGGCTGCTTATTCTTTTACTTGATTACGCAGTGCTTTTATGGGCATGGAGCCAGGTAGGGGAGGTAGCCATTCCTCGCTGCGGCGTGACCACTGGCACACATCGCATTCTTCTGGCCCCAAGTAGCGATGCAACTCACTGCTCTTCCAGCTGCTAGATTCTTTCATTTAAACAGGATAACGAACAGTAAGCTCAAGTGTTTGTAACGAAAAGCAGAAATAGCTTGTCTACCTTCAGAGGATAGCGACTGCACTCTTCGATGTTTGACAAGCGTCACCGAGATCGCGACGCTGATGCCACATTGAGGCAGTGCCAGATCATTCGCACACAGGGAATTCCTTTGCTTGATGTTTTTTCCGCGATGAGGGAAGAGAAATGTAATCTCTGATTTGAAGGCAGCTCCTTGCTCCAGTTGCCTCCCTCTCTCGGTGCAGCTGTGGGACTGTAATGTACTTACACCCCAACACATCTTTTTCAACATCTCTTTCATGCAAATGCTTACATTTTGTGGTACTATAAACCTCCTAGATATTCTCCCTGCCCTTCATATTTCCTGTTTCATCCTCAGGTCAGCAGAATGGGTGCTGCGTGCTCGAGGCCTGCAGCGAAGTCCCTCGGTGGGCCAGCACCGGAAGAAAAAAGGGCATTGGGAGGAAAAGCAGAAGAAACATTAGAAGACGTGAAGAACGCAGCGTCGGAGAGGGCCGAGAACATCAAAGTGGCTGCAGAATCTCTGGATTGCGTGAAAGAAGGTATCACTAAGTCACCTGAAGTCGAAGATCTGAAAAATAGAGCGGCTGAAGCGGCTGACGCAGCCCCACCAAAAGTAGTTTTAAAAGAAGACGAAGCCATGCCAGGGGGGTCTCAACAGGGAAGCAAATTGCTTCTTTCTCATGCAGACCAGCAGCTGCTGGATGCGGCAAAGCAACAAGTAGCAGCTAAAACCGCGACAGCCAGCACCTCAGCAAGCGCTCCCCCTGCTAACTCACCCCTTGCATACTTGTTCTTTGCCTCTTCTCTTAACGAGGGCTCTCTAATTCAGTTGTGGGCCCCTAGTCCCATGACCCCAGAACAAATGAAAGAAAAGCAGTATGTACTGCTAGCATCACTTATCCCTGCCAGGCACAAGAAGGTTACTAAGAACAAGCTAACAGTAAATGGGGGAATTACATGCTTCCAGCAAGAAATATTGGTGAGCTTGCAGATGGTATACGTGACTACTTGACATCCAGTGTGCAACAAGAACAACCGGCCTCTTGGGCCCATGGCTACAGCGTTTTTAATCCTACAACACATGTTGCCAGTTTTATTGGCATTTGCGTCGCTGTGGCTTCTGGCATTGCATATTGTGTTTCTTCAATCAGTATTATGAATTCCTTTTGAACTGGTCAGTTTCTGTCATCCGTGGAGGCGTTTCTTGCTTTCTACAGCTGTCTGCTGCAGACCCGGCGCTACAACACCAGATATGGGTCCCTCTGGATGTCTCTCCCTGCTCATTCTGCAGTGGAGAATGTGTATCGCTCTATTGAAATGCGATGCTCTATTTGATCACCCCCTATCATGTGTGCGAACGAATCCGTGTCTGTGTGTATGTTTTTATTCGTGCATGGATATTGAGAAAATAGTAGTTTTTTTTATCCTGCTGCCTACAGTATAAGTGGGACATATGGAGTAAAGCTCAGCGGCAGCCTTACTACCAAGGGTGGGTCAAGTTCTTAAAAGCAGCAGATGAAATGGAGGCCACAGTAAGAATTCATGTTTTCGATAAGCCAGCACCGTCAGCCAGAGTCTTCGTACTTCACACGGGACCAGTGAGTGATGGAAGCCGCCAACTAGCTGTTCATTCTGTCGTGCTGAGCAATAATTCAGCAAGAATGTTATTTGGTGGCTAGCTTACTAGCGGACCTCTACCTGTGTTTTGTGTGCGTGCACCGAATACTTGAGTACAGAGGGGTAGGTCTATCGTGATATCAGCTGCTACTTGGGATCTCACACATCCAAGCTTACATCCAGGGAGCAACGGGCTGTATCAGGCCCCATATTAGCAAGTGCGAGCTTCTATCGAAATGCGTGTACTCAATTGTGCAGATTGAGAACAAGGTTATACCTATCACGGAGGAGCAAGACCTGAAAATTTCCGTATTTAGCTTTGTCTCAGTGGTGCCTCCTCCGTCCACTTACAAACCTGGGACAAACATCACTCCTAAACGATTCGGCGATCTTGCTACAGAAAGTGGTGATTTGAGTTCTTTGTAGTTAATGGCACTTTGCTTTAAGCCACAGAACTTAGCTATCATTATCTTATTTTCAAGAGCATATCCTATTTTCGCTCTTGAATACGCTGACGAGGATCACTTGCTGCTCCACCCTTCCGCTTGTGAGTCGTTTTTGTGATTGCACTGCCATGCAGGAGGTGCTTATATACAGCTTTCCCGACGTGGCGGCGATGCCGTATTCGATGAAGCAGATGTGGTGAAATGGTTAGCTGCAGAAGGTTTGGAGCTGCAGCAAGGAGGGGGCATTACGCTGGACGCTACAGGAACTTACGAACGGAGATCGGATAAAAAGGGAGGGAATGTTCCAGCTACACCTACTTGAGCAGCTTCAAACATGACACGCGGGATTTGCATGACAAATGAGCTTATTTAGTGCATTCGTGATGCTATTACTTTCATGTTTTAATTCAAGAAACTAGTTGAGGCTATGAGAGCATCCCGTGCTGTGGTTTGTTTACAAAATAGGGAGTAGAGAAGCCCATACCTGCTTTTTTGGGCGATCAGAACAGGTTCTATGCAAATGACAAGAAATTGATGAGTTATATCTTCGGACGTTTTTTGTCACACAGCAGGTCGCCGAATATATGAACTACTAAGCAGACCCGATCTTTATGCATGATTTAGTTTTTGATCTTCCTTTTGATTTGCTGTTTTATTGGGGCTATTTTCTTGCATTAATTTTATTGAAAACGATAAAATGCGTTGACAAAGCTCAAAACATCCCAAACACATTTGAAGCACTAGTGCGCTATAACTAAGATGTTGATAAAGGTAAAAAGTGTTCAGAATAATGTTTCAGGGGAATAATACAGAAGGGACAAGAGTGCTTATTGCGATTTGACGAATGAAAATATTAACTGTATCTTCAGTCAACGGCTTCCTGAGATCCCCCCAACTCTTATTTGGAGGTAGATTAATGCCTCTGCAAGTAACTTGCAGATGAGTGTGCTTGGTTACCCTAGTGAATATTTGTAGAGTGGCTTCACCTAGCCTCATGTGGCTAGCTACCAGAACACATCAAGTGAATGTAGTCACTGTTGTTTCGAACTACTAAAGTTTGAACACAATGGGATATTAAGCACACCATCTTGGCTTTTCCATGCTGCTATCACATCCTCTGACGGAAGGTAACATTAGCATGAATTGGCAAGACCAACACGTCTGTGAACATGAAAAACGCAAGAAAAGGTTATCTTAAGTTACAGTGAGTATTGTGATTGCATTGTTATGGGAAGCATTTTTCCGAGGGCAAAAGAAAGTGTGGAAAAAACGGTAGCTCATGTAAGAGACCATCTAGGATTTAATTGGGGTGATTCTTCACTACAAACTAAAGCACGCGTACTAGATTACTGAGTTTTTGTCAACATTGGTCCCTTCCTCGTTGCCTGTGAAACAAAAGGTTCCGGCATACGGAAATAGAGACAGCTAGGGTGTGCGTATTTGTGCCCTCTAAGCACTACGCCCATTCACGGATAGTCGTACAAAGCCTCAAGCATTATATAAACGAGCCGACAATGCTAACTGAATGCATCAGGTGCTGGGAATTGTTTATTTCTCCTTTGCTGCTACGCCTTCGCCCTATTTTAAGCGCGTACCCATGTGAATCGTACTTATGCCTTGAGACTCGCTGTCTGCAGGAAAATGGCAGATCTTTAGCGTACCGCTGTCAGGCGAAAACACTGCAGCTGAAAAATCGAGATGTGCACATTTATCAATAACAGGAAATATGTAAAAAACACGCATACAACAGCCAACAACTCACGCAGGACTGAAAGAAACTGCAGCCGCTGCGGCGCGATGGCTGGCTGTCGTCGGCGAGCTGAGATATGTAAACCTCCTGCAACCAGAAAACCGATGTCAAGTACATTTAAACGGTTTCGAAATGTAAAATAGTTTAATATGGCTTGAACGCTACCTAGCACAGAGTCTACATGCCCGTACAGCCGATGCAATCATCATAGTCACCTTAAAACCCTCCAAAGTGGAATCAGGAAAGATTAAGGCACAACACATGTGAGATCACTGGCGCATATCTGAGTGGAGACAACATCTTATGAGTGATGATTAGCAGCCTTTCATGCAATATCCATGGGTGAGGGTAGCTACCGCAGGCAGAGAATAAGCTGGGTAAACGCACTTACCAAGAAGCGCGAGCAGCACTGCTCATGCTGATTCACGGCGACTGGCGCTGATAACGAAACAGAGCCGCACACTCTCCCGCACGCAACGAAGCCCCAAAACGCTCGGCCTTAAGCCAGTGAGAGCTACTTTCCCCATCCCATTTAACTGGAAATTGACGTCTACTATTTCCGTGGCACCCAAAAAGGATAAAAGCAGCATTTATTCGGTTCCCTGTGGATACTCCGCATTTTCACAGTTCACGTGCTTTCTTGGCAAGGCCAGCAAAACTACTGGGTAATTTTCAAGCTTCTAATGCAGGTCTCTCGTATTGTTAAGCCCCCCCTACCGACAAATTAGATGAAGCGTCTCAACCATTGCATGACTATGCACATTGGCTTGGATACAAATCCGTGTCACCCTATAGGAAGCAGCTGAGCAGCTCCGAAACGGCAAAAAACGCATTACTGTAAGCCTATATCCTCTTGTAATATGCAAGTATAGAAGACGGAAAGTGAATTTAATTAATACCTACGTATACCGAATTCACAAACGGAACAGCAATATCTTCCTTTGTTCCCCGCATAAGAGGGGTAATACATAAGCAGACAGAGAGATTTGCCCCAGATCATTTAGTTTAGAGCTCGTAAAATGCTTTCCTGTCAATGAAGACACAAATACCTATGTGCCTTGGAAGGCAACAAGCCATAGCCGGCATTCCAGCATTACACACCTACAGTCTCCCCGGTTGTTTCCGATCAAAAACCCACCATATACAGTGTAAACCCTGAAATCAATCTTTTTGGAAAATAGTTGAACAGATGTATCCAAAAGTAATGGTTAGTACAACTCGTTTCTCGGTGCCTTGCGCGCATAAGCCCCACCGCTGCAGCGAACCGAGCTGCGCGAGTTCGATGTTAGTTAAACGACGCTCTGTGATTGCGGTAACGCTATTCGATTTTCTCCATGTAGCGTTGTCTATATATGGTCTTTTATCTGTGCAGTCGTCTTTTTCCGGTTTACTCTGCGTGTAAACAGCGAATTAAGCAAGCATCCCATCAGTGCTTGACTGGACTGCAATTATAGGACCAATCCTCCGTCTTCTATTTGTATATGGTACTAAAGGGCCTTTCACAATTTGAAGTGGCTACCCTGGCTTGTCATCATTCTTGATGCTGTCCTTTTTGCGCTCGTTTTTGGTTTCCCGTCCTCACTGCAGAGAGTTCATTGCCTCATGCGAGTTCTCCAACCCTATGGTGGTTATTTCAACTCTTTCCGCAAGTTATCTTTCATTGGGTTAGCGGCCTAAATTATGTTATCCCGCTAGCACAACGAGCCCGATATCGTCCTCTCGACGCAGAGTTACAAGAAGAGAGGTTTCCTGAAAAGGAGGAAAAGAAAGACAACCAAGAAAATATGAGACAGTTGCAACGTTCCACCAACAAGACCACAGCGTGATTTCATGTATGGTTTTTCTTAGGGGAATCATAAACCAGTTAGTAGTCCTCTTGGAATCCCCCATCGACCGGTGGGCTCCATGTCCGGATTGTGGATTGTTGAGTTTTTGCAGAAGGCTCTCGTTACTTTTTATCCCATGCTACCACTGTAGGCAAACAACCTAACGTATCTGTGAGTCTCCATGGCTGTCCTCCAGATGCTTGCTACGGCACGTAATCAGGGAATATAGTTCAATCGGGAGGCAGCACGACTGTCAAGATGGCGGTGCCCCGGGCCAAGGTTGCCCTCCCCCCAAAGCACCCCCCTCTGCCCTCATCCAGGCAGAAAATGGCGAAAGAATTACTGGGAAATGCTATGCGAGAAAGCTTTTCGAAGGCCCCCTTTACTAGCCCGGTGGTAGACTCAAAGAAAGCTTGGGGGCCTCTAAGGGGATCAGCCGATAACCCCGAGATGGAAAGCTCACGACGAGTATCCCTCGGAGCCGGATTACTTTCATCAAGGCCTCTTAGTAAATCAAAAGGGACACCAGAACACTATGCCTCAGTAGATTCGTCGGCAGAAAATGCCAGGCCTCCCGGAGCTTGGCCATTGCGCACTTCGGCTAGCACAGAAGGCTCAGCATGTGATTCTAAAGGGCCAACAGGCGTCTTTAAAAGGCCCACGGATAGCTTCGCAGTTATTGATACCAATATACCGGCAGGGGGCTCTATTGCGCACCAAAAGAACTTGAGGAAATCACAGCCCGAAAAGATTGGACCCCTCAAAAAATGTAGTAGCATAAAGGCTGGAGGCTCTGGGAAGTTCGCGGAAGGTTCAAAGGATCCTACAGGGAAGGCCCAGTCGCTAGAGTGCAAGGACACCTGGGATGTCTCAGCAGTGTCTCAAGGACTTGGCGCTCAGCGGAATGGCTTGGATAAAGGCAGCCCTCCACCTGACAATGACATGGACGCTCAAGCCGATGAAAACGTGTCCTTAAGGCCTTCCAAATCACAGGACTTTGCTAGTAAGGAGGGACTCCTGGCAAAATTCAGTCATTCGGGGCTGTCTTCATCTCATCACCACCCAACGGGGCGTGCAGAAGCCCTCCCTAAAGGGCCGCCTACGGTTTCCGGAGCAGAGGACACTTGGGATTTTTCTGAACCGCCTAGGCCACAACAGCCTGACGAAAGTCCGTCCCCAAGCATGAGCCCCCAAGGGTCGTCCCAGAACTCTCACGGATCTCTAGAGTTGGAGACGCGAAAGGATAAGCCCCAGAACCTGGAACCACAAGGGGAAAGTGTAGCTTCTCCCCTGAAATCCGCATTGAGCTTGATTTCCAAAAGTGCCCGTAAGGAAACCTCGCGCATGGAGCAGCATCAAGCAGAATCACCTGTGATAGGTGACCCTCTGCTTGATCCCTCGCTGTTGGGTGTCCCTGAAGGCGAACGCCAGTTTCCTAGCCGGGAAAGTGGACGGGACTGGGGAACTCCTTTCTCTCAGGTTCCTGGAACCTGCGCCGCGGATCCCTATGCTTCGATGATACGAACAATGTTTGGCGGTCCCGTCTGCCCGGGAGCCCTTGGAGGCGAATCTGCTTCCCTAGATTGGCATTCGTGCTGTATGTGCAGGGGTGCCAATGTGGGAGGTAATTCCCCTGTCGGTGCGTGATGCCCGCCGACGAGCCCCTGTGGCTTCCCTCGTACCCTGGAAAACTATTTGCTTTCCATCTAGCTTCGAAAAGCAAAAAGCAGGTACACAGTCTTCACAGCTTTCATTGTGTATCCTATGCCTCAATGTCACTTCCGATGTGCAGTGTTGGATCCTTTTGACCCCGCAGGATGGAACTTCCACTTGTCACTGGCTGAACAAGGAGAAGGGCAAGACTATGGACAAATCGACTCTGATTCGGCCTGTGAAAGTGATCTAGGTGATGCTAAAAGATATGCAACACACTCTCCTGAAGGCAATTACTCATACTTTTAGTGTTTATGCGTACGGAGGGAAAGCCCGTATCTCCCCTGCTACATCACGCATAGCCTACACGCGAGACTATGCTGCCGTGACCCAGCCTCTGGACAGCCACTTGCTCCAGACTCTAATTTACAAGCCCCAAAGTTTCAGTGTGCATTGTGTGTGCTCTTATATACTCAGAGGATTACGATAATCGGTGGGGAATGACTTCTGACGACAGGCGCTGGGGTTTGGTTGCTTACGAGAACCGCTTACGTCCACCTCCCCCTACGGTGTCTGCGCAGTATGTTCCTATAAGGAATAATTGCTTAGGAATCTCTGGGCCTTCTTATCGCAGTGTTTACACACGGCCAAAAAAATACAAGATGGGGAACACGTACACCCGACACTACCAACTGCCAACTGTCGCTTCCCTTCTGAGGGCAAGATTTCCAGAGTTTCTAAGGAAACGGCCCATCAAAATTATGACCGAAGGTTCGGGAAGAAGCATCCAACTGGACGGCTCGCTGCAGTTTGAAGTCCAACTAGAGACCGAAGGTGATAATGGAGAAAGCAATACAACCCACATCACGCTTGGCGGACAACTCCAGCCAGAAGACGAACAGCATGCGGCGGACAAGCGGACGGAGATGGAGGAAAGAGAATGCGATGAACGCTCATGCAGATTGGCACAACATGGGTTACAGCACTCACACCAATGCAGGTTGCATCGGTGTGCAAGCTCCTGGCCACATCCTGCTTCGTGCCGCTCCATGGGGGCTCATATGGGACATCACCCGATACAATATGGCGGAGCCCCCCATGGTCTTATGCTACACTCGTCAGCTCCGTTTCAAATCCCGCTCTTTGGAGGGGGCGGACCGTCCTCACCGTTTTCACCTCCAGGGGTCCATGTGCCTCTACACCCCGTCTCTTGCGCGCATATAGGCCCCCCAACGGCAACCCATATGGGGGCACCTAGGGGGACTCCCAATGGGGGCCTGCAGAGTTACATGACACCCTTCCATGGACAGACCCCTGTAAGCCTACACGGGATGGCGAGCGGTTGGCAACCCAATGTACAGACAGATAACGGAGCTCCTGGCTATTTGATGCTTCCCGTACATCGTCATGCAGGCTCTATGGGAGGCCCATTAGGAAGTTCTAGTCCCTATTGGGGCTCTCCGATGGGGGCCCCCTCTGGCTGTGGTGGGATGCCGGGGCCCCAAGGAGTATTTGTTCCGGGGCACTTTGCATCGTCCCCCCCAGGGTGCCCATTTGTCTGGAATTCCCCGCACTCTGGCTTGCATCGGCAGCATATGCAACAGATGCAACAGCACGGGGGGCCCTTGCATCAAGGAGCGCCATCTGGCGCAACAGGATGGTGGGGGACCGTGGGCTCCAGACAATGTATGATGCATTCGGCACCCCCTGCGGGGCTTTACAACGCACACAAGCAGCGACAGGAGTGCGAGAGTGTAGATCAGAAGGATGGACAAGGAGGATCGCAACAGGGAGGTATCCCGGACTCGTTGACACACCCCCACCTTCAAGAGCATGCGGAGGCAGGGGAAGGAGTGCATGGGCTACCTTCGAGGCATTTAAAGGGCATTGCTGCCGGGGGCTCCCTTGGCGGGGGTCATTGGGGTTGGATTGATGATGAGGGACAACGGCCGGTGCCGGTTTGTGGGGGAGGTTACACAGAACCCCCCAGTGAGGGTTTGCTAGCTGCAGACGCACATCGAGTTAAAGGGGTGGGATACATGGAAGGGCCATGTGGAATGAAGGGAGTAGCTACGGGTAACTTGAGTGTACGAGTGTCTCCCCCCGTAAAAGGTTTTTTGTAAATAGATCGTCTGTAGCTCTTTCATCTTTTTAGGGGCCCCTGTGCCTCATGATGGGCCTTTCGGGTCCCTGCCATATGACACTTAGCAACTCGACAGAAAAGTACGAAGGCACAGGGAGAAGGAAAGAAGTAAGCGGGGGGATGAAAGGGCTAACGGCATTAGTCGGACTTTGCTGGCCAAAACCATTGACCTAAGACATATTTTTGCGTATTCCTGCCGTTTGCACGGTGGATGAGGATAGATTGCTGCGCTAAGCCGATCTACTCCCATTTCCGCTTTGGTAGAAGCAGTAGCAGTTGGTCATATGCAGCTTCTAACTTGACCAGGCCGACTTTTGTGAATCTACTGATATTTCTTGTTGATTAATTTGATACGCTTCTCAATCATGTCTCATGACTCTACTACATACTAATGCGACGGTCTAGAAAGTGATACCCCAAAATATCGCCACACGACTTAGATATAGGCCAGCACTTGCATCCTTAATCTGAAAATGGTGAGATGTATCAACTCGAACGCAAGGAGCACTTTGCTCTACCGAAGGACTTGGAGGGGGCTGGAGCAGGTAATGGAAGGGAAAATACAATAGGAACAAAGAATCTAGAGGCAGAAGCAAGGTAAATGGCAGCAGAGGGGTGAATAAACAGGATGAATGAGGAGCTCAAAGAGGTAACAGGAGAGAGTAAACACAATGGGCCGCAGGGTGTCATAGTGGTGGACGCAAAGTCGAATATAAAGCACTACACTAGCTATGCAGGTATATAAAAAGCAGAGGAACACTTTAAGAGCTGGACCATGTCTAGAGAGTGCACGTCGACGGAGGCAGGAAGAGACGTGCTATAACTGTCGTCTGCTATCCCTTCCATGCTCGTTCTCAACAGGAAGTAGGGATGTTCAGAATGTGTGTTTCTCGTCGTTCGGATTGACCTTAATATAAATTAAATGAATAACCGAATCTAGCCCTAGAGCACGAGGAACATATGACTAGCACATTGAAGAATCATGTAGAAGAATACCACTCTTAGGTATAGGCAGACATCAGTAAGCATGTGATGGAGAAATCCACTAACAAGACACATTTAGTTGCAAGTAGGGACTATAGGATCCAGCAACATCGCCTTTACCGTACTGTGAAGTATTTTCTTCTTGGTCTTTGGTGGTGTCCGTGGCTCTAATCCCCAGCCGGTTGGACTCAGCCACCACATTACTGCCGCCATTTTTCTTCGCTTATCACCAAACCAATCAGAACCCCGATTTCATTAGTTCCGAGTTTTTATAGCATTTAAAGTATGGAGGATAAGCAGCAGAAACCCAGATGGCTTGCGTTTCAAGGGATGTTGCCCTACGTTTCTAAGGTGCGGATGTCCGTGATTTATTTAGGGGCTTCCGGTATCTCACTTACCACTGGCCTTCTGCTTTTAATTCTGGCCACTGTACTCTCTCATGCAATCTAACCGCTCCATTGTAACTCTGACTATTCTTCTAGAGCCCCGTTTGGCTACCCCGTGTTGCCTTGGTCCCCCGCTAAAGAAATCTCCCCCAGCTGCGTGTCCTTCAGAGGTCCTGCCTGTACAAGCATGACCGTAGAGAGCAGCAGTTCTGCTCCCGGGCTGCATGAAGACCCCTTCAATGGATCCCAGGGTCGCGATCATGTGCACGCGTCGAAATGCCGGGAGCACCGGCAACGGCGCCGGCGCAATACGGGCTGCAGCGCCCGTCCCTACACAAAGCAGCTGAGCTTGAGGCAGAAAACAAGGTGCAAAGGCCGCGGAATTGCAAGCCAAAAGGTCAATACAGAGAAAAGACACAGCCCCGTATCTGCTGCAGCTGCAGAGCGTCAATCCCTTCGTGTCTCAAATGAAAAATCGCAGCATGTCGGGCAATCGAAGGACTTGAAACTACGACTGCGTAGCAGTATGCTCGAGGAGCAACTGCTGCTGCAGCTGCAGAGACAGCAACAGCAGCGGAGGGAGAAGAAGCTGCAGAAGCAACAACGTTTAGCGATGCAGAAGGACCAGGAGACACAGCAACTGCATGCACTTCAGCAGCGCTTCGCCGCTGCTGCGCTCTCACCCCAGAATATATGCTCTCCAGACGCTGTAGCGACAACGACTGCAGCAGTAACTGCAGCAGCAGCGGCAGCAGGGCTCCTAGCACGAATAAGAGCGAGCAAGAGTGGCAGCAGCCAAAGGAAGGAAATGTTGCCTTCGTCAACCTCGCGAAGAGAGAAACAGCAGCAGCAGCGGCATCCTCTGTCATCTTTCAGCTCTTTTAGGCCAAGGATGTGCGTGAATGCTGGACAAGCTCTTAGGGATTGGGAGAACACAAGAAGCAGCAGGGCATGTAGCAAAAACCAAGATCATGACACAAAGGACACCAATAATTTACTCTTGCCATCCACCCGAGCTAATAGTTGCAGTATTAGTAACAGCCTCAGCAGCAGGAGTCAGCTGCTGCTGCAACACTGGACGACCCGAGAAGCTCAGTGGTGCCTCAGACGCGACTCTTCTCAGGTAAGCGGAGATTCTCATTCAGCTCCTGTAGGGCATCGTAATGGGGAACATAAGCATGATCAACAGATGCGGGAGCATCAGAAACTCACAAAGGCTTCCGATCACGGTGCGGCAGACCCAAGCAGCATCAGCAGCAGCAAAAACGGAGGCAGCAGAGGTGTAAGGCGTATCTCTAGAAGCTGTGGGATTCAAGTGTCTTCCCAGACATTCGGAAATTACAAACAGGCTCCAGAGACTCCGTTGGCGAGCACCTTAGATCCTAGTACACTCGATCGAAGTAGCAGTGCTAGCGATGTTGCTCCTGCTCCTCTCGTTGCTTCTCCTGCTGCTATGAGTGTAGGGGCTGCCCCTGATCTCGACTCGCTCACGACTGGGTACCTCAGCTGCCGAATGACAGCGTTGCAGGTATCTGCAGGTCCAGACGCCTTGGCTGTTCTCAGGGACTCCTCTCACGAGGGCGATTTTCCCGAAGCAGCTAGCGTAGCAGCTGCAACAGAAGGAGCTCCAGCAGGAGCACTGCTCCGCATTCCAGAGAGAGGATGGTTGCAGCAAAAGAGCCGGAGAGACAGCGGCTGCCAGAGGCCTGAGGCACATGAACAGATGACCAGCAGATACTGCAGTAAACTTCGGCGGTCTGCAGGTGATCCAGCACTAACAGGATCTGCAGCATGCACAATACCACCAGGCGCTGCTGTAGCAAGGTCTGTCCATCAGGCAGCAGATGCTCCGCTTCTATTAAACTACCCGAGCAGCTCCTCATTTCGCACCCATTGCAGCAACGTAGACCAAGAACTGAGAGTTGTGCATGGGGTGCATCATCCTCGGAGCATTCCGCTGGTATCCCTCATGAGGAAGAAGTACACAAAATGGCAAACGCCACGGAAAGTAAGACAGGAGAGAGTGCAAGAATTAAAGCAGCAGGAGCTGCCGTTGCTGCTAGGTCGCCGGCACCAGCAACAATCATCTGGCCGTACAAGCGCTGAAGGATTATTGGAAAAGAACATGGATGCTCGTTTAGGTTCTCATTGGGGGCTCCGTATCACTCCGGATAACCCAGTAGACCTTGTGGGTGAAGTCATTAGCGAACCTCACAACACTTTTGACTTAAGGGAGATCCCGACCCTACTTAAGGTCCCTGACCTTCAACACACTCTGTGGCACACAGGAAGTGCCATCCGGAGGCCCAGAAGCAGAGAAAGGAGGGCTTTCGGCAGGTACAGGAGTAGACGAGACAGCAGCAGCAGTAGCGCGACCCCTCTCGAGTCCATGAGTGTTATTCCCTTGAACCGAATAACAGCAGAGCAGCAGCAGCATCAGCCCGAAAAAGGGGTCCTCTCTGCGTCTATCCCCATTAGGGTACATCGACCAGTGGAATCGATAAAGTCTACAGATGAATTTGACAGACGCAGAAGGAACGGAGGATTGAGAGGAAGCGTGGGCTTGGTGCAGTGGAGGGGAGCAAACCTTGTGAGTTTTCAAGGAATGGGTAGGGGTATGGTTCTTAGGCAGTCACACGGGTCTTGCGCTTTAGGGAACAGGGGCCACAGCGGAGGGGGTCATGGAAGGCTGATGCAAGGTGTAAAAGGCCTTGATGTATCTACTGCAAGGGAGCGACAAGCGTTGTTGCAATCAGACATGCAGTGCAATATTGCTTTCTTGGCATTCAGTAGCCGTATATCTGTGAGTTCATCGGCATTCATACCGCTTTATTACGCGTACTGACCCTCCCCTGAGTTTGAGGAAACTTGCACAGCAAGGGATGCTCTTAGTGCCTCTATATAGCCAACCTTGATTAGATCCACTTACGAGCAAACATTGGCTCTTCACCTCCAAATTTTTGCCGATGTACTCAAGCAATTTCTTGTACAGAAGCAAATATGCTTGCATGTATACGGTTTTACCCTTAAGCAGAGATTTGCGAAATCCTGAGGTTAGCCCTCTATTTTGAACTGCTTTTGGTCTCTGTGTGCCCTGGTTTGCTGCAGCCAATGCAGGTTTCCCTCTACTACAGCGCGCAATCTGCAGACTTTTCCGTTTAGGGTCCTTGTGATCTATTTTTTGTATTTACCATTCTTCAGCTTCGTTGCGCTAAACCTTTTCTGTTGTCTCCCGTCTACGGAATCTGGGAAATTGGGTGTTTGATTTCCCTAGTGCGTGCTACACAGTGTCTGTGCAGACGACATGACTTATGTCGTGTTCGCATCTGTTTAAACTCCCTCTATGCTCTCAGGTAAGCAGAGAAACAAAGGAGAAACACAAGAGACTTCTGGAATCACAAGCACAGAAACAAAGACGTATTAGCTTGTCTTCCGACTTGAACTTTTATGTGTCGACAGATGCAGTTGTGTGAGCTGTACATATCTTTGAAAACAAAGCAAGTATAGTACGGATGGGTACTGCAACACAGAACCACGTATTCTAGTGGGGCATGTGCCTACCAGATAGCAGGCTTGTATGGAAGGGGGACAAATTTGAATAACGTGTGCCGTTATCACTCTATGAAGATATTTAATACAGAAAATGCAAACTTTTATTCCTTTATTGTCTTGTATCATCTCGTGCTAGAGTCTGCGGGAAGATCAACATGGAATTACTGATGCATCAATCACGCAGCACCCTGAATGCACAAAACAACAAGGTAGCTCTACACCTTGCATACCTGGCTTCGATATTCACACTAGGTGTGTTTAGCGCATATTCGATTCGACAAAGAAGAATTACACCAACAGCCCATTGTCCAACGTGTACGCGATGCATTACGTATGGACAAACATGTACTTGTGAGCATGCATATTGTTGAACTTGCAGATTTTTGGTGGCATATGGTCTGGTTAGCCTGAACAGACAATCATGTAGAAGCGTTCCTTTAATTACCTGTAGATGAAAGTTGTAATTTGAATTTGGTCACTGCGTTTTCCGTCCTCGCTGCAGCAAATGTCCAGGAACATGTCGACCTGCTCCTCCGTGAGTTTTACACCCATTCCTAGGAAGCACAAAAGTATGGAGCTCAGATTCGAGTGCATACTGAAATACTAAGTGGAATAAGCTCATGGCAAAAATAACTTGAAAAGATGGGTCGACTAACAGACATGCGCCAAAAGTTACAGCACAACCGGATGCATGACAAGACATGTAGACCGCGGCAAGAAAAAGTGCTACCTAATATCGATGAGTTCGCATATATTCCACATGCTATAGGAGCACTGTAGCAATCTTTGCACATTGACCCAACACAACAAGGGAAGTAAGGTTTTTCTGAGAAGGAAAGACATTTCCAATATATGGAAACATAAAAAACGTCAGATCGTTGGTGCACCATTCCTGCTCTAGTGACAATGTGAATCAAAGAAAAGTATAGCTACGGAAGTAAACCAATTACATGCACGAAAAGTGCAACAGACCAACCCAAATTCAGGAGCATATCCCTCAGGAGCGTCCGGGGAACAGTCTTTGCTCCCGGGGGTGATAGTTTCCGGAGGGCGAGGACAAGGGCCCTCTCGATCGCAACGTCATTGTACACCACCTGTCCAAGAGCTAGAAGATCTTCATAATCAAATTCACCTCGGTCAGCAAACTCTGATCAGAAATTCATAGTGAGTATAAGAAACCAATATGATAGGCGTGAAGGGGATAATTGGTCAGGCATACGCGATATACAATAGTCATCTTAGGAGATCATCAGGGTCTGCATTATTCGTTAGCTTTTTCAAAGGGACTGTGGAGGGTAAAGCAGTAAGAAAAGATAGAGCGATCTTGTCCTTATCCATTGGTGAATAAACTAGCAATACATAAGGGATATTGCTCCATTGGATAGTCCCAAACACTATTTCTTTAGGGATTCCTTGCCTTCTAAATTACTGACCCTTTAAAGAGCATATGACATTCCTATGTGTTTCATATGTACAGAATATACGTGGAGCAGTCCAATCTCACCAGCCTCAAGAGCTTTTTGCTCTCGTTTTGTCAGGCAGACACCGATAGACTTCAGAAGGTATTTGATTTCGTTGATGTCCAGCTTTCCGGTCTTGTCCTTGTCAAATGCGTGAAAGGCCACGCGCAGCTCTGCTCTCTGTCGACATAACAGACAATGACGCAGATAATGGAAAATTTTGTATGCCAAAGAATCCGATACGCGGGAAAATGCACGAGAATCGACCTTGAAGTGTACAAAACAGTGGAGTGGAGGAAAAACACGATGGTACCTTTGAAGTCACTAAAGCACTAGACGAAAAAGAGAGAGCATTGGGCTCTCTCTGCTCATTATTTCACCATGCTTTATGACTTTCACTGAGCCGAAATGATGGACTTGCAGGTTACAAGCTTCTCTTTGCGGGTCAATTCGATTTGAACATGCAACTGCATGGGAAAATAATGACGCTTATGACCACATATTTTTGCAAAAGTAAAGACTGCGACAAAAACTGAGTTCAAGCTTATAATTAGTAATCCAAAATGTGTTTGACGGAGATTGATGTATCGCAGTTTCATACTGGTATTGTCAAGCAAAATCACTTGTTCTAGCCGAAAAGTTAAGAGGCCTTTACATGTGCTTTATTTCTTTTGAGTAACCTGTGTTTGGTTTACTTCAAAGATCTTTCAAGGTGAAAGAACTTTGGGCCCATGAAGGGAGAAACTCGTATTACCACCAACCTACCCGCTGCGCAGACAAACCGAACGGAGTGCTTGACATTCTTAGCTCCAAGACACTTTGAAGAAGCGATTTTAGTAGTTAAAACAATGATTTTTTTTCTTAGAAGACGAAAAAGAACAAAACAAGACGACGACCACGCAGAGAGTGCAGGAAAAGCATGTGACTGTCCCAGTGGACCAGTAGCCCCGGTTCGCATGAATTACTGACCTACAGAAACTCCCCGTCTTAAAGTAAATTCTAGATAATCAAAGCATTGAAAATATCTTCAGGCCTAAGGAAAGAAAAGTAAGTGTTTATATGGCAGTGGCACAATTTGTGTTTAGGGGATGCGGATTAAACGCTTTAGCCGGCAAAATGGCAAACAACGTTTCAGCTAGGCACATTGTCTTTGCGTTAGGCCTGCAACCAAAAACATTGGGAAAAGATAATTTAGAGAGCGACGAAAGTGCTCTAGATGAGCCGAACTAATACTACAATGTTTTGCTCGCTTTCTACTTCCACAAGAGCACACTTAGTCTGTCTCCCCATCTGTTCCCCTAGTCAATACAAACTTGATCGAAGCTCCTCAAGTATGTCTTGTATGGACCTTTGGTTCCCATGCCCTCCCCTTCACGGATCTCGACACGAGAGAGGGGACTTAACCGGGCCAAACTACACCTAGTCATCTTCTACTACATTAGTCATATTCAACTAAGAAAAATTATAGAAGAGTCTATTGTTTGGCTTCATTGTTTGTTTGTCTAATTTGATTTATTGCAAAGTAGCATAGCTTGATGGGAGAAAGACGCAGCATTGTGGTCCATGGAGCTAGATGCTCCATGCAAAACTAGTTGGGCATACTGGCAGTGCTTAGAGAGTGCAGCTATGCGCCCCCTAGCTGTTCCTCTCCCCTCATATCGGAACGATTAAAGGCTGTGCCAGGAAAAGAAAAGAGGTTCTTGGGAACTGATCTAGTTTACTTACGAAGTTTATCTAGTTAAGATTTGTCTCCCTGCGGAAACCTGAGCTGGAGCCTTACAGGTTGGCTCGCCACAAAGGCTGTTTCGTTTGATTGATTATTTGGAGGTCCCATAGAACCTCCGCCTCCGGCGTTATCGGTTTTTTTGGTTTATGCTAGAGGAGCTAGAAAAGACACGTGACCTTCAATTGCGCAGCTGCGTTCTGTATATCTTTTTCTTGTGAGTGCGCGTTGTGCTTGTAGCACAATAATGAATCAGTGCGCCAGATCTCTCCCATTAATTTTTAAGTAATATTCTTCATTAGATAAAGCGGGCTACCATCTTAAAGGTGTAGGTAGAATTGTCGGTAACTTTATTATCATAGTTTGTGTGAAAACTCAATTCAGCGTTGCGACTCCTTCAGAAAGGCCGACAGTAGTTATCTGTTCTCAGGCTGTTCTAAATCCAAATAGGTAAGGCTTTACAGCACCTGAAGCCATAAGTGAAGTTTTGGTTCTGCAGAGACGCATAGAAAACCTGCCATTGGATGATCTGAGGCACACCTTGGGGAAAAGCGTCGAGTCGCGGCAGAATAAAAGCAAAGTCTTTTATCTTCGTATGACTGACGTCAATTCACTCAATACCTTTTACAATACCTATGCGTCACCTGCTCCGGTTCGCTGGTAGTCGAGCGCGCCTTCTACAACGTGTTGTGCATCCAGATGATACTTCATTCAGCAAGCTTGAAGACGGCATAAATTTCGTGCATGCCACTCTCCTAACTCCTTTGCGGCGTTGTAATTCCCGGCAGGGCCCCCTCCCTGATATATCGGTATAGCCGCAGTGTAATTTGATGAGGATATGCAATGGTGGATGGCATAGGGGTAATTCGTAACAAGGTATGTGAACGGGTGTAATGACTACCTTGTCAACTAGAGTATAATGCCTAGGCCGTCTAAATTTGATACCATGTGTAACATCCAAGATACAAAAGTGAGACCTGCTGAACAAAAGTAATCTCTACAAACGCTATACAAAGGATCGTTGCAGGATCCAGTTGTGTGCTTTCCAATGCCCTCCTCTCCATGTGCTCCTGAGAGAAAACACCTTTGAAGCCTATACAGCAAATGAAGATGCGGAGATCACTTTGAAAGGGCGAGATGTGCTATCGCTTAAGCTACATACACCCATAGAGAATTCTACATATTCAAAAACAAATGCACGTACAGACAGTGTATTCAACTACAAAAGATACGAATAAATGCACAGGTCGTTACACGCACACGTTCAGTGTGTCAAATTGTACACTAGAGAGTAATCATATACAAGCAGAGATATGCACAGCTAGATGTTTCAGTACATCTAGGTAGATAAGCGTAAGTGTACCGTGGATTTGTTCAGGCCTTAATTCGAAACAAAGTCCATTTGCGATTGAGATCAATGGGCTGGAAGGATCCCTAGATGCCTTGGCATTCCTCTTGAGGGCTTTGATCGGCCACAAAAACTGTAGCACCATAAATCTGCACTGTACTCCAATAGTGCCTTTGCATCTACTTGATCATACTAAGCAAGCGCCCAGCATCACGGTCTGCTGGTGCAACAACTGTATTTGACATGCCTAACTACTGTAACTCCATTGCCCCAACGGCCCAACCCGAATGGCAGGCAATCACCCGGCAAAAGCAGAGCCACCTACATAAAGCAGTGCTTCTGTGAGAGCGCACGTATCAGCTTGTATGATTTAAAGGGCGAAAATAGAGCTGCACATGATGAAAGTGACCAAAAGCCAAGAAGGCATAACGAGGTCAGTGTGCAGCTTGCCATTCCGCACCTGGTGGCTCCCACGGTATTCGCTGCCTGATTTGCAAATTCATACTCCTCCGCGTATCTAGTGCCTCGTAGAAAGAGCATCCAGTGCTGTTGCGGTTGCTGACTGCATCACATGCAGCACTTGCTAGCTCTGTTGCTTCCGTCTTTTATAAGGTGCTGCACATTTTCCCCCTGATGTTGGAAAGCCGCAGTGGTTTGTTGTCTTTGATTTTAGGCTTGGTTATCGTTTTGATCTGCTTGATGGCTGACTTCGACGAACACTTCCTCTAAAGTTGTTTCTGATACAGCGTAGGCTTCGAGGGCAAACGCTGCCTGCAGCCACACGGACACAACATTAGTGGCAGTCGCTACGGTTAACACAAGGCGCGAAGTATTCTGGGTAAGAAAGGCCGTGCTTGTGTTTTTCTAGCCAGATCTAGACCAACAAATGAACCCTGTGTCAGAATGTCGCTTGCACACTTTGCTCCCTCACTCTGGCACCTCAAAAAGGCTTGGAAAGTGTACTCGCGAAGCATTACAACCAACAAGGCATGAGGTGCGGGTTTTTCCTCACTATCTCGGTGTGCTGTGATTCAAGGAGTAAGCAGCCAGCAAGGAACATAGCAGCGGCTTCTTCCTCACACCAATCTTCTGTCCGGTGATATTGTTTGTAAATACTTAGGGGATGAAGCATGCACTTGCACTTCACCTACCTTGGCTGTATCTATCTCGCGGAAGATCGCTGCGAGAGACGCTTCTTTCTTTGCTATTGAGACAGTGATTTTGTAAGCCATTCGGTGTACCAGGCGGAGTGTCGGGAGGTTCTTCTTCAATGCAGCTACAAAGCACTGCGGAAGAGCTGGGTTCTCGGCGACATCAGCGGCGACAAAGACGCATTCTATTTGGTAACCATGGCCATACGCTGCCCGTAGCTCAGCAGAAGTGCCAAGGCACAGCAGCTTGCCTCTGTGAAGGATCCCAACTTTGTCGCTCAATACTTCACACTCCTCCATGGAGTGAGAGGTCAAAATGATCGCTTTGCCAGCGGTTTTACAGTTTTTTGCGTCTTCAATCATTCGCCACAAAGCCTGCCGACTCTCGGGGTCTACGCCACATGTGGGTTCATCTAGAAGCAACAATTCCGCGTCACCAAGCATTGCAATGCCCAAGCTGAGCTTGCGCTTGGTGCCCCCTGAGTATGAATTGACCAGTCTGTGCATGTATTGCTTGCAGCCGATCACGTCAAAGAAGTCAGAACAAAATTGTGCTAGCTCTCTTCCTCGTAAACCTAGCAAAGAACCATAGAGGTACACATGCTCTGCCCCTGTAAGCGTAGGCAAAAGTGGATCTGCAAGCAGAGGCAGACACATTCCAATCACACAAGTCACAATAGGGCTAAATGGCTCGCTGCAAGCTTGAAAGTGGAAAGAATGCGAGCTACGCATAAGAGCATGCCGAGTTGCTGAGACACATGGAGGCATAAGGAGGCCTCTACAGGCATAAAAGCGCTGCTAGTGCGTTTTTGTTGTCACTTGGGAGGAGATACCATGTTTGGGGTTTTTATTTGGAATAGCTCTGTACCTGTTTGGGGACAGTATCTCAGTTTTGTCCTTGCTTTTTGTGGGTGGATGAGGGTGTCCCAGCCGCTAATAAAAACAGAACCGTCAGACTGACACACGAGACTGCTGAGGATATTAAACGTTGTGGACTTCCCTGAACCGTTCACTCCTAAAGAATTATAAGCCACAATATCGGAATGAGCTGAAATGGACATTGAGCTTATTCGGAAGGCTGTGTGGAATCCTTCCATCTATATGGAATACAAGACCTGGTGCGGTTGCCCCCCTTGAGTCTGCTAGCATATTGTAGTGCTTTTTAGGACATGATCAGGTCCATCTCAACAAGCAGCAACACATACCATACCGAAACCTTCTACATACCTATGTAAGCAAGGCACTTCCCCTTTGGAACGCAAAAGGAGACGCCTTGTAGGGCTTGCGTCGCTTGTGCCAGTTTGCAGCAGCAACAGAGGGGATGTCCGGTCCTTTTCCTAAAAGGGAGACAGCAGAAGGAGAAGAAACGTTGGAGAAAGGGGGCCCGATACGTCTTTTTTAGTCGGTAAACAACGAGCGGAATATCCAGTTCCTCTTGATCCCCAACAGGGGAGTCGATGGCAGAACAATGACCCCGTGGGAAACGTTTTGAATTAATGTTTTTGATAATTTGGGGGACAGTAGAGGACGCAAATCCGTCTCTCTTGCTACGCTGACGCAAGCGGCTGACAGCCCTCGCAGCCCTGGCCTCCTCATCCTGGAACATCGAAGAGGACAACGGTGGTTCCCCAATAAGTTGAACCGTGAAACCAGCAGCCTATACTAGTTGGGCCGCTCGAGCAGTTTGTATTTAGGAGAAGAAGATAACAGCAGTTTGATTAAGGTGTCATCTCATTCCGCCACCCACAGAGTACGAAAGCTAGCAAACACCATCGCGCTTCCCGTCTATGCCTAGCTTTGTCCCCTGGTGCCTGTGCCTTTGAGCCTTTCACCCTTGGTTCTCACCTTAATATTACAGCTGATATCTGCAACTCTGCCTTGGAATGCATATCCCTCATCGGTGGGCGACATCCGGCGTGTGAATTGTCCTGTGGATTTTGGCACATCTTCTGGTACTCTGCAGGCCTGACTGCAAGTTTGCGGGGCCCCTTCACACAGTTGGCAATGGAGCAGACCGGCCAAATGCTTGAACAAAGTTCCAATAGACGGCAGGGCCCTGGCTAGTCTTGGTTTGCCCATAGGATAGTTTGTGATCCAATCAACGCTTATGCAGACTGTCCAGTTCAGCAGCACGGTCAGGCCCAAATACAACAAGGGACACCCGGTCTTGTGAAAGTCCATCCAGTTCACCAATTCTTCCGCCTTCATCGTTCCAGATGCTAGCTGGTTCATCATTCCTAGATTGATCAGCAGCTGCAAACAAAACGCAAAGGACCAGACAGTGTCATTGAATACCGATCGTAGAGGACACGCTACAAAATAAAGGTATTTGACATGGTAAACAACTCCCAGAACTAAAGATGATTTGCCATTTCTGTCGTGTCAATCATGCTCATGTATGTTTAAATTTCTTGTAGTTAGCCAAAATTAACGCTCATTTATGCTCTCCGTACCTCGCATAATGCAGCATGGGGAAGAAACATTAGGAAGTATCTCAGATACTTGCTGTAGATTCCCTGCAGGCCGCTGACCTCTGTAAACAGAACTTGAAGTGAGGGGAGGGACCAGCCCAAAATTAGCATTACAATGACGAATGTCATTGGAGAATCAAGTCCCATAGATATCGCGTAGCCAAAGGGGCAAACGGATAAACAAAATAATATAGTGCCAAGCAGGAAAATTCCTCGTTGGTGCTGGCCGACCTGAAAAATTACAAAGTAAGCAATGGGTTTGGGTATAGAAAGCACGTAGAACATTCTATTTGTACCGAGGTCGACTGCTGGCACAAGAGAAGCACGCAGCTCTGCCAGCATTTCCAAAAATGATGGAAGGGGGAAGAATAACACTACCACCGGGAACTTCTTTGCAAGAATAAAAAAGTGTAAGGCTGTCCAAAGCACTGATATTGTAAACCAAGGGGAAATGAAGTATATAGTGTTGAATCAAAAGCATTGCTGGTAGGCGGGAAGATCCATTTGCCAATGGAACGAGGGCGTCTAAACCCAATGCTACCTCGTTTTACTATATGTGCAACCAACATCGTGTTCACTCCATCTACTTTGCTTTACGTGAGTCCCGCGTACCAAAGGAGTAATGTTTGCCCACATTATCATCCCAAAGATGATGAAGCAAGGGAGAAGAAGCAAAATCATGTCAACCAAGTAGCTGGAGGCCCAATAGTGAAACGGAGTCACCCCAAAAAGGATCTGCTGATGTCTGACTCTCCGTACTCGCTCAACAATGCAAGCCTTCCCGATACCGGCTGCCACGAAAGAGTAAGCGATAATTGTAAAGAATGCCACGATAAGGGCGTCCATGAATTTATCCTCTGTGTCCGCGAACGGCTGATTGCTGGAATACAACACGAAGCCACAGCAACCTTCGCAACCAACGAACGACCATTTTTGCATATATTCTTAGCGATAGGCAGCTGTATACTATGTATAATAAAAGACTTAAGTGCAGTACTCCAGGGAAAAGAAAAAGAAGAGCAGTGCTGAATCGGTGAGAGATTTCGACTAGGTTCCAGTTGTATTCTCACACAGCAACGACTCGTATAGTCCCAGAGAGAGCCATATGTGTCCAAAAAGCGAGTGTAATTTTACTTAGCTGGCCACATAGTACTAGCCAATGCGCAGTGGAGAAAAGTAATTAAGTAGCGCGCCTCACGAAGGCTGGAATCAATGCCTTTCCGGGGAAGGGATATAAAGAGTTCCTGCACTGGCTGCTGACAACACCTTTCACTGCGAGGGGAGCTTCTCTGCAAGCTAGATTTACCTGACAAATACAGAATTGGGGAGTCCCCTGCGGTCTTGCGCGATACAATTTAACAGGTGGCTGTAGTGAAGGGGCACAGCATCTCTTAGTGTTGCGTTGTGCCATAAGGTAACTGCGAAAGGGAACAACACTCCTTGCAGATATTAAACCTTATTTGATTCTGCCTAACTCTAGTGCTTGAAATTAGCAAATGCTTCCCAAATCGATGTCCTGGGCAGCCTTATGTGCCTGCCCATGGCAGCTACCCTTAGCGTCAAACCCTTGCCGTCCCATTTGAATTCTGGCTTGTGCATACTGTGAAGGCAATATTTTACATTTCTATCTACACTCCACATATGCTCATCTGGCAAACCTTCAAGCTGATTGGCAGTATCAGAGATATCCGGCTGTCGTCCCCTTACAACATAGGCACCGTAGCGAGGCAGATGAGGGCCAGTGTAGCCGTCAAGGAGAAAATCATACATCTCATTGTTATTCTTGACTTTATCAGACACGTTATTGTGGGTCATGGCGGGCTGAAGATGTGGCACACGTAGCAATATTCAAGAAAGGAACTGGCTATACATGCTGACTGCCCAAGTTTACCACCGAAGGTCTACATTTATCATTTGGTTACACCCACAACTTATAGGCGACCCCTGCTATAGAATGCACTTCTCAGAGCAAGAAGTCGGACCTTAGCTCAGTTCAGTAAGTGAACTAGACAAAACATTTATCATTCAGGCATACAGGGACATGAGCTGCGCGACAAGGAGTTACTTACAGAATTACAGTTGTCGAGGGTCCCTAATACCCAACCTTCTCCTCCATAAGGCACTTCTGCGTGGATGGGTTTTGAGAGCCGATAGGCAAGTAATTGTTGCCCATTCAGCGGCACGCGTGGCTCTGACTTCCTGAGAAGAAAAGGGGCCAGTTCCCTCTACAAGTACAATGAACTTTTGCGAAAATGAAGCTACTACAGCAAAAGCAAAAATGCATCTGGAACTGTAGGGCAATCATGCAGGAGGGGAGAAAGCACCCCAAGCGAGTAGGGTTTAGCCTGGCCGTAACGCAAAGGGTATGCATATAGGAGAGAAGGTAGACAGCCTTTTCGGTCTCACTCTGCTCGCATATAGAGTGTCAATCCCATCAGCATAAGCGGGATGAAAAAGGAAATAGTCACATGTACCCAGTCTGCACAAGCAACAATAGTCGCAGCATCAACGTCCAAGCCTATGCACGCCATTAGACACGGCAAGTGGCATATCGAAGCGTGACAACATGCGCAAAGAGGGGGATAATACTTAGAGCAGGATAACACTAGAGCACTAGAAAATCACGTGGCATACGGTGTCAACTAAGCGAAAGGATGATGGATTTGCATGGTCCTTCCAAATGGATCTTGGCTACTGGTATGGTAGTGACGCACCCCGACAAAGAAATCGAACGCGCTTCTTCAGCAAGGCTCCCATAATCGACGCATCCCGGAACAGCCCTTCGCACTTTTCCTTAGTGGCAAGCAACGCTGAACCGCGTAGTGACAGAGCGGTTACGTGTACCGTGTTACGGCGAGAGCCATGGAACGAGGTGCCAGACTCGGGAGCAGCCCAACTGAGCCCGTTTCGAGCCATTTGGCCGAATTTATCAGCGATGCATATAATTTTATCGGGTTCAGTAAAGCCTGTAGCCTCACGCCGGACAGTGCGTGAGACCCTCCCGTACAAGCGCCTGTACGAACATAGTAGCAATGCAAAATATACGATGTTGCCTTGTGCTGCCAACAAAGCAATGCCAAACGGAAGCGCAGAGTACACAGGAAATGTGCAGGAACATGTACACAACGTAGGCTACTGTGGAAATTGCTGCATGGCCAAGCAGAGATACAAGGCCTCAATGAGTAAAATTAGTGCTGTCTGGTTCGTAGTGAACGTCTTTGTACCAAACTCTTTTTGTATTCTTTAACAGATAAATATTTAGCGCTCTGTGCACTTGATGACAACAAAATTACTGTTAGCCTGTTGATAAACACGAACGCGATGCTTCCAGCAGCTCCCCTGACCTGCCGATGGATCGGGACGCTTCAGCGCCAAGTGGAGAGCCTGGCTCGATAGCGCAACTGGGAGATGAGCATGCAGATTCCCGTGTATTTGCCGCGTTTTCTAGGGATTCTCCGTCCGGGTTTGTTGTCTCTACTAGTCCTAAGGAATGAGCGGCGCGCTCCTGTTCCTGCCTCGCGAGTTTTACGACATTTAAGAACACTTCCTCAAGAGAGCCAAAACCCAGGACAGCGCTTTCTACCCCATACTGCTCGCCGTTTTTCTCCAGTTCCGCAAAGAGCCTGAAGGGTGCAGCTCAAAAACCACATTGGGAAAATAAAGAGTGACTGCAGCTTGTTGAGGTAATTGGCATATTTGACTCGTCAAAAAATTCCCCTTTAGTTCATCGTTTGTGTATGTATGGACATATAGCTACCCGAAGCAACTCTGAGAGAGCTACGCGTGTTTTGAAAGCAAAAGATGGTTGAGTGTTCTCAGTCCTCGGTCCGGTACGTGGCGCACATGGACAGAGCGAGATGAATGCCAAAAGAAAGGCCTTATAAGCGTACACTGGAAGCTGGAAGGAGTGATGGAACGGAGAAAAAATCCGCAGTTCATGCCCGGATATTTCCTGAATGGCAGGGGGATGCTCTAACGTGTGCAGCAGCTGCCGTAGTTTTTTTTTTGCCTGTTGTTCTTCTCGATGACCTTGCTTCCGGGAGATAACAGATATTATGTACCCTCTCCCAAACCTGTTACGCAGCATAATGGTGCCCATTAGCACTCCGCTTGAAGCCCTCAAATACGCATGATGCAAAGACAAAAGGTACTTGGGGCGTAGAGCATTACGGCACTGCCCATCTTAATATATTGGCGTGGTTCAGAGCCCCTTCCTGATGATAATTAGCTAGCTGCAGGCATCTTTCGCTGAGTTACCCACCGAGTCTTTAGGATCAGAGGTGCCCCCGCCGAGGCAATTCTTCCGTCCACCATAATGGCCAAGCGGTCGCAGAGATAGTCTGCTTCCTCCATCATATGTGTTGTAAGAACAATACATCTACTACGGCTTAAACAGCGAACGGAGTCCCAGAAAGTCCGTCGATAGAGGGTATCCATTCCTGAAAGCATGCGTGAATGAAGTCAAAATGTCCACTGCCGCTTCTAGGCCCAAATCTCTGCCTACTTTTATCCGAGTATAGAACAGCAAGTGCGCGGGTCTTGCGCCTAATGTACACTATTCCGTGTGTTGCAACGACAGCAAATTAAGAGCCATACGTCCCCTTCAGGAGCATAAGTTCAGTTTATCATATAACACGGGGAAGGAAAAGAATGTAGCCATGGCGTCCAATAGGATGTATGAGCTACCAGGCGTTACCTGCCGTGGGTTCGTCAAGAAATACAACAGCTGGGTCCCCCAGAAATGCAACAGTGCTGCTGACACGTCTGCGCCAACCGCCACTTAAAGCTTCTATTCGAACCTTTGCCATTTCCGAGAGCTTCATCTGATAAGACAAAACAGCAAAGGGGGAACGCTGCTAAGACAGGTTGCTGACATGGACTGCACCAAGTGTCCCCGGCCCGAACAGTCTAGGGTGAAGAAGTGGTCAGCAAATAATGTGATGGATACACAAAACGACATGATCACAGGAAAGTGTAATAAACTGGCGCACGAAGCCGTGGAAAGTCACAGGGACCTAAATGTTTAGAACCAAAGTAATCAAAATAAATATCTAAGTGATATGGGGGCTTCGAACAGGGATTACTTCCAAATCTGTATTCCAGCTGGGCCATTAGCCCGGAGTTTACCATGTTCATCAGCTCTGCTATTTCCTCTTTTCGGTGACTCCTTGGAACGCCTCGCAGTGAAGCGTAAACCCAAAGTGTCTCCTCAACAGTTAAATAGGGAAGCAGTACGTCAAACTGAGGGCAGTACCTGATGGTAGACCGGTGCCACAACAAAACTTGGAATACAGCGGATTCAGTTTTCCTTACAGTCACCACGAGGAAAGCTGACTCTTTTCCCAAGAATCTCATTCGGCCCAGTATTATCCAAGAACAAGACCATGGCTTTTGCCTGCTCTTTATACAGAAACCCTATGTCAGGCCAGTGAATTTACTAAAATCTGTTACCCAATATTGCGCCTTGCATAGGTAGGCTGTCGCTTCATGGAGAGCCCTTCGATAAATACATCCCCGTCTGTGAAAGCTATTGATCCAGTGATGACAGAAATGAGGGTGGACTTCCCAGCGCCATTCTGGCCCAGAACGCCAAAGATTTCGTCGCGGTACACCGAAAAAGAGACCCTGTTAACTGCCTGCAGTGAGCCCCTACTACATTTCTTCGCCTGCCAGGTTGAGAAGGTCTTGCAAACTCCACGTACATCGAGTAGAGGCTGCACAGAAAAATAGGACAAGACCAGCAAGCGCTGGACCTGCCATCTTGTATAAAGACCCCTGCCAGATTTTCAGAGTTCCACCATTGGTTCTCACAGCAAGGAGAAGTGGAGCAGCTACCTTTGTTACTATTCTAAAGAAGTACAGCACCAAATCCCCTCATACCGTGTCCTTGTTTTTTGCACTATACTTCGCTAGGCAGGGGGCATTCTTTAATGAAGAACAGAAACCTAAGGAGTCCCTGGGGCAGGAGCTCCAGGGGCATGCGAGCAGACGACCGCATGCATTGCAGCATTGGCGCGCCCAGGAGTTCAAGCGAATTAATAGGAATAGAGGATGCTCAGGGCAACCATTTGATGCTGCAGCAAAGAAGGATTCAAGGAGCCAACAAAACCCATCCAATGGGCTGTCTAGAGAATGTTTTTGGATTCTGATTTCGTGAGTGGACCACGGCTCAGCTAGTATCGCTTAAGCTGCCAAAGTGTCATAAAAACGCAGGCAGTCATCTCTCAAGCCCACGTACTTGGCAAGATCTTATGTAGGTATGCGCCGAAGAGAAAGAAAACTGCCGTGCTGATGCTCAAGGTAGCATATACGTCCACTATAGTAACACCGAGAGCTGGGAGGCTTCGCAAGGACAAGCGCAAACCAACTAGGGGCGGTTAAAAACATACTTTGTATGTACCTGTCCTGATTACTAGCTGACACCTTCAGCGCCACGATCATATTCAAGTTCTACTGCAGCATCAATAGGGCTCGGCTTTTCCGTTGAGCTATACCCAACTTTTGGAACACTTACTTGGCTGTAGATGATCGAATGCCACCAGTGTATGGCTCATTAAAGAGCCATGCAATATCGATGCCCTGGGACAGCAAGCAGAGTGGAGGGATTGAAACAGCGTCTTTTACAGGGGCGCATGGCACTGAACTCAGTAGACGTGTATCGTTCAAGCAAACCTGATTCAGCAGGCAATAGATTAGAATCATGACCGTCAGCTTCCCGGGGTAGCAAATAAAGCATACCACACCAAGTGCTGCGACAGGGCAGGACGCCATGAAGAATCTCTGTACACTGGGACTCCAAGCTTCATTTCCAAGCCACTGACAAACGACAGGTGCCCAAATGAGTGTACACCAGGCACATGCGGCCATTGCTGTTCACAGATCACATAAGTGAAACAAAAGCTTACAAAAGTGCATCTGCGACAGCGCTGCATGCAAGCATACTGCGCGTCAGCACTGTCCCTTTTTATCTGTGCATTGATAGCTGAGGAATGCTTGCATTAGCCGAAGGAAAAGAAGAAAGGGAAGGTCCCTACAATATATGGCCGTAGCTATTATACGACATATCTGTACATTCTGTACCTGCTAAGTTTCCGTCGGTAAAGAATGCAGTGACGAATAACGCGAAGGAAATGGTAGCCATCAGCGCCAGCACCAACAGCGTCAGGAGAAACCATATATCACTTAGAGTAAAGGCATAACACTTAGACACAAAAGCCACTAATAAAAGCATTGGCAAGCTGTAAATGATGAAGAAGATATACCAAGACAACCACAAGACCTTGTCTGAGATCCCCAATATCTTGAGCATGTTCTGCAGGCAAGAATTGTATTGAGTGTCATCACAGCAAGCACTTCCACCCTGAAATGTGAAGAGGTTGTACCTAGTAGTGTCTGTCGCACATTACCCCCTGCCAGCCAAGACACCAACAAAACTCAAAATCTAATGGCAATGCTTCTGGAACACAGAGTAGCAATTATTAGAGTCCTGAACAAACCATAACACCTGGGCAGTGAAAGTTGCGGATATTTACAATAAAGTGTGGACTGCTTGCAGAAACATGTTTAGACCTACTTTGAATCCAGTTTCCTTATCCACCATTATAGCCTTCACAGCTTGCCAAAGGATGCAGACGAACAGAACGACGAAAGGTGCACAGCAGGAGTCCGGTTTGCCGAAACGAGAGGTAACCGTCGCAGGGGTAAATGGCATTCCTGACTCCCTACAGCAAAAATCAAATCAACAAGGCAAACAGTGCTTAAAAGAGTATTCTGGTGATATCAAGGTCAGAACAACAGAAAACACAGTCGAATAATGTGGACTTTCCGGCGCAAATGCCTTAAGCTCTTGCCTTTTGGCTTGATGACTTGAAAAGCAGGAACTTCTCAGTGTCTCCTATTATCAGTAAAAGCTTGCCTGTGGCTTTCAAGTGATAATTAAGGCATTCTGGACACTCATGGGAGCTTAATAATAATAAGGTACAAGGGACGGCTTTGGCGTACATAAACATAACGGGGGCATAGGCCGTGCGTACAGGAGAACTGAAAGTTCGTAGCACTTGGTGCAACGGACCACCAGTTGCCAAGATTAGCCCCGCACCCATTTTTTTTGTGCGGGAGTAGAACAGCTGTGGGGAAGCATAAGCAAAATAAGAGTAGCACTGATCTGCACATCTATGTAGCCGTGCGCATGCTACAGCCAATCTACTCATAAATTTCCCTCATTAGAGGCCGATAGCGACAACTAGTATGTAGCGGCAAAGGGAGACAGGGGCATTGCAATATGCAGGGAGTGGAATCGTGACATACCGACTCCAAGACCTTCATAGCAGGAGCTTCACTATCGCATCCAGCTTGCACTGCACGGTGCGTGTACAACCGGACGGCGCCATACCCAGGGCCCGCCAAGAAGGCAGGAAGCAGGTATCGAACATCCTGAGGTTGGTCTACAGAACAACAAGCAGCCACCATGCTAGCATGCGTACCAAGTGCAAAATATCTACAACACACTGTGGTGCTGCCAAACTAGAAATACGATACAAGCATCTATTGCCCCTCTGACAAATTTCCTCTTGTTGAAGACAGAACTGCTGAGGCAAGGGTCAGAACAGTGGATTGGTTGCCAAGAGCCACGCGTCGGAGTGCACCAAAAACCATGTGCCTATATTGCGGTATTCACCACCTTCATTAGAAGAGGCCGAAATACAAAGGACGAGGGCAAGGATCTCGGACAAGTGTTTTTCCGCCTGTCCAAGGAGCATCCTCAATAGCTTGATGCTATTCCTTGAGTACACTGAAAAAAGCCTCGCAAAGCTTCCCATATGAAGGCTCGATAAGGCATGCTTGGGAAGGTACCAGCTTCAACACGCACACACTATACAGTTTCATATGGTCTTCTTGGCTGATATTTACCAGGCCCTCAAGGCCTGTGTCCTACTCTATACTGTTCAAATTATCGTGGATGGACAATACACTGCCTTTGCGAATTCATCTGGTTGGAGAACATGGCTTAAGCGCCCGCTGAGGATTGCCTGCTTTTAGGAATCATACAGCTTACTGATGCTATTTAGAACTGGAATTCGGCCAAAGTAGTCAAATATCTTGTAAAAGGTCTCTGAGATGCGGAGCCACTGAGGTTTTTGCTGTTGCGGTACTAAACGAATTCAACCAAATCAAGCAGCACGAAACACTTATTTCGCGTCCAACAGCAGTAGATATTAGAAGCAAGGCAGCTCCAGGCAAACGATGCATGGTGATAGAAATTTGTCGCAGCCCAGATATCGGCGACACCTTTTTTCTTCCCAGCAACAAGCATAACCGATAAGTTCAGACCTACCAATAGATCCAGGAAAGAGCTTTCGAACTCCTGTTCTGTCGAGGTTGAAAGTGTGCACAAGTGTTAGGAGATCAAGGAATCCCCCAGTCAAATGGCCATAAGGTTTATCTTGTGCTTCCGTGCCGATTGTGTCTGCCTTAAGCAAAAAGTTAGTGCCACCAAAATATGTCATTGAGTCGTATCCAGTGTAATATCGATGAAAAGGCCTGATTGTGTGATTTGCAATCGACCGCGGCTGTCAACACACAGAGAACGCAGCTCAACTACCATGTATCGAAGATACCAAAGCATTTCCAAATTCACGCCTCCATGTTTGCTACTGAGCGCTGGAGGACTCCTAAGCGCTATAAAATTTTCCTCACAAAATGCAAAATCCTGGGCTGCTTAACAGGCGTTCTACGCAGGATCTCTCCCACAACGGCTCAGCTAGCACTTGGATGCTAGCCCGCACAACATCCTTGTTAGCTACTGTTTTGAGGATAGCACTTCTATTGATGCTGTTACTGTTCTCACCGTCCCCCGGCGAACGTGCATACGGATCGTGATGTCGAGGCCTCCTGGAGCTGCCGCTCTGCAAATGAATGCCGAATATATTGGGCGCTTTTTGTAGGCGGCTGCTTCACGTCTGTATTTTTCTAATGCTCTTTCTGATGGAAAGGTGATAAACAGCTGGGACTCCAGAGTGCGTTCCATGAGGTCTGTGGCGGACGCAGCAGACTGAGCACATTGCGTTCTTTAATTGATTTCGTTCTTTTGGGGCTTACTGGACATTCTAGCCCTACGCATAAAATGCGCAATTAAGTATACAGACTGATGTGATACTACTCCGAATGTGCAGGTATATCTACATGCACGAAAAGAGGACACACGATACCCTTGGTAATTACTGGGAGCTCACAGGGGCTGACAGTCTGTGCGAATTCCCCTAGGAACTTTCGGAGTTGCTGGCAGTCAGATCCTGCTTTGTCTACGAAGGCTAAATAACCCCCGGAGTGCAAGATAGCCGGTAGGTACATCAAGTGGAGGCCGTCGTAACGTCTACCAAAAGGAGGCATGAGATTAGATGGGGAAAAGCACGGATCTGGAGACGTGAGGAACAACATCACATTGGAGGCATACAGAGCATTTTCGCTTAGCACCCCACGGGTGCGATTGACACTTGGGACCTCCTAGTCATATCTATCGATAACCTGGGTCCCGCAACAAGTAAACACTGTATGTACACTGAGACAGTCTCTATTAGCGTGTTTTAGGAGCATGCTTCGGTTGTAATGCCTCTTAGTGGAAGTTAGCGCCACACGTAAAGGTGCGTGAATAAGGGCTCATTTCAGGGGGAGCCCATAGATTTAAGGCCAAAAGTAAGTGTAAATCTTGGGGATTATCGCTCAGTCTAATTGAGCTATAGAGGCGTAGGGAACAGTGCCCATGTTGTTCACGGCTTACCGCTTCCTCTTCTTGTTTTTGTGGTTCGGTTGGTGTAGGCCCCAAAATTGCACCTGCTAAATGGGTCTACCGACATATTCGCGGGCAAAAAATTCACCTAGGCAGAAAAAATCATCAACAGGCAGCCAAGGGACTCGTACTGACCCAATAACGGACATCCAGAAGTGCACTCAGTAAAACATTGTTCCTGTCGCCCCTCAAAGCCTTCACTTCATGAAGAGCCCACTCATCATCCCTGCAAAACGCCCGCGAAGTCTGCCCTTTAGTTGGCATCCAATTATCGGCGTCTTGGACGTGAAAGGCAGCCTACTTAGACCAGCTACTACAGGCGAGTGACTCATGAAATAGACTCTTTACTGAATATAGTACCACTTGGTCTTGGAGCCATGTGTGCCCCACCAGCAGCACAAGCTATGTTTCGGCCGGTGTTGTACTCCTGTGGTACCTCTATATTTTGGTAGTGAGAGAGTATTTTGCACGCAGACACCACCAGAGCGACTGAGAAAAGGAGATCGCAAGTGCGAAGATAGCCCAGAAATAAATGCCTTAGCTGCCTGGCAGCAGATGAGCATGCAAAATCCCAACGATGCAGACTCAACAAGCAAACACGACGAAGCTTTTAAAAGGAAAAAGCACAATACCATCTCTTAGTGCCTGCCGAACGACACCCTTTGCCTGCCTTCTGCAAAGGCTCACCTGGAGCTACAATGCCTATGAGTGTCATTAGAGGATATCTCAATTTGAGGGCAAAAGCCCGCCAAAGGAGAACACAAACACGGTCGGTTGTTTCTGAAACGTGTGAATACATTCGGCGGGGGAAAGGCAGAGACCGCTTTGCAAAATCAAGCCGATGCTCTGTGCTCATCGGCAGCAAATTTGGGTATTGGGTATATTTAAACGAAGTGTGGCTTAGGTTCCCCGAGATTTCGCGGGCCCATGCAGAGGAATTCACAGGCATCTCAACGGGTCCTCGTTCGCATACATAAGCGATGCTGCCGCCATTGCAGTCCCTGTGCCCATGTCGATCGGCGCCAATGCTGCTTGGCGGCATGTTAGAATGATGAGGAAGTTCGCTTGGGCCTTGCCGGCCCCGGCTCGGCCCCAAACGGGGAGCCGACTGTGGCAATGGTTGGTTTAGATATAGAAATGGGGCAACACCTTCACTCAATTCTGGGTTCCACTGGGATAATTGAATTGACGGGGTTGGGCTCTCGCCACCTGCTGGTGCTGGGGGCACAGGGGCTGTGCTAGCAGACGCGATATCAGGCGATTCAGCCGACATCTTCGAGATCCCCCCGCTCCACACTGGCTGACATAAAATGTTTCTTCCCACGCTCACCCAGGAACAGTCGCAGTACCCGCTTGCCTGTTGTTTACTCACATGGCGTTAGAGCATATAGTCTCTATTACTGCTATCGAGTTTTGAATAGTAGAAGAGTAGGAGCCAAGATATGGGGGGAAGAATAGGTAGCGCCCATAGGCGGTGAGGAGAAAAATGTACGGAAGAGCTCAATTTGAACTGTGCCACTGTGCTGGTGAAACGGGTAGGAAGGACAAACCTAGGTCACACACGAACCAGCAGTGTACGAGTAGGCCAGACCAGGTGCCTGTTGTGTTCGATGGGAGACGATGAAGCGTCCCACAGGCATCTTATTTCTGCCTGGAAAAAGCTATAAAAGTGAGAGAGCCATAGAAAAGTCTTTTGCATACACTGGGATTGGTGTTGGACGGAGAGCAACTCGCGCTAGCGATACGGCACGTCCAAAACCCGTTACCAGACCAGTGGGCACATTACGGGGAAAAAATTATTGACACGCTCATGGGGGCGGTTTTAGTTTTCCTCTATGGGTGTTAACAGCTGTCACGGTAAGATACTCCTAAAACTGGAGACCTGAATCGGGTCGTTGCTCCCCTTTTCTCACGATGCCGCGCAGTCTGAGGTGCACAGGCACACCCGAATCGAGATTGTCGCTTCGCCCCCACACTGCCAGTAAATTGTAGTGTTACTGCTTTTCAGAATCAAATTAGCATATTACAGGCAACACAGAGCACTTTCGCTTATTTTGGGCATGATACTGACTGGAATCTTTTTGTTGCATCTAGTCTCCTCATCGCCGGGCACCGTTCATAGGAAATACATTCTGCACATGGACGTGGTGTACTCATTCGGCTCCCCCTTTCCTCTTACAAGGCGTTTTGTTTTTCAGAGTGGAGAAACGGACTGCCTGTCGCTTCAGTGGTAGCAGAACACTAAGACTCTCCCTTTGTGGACGTACTGGACGCAGGAGACACACAGCTGACTCGCATCCGATATTCCAACTCACATTCCACTTACTATCATTTCAAATATACGATATTCTTGTATCATTAATTTTAAAGGCACAGTGCTTCCTAGAAAAAAAAGATGTGCGGTCATGTTCCCCAAGTAGCGTCTTTACTCTTTGTTTCTTCCGGTGTACGAACATCTTGCCTTTTTTTGACATTTTGGGTTATTAAAATCTGAATTTTAAAGGTACGATCGCTTGCAAATTTCGGCCTTTTGGGGTACGGAAGCTGGCAGAGTTGTTTCAGATCCAAAGAACAGCTGGGCAACGTAACGAATCGAAGGCCAGCGGTAATTATGAATTTCATTCCTCCGTATCTCTCTACTACAGGCGAAAAAGCAGGCCGGGCTAGTAAAGCACTAATAGCATATACAGGCAACAGTCATTCAAGAATTGACTTGACTACAACAATCACACCAAAATAAAACATTCTACGAGAGACCTTGGTAGCCACGCCCGGCACGACGTCTAGATCCCCTTTCGTAATGATTGTTACCTATACGCATGTGCACCGTCCATTCTAAGTAGTGCTACATACGTGGGACGATGGAAGCACGTTATATGCGCAGCTTCATTTCTCCCGGGTGATTTCATATGCCCTTTCATCCACCTCATCAAGCACCATATTCTATATCCTCTGCTCCTCCTGCCGTTCATACTTCCATATCTGCCTTTTACTGGCATAGAGACTTGTTGACTCTCTTTTGTGTTGCTTCCTGCAAAAGGCACAGTCTCTCTGATGCTCGCTGGAGCTTAAGCTCTAGCCCGTGTGAGGGCATGCCCCTGCATTGCGTGAGGCCCATAACCTTATGAAGCAACAAGAGTACAGCATAAATATATGAAGCTGCTACCGTGCAAAACGGAGACATCATGATTCGAATAGCGAATGGAATGATGTGATATTTTTCTTGGGGCACATGGCTAATTTACGCAGCCAGAGGCTGCTACCAAACAAGCACTACCAAGCATTCTGGGACAAACCAGCATAAACAAGAACGTTTGGCCCGTGTAGTCCAGTGGGAAAAGATTGATCAGTCGTCTCTGTGCTACCAGAGAGGCCTCACTCTCGGGCTGCAGTTCGCATTGCTTGGCTTCCGCTTCATTTCCACAAAGTGTCTCGGCACATGCACACATAAAACTGTTGAATAGCGTCTAAGAATCAAACTCTAAGCTCAGGGATCTGTGCAGCTAATTGTAACCCACAATGGGTTTTCGACGTAAAACCTCCGCATGCGTGTATTGCACAGGTGGAATGCACCTAGTTACACTCATGCGTACGACGCTTGGTAGTTTTGTAGAAACCGTGGGTAGTCCTTTGTCTTTCATTCAGATTCTATCTAGGTCCATCGATAGTCAGTGTGTAAACGGGTCGTTAGCATCCCACCAAGGCAGCTTTGTTGAGAGATAGGCTTCACATCAAGTATACCAGGGGGAATGATCGTTGTTTTGTGTGCATTGAAACTGTTTTCGCCGAAGCACCCGCTTGCGAGCTTTAATGACTCGAGATGCGGTATCCTCTATTACGCTCTCTTTTCCACCACCGCAGCCTTAGGAGGAGCCTCTTGATGCGGGGCCGCAAAAAGTGAATGAGCTTTAACGATGCTACTTCAGCATGTAGCTGATGGTAGCGTATGCTCTGTAGCTTCCACCTCTGCGCGGTTAAACTGGCGATGGTAAATACGCTAAGATACGAACGCCAAAGAAGCCTTTTGATTAGAATTGTATTAGTAACGGACAAACATACACTTAGCCACAATCTACTACTCTATATATATATGTATCATGATCTGGCGTAGAACTGGCAAACTGGCCTATGTGCTGCTAGCTCGGTACCACAAGATGCAGTGTTTTACGCGCTTGTGCTAGGTGCTATGTGTAGTGAGATATAAAAGCTCAGGTTGCTTCGAGGGTACAGTTAAGTGCACCGTAAGTGACCTCCTTCCCCCATGTCTAGAGCTCTGAGTGGCGAGGAAAGAATAAAAGAAAGCTCCATTGGAAGGACACCTATTAGCTTTTTCTTCAGCTTATGTTTAGTCTGGAGTTAAGTGTAAGCCTAAGGGGCCTTTGGATGGTTGGTAGCACAGCACGGTTTGATGCAGCCGTTCCACGTTCAAACGTTAATTGCAAATGCAGTGAAACGCTGAATTCCTCTACAGCAGTCTTCTGGCTGCAGCGGTGAGGGGGTGGCTGGGGCCACCGAATAGCCAAGGACTTTGATTGCACCAACGCCTACTGCGCAAGCAGAGGCCGGTTTGCTAGCTTGAGTGAACTTTACATCCCCAGGGCTAATTTTAAGTTCTCTGTCAGCTGATAAAATCTTTATGGATGCGTAGGTTAGATCCCACGGACTAGAAACATATGAAAGCCATACAATGGGCGACTACTTGACCTCTACATGTGTCGGACGAAGATGGTCCTCGCTCCTTACCCCATCGAGGAAAGGAAGCACATAGGCACGTAGTCTCCGCAGAAAGCCTTTTGTAGGAAGAATAACCTGATAACGGCTGTATATATGCAGAGAAAATCACCTAGTTGTAGGGGCTATCACAGTTCAATTCATACTAAAATCCCGGACGCTCGTTTTAGGCAGACGTAAGCTCAACAGCAAGCTCAAAGAGGATTCAGTAATTTTAGGTAGGAGTATCTATCGGTAATCCAGCATGTGGTAAAATGTGGAACTTTATTTCGATGAGCTACTTTAGCAGTCGTATACCCCTGGCTTACCTGGAATGTCACATTGGGTAATAGAGTGCTCTGAAGCGGCTCATCTATTAAGCAACAGACCGGTAAGACTTGCGCACACAAACTGCTTTTTGAGGTATGATTGTCAAGTGAGCTCAACTCTTGCCCCTTTGGCTAAGAAGGCAGAGCCACACCAGGATTTGAGTGCAATAACGGTCAAGGGCTGCATCACCGGCCGTATTCTACAGTTTAAGGTAAAGGCAGACAGCAGTAAAGAAAAATGTGTGCTCTAAATTAATTTCTTAGAGCCTCACAGCAAAGCTGCTGCTCCTATTGCTGGGGAGTGAGTCAAATCAACTAGTATTGCAAGCATTTACAAAACACCAAAGAGCATGAACAAAGTCGGCGTTTCCGGCGGAAGCACGCTGCTCAGCGAGCACAGAGGGTTCATCTGAAAATAGGTATTCCTTCTGTCCCTTGGCTATAATAGAATCAAATTACCTTATAAAGAAAGGGCTGCTAGTGGTGTGAACGGCTGCAATTCGTCCAGCGCATCTTATTGAGCTAATCGAGCTAATCCTTGGAGCGGCTCCAAGCTGTGCTCCGCCGCGTCGAATGCCGGCACAGCGTGGAAAACAAGCTGCGTCGAGATGAATTTACTGGCTGAAAGAAGACAAAATGCAGGAACCCACCAGGTCCTTGAGCAGAACCCGGTAATTGCGCCATAAAAGGGCAGAAGGTGGTGCATGTGAGGTAACTTTCAGCCCCTCAGCAGGATCACTATGAAGCAGAACCTTCTGATGCCTCACATTATCGGAACACCTGACAATACACACGGTAAACACTGTGCTCGACCGTTGAATCCGCAGATGCCTTCATATGAACCCCCCCAATCACGCATGACAGAGGAACCGTATTCTACACTAGCACACGGAAACTCGAGCATAGCTGCATTCCGTTTTAGACTTTCTGATGCGTCCGCTGAGCTGTGACAGCACATTGATTAAAATTTTAGAATCCTATTAGGTGGGGGTGATCGGATCACTTCATGGACGACCTCTTAGACTTTTATCCAAAGCTCGAATTGCGCCTACACTTTCTAGGGCATTGCGCTCTAGCTATTACTGGAACAAATGGTACTCGAGGAGACCCTGGTGATTGTTTTATGAGAACAACTGTTTTCGAAATTCTGTGTTTCGGTGCAGGAATTGGATCAGATCAAGCAAAATTTGAAGCAATCAAGGCATAGAATTTACCTCCATGCACCAGCAAGAAAGTTGCTAAGTTCTACGTTCCAGCATCTTGTTGCGGCTAGAATCTGCACGAAAATCTATGTTTTCGACTCATATACTTTAGAAAACGTAGTGTGTGACCCATAAAGGGGAGGCTGATGCAGGAACAAGGAGACGCATCAGCAGCCCTTAAAAGTTCCGCCGGTTCTAGCCCTGCGTGATTATGTGTCTTCACTGCTTTTCAACAGCTAATATTAATGCTACTGTCGACAAAATCCACAACTGCAGAAGGGTGAGGCACTAAGACGTTGACGAAGGGCCTCTGTGCTGTAACAGACGACGGGGACTCGGTCATTTGTACACCCCTACTTCGCTAGGCTTTGCGCAAAGCAGAATTTTAATGCTCTTTCAGGCTACGGTGAGCACACCACTACAGTCGTACAGCTTTTGCGGTCTTTTTGATGACTTGGTTCGCTTTCTGCTGCAGCGAAGTGTGACTTATTTTCAACAGACTGTCAGCAGCTAAAACCCCGCAATTATCTTGGCTCCAGGATTTTTCCAAAGCTTTCAAAATCCTGAGGAGACTTGACCTCTGGCATTCCACCAACGAACTTCCCTATCAGATTAGTCCAAGGATTAGGATAGCATGTACATCGTTGTCGCCCGACACATCGAATATGCCCTTTTCGTTCCTGCCCCAGTCCTGTCGTGAATCAAAGCATCGCCCAACTATCCTTCATGCATGTCTATAGGTATTAGAGAATCCCAGAAATATCTCTGTGGACGGAGATCCTAGAATCACTAGCTCGTTATTAGAGCGTTATTCACGACCCGCCTAGACGTTGACCATAACATGTCCGCTGAGAATTACCCTAAGGCAAACAGACAGAGTGTAGAAATAGCACTATTGAATTTATGCGGACCAGCTAACAGCCACTTGACCTTAAGTTTTTCTTTTTTGCCCAGAGGGTAAACAATATAGTAGTGCAATCTTAGACCCGCTGTTCACCTGCATATTTGCGTAACACCAAGAATCACCTTCTTGCCCGAATCTGCCTTGTATATTAGATATCCAAGTTCTTGCTTAATGGGTGGGCGATGAAAAATAGGGAACTCTTCTCAGTTCCTGCACGCACTGAGTCTTGACGGTCAGGAACGGAAGATGGGAGAGTGAAGACGATGCACGGGGCTGAGCCACGCATCTTTGTACTCGGTGAAAATTGGTATCAGGCCCTCTAAGTGGCATGTATGTTCGTGTTATTGAGTAGTTTTTGCAGCTCGATACTTGAAGGTGCCGTGTAGTGCCGCACGCAGTAGATGTTATGTACAACAAGCTGTAACGCTACGAATGCTTGAAGGATGCAGCTATGCGCACCTTCGTTGCCCCCCTCTCCCCTCATCTCGAGAACTCTGAGGGTCGTAGATAGGAAAGGATAAGGCTTTATGAAAAACATAGTTCTGCTTTGAGTCTGGAGAAACGTGTCACCGTATGGAGAACTTAGACGAAGTATAGACACATTCTATCGTACTCCGTAATGGCAAAAAAGCGATAGTGCTTACTGTACCTTGTGGAGAATCTGCCGTTTTGCACAGCCCCGCCCTCGAGATTCTTAATAAGCGCTCGGCGAGTTATCATGAGCAAGAGGCGCCAGCACACGCTGCGTAAATTTGTTATGCGCTTCTGAATGGGCCGTGAATGGATACCGTTCTAGCCTTGGTCATGACAGAGTGCGCTACAAACTGTGTGTGTGTGAAAGAACCGTATTGCCTTAGAGTAACGAGAATATTGCCAATGGCCAGACTCATGATCCCCTCTCCTGGCCCCGGGCATCCGCTTTATCTCGAAACTGCAGCCCTTAGCCCGTAGACCTGTCAAGCATGCAGTTTACACCTGCGAGAATCTTCTACCTAAACTATGCAAGCTCGCTCTGTAAGCCTTTAGCGTAACGAGCTAAGCCATGCTTCGGTAGCTTCTCCTGCTTTGGTAGTATTTGACTTAGTACTAGAAAAACGTTGCCTGTTTAGCTAGGGTTTCCGTACATCTTGTTTTTTGCAAAATAATGCGGCTCAACATGACAAGAATCAAAATTGTGTGCATGTGCCCTAGATGCTTTGCGCAACTAGCTGCGAAGGCTTAGAGTTCTAGGGGGAGAAGCACAACAGAGCATAGCCATCCCTCTGTGTTTATGCGGGGGCCTGAGGGGTTAGGCCAGAGAGAGTAAAGAGCGGGTTCGAGTGGGCAGTGGATAGCTTTCAACTCAGTTTTATGTAGGTTTTGGTAATGTGGTTTCCTGTGGATACCGCCCTGGGCCACTCGCACCCGGAGCGTGATTCATAACCCTGCACCAAAGAGCCGCAGGGGGAGCCACGTGTCAGCGGTGCGTGAAACATCATATATCTTTTCAGTTTCAAGTCAATGTGTGTTTCGCCATAGGAGGGAAGGGACCTGCCTCTACCATGTCACAGCTAGCGTGCTGAGGCTAGTTGTTAAGAACGATACTCACAATCAACCAATGCCGGTCATACTTCAAAAATTGGGGCCTTGTTGCTTATTAAAGCACAAACACGGATTATGACCCCTAATTATGGGGCGGACCCTCACTTGTGGCTGTTTTGCAGGACCTGTGCATTCGGGCCGCTGGTCAGTGAACCTGTGTTTGGGCACCCAGGGGGGTTGCAGCTTTAATAGAGCACATCCAAATTCCTAGTAATTCATTGGGGAATTGCTTGGTATATAAGGAATATATATGGCTAAACATCTTTGAAATATAAAAACAGCTCTGAACAACCCACTACTTGTTTGCCTTTTACTGCTGTTGAATGGAATTCACTGAGCCGATCCACTCGTCGCGGTTTCGCGGGGCCCACGTGTGCATCGATTGTAGTTCGTTCGTGAGTCCTTCCTGTTTTATCCTTTTCATTGTCCGTATTCTTTTCACGGGTATATGCTCCTCTTTAGCTTTCCTTAGGCTGTGCCATGCCGCATCATTGGCTCAACTCCCCCTGCAGTGCCATTGTGCCAATCCTCCAGCGTGTTGTTCTTACATTTCCCCCCTTTTCTGTCTTGTCCATTTCTTCGCTTCCTTTCAAGCAGATTATGGTGTTTTAAGACCATTCTGAGGCCCTCAAGGAGGTATTACTTGCCCCGGTGAGCCGTAGAGAACCGATCCACTCACGGACCAGTCAGCCACCCAACATGCGCAAACAATACAGTGAAAAGTTCTTCACCTGAGACCCTAGATGCTTCCAAGGGCTCTATCTGACACATATACTGCCTCGACCAACAGCCTCTTCCACAGTCTGAGGCGCCTTTAGATACGTTTCACGCATATGAGCCTCTGCTCCTGCAATGCGCAGATGAGTAGCGCGCAGCAACAGAGTCCAACAGTGAGGCTGTGGACCACTCTCTTCATACTACTTGTATCTATTCACGCCCAATTTGCTACAGTGATTGCAGACCGAGCTTCGACCGGAGCGGGGGGTCCCACAGGGGCCCCTCTAAATCTCCTTAATCGTATTCAGGCCATCTCGCAGCATACACATCTCGCTCAAAATCCGCAACAGCAGTTGCAGCACAATATACAGTATGGGGTGAACGTTAAAGGTTTTGTGACGCCCTCACCTACATTCTTGCACCTCCAGCAGCAGGACATTGGTGCCGACATTCCAGCAGGAGTAACAGCGAACACACAAACGGCAACAGCTATACCAAATGAAACAGTGCCAGGAGCAGCAGCGACGGCTTCCTCAGTGGAACTCTTTGCACAAACGGAACCAAATGGCGCAACTACGCCAGCCTTCCCTCCAGCTGCGGCACCTGGTGCGCCCGCCGCACCAGTGCCTGCCCTCCCAACTACCCCATCTACAGCTGCTACAGCTCCTACAGCAACAGAGACAACGCTAGTACCTGGAATACAGCCAGTAACACCATCGCAATCGACTCCACCAGCAGCGACTGCAGTAGGACCATCAGTACCTGAGGCAACTCCAGCTGCCTCAACATTCCCCCCAGCAATGGGTTCTCCTCAGCCAGCAGGGTCAACTGTTCTTACGGGAACGAATGTACAGGTAACGCCATCCACAGCGGCCACAGTACCAGTAACTCCAGCAGCAGCACCAGCACCAGCAGCAGCACCAGCAGCAGCAGCAGCAGCAGCAGCAGCACCAGCACCAGCAGCAGCAGCAGCACCAGCAGCAGCAGCAGCACCAGCAGCAGCACCAGCACCAGCACCAGCACCAGCACCAGCACCAGCACCAGCACCAGCACCAGCAGCAGCACCAGCACCAGCACCAGCACCAGCACCAGCACCAGCACCAGCAGCAGCACCAGCAGCATCGCATGAAGGAACAGCAGCGCCCAAAGATGCAGCAGCAGAGGCAGCAGCTGCCGCGGCAGAAGCAGCAAAGGCAGCAGCAGCAGCAGCAGCAGCAGCATCTGCCCAGGTTGCGGATGTACAGCCAACCACACAAAGTACACCCATGGATGGTGCCACCATGCTGATTAACGATGTTGGCGTTCACTCTGTACGTTCGCTACTTTTGACTGTCAATAGCCTCGGTTCAAAAATGGTTCTCCACTTATATTCTGTGTATACCTCTATTTGCTTTCAATGCGTACATTTCTGCCTGCGTGCCTCCCTAATAGTAGCCTTTGGTGGCATCTAGCTTCTCTTTGCCCTTTTCCATCCATTCCAAGCCATCCGACAGCTGTACTCCTTTTCTTAAATCAGTCGGCGTTTCCTATCCAATTTCCATGTGGCATTATTGTTTCAACTTCACGTATGCGGACAGCGGTGATTTATATAAATGTGAGGAACTCTTCTTGGACAGCAGCACAGCCAGTCACTGCATGTTTCCCTTTGCTTGCTGAACCAACTGTGGCAGCGTCGCTTTCGATAATGCACATGTATGTATACCTCAACAGCAGAAACGTTTTATCGTTCATTGCAATATGCCTACGCCGCTTTGCCGTTTAGCGGCCGGACTGTCTGGCAGCCAATGGCAAGAACAGGGGCAACAGTTGCCCTTCCACCATGGCCAATTATAGGAGCAGTGAAAGGACGGTGGTCTACCCTGCAGTGTGCGTGTTCTTCGCAGTATTCTCCCCTCTTCCTGTGTGATACCGCGTGGTTGCTGCTCCTGCCTCGTGTACACATTGTCTCTAGTGTACTGTTTGTAGTTGAGATATTTCTGTTGAATACAATATGGCTTTTATCCGTTTGGGTGTTGCGTTCACCTTGCCTGAGCATTCTTTTGCAGGAACAATATTTAGCGTGATTTCCCCTTTCTCTATTGTGTGTGCGCTGTGCTTCATTGCTTCTGTAGTCGTCTCGCGCTGTGTTCTCCTTTCGCAGCCATATCTTTCATTCCCTTCTCCTCCTTTCTATGGGTCATGCGTGTGCTTGGGTATCTTTCTCAATCGTTGAATTCGTCGTTTTATTCCTTGGACACATGTTTGCGCCTTGCGTCGTATGCAGGATTCGGACGTCTGTTTGGATAGCTGTTCGTGCTGGCCCGTCTGGACGCTAAGCATTTTAGTGTTTTGCTTTTATACAATCATCACCTTCATCGCCTTCTACATGACAGCCGCGCTGTATTCACAGGCAAGGAGCTCCCTCCACTGTGGCCCAGGCAGAGAAGAGAGGAAAGTGCGGGGGAGGGCGGGACGCATGTGCATATATGTTGCCAAGGCAAAAGTCAGATAGACACAGAGCGAAGAATGGTAGGAAAATCCTGATTTTTTGCAAGACTTATTAGCTGTCTTTGGCAACTTCTTGTGCCTGATGTTTCCGCCGCTTTCTCTCGAATGGCCCAAGCTCTTGGGCCTACGCCTCTATGAGTAAGCATTATGCTCCCAAAACGACTCATGCTGTCTTTCGAATCGTTCATTTTTTTCAGGGCCTGGTAGCTTCAAACTTTTATAGGGGCGGAGGCAACTGGCTTTTGGTGGCAGGGGGTACGGGCCTGGCTGTTGGGGGCCTCGTTGGGGGCCTCGTTCCTCCTTCTTGCTGGGCCGGGGCCCTTTATTTGGGTGGCTCTCTGATGAGCTTGTTAGTGGCTACTGTCCTGGTGGGGCGTCGGGGAGCCTGGCTAGGTGCTCTGGGAGGCCTCGGATGTGGCGGTGTCATTGGAGCTTTTATCTACCCAAGCATGGGTATTGCAGGGATCGTGGCATCCACAGTCGTGGGACTCCTTCTCGGCATTGTCCTGGGGTTCGCTCCAATCTTCCGCGGGCTCAAGATAAATGAAAGATACATCTGTTCAGGGCTAAGATCCAGGACGCCTTCAAGGTGGGGCTCAGGCACTCACATCAATCAAGAGAGCGGTATCTCCTATCTATTTGTCTCTTGATAATCGCGGCATTTATTAGCTGGGCGCAATGCTGGATTCACACGGCGGGGTAACATGATGTGTTGTACTCACAGCTGTATGTAAACCACAGGCATCTGGTAACACGAAACAGCAGCCTCTGTGAACGGGGCAGCTACCTCAGCGATCGGCAGAGGAGATATACACGCCATTTTCTTGTGTAACTCGCTTTGCTTGCATGAATATGGAGTTCTGTGAGTCACAAGTGCATCTATCATGAGCTTTCTCTGGCCGTCTGAATGCGGTTTTCTTGTATGGTTGTCATTTTGCTTCAGCCACACACACGATGATGCTACGCGCAACTACGATGTGGCCAGCGTCACAAGTGGCCAAACCGCCTCACGCAGGTAGGCGGCACTTGCTCTATAGTGGCTCTTATGCATGTAACAGACCCCTTAGAGTATATTGCTGACGGCTTCACGAGTAGTGCGCCAGTGTTGCGGATCACGCCATTTTCCAAAAATGCACTACTGGGATACAGGCAAAATGTGCAGGGCTAGTCGAAATGATGAAATATACAGTGTATGACGACACAACACATGGGCATCTTCGCATCCACAATTAACCGCCTTTTAATAAGTTTTTGTTCTGTTCCATTCGTTGACTGAATCATTTACGTTGTTGAAACCACAAAGGGTTTAGAGGGAAGGACGGGTTGATGCTCCGGGTTGTCCTTCTGCTTCTGTCTCTTTCTCGGTTTTAGGGCATAGATTTAGACCTCCACTGTGACTCTTCTCTTCTGTGTCATACGTCTCTCTGTCATTTTCTGTATCATTAAAGGCCCCAAGTGAGAAAAATAGCACAAGGAGTCGGTGACCCCTTGTATACCTGTGGAGGAAGGTAGAAGGTTCTCTGGTGTAATTTGCGGATGCAGGCACAGATCGGTCCCCAAACTATCACAAGGCTCCCAACGCTACCCTCAAGTACCCCAAAATTCAGAGAATGAAGGTGGTGCCCCGAGCAAAAGCACGGCGGATGTCTTAAATGGAGAACCGGCGCCGTAGATAGCACCGTTCTATCTACAAGCACTGTTAACAATATGAACGCTACATCCAGCAGTCACAGCAGGGGCTGTCACGTCAGCAGATGCAGAAGAGGCAGAAGTAGGGGTAGCTGCGTAAAAGGGGTACGTTCACGCTCAAGTCTTTACGGCGCTACTACGGGCAGAAACCATGGCCAAGGAAAGCAATTTAAGAACCCCAAGGGTAGTTTTCCAAAGCGGTAGAAGGGGGGAGCTGCCTTCTTATGCATCTCAATATTGAGAACACCAAACGATTATTTAAAACCCATTAGGGTGCAGCAGGACTTTGCTGCAGTAGCAGTGCTACAAGGACTCCTGCTTGACAAGCAGAGCTGCCGCACGGATGGCACCCATCGTATTTATCGTTATGCTGTCACAAAAGGCCAACTGGCTTGCTGTGGATATGATTTGTCGTGCTCTTATGGATTTATATTTATTGAGAGAGGCTGAACTCCGACTAGCAGCCATCTGCCGTTAGGCTAACAACGAGCAAACGGGCCTGCCTAGTGATATGCTTGAAGGCATTTGGCTTGATGTACATTTCTGTCAGCTAGCATATTGTAATTAGGCATACGCAACTATCTCACACCCGTTGGAGCTACTCGTAGAGTCGACACTCTGCGGGAGGCACCCACAAGGGAGAGAGTAGCAGAGCTGCTACTGCATCAATCCTGCAGCAGCGTTGTTTTTTGGAGCTTCCTCTTACTTTGTTTCTCTCACCGTTCCCTCTTCAAGCTCTCTTTGGCTCGGGCGTCTCTCTGCGCTCCCATTCTCTACCTACAGGAGCAGCAGCACGGTTATCATCAGCAGCTGGATAACCCCCTGCGGCTTCAGTAGGCGTCAACGGGGTCTGCAAAGTCGTTGCATTTCGATATCCAGAGCATACAGTGGAGACACTTTCCTTGCCTAGTTCGGTGCAGTTGCCTTGTTTCGTAAAGATTGATTTATGACTCCCAAAACAAGTAAAGCTTGATGCTATTGGCGGAGTTGATGCAAGGGCCGTTAGTCCGCCCACATACTAGGAAGGATTGACGCTAGCAGAGGACGTAGCGGAGCATCACAAGAGCATGCATTGTACTGAAGAGCTCAACAACAGGCTTTGGGTGGACTACTTCCTCACGGAGCCCTCATTTCGCAAGCAAAATCCATTCTAATTCATCGGTCAAAACAAGTCATTGAAGCGCCGGCTAGCTGCCTGCAAGCTGTCCACAGTTTTTTTAAAAATTCAGACATCACTGCCTAGAAGTGCGCGTTCTGCATCTGTGCGCTGCGTGTGAGCTTCCTCACGGAATTGCGCATCCCTCCAGCGGCCATTGGGTTGAATAAACACCTCAGGCGGAGTAACAGCAGCAGGATTGTTCATGTGTTGTAGGGAGTAATCATAATCTGAAAGGCGGGCATAAGCCACGGGCACATCCCCCCTTTGGAACTCTAGCTCATCCCTTCCTGTGACCTTCAAGAAGATCTTATGAGAGGCAAACTTGCATACACCATAAAGAGTGGGGATAGTCTGAAGGCAGTAGAGGAGACAAAGAGCTACTTCCATGGTAACAAAGGCCCAAACAAACTCCTGCCTCTTCCCCAGATAGCGCACCCTTGGGTCCGTAGGATCGCCCGTAGCCAAGAGTACTAGCAGGGTGCCCCCAAATCCAACACATAAGAAGTAGATCATGCCTTCCATGGTACGGTGAAAGATGCCGCAGATAGCAGAGCTGTACGCAGACCTTGCTGGTCCGCATAACAGCCGCAACGCCATCATTAACAGACAAATCAACATCAGCAGTGCAAGCTCGGCAGACAGAGAGAAAGCTACAAAATAGAACAAAAGTGGGGCTTCCTCCGCCATCTCAGGGCAGGTCACCAATAAGTATATGCCCAAGAAAATGACAGCAGATGAAACTACGAGCTGCAGTGTTCCTATAATTGTCGTCATCCAGTCATCAAAGTCCAGCTCGTGAGAGACCGTAAATGCTTCGTTGGATGGATCTGCTATGGAGTAGCTCCTAACAAAGCCTGGGGCAGAATACGAGGCAGACATGGGGCGGACGTGAGACTGTTTGTTCTCTAAGGCGGAATTTTGGGCGCCTATCTCAGCAGAATTACAAAACTGATGCTTGGGAGGACGCTCAGTGTTCACAGACACTGCAGGTGCACCACACATGTCTTCCCCCCACTCGCTGACAGCTGCTAAGTCTTCACCACATGCCTTATAAGCGAGCTCCATTGTGGTGGTGCGCTATGATATGCTGCTTCCACAGCGGTATGGAGAGAGAGCCGCGTAGGCCCCTAGGCACCGTGGGCTCTCCTCGCTCGCAGCTACTACGATGCAAAGAAATGCTCCGTGCCACCGCACAAAATCCTCCGTGGAGAGAGAGGAAAGGAAAAGCCTGCCTCCGATGCAGTCCAGAAGGCTGAGCAAAAGGTCCAGAAGAGGAAAAGAAAGCCGCCCTTTTGCACGCGGTCGTGCAAAAGATGCAAGAGGCAGAACGCGACTCCCAAGTCTCGTTAGATCCAAGCCCACGCAAGATATCTGTGAGAAAAGATCGATGTCCTCTTACTGACGAGATAAGTGACCTCCGAAGAAAAGCAAAAAACTGTATGTACGGCTGAAAAGTCTTCTTTCCGCCAATCCTCCTTTCTCCGCAGAACTGAGTGCTGCTCTTGCACTTTACGATCACAATATATTCTTTAAAGAATCCTCATATCAAAACGAGCCAAAGGGCATAGAAGGATTGGAGTGCTCAGCCTGGCGATGTACAGCAGAGCTGTCCAGCAGCGGCCGACAGGAGGTGCAGTTGGAAGGCACAGGCCGGATGGAAAGAGGCTAGGGAACCTCATTGAGGTTTGAAAAGCTCCTGTATGATGTATAGTGTCTAAATTTAAAATGCTCCATGCTCGAAATCTAAGAGTGCTCATGTGATTGATAAGTAGTGTAGCTGCAGGGTCCAGCTGAAAGACAGACTTTCCGGTTCAAGCAAAACTCGTAGAGTCGTGGATGGCAGATCTTCAAGTTATCCGGTGGCAAAATTCAAATTAGAGACCTAACCGAATTATTTTTCACCTATGTGCCCTCATCGGGCAGAAACGCCCCGGCACGCCGTGCATATGCTGTCCTGGTGGATCGCCAGTGGACAAATTCCCTTCGTCTTCTAAGAACTCAGAAGTTTTCGCAATTCCATTAGTGAAACCAGCAACTAATTATGATTTTTCTTCGCATTAGGCCATGCATAGCTCAGACTTGATGGCTCAAACCTTCACGAGGGATAATTCGCCCCGTGGAGTGGAATGTATGGGCAGAAAAGACTTGATATAACACTATTCAATTAAGAGTAGGCATTAACCTCACTGTTTGGGTAGGCTCTTCTCAAGCGTCTCTTTTAGCAGCGAAGTCTCAAGAAATCAGCGCTGCGTTTGTGCGCCAATAGTTACGTGCTACTTGGTGCGATTGCTCGTAGGAAGTAGCAAAAGAGGACACCCCAGGTGTTGCTCTCCTCTCATGCCGGAAGCCTGTGGACTGGGGGCAGGAAGAGGTGGGAGCTTTTAAGAAGGGCAGGAAATAGCTTTCTGTCATGTTTTGTATTGGATCTCGTGTCAAACACCTCCGTACGGAGGCCTCAGTCAGGACATCATACAAACAACATATGGTTCTAATCAGAGGCCACCGAAGCAACGGAAATTCTTCATTTCGTCCTAAGGCTTAGGATACATCCGCAAAATTCTTTAGGGCACTTAATTACCACCGGTTTATTAGGTGGAGTGGTCTAGCCTGCACTTCGCCGTTAACATAGCAACAAAGAAATAAATAATTCGCCTTTCTGTGCACATATATTGCTCACTGCAAAGCGCTAAAGCAATGTTGTGTACGTGTGCACTAGATGCTTTGTGCAATTAACTTTAAATACCTGGAGTGCTCAGAGGGTGCCCCTACACGCACCTTTGCTGTCCTTCACTCAACATACCGAATTCCTGAGGGGCGCAGACAGGGGAAGAGGGGAAGCCTGAACTGAGCCTAACCTTAAACGTCCTATTACAAAAACCTTGAACAAATCAGCACAAGAGACTCTACTGACGTATGTGGTGTGCCCGTTATTGTACACGCTCTGCTAGACAGCTACAAAAAGACTATTTTACTTTGTTTTTCAATAAATGACTGCAGAGTGCGGCTGTTGGCACACCACACATTACGGAGTTGGCTAGCAGCCATACTACAGGAACATATGCTGCGGTCTGCTGCACTAAATAGTCATATGCACCAGTTTTTGCGAAGCTCCGGAATATGCAGCTCTTGGTAGTCCAATGCGCTGATTGCCTCAGCGAGTTCCCTCTGGAGTTAGACTATGGAAAGGAAGGCACTATCGTTTAGCCAGACAAAGGCTCTTCTTCATGCTTACATAGTGATTTTGAGTAGCAACCCCTACATGAAGACCCCAGGAGGAGGCAACAGCGGCACACTTAGCATCGCTGTGGTTCACAAATACGGTCGAGGAATGAGGGCTCTCGAATTTAGAAGCCGCACACATTCAGCTCTGTTCTCGATGCATTTCGATATGGCATCAAGGCTATGCCGGAACCTCCATACTGAGCCTTAGGGGCCACAGGTAAGGACATCATCCAGACCCTTGTATGTATACATATACTCCTGCGTGTGGAGCACCCTCGCCACTGCCCCACGTTTTTCCACCGGTGAAGGATCTCTCTCAAAATAATTGGTGGGAGACAAACTGAAAAAGACCATGAGCGCCCAATGGCTGTTCAACTTTAGCCGAAGCACGCACAAGGACGGCACAGAGCAAAATTAAGATAGAGGCACCTACTGCAGCACCTGTTGCTGCTGGCCAAATTAAGGGGCTGCCTACTGGTATGCAGACTCCCGCAATACGGATCCCCCAGCATCAGGAAAGGCTTTGCGTTGCATGAGCAGCCAGGCACCCCGCGCTTGCGTGAGTGCTGGCTGTGCCGCTTGTAGGTCTGCACGCGGGTCCGCCGCACGAGTCAGCACAAGGCATAATAGCACCGTCGCAATCTTCTGCTTTTGCTGCTGTTGTTACCGCTATTGTTGCTGCTACTTTTCCCGCCGTCGCATTGACATCAACAGCAAAGGAAATAGTCTGTGCAACCACGCCCTCCAGACGTGCATGGGACTCCTGAACGTCTCTTTTGCTGTCTGCCTGTTTGTTTGATTTATTCTGTCCCCTTTCTACTGTGAACAACGCAGTACTCTTCATATGCTGTTCCTGCTTCTCTCCTTTAAAAGAAAAATCGCCCAGCAGCAGCAGAGGCGCTGGTCCCTCAAGGCCCCATATCCGCACCTGCAGCGCCTTGTTCCTTAGAAAGGCTGCAGCTGCTGCAGCTATTTCAGGCTCTGCTGCTAATTCTGTGCTCCCACTATTAGCCTTCTCATTCGCATGTAGTGGGTTCGAAAGTGGACCGCTCACTGATGCTGCCGCCGCTTCGTTTGCTGCTGGGGCCTCCTTGTGTGCTCCTGCTGCCTCACTATATCCTGCTGTTGCGGGTGGCTCGTCTTCCTCACCACGGACTACGCGTCTTCCACCTTTCTTGAGGCAAGGAGAAAAGGAAAACTCGGGAAAGTCTAGCAGAATCAGCTCCTCGAGCACTACCGGGTCTTCGTCTTTCTCAGCACCGGTAGGAGCTTCTGCTCCCGCCGACGCTGCTAGTCGCTCCCGCTGGTTTACTGCGGAAACAAAGGGAGCAGACGCAGGGACGGAGCCGGAGGCAGTGTTCATTGGGAGCGCAGATTATCTGGAAAACCTTTTCCGATAGTGCCAATAGGATGTAAAGATACTGCTCCCCAGCTTCATCTGGCGTGAAGAAGTAGCAGTAGCACCTGCTGGCCTTTTATGGCGGTGAGCTTTCAGCGAATCGAGGGGCTGCTCTCTGTGTTGTTGCTGTGGCTGCAGTTGACGGCGGCTTTCAAGATCTCAAAACGAGGTGCAAGGAAAACAAGTGCAGCAAGTTTTCACTGGCAGCACCACCCACGACAGAACCAAGCAACTTTTCAGAAATCTGTGTAAGAACGACCCCGTCAAACATTAAAATTAACAGTCTTCGTTCGATTCTATTGCTGTACACCATGACGAAGCCTCGCAACGGCAGCCCCCGGCGAGGGCCCCCAGCGGGGACTTTGGGGACCACTGAGAGGACAACTGAGGTACACATTCAGCACAAAGCCGGTACAAAAGTCGTGTTATAAAAAGAACCACGTATATTTTAATGCTACAGTCCATATGAGTGAATATAACAGCAAGGCCAGAAGCAAAAACAGCAATCCTGCGTCTCCTCTGCCCGTGCACCCATAATTGCAGCGAAACCAGTGACCTTCCTGCTCACTGAGATTGCATCTGACTATTCCTGAGCTGCCACTGCTGTTGCTGAATCCGTTTGTATTGCTGTGGGTGAGTCAAGTCTACATTTTCCCCAAAGCCCCGCAACCGTCTGTGCTGTGAAGAGCCAGGGTGTAGCGAAAGTAGTCTGTTGCTTCGCCCACCAAAACTGGATTATTCAGCGGCGATTGAACAATTCAGGTTAGTGTGAACTGTTTAGATCTTACAAAAAAACATGTTTCTCCTCTGTGCATTGCTTTAGCAATCATACCCCTGTTGCTGCTCCTGCTTGTGTTGCCCAAAGAAGCACGTAAATACATGAATGGCCACCTGAGAGCCCCCAACTGTTGCAGTGGTCTCAGAGCAGTAAGCGTCCCGCTCGCTGACCTAAACGAAAGACGCAAACTCCCGGCCGAGGCACACGACCGATTTCCGCCCTACAAACAATTTAGTCGATAAAAATCCGTGAGTCAACGGCAGATTTTCCGCTATAACATAGTTTCGCTGGTATTAAATTTGACACTCCGGCCGAAGGCAAGTGTGGCGAAAGCAGCGAACATTTCGACGGACTCACGCATAGCAGTCAAGATTTCCTCCTGTCTCAATGGCCCATCAGCTTTTCAGCGCAGCGAATGGTATGGCAGGTAATTTCGCTCCTCAAGCTGTTACAGCTGCTGGTCGCGGTCAAGCTGTTGTTGGCACTGCAGCGGCAGCAGCAACAGCTGCAATCTTTCGTGCATCCTAGCAGCAACAAGGAATGGGCCCACTATATGCAATTGCTGTAACGCCATTTGCTGAACCTCCCTCTCCCCATTTCTTCCCACTAGCCGGGCAGGGGATACCAGAGACGGGCACCCAAGCAGACCCGGTTCGTTGACCGCTCGGGTGTCTACACACCGTAGTTGACCTGTAGGCAAAGCCCCTCCTCCTAGTAGCTCCCACTCTAGTGGATGCATATAGAGCTTGGGAGACCCTTTAAAAGCAAAGAAGCAGCACTGCTTGTCTAAAGCAACGCATCTGACTGGCTGGGGGGTGTAGCACGCCAAGCGGGTCTTGAACGCTAGGCAGGCTAATTTGTCCCCTGTTGTAGGCTGCAGTACATGCTGCCCTTCCTGCCAACACTTTGAACCCATTTCATCAGACCAGCCAGATATTAAACCTGCAGGGCTCATAGGTGGGAACGTACTCCATTTGAGCAAGCAGCTCACCGTTGCAGCTCTTTCCACCACCGGTGATGTTGATGCTGACGTCGTTTCTGCAGCGGTGCATCCGGTCTCATCAAGGTATGGTACGATAAATGAAGCCCCTGCCCTGGTGGACGCTGTGCGAATATTTCGGAAACATAAGCCAGCAACACCACACCTAAGCTTTTCCTGGTGCAGCCGTTGCTGCTGATGACCCTGCAAAATGCGGTGTACGGTCAAGAAGCAAATGCAGGAGGGATGCCGGAAGGTTACTATGGACTCCTCCCCATTGAACGTCAGCTGCACTAGCAGATGGCACACACACATCCCATTACCCGTATTAGGACATGGGGACTACATGGGCAACACCAAAGATTGGTGCTTCAGATGTCGCTGCACTTTCGTAACAGCCGCGACTACTGGCTCTGAGACGGGGCGATACTGTGTTCCAGTTCCTGCTCCGCTTGCCTGTTGCAATTCGTATGACGGCTCAACACTATCCGGCCCGGCTTCTTCAGGTGCTGCTCCGGCACCGGCAGGAGCCGGTGCCTCTAGACCCGCTGAAGAGGTCCTCCTTGTATGCGAAAAGCCGATGTGAACTGCCATGCAATCCTCAGCCTCGGCCTCAGCATCATCCACATGAGGAGCACCGAAATCAGTCGTCTTTGAAGCCCCCTTTGCTCTAGCTTCTGCTATCAGATCAGGGATATCGCATACTGCTAAAAGGAAGACGTGTAGCTTGAGGCCATTGTCTTTGCCCGTGTCACTGCTGGCACCGCTGCTGCAGCAGTGACATTCGATCTGCAGCAGCAGCAGCATATCCCCCCAGCGGCAAAGGCCTCGACCATCCACAAACTCCGAAAAATACGCGGAGCCCCTGCATAACACACTCCAAACCCTAAGACCACGCGTGCCAAAAAAACGATTTCGTAGGGCCACAACAGTTGGAGCAGCATTCAATGGTGCAGCCACAGCCGCAATCGAAGCAGTTTCCTGTGCTGCAAGCGTACCTCGTTCGTCCCAAAAGTTGTATTTCCTGCATTTGTGGAAGCTGCAAAAGCGAAAGTGCCCCGTCGCTATAACCGACCAGCAGCGCTGGCAACTCCACCAAATGCGCACACTCCCGCTGCTGGCATCCCTGCTGTTGAGTGCGTGCGGCTCCGACACAAAAGGGTTGTACCAACTGCATCCTAACCGGCTGTCTTTGGCGGCTGCGATTAATGGCGTCCAATGATATAAATCGCCATTTGCTGCTTAAAGGAAGGCCCGCACTTGCAGTAGTAGCGGCGGCCTCCGCTGCTGCTGTTTCCGCTGTTGCTGAAGGACCGTCCAGAGATGCTCCTTCGCTTCGTGATGCACTAACAGGTGCAGCACAAGTGTTTGAGACTTCCACAGAAACAGCAGATGGCTCATGCTTCGGCAGTGTGGGAGAAGGCCTCAGCTGGACAACTATAAAGCGTTTTGCAGTGGCATCCCAGGCAGCTACAATCGTCTCCTGAATAGAATCCTGCCGCTGTTCCTGCTGCTTCTGGTACTGTTTAGGGACCGTTCTGGCGAGGTAGCAACAATGTGTAATCGCCGGAAGGTCTCCCAAAGGTATTTCGGCTACGAGGCGTTGTGCACGAAGGCTTGAGAGATGGAACAGTTGCAACAGTAACTCTTGGCCTGCTCGGCTTGCTGCAGCACTCCGTGGCTGCTGTTGCTGGTGCGGCTCTCGTTGCTGAGGCTGCAACGCATGCACTGTAGCAGTGGGGCTCCGTCCAGAATCAACTGCAATGAGTAAGGCGGAAGTCCCCTCCCCTGGTGCCGGGAAGAAAAGACACCCAAAGAGGTTCCATTCCACTATATCCGCGCCACAAGAGGCTGCTGCTGATTCTGCAGATGCTGTTGCTGCCGCAGAGGAAGCACATCTTTGCGTGAAGACGAATGGGGCCAGGCACGTAGCGGCAAGCTGGTCGGATTCTAGCGCGAAGAATGCACCAACCGGCGCAGCCGTCGGGCTGCCGGCTGATGCTGCTCCTGCAGATGCTGTTGCCTGTGGTTGAAAAAATACACGGCACGCAACGGATTCGCCTGCTGTTGCAGCAGCGGCGCAGCACTGCACCGCCCGTGGAGTTGGTGCTCGAGGATGTGCTGCTACTATACAGCTGCTGCTACTATCCCTTCGGCAGCTGCTTTTTTGCTGCATATGACAAAGGGCCTCGAGACGCTGCACGTTTGCTGCACGGTTCGCGCAGAGCTGCCTGTATACCTCGGCAGGGGCGTTCCGTGCTTCTATTGCCGCATTGTAGGCCCAGCAACAGCAGCAAGATATGCTACTGCTGCTCCTTCTGCTGTTATGGGTATTGACCAGTCGAGGGTTCTGTGGCGGTACCTGCGTCAATGGCAGGCCCCTATAGGGCGTTCCGAGGGCCGCCGAAGCCTCGTGCCGTGGTGCTGCACCAGGGGTGGATGTTCCTGGTGGCAATAGCGGGGAAGCACCATAGGCTCCGAAATCTTTCTGTAGCCGTTGCAGCGCTACACGAGGGAGGAAGGCAGCAGCAGCCGCACAGCAGCAAGTGTTGAGCGTGTATAAGTCTGCTGCCGGGAGAAGGTCCAAGAGAAGCAGCAGGGCGCCTTGGGGAAGGTGGCATAGCCGGCAGCGGTTGCTACTGCAGCAGCAAGCGTTCGTGCTGCTGGTGCTTCCCCGGTTGCTCATCACACCAAGGGAGTAAACATGCACCGGGCTTCAATGGGGGCTCAAGGCCGCTACATAGCCCCAAAATAATGAGATCCAGAGAATTGTCGGTGTAAATGTTCTGAGGGGCTGTCCTAGGACATTGTTTGAAAAGGGTGGGGACCACAGGACCCCGCAAGCTCCGCAAGGGGGCCGTGCAGCGTTCGAGTGACCCGACAGACGAGGGGAAAGGTAGAGAGATAAGCACAATGACGTCTCCTCGAGTTTGCCATTTTCCTCTGAATTAAACAGAATTTAATCTTTTTTGCCGCATTACTGTGCATGGGTAGAGCCACAGGCGCAGACAGATTGGCTAAGCTAGGACCCCTCCACAGGGACAGTCTCAGGAGATACCATAGAGTTCGAGGTTCCCAAAGTTCTCACGAGACGCGGGAGCCCGACATATCTCTTGTCTTTTCCTCCATTAGTAGCTATTACACTGGTTCAAGTCGGTGGTCACGGATGTCCAACACCTTAAGTAAAAAAGAGGATGCCTCGGTAGGCATGTGGCTTGTAGAACTCTAGCCATGGCCTTGTATGCATCATGCTGTATGCGAGCGCCACGAATACCTTGCTGCAGCTAAATCTTGGCCGAAGGAATGGTTGTGGGCGGGTGCAATGAGGTACAGTGTGTAAGGCGAACATAAAGTATGCATGCATACAAGCAAATCTCGATTTGACCCTTGCCCTGCGCCCTTTCCATGTTTCTTCTATGTGAATGCGACTTCACCACTCGGTGCATTTATTTATGTGTGCGCATGCTACCTCACCTTGGCCTACCATCCTGACTCCCCATTTCATCCGGAAAGTTAAACAGATATGAAAGGTGTACAACGATACAGATAAACCTCCCTCCCCCTTTCGATTTATGCTAATAAGCGGAGGCACGCTGTGTCAAACTTCGTGTTAGGAACCGCAAGTATCTCGACATCTCAATCAGACCCTTTCAGCCTAGGACTGTGTAGCAAAATTGGAACCCAAGCATTCTGCCAAAAAATCTCACCCATGAAATACGTATCATCGTCTTTGAATGTACAGTCGATCTTTGTCAGGCTAAATAGACTACGGGATATGTTCAGCAAAGGATGGTGAAGACTGACGGCTCTGTGTGAAAACAAGATCCTCTGATCCTAGAAGACCAGGCGGTCTCCGATTCTGACGGCGGCGAGCGTTAATTGTCTAGCTTTGCACGCTTAGCCTTCTTATATGTAAGTAATGAATGTGTCAAGCGCCAACAGTGAGGGTTTGCTTTGAGTTTTGCCCAGCTGCCACGCATGCTCAGAACCGCCGTGGAGCCTTCGTAGCTTCCGTCGTTTAGCGTTTCTCTGATGCCCACATGGGAGGGATCCACTACAAACCATGAGCTATACGATGAGTACATTGCCTAATATCTCCATTCGGAGTTTGCGGCGTTATCAAGTACTAAGGCTATTCCAGACTTTAAAAGTCGCATAAATTTGTCATGCATAGCCTTTGTTTGCCATAAATGTCACCTTATGTTAATTGTCTTAGAAAGAGCAGAGTGCAAGGAAACCGTTCATTCATCTAAAAATGCAGGTCTCCTCTGGTTACTCAAATGGCTTCATCCAAAGCCTCTAAAGAGAAATACTTCACTCCAGGATCAATTCTAACATTGTAAAGTTGCTGAGTGTTTTTTTAAACCAGTTCATCTTCCCTCTTCTGGCGTTCCTCAACGTCCATCATAAGGGGAGGAGAACTGCTGCGCATAGCTCCACCCTCGCAGCACTCCCAGCAGTCACAGCCAGCTGTACATAGCATCTAGCGCGCGTACACACACAGCACTGCAGCTTCTTCTTTGTGCTAACACTGCTTTGCAATCAACATGAAGTACAAAGGAAAAAGTGTATCAATCACGTCTTAATGCACATTCAGCCCAGCATAATTGGTGTAGTAGAAAGTACTTTGGCGTGGCTTTGCCCGCTACATCGGAGGGCTTTTAAGAATCTCACCCTTTATTTAGGACGGCTGCTCCTCCCCCACCCGTATACAAAGGCACGCTTGGGGCTTCTTTGGTCACGTTCAATGGATGAGACCCCTAGAGAACTGTAATTACTATGTCGTTACATCGTGCAGCGTAAGTAGCAATTGCTGCATCGGAGTGGTTTGAATAGTTGAACGTTCCGCAGTGCTGAATAATTCCAGAAGCTTTGTTTGCAGAATTGAACATATTGGAACTAGCAGAATATTGCATATATGGGATTATAACGCGATGGTCCAGCAAGGCCAGCTCAATGTGCTAAAGTTCCTTGAGGACCAGGTTGTTGTAAAGATCACTGAAATCTTGAATTATCTAAAGGAGAGCCTCATGTGTCTCACCCTAGAACACAAAATATTTAAGATCCGGTATAGCGTAGGCACTGAGCTGAATCAGATACCCCACGGTCCTCCCTTGCTTCTCAGTGTTCGAGTGACCTGTACTGGTCCATCCTGGCTTCAAAGCATCGTGTTTAGTCAGTACACCCACTGCATTTCTTAGAGTTTATTTCTTATCAGCGTAAGTGGCAATGGCGCGTAGCTAACCCATTGGTGGTGCTCCTCTTAGACTACTCAGAGAACTGCAAATTTGCAGATCCCCAGTGGTCACCAGCTCGGCGGAAAGCTCACGTTAGGCCAGCACACCAATATTCCTATGGTATGTATCACTCCTATTACTGCAATCAGTCAAATTAGGGTCTATTGTGGTTCAACTAACTTTAAAATGTTTATTTCATCATTGAGCGAAACGGCGTGACTCCAACTGCGACTGCGCCGCAGCGCACCAGCGCTAGAAGCCTGCGCCTTCCGCCCTATCTGGATCTCCCTTCCTCGTGCGTGTTGCGTTATAACAGTATGTATGTAAGCGTTCACTATCAAAAAAATTCATTTTATGGTTAGAGAGATATTCTACAGTAATCGACTTCCTGCAGGTACGTTTTTACTGACGCTGTGCCCTGCATTGCCAATGCAACAATACAAGCACATTTTCTGACATTTTTCAATCTCTGTGTTTTCCCATTATTATGATGCGTAGTAAACACTGATGGTCAATTATGATGTTCATATGCCTTTAATTATAGATTGTCCTGTCGTGCTCCCCCCCGTGTGAGCAAAAGAATTAACGATGCTCCCGAATTCACTCCCTTCTCTGCCTGAACAGTCTGCTCTGTAGGCAAACTGGGCAAAAGCTATGTTGCTTATGTCGGGTTTTTGCCCGTGTGCTCTGTGATGTGCTGCGCAGCAGTGTGTGCTTCATAGTGTACAGACACTTGAACATCGTGTGAACAGAAGATGTCGGAGAGCCACAGTCGCGAATGTGCGGGCGAAGCCCTAGAAAAAGGAAAACAGGCTTGCTGCCACGCAGGATCAGACATAATGGAAAAGGCCTGTGATTTAAAGGATAGTGCAAAGGAAAAGGCCGGAATGGCGTGTGACTCAGCTTGCGAAAAAGCACAACAAGGAAAGGAAAAGGCTCAAGAGACGTGCAGCTCTGCGGCCGCTGCTACTAAGGAAAAATCTGCAGAGGCTCAGGGGAAAATGAGCTCCGTTGGTCAGGCTATTGGTGAGAAGGCATGCAGCATGAAAGATAGCGTGACTGGTACTGCTAGCAACGCCATGGCTGCTGCACAGGAAAAGGCAAAGGCTGCTAAGGACGCGGCAACCGAAGGCCTCAGCAAGCTCAGGAGCGACACCGCGGAATTTATATCTCCCTCTTCCTAAAGCTTCTATACGCGTGGTCTTACATGGAAGGTGACAAAGCGCCGATTTTCAGCAAATCGCCTGGCTTGTTTCTGCGCAGTAGGTACCTGACAAGTGCTAGCAGGCAGCCAGTCTTATTCTTACTACCAAACCTTGTATTAGAATCCCTGGCGATGTATTGTTCTTTACGCTCTGGGCTTTGGCTTGTATAGATCCCGTAGGCTCTACTGTGTATGTGCATCGCTCCCTTGCCCACCTACCGTCAAGCCGCGGCCCTACGAGCCGTCAAGCATTGTTCAATTTACAAGACGATGTATTTATCAAATACTGTAATTCAAAGACTTAATATTTACGATTGCATACGCCTTTTGTGCTAAGCAAAGACGAAACTAGGCAATCGTTTGGTTCACATCGTACACAAGAAAATGTTGGATGGAACTTCTTAGTGAATCGGCGGTCGAGTTCGAGCATAACTGCAATTTCGGAGAGCTAAAACAATATTGAAATTAGGCAAAGCCAATCGACATTATACACAGCCTATAGTTGGCACGGCAAGTGAGCATTTATGCACACGGGTCTTTAGTGTCTGGTGTGGTGCACTCTGGTGCTTGCATTGTATAAGTGCGTTACGTACGCTTCAACATCAGTAGAGCGACCCTGTACTACTTGAAAAGGGAAAGAGAAGTGATCTGCTAACAGCTTAACGTAGGTATGCGTACGTGTTTACTGCCTAGCTTGTTCATCATGAAGTTTTAAATGGGCAAACAAACCTTATTTGTTGACACAAGAGAGGCACAGATGCCTTGACAGCCTGGCTCTAAGCTCATAAGTGCTCAAGATAGCTTACCTACTACCTGAAAGGTTAGATAGGCAGGGCCCTTCGCCCCTCCCACCAGAATTGAAGGTGCATGAAATAGGGCTTTCGTCGCGCACCAGTGAGCCTTAAAGACTTGGCAATCCAGTAATTCTTGCAAAAACCAAAGTGTGCAACAGCTTTTACGGTATTCGTGGCTGAAATTCTTCGTGATACCATGAAAAGCATAGTTCCTTTGGGGTGTATACATATCATCAGACGTCCAGTGAGCTGCCAACCAAATGGCGTATTACGCAGCATTATTCAGTATGATACCGCAAGCCACACCTGGAACTCTGCAATCGCAATTGGATTTTTATGTGTTCAGGCATACAAAAAAAAATTCCGCTTCGAATGATCACTCTCCATGTAAGCAGCTGAGGTGACCCATTATCCTCCCTGTCTCACCAGGGGGCGCGATTTGCGGCTTCTGCTTCGTTGATAACTCAAAGTAAACTATAAGCCTAGATTTATCAAACCATGTAAGACAAAGTTTGTGTTGATAACCCATGCTTCTTGAGAAAGAGTGCGCCTCCCCGCGGTTTTTTGCTGTGATGTGTGGACAGCTCGGTTCCTTGAGATAGGCGGATCTTCCTGGCCCTGAGTATGCGCCTTTTCGCTCTCGATACCTTAAAAGCATTGGTAATCATTCCTTACACACTTGTTATCCGTTTAATGCTCTTAGATTTTATCCTTGCTTTTTTCGACTACAAGCCGGCTTTCACGTTGCTGCTACTGTGGCCGTGGGTCGCAGCTGGCTCGACATCGCGTAGTCTTAGAAACCGCTTGTCACTCATTTGAGGCTGTGTTCACTAACTCACACACAAAGGACAAGAAAATTGTCGTCTAGACCGAGCGAGAAGCCCGGGAGGAAACGCTCGTACTCACCAGCCACTTGGTCGTTTTACGGCGCAGGGTATGTACCCAAGGCACCTCTCTCACTCTTGCTTTTTGCCTGGCAATCATTACTGCTATCCACCCTAATTCTGATAACTTTCATTGAATCTTAAGTCTATAGTCCATATTACCTCTCTTTGTGCCTTCGGATGCAGCTTAAAGTTGTGTCGAGATGGCGGACTCACCCCAGAATGCGGGATCCCCCTCCAGTGCCACTCAGGATCATCTGCCTTCATCCGGAAAGGCTCCCCTTGCTGGAAGGTCTCAGCCTGGGAATAAAACTTCCCTAGAGGAGTCTTTGATAGAAGAGGCCGTTACAGATATGAAGATGGGAACTGAGGTCATGCGTCAGGCAACAAGGGAGACAGCAGCAGACGCAGCAGACGCCATCAAAGCCAAGGCTCAAGAAACAGTAGAGTGGGTGAGGCAGATGAGTGCAGAAGCTGGGGAAATTATGGGATCCGCGTGGGAGGCAGCAAAGGAAAAAAGTGCCGCGGCGTCTGCTGCAGCTGCAGAGACAGTTAGAGACGCCAGAGCCACAGTTGCCGAATTCATTGCTCCTGAATGAATCCAGATGTCCTGGATTTCGCAGTCTAGCAAGAATTTTACAGCTGGATCATCTCCTGTATAGACTTTTGTAGGGGAAGCACATAATGCCATTATACTATGTAGGCAGCTTACCGTTCCTCAACATGCGTCGTACAACTGCTGAACCTTAAAGTTCTATTTCGGGTACCTTGATAAATCCTTGATGGTCCTTACAAAAAAGGGTTCCCCCAGACAGCCCTCCACTGTTAGGGGCGGCCCAACCAAGTCCCTAGCTGAGAAGGCTAGGTTGCTTTAGTTACCAGAACATTAAAACGATTTGCATCGAGGAATCTGGTGTTGTTGTCTGCCTACACCATAGCGAGCTGGCTAGGCCCCTGGTATGCAGGGCTAGAAACAGCTGCTGCTGCTGCAGTAGGCAGCAGAATTTCCTATTTCAGCATTTGCTACTAGCGGCTGCTGGTGCAAATATTAACACTACGAGGCATGGCAGCTACATGAATATCAGAGTTTAAGGTGAAAAGTTGCACACTGCATGTGCATCAGCACCTGTATTAGCGTGAGATCCAAAGGCAGCAAGTGCAGTCATAGTCTCGTGTATTTGGTCACTCAGCCTTGTCCACGAAACAAGTTCAGTTGATGACCCCGCTGCTCCATTACGATGCTTCTCTTTGCGTCCATGATTTGGGAGATTCGGCAATCCCTCTTTCAATTTTCGGGGTTCTGCGTCTACCTGGTACGGGACCTCACTCACGACATGTGTTGCCCGAGCACGAGAGCTAGCCAAACTGCACACACATCAGCATAATTAATGCCAGGAAGTGTGACAACACCAGTTTAGGCAGGAAGACCATCACCAATAGGAGCTGCAGGGGCAACAGTAGCACCAGTAGCAGCATCTGCACAAGCAACTCATGTATGAACAGCCCTAGATGTGGTTCTTTCAGATACCTGCCACCTAGTGCGGTGTACATGGCCTTGATGGCTCTTTGCCGCAGCATCAAACGAGACACTTCGGAGGTGGAAGCGGCTTGGTCAGTCCAGATGCTCGGTGAGACAGGCGTTACAGTAACCGTAGCAGCCAAGCTGTAGTCTGCCGCTGCTTCTGGTGATGGTGTTTCTCCCTCATCGAAGAAATATTCGGTGCCCCTGTAGCACAAGATCAGATAGGTCAATATCCACATGGTGCTCCAATTACTTAAAGGCCCTTGCCCATTATCAGCATTAAAGCATCCTGTACCCAGAGCTTTGTAACCGGCATATCTACGACGCTTGATACGCCTACCACAAGGAAAGGGCGGCTGATGCAGACTCATGCAGATCTGCAACGGCTTCTAGAAGACATCTTTTAGTTCTGCTGAGGCTATTTCTTTCCTCCAGTGAAGCTGCTAGTTGAGTTTCTGCTGCTGTTAGGCGGATCTCGGGGCTTACCCTGCTACTGCTGAAACACTTTCTGGTCTGCCCCTCTGCAACAAAAGTTAGTGACTCTGCTGTTATTGGTGCTGACTGCATCAGAGGTGTACGCTCTGTAATTGGGCTTATTTCTTCTATGGCCGCTGCCGCTGCAGTGACTGCCCTCCATGTGCGAGAATAGCCACTACTTCCTCCAGATGGAGAACCTCTCCCATCTGCTACAGGATCAGAAGAACCATTATCAGCTGGTTGCTGCTGCCCCTGCTCATGCTCCTTCATTAAGGACGAAGTGTCAATAGTAAAAGCACTCGTCGTAGTCGCGAGTTTGTCGGGTGTGCTGCTGCCATTGGCAGCAGCAGGGACTTCCGCAGCAGCAGCTGCTGCAGCTGTTTCTAGGGAGTGTCGCACTTCATCTGGTGTAGTATCAAGAAAGAACCCGTCTCCGTACTTGTCGTACTCCTCCTTCAAATGATTCAAGACCTTCATGGGGGCATACAACACGAAACGCGGGAGCAGCAGCACTTTCTGTTGCTGCCGCTGGCAAGCGAGCAGCCACTCCAGATGCAACACGGGGATTTCTGGGAAAGCTTTTGATACTGCCGAGGTACGGAAGCTTGCAGTAGCAGCAATAGCAGCAAAAAGACTGGCACAGGGTGACTGGCGTAAGGAGGCACCCAGAGAGAGAGCAATCCTCTCCAGTCTCTCTTTCTGGTGCATTCTGTCTCCATGTATGATCCAAAGCTCAACACCACTCAGCGGCAAAGCACCCGTAGCGAGGGATATGGCTGGCGTCGTCCGAACAGGTAGCATGTGGGATACCAGACGGTATGAAGAACCCCAAATCGATACTCCCCCTCGTCTTGCTGCACCGTACCGCCGGCGAGTAGCGCTTTGATCCAGCGATACTGATGAAACAAGATGAAACGCTTCGTTGGTGCTGGTAGAGCCGCTACTTTTGGGTGAGTTCTTTGGCGAAGATCCGTGAGAGATTGCTTCTCCGGCATTCACATGCATTGCTTTTGCTGAGCGTTGTGGCAGTGCGATCAGGTCCCGGTGCTGGCGACGTTCAGGCGGCAGCTGCTGCTGTTCTTTCTCATCGCGAGAAGCAGTAGCAACGCGCACGACCAAGGTCTCTCGAGGCGCTCCTAAATAAGACCCACCATTCAAATCAGTCCCATACTGCCGTTCGTGCTGCTTCGGTTGTTCCTGGTACTGTTGCAGCTGTTGTTGAAGATGTTGCTGCTGATGCAGCATTTGTTGCTCTGCTGCCTTTTCGGAAGTACCTTTCGATGAAGTTGAATCGTGTGGAGATGCTGCGCCGTCTCGTAAAAAGGTAGAGCAGCTCTTTTTTATCAGCGCCTGCAACGGAACGAACAGCGCAGGTAAATTAGACATCTGCTGTGGGTGTTGCTGCTGCCACAACAGTCGGCATATCTGTGAGCAACAAAGGTCATATAGGGAACTGGAAAAGCGTTAGCGTGCTGCGGTCTCAACTAAGGCAGACTATGCCCATAAGGGAGTGGCGGTAAGAACAGATGAATGGGAAAATGAAGATAACATGGAACCTGCAGGGAGGCTTGCTGTACTTGCAGCTGCTGCAGCGTTATGGCATCTTGTGGCGTTTTATCCTTTCTTGGTGCCTCAATCAAAAGTGGAAAGCGGAGTGTAAAACCGACATCAAAATCTGAAGATGGCAAAAATTCGGATCCTCCGACTGAGACCACCCAGCTTACGTTGGGAGGCCACGTCACATCCACCCTAATGCAAGAGCAAAAACAGTAAGAAGAGCAGCAGCATTCGTATGAGCAACAGCACGGCAAGCGTACACGGGCCGCGGAGAGAGAGGCAGAAAATAGCAGAGGAAGAATAAGCGTAAAATCGCAGAAGTGCCAGCTTCAGATCGTGACAGCAGAACCAGCCCTAACTTTGAACAGCGCCAACCCGTAGCAGTAGGCAGCTGCAGCAGTAACAGGAAAAGTGATAGAAACGGCATTAGCACCAGTAGAACAGCGTGCCTTGTGGAGGATTTGCATTTCGACGATAACCAAGGGGCGGTGTTTTCAAGTGTTTCGCCTGGGGACTTGCGAACAGCATGAGGACCCAGATGGCCCCTCAACTGAAGGAGCTGCAAAGCACTGAGGCCTCCAACCTGCATCGTTTACAACAGCCACAGTCATCGCAAAATCAGCAACAGCATGATTTGCATCCAGTCATGAGTGTGAGTCATCAACGGAATTGGGAAGGATGACTCTGGGTGAAATGCCAAACGAATGAGACTGAGTTAACTTCACCGATACAGGCCATGCCGCACAAACAAGCCACAGTAGCGAAACCAACGGCATCACCGGTCAAACCATGCACAACGGCAGCAACAATCGTAAAAGTGAGGATAAGCGCACCCTGCAAAAGCTGAGGACCTTTCTGTTGTCCCTTGGGTCAATAACCCCCAAAAGTAAATGCGTGCAGTGCGATAATGGGTCTCGGGACTCCTGCAATGTGCACACAGTCTATCCAGTTGACCGAAATACAGTGTACAGAGCGCACAATCCCTCTGACAGCTGCCTGTTGTGCTCTTTTATCTCCAATCTGCATGTAGGCCATCCCGTTATATCTATCCCACTTCCTGCTGCCTAGCTGTACCCTGAGCCTCCCTTTATATTTCTCAGAAGTCTCCATGCTATGCACTTTGTTTCATTCTCTTCCCCATACCCCTGTTCGGCCTATATTCCAACTTTCGTACCTTCCAGCTTCTGCTCCCCATTATGCCCGTGTCCCAGTTCTTTGCCGCAGAATCTGCTCCCTAGCTGCCTGCCCTACAGTGGCATGCTCGCTGGTGCTGCCGTTTGAACTGCTTACGAGATTTCTCCCTGTCGATGTTGAAGCATAAAACGCCCCTATAGCAATGAGATCCAAACTGTCTCCAATTTGGCCAAATAACGGTTTCAGCTTGAACCATCCATCCTGTCTGCAACATTCAAAAAGCAGAAAAACCACAGTCAGGAGTGCGTGAGCAGCGATAAATGCAGCAGATAAAGCAGGCAGAGGTCCTCCGCATTGCTCACCGTGAATCTAATGCGTAGAATGAGAAGGGGGCTTTCAGCATGAGGCCCTCGCCACCCCCATGGACCACTTCCTTCAATCTGCTCAAAATCTGAAGTGGCACCAGGAGAAGACGGAGGCGAATTCAGGAGTTAAAGTTCTAAAGGCAGTCCCACAGCAATTAAGCCACAGCGGTGGCACCACTACGAATTGAAGTCGAAGCATTCATGATATTCACCTGTTGGGAATTGGTAGCGACAGAGAAAGGTGCAAGCTGAAGACGTGGAGGATGTGGCTTGAGGACCGTCTGAAGAAGAGCTCTATACGGATCAGTACAAAAAACCACAGATAACTTCAATTACAAGAGCTCATATCACTATTCTCCTCTGTCACTTCTCCTTTAGTCTATCTTTGATGTGGTACATGCCATAGCCCGTGAATCCCTTCCGCTACTTCTCTAAATCCCCTTTTCCTTTGGGTATCTACCACTGCCCCTACCCTTTCCTTCGCATTCGCGTCTTATGCTGCCGTGCTGCCTCCAACTACAGAAGTGACACTCACTTCCGGTCAGAGAGACGCATGTGCAGCAGCGAGTGCCTATGCACCCCTGTGCCGTCTCGGCTACTATACGACAAAATATCGAATACCATGTAGACCAAAAAATGATGAGCCGTCTCCGCCGCGGCCACCCCCCTGCAACACCAATATTCATAATAACAGGCACGTCAAAAAAGCGGCACCAACAACAAGAAATCCTGAGGCGGCGTTACAGGAAGTGTGTGTCGCCTCTTCGATTTGTGGTTATTGACAGATCACTGCAAGACTAATCCCTTAGCATTTATTTCGAAGCGATGCACTTTTAAAGGAGAGAGCTCAATGTCAGAAGCGCTGCTGGGGAAGAAGCAAAGGGGAACAAAGAGACGAAGGTCTCAGGAAGTTACGGAGCACCTGATAAGTGGGCAAGACATTGATCAAACGATCCGAACAACGTTGGTCAAGCAGAGCACACGCCGCAGACACACCGTATCGCTTTGAGAGGAAGTGGTCGCTTGTGTTCTGCATCGTAGGCGAAGATCTCTCCGTCTAAAATGCAACTGTGGCCAAGCAGCGACTGCAGCAGCACGCTGCAGAGATCAGGAAGGCACCCCGTCTCTCCCTGATGCTGCTGCTGCTGGGGACAGCAGCGAGACGTGTATCCATATCTGGAGGAACAGTCAAGCCCATTGCGTGAAAAGAGCACAGCTTTGGCCTCCGTACCAGGGCCACAGTAGACGTGGGCGAGGAGCCGCTCTCCATCCCACTTTTGCTCTACTATCAGTTGCCCCCTGCAGCACACGGAATAGACACAGGATGCCCTTGTAGGAGGCTGGAGAAGAGTGAAGAGGAAGGCCACGCTAGCATGGCCACGATAAGGAGGCCGCTGATTTACGAAGCAGCAAAGGAACGTTATGGAACAGCGCACAGTGAAAAGAGGAGAAAATAAGACAAATGGAAGGAAATGGTGGCTGCAATCCCCACAAATTTAGGGCCCAGACCTACACAGCCCGCCTTGAAGTCTAAATCTCCCTCCCTCTGCTCTCCTACTACGCCCACTGCCTCTGCCTCTCCCCGTTCATCCAGTAGCTGCCTTACTGCGCTGAGTCAAGCTGCAGCAGCCCTTGCAAGTCGGCCTGTCGGCACATCGAGGCTAGCATCGGACGTAAAGGCTTAAATAGAAGCTCCTCCTCCTGGTTTGCATCGCTCCAGCCGCTAACCTGAGTGTCTTGAGCAGCGAGCTTCTGCAGCGATGCAGGTGCCTTCCTGAGTCTTCTTAGTGCTATTTCATCCAGCACACCCTACACAGTCCCAGAACCAAACGAAACAGCAGGCGACTTTAATCCCAAATAAATGAAGCTCCGTTTTGCCTGTTATGCTGCTGATCACTTTCTCCTTTTGAGTCAAAGCCATCGCTTGTTCTAATGCTCTGTGTAGTCGCGGAATGCACCGAACTCCCTTCCTGTATACCCCACAGATGCTGACCTTGAGGTCTGATATCCTAGCTAGCAACAGTTTGGCGTCCCTGTCGAGTGGAAGCAGAAGCCTATTTTCTGCCGCCCCCAGCTTCAGGTTTTTGGTGATAATTCCAATAAGACAGGCATTCTCCTCAGGTCCCAGCTGCCTGACTAGACATCCCAAGTGCATGGTCTTCTCCTGCAAGGAGACCGCCCCATGCAGTAGATCTAAGTATTTGTTTACTTCCCCCTGAAACCGAAGCAACAGCAGTAACGTTGCGAGTATCCAGCAAAGCAGCTACCCACATAGGTGGCTGTAGGAGCAGCCACACTTAGCAGAATACGGAGAAAGCAGGAGCAGCACCTGCGGTCCCAACGTCAGCAAACGTTGTGGGGACACCGTTGCCATCTCCTATGCACTAGAACAGCGTCACTCCGTTACATCAAAGGTACAAAGAAAGGCCTTATGTCCTTAAACCAACCGTCAAGAGAAATTTGGTGGTTGTTCCTGGAGCTGACCACAGTAACTGAAGAGACCCGGTTCCCGATCCGTTGCTTTAGCACAGCTGAGAGGCAGCTGGGAAAGTCTCCTGGCTTTGCTGATCCAGCAGCAGCAAAGGATCCTGTAGAGCTGCAGGCCCCAAGGTATGCTCCATCCCGAATTGTTGCTGCTGCTTCTGGGTCTCGGTACGACTGTAGCAACGCACCTACAGCTGGTGGCAACGCAAATACTTCCACATATACCCCGATCAGGGTAGCCAGACGTAGCTTTAGAGGAGGACGCCTCCTGTCCTGCAAGCACATTTGTAGGCAGAGCACAGGCATCAAAAGTTGACGTGCAGTGCGCATGGGTGTTCCTGCCACCCCCCTACCTCTATTTTCGCCGCTACGATTCTAGTAGTGCCTATTGCATCCAAGCGCCTTCGCGTCATTTTCTGTCTATTCCAACTAGCTCATGCGGCATGTTCGCTTAAAAGCCATGAAAATTATTTCCTTTCACTACCTCTATTGAGGTTGATTATCTGCCTGGTATCGCTACTGCTTGCTCTCTTGTGCTGGTCCATGTTGGCGTTTCCTTTTCACATTCCGTGCACTAAGCAGCCCGCATATGTTTCATTTCCCTGCTATCGTTATGCTGCCATCTGCCGCCCACTTTCAATAACTATGCATCTACTATTAATTCTCTGCCTGTATTCGCTCAATCCCTGCGTGCTTATGCGGCGTGGCGCTGCCCCGTGCTCGGCATCAATATCTCTATCATCGTGATGCGGACTCTGTGAGGAAGAAGGAGTCGCAAGAGCGGGAAAGGGTCGCAATCTGGCGCAAGACGCTCAAGAAAGGAAATGCAGTACCTGCATCATCAAACAAACAAGTTTCCCTTACGTCCGTCCTTTGCTGGCTGAAACTCTACCACCAGTTAGCTATCTCTCTCCCTCTAGCTAGACATGTCTTGAAGTTTCTTTTGCCAAGTCGATGCTTCTAACTATTCGCATGTGGAGTCACCCAACATCCCTCGTATACCTGGCTAGCTAAGCAGGCAGCTAAGAGTGTCCCTCTAAGCAGCCATTGTTTGCATTGGTTTTAGAGTCGGCCGTACTCGGTCTTTTCAGTACTGGAGGCGTGAGGATCTGAAAGTCGCTGGATTATCCCGCAAACCTCGGAGAATGGTGCTGCCTCAGTATTGTGCACCAACCCAACAGGCAATGCCCCACCCTCCCCCATCCTGTTGCTGTGTTGCACCTCCGGAGGAAAAGGGCTGCAGCACAGAAGAACCCTTGTTTGTTTTGTGGTAGGGGATGCCCACTTGCATACCAGTCGAGGCTTTTTCCACCGAGTTTCCTCCACATCAGCAGTGACCTTCAGCGGTTGCTGTAATTCCTGTCAATGCACTTCCTACTGGCGCATTAGAGAAAGCCACCCCCGCTGCTGCTCTGATGCCGTTTTTCAAAGGGTCTTCATGCGGTTGTTTTAGCCTCGCTTCAACGGGTGCTTTTCATTAAGGCTGGTTAGTGTGACCCAGTTGCTGCTGCTTGTGCCGGCACATAGCGGATTGCTAACAATGAAATATACGCTACACACCGTATCACACCATCAAAAGCTGCTTATATTCCTCCTGAAACCCCGTATATTGCCGTGGTTGGACAGTAGCCAAAGCAGCATCGAGTGAGGGCAGCGACTGCGCGCAGGAGCCGCAAGGCGAGCAACGAGATCTCACCATAAGAATAGAGAGCCTTCTAAAATTCAATAAGTGTCAAGCTTATTAAATTATGAAGGCACCAAAAGGTTCGTAGGAGAGGCTCCTAATCGCTCGCTAGTCTTAAGACACTGCTATGGCCCCCGGTGCCTCGAGGGCCCCAATATATGCCTACCCCCTCACAGGACCCCCACGGAGTTTTCCGCCAACACTTCCTCCCTTGTTTGCTATGAAGAAGCAGACACACACAGTCTCAGCGCCCTCTCTTTTAATGTCTGTCTCCCAAGAAGGGGGTTGTCTGGTGGGGCGCTGCAAGTGGACCGACATAGGGGACCCCCAGCAGCAGCACGAGCAACGGCAACAGCAGCAGCCGCAGCAGCACAATGCCTCACTTGCTACAGTCCCTCTCTGTGCTATATGAGGGGACGGAACACTCCCTTGAAGCCACGGAAAACAGTTTCCCCGAGCAGCGGCAGACACAGCAGGGTCAGAAGCAGGGGCCACTTGACAAAGAGGTTCTACAGCGAATCAGTAACAGACTGCAGATCCTGAGGCTCTGCATCCTCCACCAGGTGCTCCACAAGGCCCAAACAGATGGGAGAGAGGGCAATCAACAAAACCAGCACCAGCAAACAGACCACGAACGGGAGCTAGACCGGCTACCCGAGAAGAAGGCAGAACCCCTATGCATCAAGAGACCGCGGGAGGCGTCTCAATGTCGTGCTCCTGCTGCAGCTGCCACTTCTGGCTCTGTGGTCTTTTGCTTAGCTAACCCCATTGTTGCTGCGCTATTGCAGCTGCAGCCCCATGAGCTACATTTTGGGCATCGCAGCCTTTGTCTTTATCTGCGTGAGCTTTACATGCATCAGCAGCAAGATGGTCAAGACGGTTTCAAGGCACCTGACCAGAAAGATGCCGCATGTCACGGCGGAGCACCTCAGGGCAGCAACAGCACTCGTAATCGCAGCAGCAGGCACGCGGGAGGACGGCAATGCAATAGCTACGGCAGCCCGCTGCAAGAGCTGCCACAAGAAACACAGCAGCTTCTGCGGGCTGTTGTGCGGCGTGTTCTGCAAGAGGAGCCGCAGCTGCAGGAGCAGAGCCATTTGTTGCTGCAGCAAATTTGGCTGACGTGTCTCTCTCGGCAAACACTGCTTCTATTGCCAACCAAGGGTTCCGCTGCAGCAGTAGAAGACTCAGCAAGGGCACTTCTAGAGGACAGCAGGAAGCGCCTGCAAGAGCTACAAAAACACAACTTTGTGGAACAGCTGCCGGCATTTGCCGCTGTGCAGGCAGCAGTACCCCTTCCCTCATCAGCAGAAGTGCGTGGAGCAGTTGAGGCGGCCATCCACCAGCAGCAGCACTTCTTATCAGCAGAAGAGGTCTTGCAACTAATGCCACTGGAGCCTTCAGAGGCCCAGCAGCAGCAACAACAGCTCACGCTGCTGTTGCGGAAAGCCCGGAGTATTCTCAGGGAGGAGGCCTCTGGGATTGTGACTGCGCTGTCTCCCCGACTGTTGCTCCAGCTCCTAGACGAGGCTTTTTCAGCTATCACTGCTTCTCGGCTCCAACGTCTTCACAGCAGCGACAGCAAGGGCCCTCAAAATGGCCTTGTCAGTTTAGTACTCAAGCGTTTCAGGGATGCGCGGGAGCTGCAGCTGCTGCAGCAAGCAGCCCGCGGAAAATTGTCTGGGTGGCCCAGGCAGGGAGCCTCCGACGACACCTCGGCTGTTGCTGCGGCACCTCCCCAAAGCAACAACAGCAGCGCAGCGGAAAATGTATCGTGGTTACAGCAGCTCTATCTTGCTACAGATAATCTCTTGTTGCAGCAGCTCGTGGCTCCTTGAGTCCGGCTGTTCGTGGAGAAGCAGGACCCACCCCTAGCATCCGTTTAGGGAGAACTGTTGTGCTGGAGGGACACTGCAGGGGGCACCAGCTGGCCAGGTGCCAACTGTCTAGCTGTATTAGTGCCTCTCTGCCCTAAGTCCTGAGCCTTAAATTTTTAAGTCTAAGAGCAAAACCCCGAACAGCGTGCGTTTGCCTTGAAGCCGCGTTTCCCGCTTGTTGTCGGTAGCGTGGAGCCTTTCCTTTTGTTGTGGCCCCTAACGGGCCCCTTACAAATATAGTCTTACAAAATCAAGTTAAAAGTGCAGCAGCGGAAAAAGACGTAGACAAATCCCTCGGCTTAAATACAAACAGGGGTAGTGGGTGGGAAACGGTTTGGGGGAGCTCAACGCCCGCCCTCGAGAGCAGCGGCTTACGCAGAGGGCCCCCTCTCCTCGGCGCGAAGGCCCGACCCGAAGGGCTTACAGCACCGCGGAAAAGGAGAAGGAAAGGGTCACTCGTTTGCCGTGTACCCTGCTGAGAAGGCATAGCGGACGGGTGCTGTGAGCCCACGGAAGGTAAGGAACAGAATGGGGAGAAGCCACGGAGAGAGAGGAAAAAGACACTAGAGTACCGAGTGACCGACGGCGGTGTCTACATAGAGAGGAGTGCACAGGCGAACTGCTTGACAAAAAGGGCTCCAGGGATGCAGGTGCGAAGATAAAGAGGAGAAGCGCGTGCACTTCAATGTACAGCACCGGCGCCAGGGCCCTGCCAGTGCATTCGTGACACCATAGAGGGGACAGGAGAAGGCCTGCAAATCCCCCAAGGAAACAGTCATGTCTCTCCTTCACGAGGGCCTCCCGGAGGTTCCCAGGCCCTCAAAGTTCGCAGCGGCAAATTCGTCTGGCATGCCATCTCGCAGCAGGGCCCCACCTACAAGAGGACCACCCTTTGGATCGCCAAACTCGAAAGCCGACATGTGGGAAATTACGGAGTGACCTGAGGCTCGCCCGGCACCTTCGCCAGTGCTGCCTCTGCTGCTGTTCGGCCGCAAGCAGGCTGCCGCACCAAGTGCAGCACCATGGGAGCACCCAGGAGTTTGGTGTTGGTGTTGGGGAGACGATGGACTGCTTCGCAGCTGTGGGGGTTCGCGACAAATCGAATGCTGCAGCTGCTGTCGCTGCTGCCTCCGTCCTTCTTGCAGGCCTGCCCCGCTGCTGCCCCCAGCGGCTGCTCCGAAGCCCACCAAAGTGGTGCTGCCTACACTCAGGCGCTGCTGCAGAGAAACTGCGGCAGCGGGCCTAAGGGCAGTGGATGTTGCAGCCGCTGGTTGTTGCTGTCTGCCGCTGGAACCGTCTTGCTGGAGCGCGAGGCGCTTGAGGCCTGACGAGACAGTTGAAAGCCCACTACTTCCGACTCCAGAGGCCTGCTGCGGGAGCGTAAGCAGGTTGTCTACACCCGAAAGACGCGTGAAGCTTCTGCTGCTGCTGGGAAGGCTTTGGGGGCCCCCCAAAGCAGCAGAGACGGGCCGCTCCGGCAGTCCCCCGACGCCGCAATCTTGCTGATGCTGCTGCCTCTGCGAAAGGGTGCTCACGGAAGCAGATTGAGGTCTGGTCGATGGCTGCTGCTGTTTCTGCTGCCGCGGATCCTGCTGTTGCAGTCCTGGATTCGAGAGCCGCTGCGCAGTCACTGCACTTTCGGAGGAAACCCCACTAAGACCTGCTCCCGAAGTGTTCCTCTCTACCGAATTGCCTGCACCATCATAAACATCCATGAAGTTCCATGATACCTAGCAGCTGCATCAGCAATGACAGAAGCAGCTGCGCACGGAAAACGGCTTATAGCAACAGGGCCTTTACGCCGCGATGCTGAAACGCAGCAACAAAAGCAGAGGCAGCGAAGTTGGGGGCCTACTTGCAGCTGTGCTGAAGCGCGAATTGGGGAGGGTTCGGTTGTATATGCCCATTTCCCTTGAGCTTGGCGAGGCAGCGGCAGCCTCGGCAGTACGTGCGGCAGCTGCTGCGCCTACTCGAGGGGCTGAGTCCAACAGAGCGCCTGTTGCGGCGTCGAGCTCTTCCAGGGGCCCTTCATCTAGAAACGGAGAATGGTGAACAAACGGTGGCCTACTGTTGCTGCCTGTTGCTGCTGCCCCAGCAGCAGGAGGGATAAGAGCAGGAACCCGTGCAGCAGGCGCTATTATTGCAGCGCGTGTCTTGCGAGCGGTGTCGTCTGCGACTGCCTCTGACGGAGGGTCCCCTGCTCTGTGCTGCATGGTGATGGTCGAGGCTGCGGCGCAGAAAGTGAAACCAGTCACAGGCACGCAGCAGCTACGGAATGCGTAGGAGCAACGCAACGGTGCGGCAGGCAGCGTGTACCTCTCAGGGAAGGATTTTGATGCTCTGGGTAGATTTAAAAGCTACCATTTGCCGATGCTCACCTGCCTTCGCCGTGAGAGCCGCCGTGGAAGAACCAGCGGCTGCCCCTGCACTTGACAACGCAGCACTCGCTAGACGAGATGCACGGGGCTCAGCACTGCTGCCTCTTCTGTTGCTACCCCTCCCGGCAGAGCCGCTGCGTGTGCTGCTGCTGCTGCTGCTGCTGCTGCCCTTCGGGGCGTTGCTGCTCAGAGGCTTAGCACCTCTGACCTCGCCCGGGGCCCTCGGTGTCCTATGGGGGGCCCCCCCAGCTGCAGCCGAAGGAGCATCAGATGAAGCACTAGAAAGCTTAGGAGCAATCTGAATATCTGCAGAAAACGGAGGACGCTTCATCTTGCCCGCCGTTTCCCCAGCCCGAAGAATGGTGATCTTCTGGAGAGTGCCTACAGCCTGCTTGTCTGTCTTGAGCTGTTCTTGCTGGCGCTGCAGCAGTTCTTCTCGCTGCTGCAGCTGCCTCTCCTTTGCCTTGAGCGCTTCTGACGCGCGGAGGGACTCATGCGTGAAGGATTCTCTATCTGCCCTCAAAGATTCTTGCCCCATGCGGAGCTGCAGGCGCTGGCTCATCAATTCTTCTTCTGCTTGCTGTAGCCTCTGCACCGCCTCCTCGGCCTCGCGCTGCTGCTGTGCTGCATGCTGCATCTCCTGAGTGGCTTGCTGCTCGCGCTGCTCCACTGCCTGCCTCTCAACAATCAAAGCACCCTTCGTAGCTTCTAGCTGCGCTTCCTCCTGTTGCAAGCGCTCCGTGGCCAAAGATAACTCCCGTTGCTGCTGCTGCAGGTCGCACTGGTCCATAGACAGCTGACGACGCTGCTGCTGCAAGTCCTGCCTTTCTCGTGCTGCTGCATGTTGCTGCTCTTGCAAGCGCAGCAACTGACTATCCAATTGCTGCTGCAGATTCTGCCGCTCTTCTTGAAGCTCGGCAAAGAGCTGCTGCTGCTGCTGCAACAACTGTTGTTGCTGCTCCTCCTGCAGCAGCTGCTTCCGCTCAACGTATTCCTTCTCCAAGGCGTCCCTCCTCTCCTCCAGCTCTTGCTGCAGCACCTGCTGCTGATGCAAGTGCTGCTGCTGCTGCTCTCGCTGCTGCCGCTCCAGCTCTTGCTCCAGCTCCTGCAGCTGCTGCTCCTTTGCCTCGGCAGCGCGCTGCTGCTGCTGCAGCTCCTCCCGTTGCTCCTGAAGCTGCTGTCTCACAGAATTGCATTCGGCCCTTGCTGACTCGACCTCCTTCTATTAGACCACAGCAAGGACACGAATGAAGGAAGCCAATAGGAATGCCACACCCTCCAGCGCGCATCCTTTTTGCACAGACAGTCCTTATCAGCAACAAACGCCCCCAGACGGAGCAGCAACACCGACAACCAAACCATGAGCAGCAGCAGCAGCAACAGCGCAAGGCTTCACCCTTACCTCTCTTGCAGTTGTTTCCTCTAAGCGCCGTGCGAGCTCCTGCTGCTTGCTGTTGATCTGCTGCTGCGCTTCTTGAGTCCTCTTATGGTCTGCATCCAGCTGCATTTCCTGTTGCTGGAGCAGTTGCTGCTGCTGCTGGATTTGCTGCTGCTGCTGCTGTAACAGCTGGAGCTCGTCCTGCTGTACCTTCTGCTGGTGCTCTACATTGGCATACTGTTGCTGAAGTTCCTGCTGCTGCTGCTGGAGCTCTGCCGCTTGCTGCTGCTGTCGCTGCTCTTGTTCCTGTAGCTTCTGGTGCTGCCTGCGCAGGCTGTCCTCCTTCGCCTGCAGCCTCGTCTCCTGCTGCTGCAGCTGGGCCCTTGAGCCGTTATTTGCTGCTTCCTGCTGCTGCAGCTCTAGCTCGCGCTGTAACAGTTGCTCTTCCCGCTGCTGCTGCCGCTCCCGTTGCTGTAATAGCTCCTGCCTCTCTTCCCTCAGCTGCTGGGCTGTTGCATCAAGCGAGAACTGTTGCTCCTGTAGCTGAAGCCTGTCTTCGTTAAGTTGATAGCGCTCTGCCTGTCGCTCACACAAACACATTACAACAAAAATAACCGTGCGACAGCGCCACAGCAGCACCAAGCACAGTACAGCTCAGCGAAAAATCTTCACCCGAAGCTGTAAACAGCGGCATGTGGAGCTCTACAGATCCGAGCCACAACGGCAGCAATAACGATAGCAGCATCGTGTATGCGTCTCCTGACATCGATCGTTTCTTCCTTCTCAAGGAGCTGAGCCTGCCTCCCCTCCAGCTGTCTCTGGTCCGCCCTTAGGGCCTCTTGGGCTCTGTGGGCCTCCTGCCGCTTCTGCTCGGCTACAGAGCGCCAACTTTCCTTCTTTTCCCTAAAAGCTTGCTGCTGCTGCTGCAGCACCTGTTGCTGTTGCTGCAGCTCGTGCTGCTGCTGCTGCAGCACCTGCTGCTCCTCGGACAGTTGCTGTTCTATGCGGCTACGTTGCTCATTAAACTTCTGCTCGACCAGCATCAGCTCATGCTGCTTCTGCTGCAGCTCGTGCTGCTGCTGCTGCAGCATCTGCTGCTGCTGCTGCTGCTGCAGCTTCTCCTGGTGCAACTGCATGTCCTTCTCATGCAACTTTTGACGCTGTTGCAATTGTTGCTGCCGTTCCATTTCCAGCCGCCGCATCAGCTGCTCGTAGTGTGTTTTTTGACGAGCCATGAAGGAGGCAGCCTGCACAAGGAGGGAATACGCAGCAGATGCGATCGTTGCTGTACTTTGCAACTGTGTCGGATGCTGACAGATTTGCATTACGCTCTCTGCGTTGGGTTCCTTGGCATCGAAGAGTAGGTCGTCGCATGCACCGAGAAGACGTGGGGAGAGAGGAGACTAGACTGCAGCCCAGAGAATGCACAAAGCACACGCGTAAAGGGGCTCGACTGTACGTACACTGCAGACACAGACGCTGTTTTCGCGCAGTCCAGAGCTGGGCTGTCTGAGCGCGCTGCTGCTGGAGCCGCTTTGCTGCTGCTGCTGCAAAGGCCTGGCGATATCGTCTGCTGCAGCGGAGTCTGACGCCGTGTCTTCCCGCAGCTGAAGCGGCTGCTGCGCGAGACGTCCACCGAGCTCAGTGCTGGATTTGCCTCCAACACCCAGCGCGCTGTTGCTACGATGCCGTTCTGCCCCCAGGGTCACTCGGGTACCCCGAGACCGTTGCAGGGAGAGAGATCTATCCGCTGAAGTGCCTTGCCGGCTCATTCGAAGCAAAGAGCCACTCGCTGTGTCCAGGGGAGGAGACGCTTCTGCCGAGGTAAGGGAGCCTCCGTTTACTCCTCCTGAGGATGGGATTCCTCCCGAAACACTCGTTTGCTGCAGGTTTATGTCTCGATGCAGAAGGCGCACGCCCATAGCATTGCCTTGAAAGCCCGTATTCTGAAAGTAGTGGTGTTGCTGTTCCTGGTGAGGCGGCTGTGTCAGCGGCTGCTGAGGGCCTGTCTCGAGAGGAGCGTTAAGAGAGATCCTGCTGCTGCGGCGGTGCCTTCGTCGGCGTGAATTTTGGTTGTTTTGCTCCAGTGGATCCGTTGTTGCTGCTGATGCAGCGACTGCCCCCAGCTGCTGCTGCTGCGAATGGGTAGAAAAGGAGTCATCGAAATCCGCCAGAAGTCGCTGTTGCTGCCGGTCCAGCTGCTGCTGGTGCTGCTGTGTGGTGCCGAGGAGGGAACTCGTGTGAGACCAGGGGTTCCGTGCCACAGAAGAAGCTGCTGCAGTGCCTGCAGCGTTTGTGGCAGCTGCAGTGCCTCCCAGTGGCGAAAAGAAGTGCTCAGACCCCGGCTGAGACGAGAGGGTGCCCCCAGTGGCTAGAGACAGCATGCGGGAGTTCGCACTTCCGCTTCTGTTGTTGCTGCCATTGCTGCTCGGTGCAGCCATTGCTGCAGCTATCCCAGTGCTGATTCCAGAGATTCCTCCGTTCAGAGACGCGAGAGGCCCCTCGTTAGGCCCCCGAGGGTCTCCCAAGGCAGACATTTGCAAACGTTCTGCTAGCCGGTCTCTCTTCCAGGCCTCAAAAGCCTCGGGCCCGCCCAAGGAGCCTGTCTGCCCCTTGGTGGAAGAAAGAGGCAACAGCTGTTGTTGCTGCTGCTGCTGAAAGTACGAAAGCGGCGCACGTGGATGCGCAGGAGAACGCATGGAAGATGCCATTCTGCAGAAGTCCTACACCCTGAAACCTAACACCCAAAGCCAAGGCAGATCGCGAGGAATGCGCTGCTTCACAATGAGTTTTAACCGATGCTGCTGCAGCATGCGTGTATTGAATGCTGCTGCTCTTGCCACGCCAAAGACACGCTACTTCTGATTCTGTCACTGCAGTCCTAGACGCAGCTGGACCCCCAACAAATTCCGTGCTGTCGCTGCTGCTGCAGCAAGTCTTTTTGCTGAGTGCGAAAGGAATATTTGATGGAATGCAAACCACGCAAAAAAAACGGGCAGGAAGACATTGCGCAGCCGCAGCAGCCGCTGCAGTGGACCGTTGCTGCAGCACTACAACAGCAGCAGTGAACAGCGGTCCCAGCAGACGCGTAATACACAGAAACACACAAAACAGAGGGATGCACTTGTTTCTGATGTTTAGCTGCAGCAAAGAGCCCCCTGTTAGCGCACTGGGGCTCCTGTACCACGGTGGGGATTTGACCGATGGTGGGGTTGCTGAGAGTGGGGGCCCCTGAAGAATCCCTTCTATACCGGCGCCTGAGTACTAATCAGGGAGCCATTTGGGGTATAAATGTCTTTAAAATAAATGTGTGAGTTCTAACTCTTTATAGGGCGGAGAGCCGTTGTATTTGTACCTCCCCTCCAAACCCCCAGACCCCGAAACCCAGGGGGCCCCCAAAGCCTATATGCCAGACCGTCTCTCTCTTTCTCGCACTCCTTCCCTTCATACGCTAATAAGGCCTCCATAAGCCTTAAGAAAAAATAATTTTAGAATGTTTCAGGTGAGTCACTGATCCTAGTGGTGCCTGCCGGGTAAGGATGGCGACCCTTACACATTTCCAAAGTAACTTGCAGGCGGCTGAGCTACGCTAAAACAGTTTCTAAATTGCTAGTTGTGTTATACATGAAATGACTGAAGGGCTGACTAGCTGGATTAGCTATTTGTACATTTCATTCAGTGCACAGTACCGTAGGGTCTTCAGCAGAAGACAATGTTGTTTGCATGTGGGCCATTTGTGTGCAAATAGTGGCGAATACCCAGAGTGCTTTGAGGGTTCAGCGAAGCGCACCATATGTGCCTCTTGCTCCTAATATTGGGAACCTTGAGGGGCGAGGGCAAGGGACGAAGGGTGTCCTTTGTAAAACCCCAAATAGCTCTTTTCAGTTTCCGATGAGTCAGTACCGGAGTGCCTTCGTAAGGCGACCATAGATAAGAAGTGACAGACTTTCGACCTATTCTCTCTCTTGCTGCGAAATACAGATGTATCGCTCCATAATATGCAGCCGTAAGCAGACATTTTATTCCTATCACAATACAAATTGAAAACCAAGTAATTCAATGTTCGCCCAGAGAAATCCCACCTTCACCTGACAGCAACCCTCAGAAGCTCCAACAGGAGAGAGGAATAGCCACGCTGCGAGTGAATGCACCCTCAAACTGCTCCGACAATCTACAGCTCTTTGCACATAATATCTCCTGCACAAGCATGCAATGTTGAGCCTTCTTGTGTCAAATTTACAGCAATTTGCAGTCAATATAATGTAATGATAGACTAGTGAATTAGTCAATTCTCTACTAATAGTTGAATATAGCTTCTGTAGTTAAAAGTGTGTTAGTGTAGCTTTGCGCTCTACATCTTTCCCTTTCCACACACCCAACTCAAAGCACACACACTCATGTCCTGGAGCTGTGCGATAAGACCAACTCCGTGCAGGGAAGCAAAAGATTTCTCGCCTCATCTTTATTCACTAGGCATGTAGAAGCGCGGAAAGCAGTGCGAATGAGAAGAGCTCAAGTGTGCACCTACCGCTTTAGTGAAATCAACGAGAGCACAAGTACAGACACTCGCAAATATTGATCAAGAGACCAAGTCAATGCCGCAGTAGCGGTGGGATGGCTGGCTTTCGTAAAATCACTGATTCTTGTGAGTTCCCTGCCTCACAAACAGAAATCAGCAATATTGAAAAGAAATCAAGAAACACACCAGCTTAACAATGGAGTTGCGCCTCCCAGAGCAATGCCCCCATTCCAAACACAGCCCACCGATTCGGCATGGTCGAGTTTCAAGATCGAGAAGAGCTTGAAGAGGCAATCAGGGACTACATACCTGAGAGTGCCTACGCATAAATTTGTATCTAACAAACGCCTCTACGATTGAACCCTCCACCTCTAAGCAGGATTTATACGTAGAAGTAGCTATTCCAGGCGGAGCGTGCTGTAGGGAAGGATGATTATCAAGAGCCGCGATCCCTATGGTCCAAAGCGACATCCGTTGTAAATAAAACAACGCAGCACACTCTCCTGTACACATCGAAGCCTGCAGCAGCTCTTCGTTGAACCAATGAAGTTCGTGCTTGCCATTCTATTTCACTATAAGGTACCATCCACCGTCTAGTGTGTTCTCGGTGCTCACTAGCCGTAAGACCTAGCACTTCCACGACACCCTCTGTATCCTCCGCCTCTACACGCGTCACTCGCCTGGGCCCCAAAACTCCTAGATAATTCGAAAACTCCTAAAACTTTCAACGAATCCAATACTGACAGCTGTGTGGTACCTCGGACTTTTGGGAAATGGACAGCGTACAAACGAGCAAGTTTCACACATTCAATATACCGGTCGAATCTAAAGTTCCCCTGCAAAGCTGTGCCAATTCTTCCACAGCGTGCTGTTGAGCTGGTATTGGCCATGGCCGTGGAGTCACGGCTTGCATGAAGGCTTGAACTGTAAAAATTGGGGTACACAGACGATTGCCTCCACCAGAAGAACGCAACCATTGAAATGCTTCTCCATTCGATAGAAATGCCGCAAGGATCACTCGTTCTCTTCATCTGGGGGCTAGCAAGTGAGATACTTCTCTAACCGACTGATGAAATCAATCGCTTGCCCATCCTCATGGGTGTCATATATTTCTGGTCCGCATGGCCTCATCAGCACATTGGTGCACATTTGACAAGCCGACAAATGGTGTCTCGCTACCGGCTGTGAAGCTGATGCGTACAAATTATCTTGCAACCCGGCGTGTAGCACCCGAAGAGCCGTTCTGCCATATTTCCATCGCCCGTGTGTGTTTTCCCAGCTGGATGCCAACAAAAATCAAATCGTTTGACAGCTACAGAGCTTGATCATAAGCCCGACAATCGTTTCAAGGATACGTAGCATTCCATTGCATCTAGAGCCAGTCGGTAAGCGGGGAACGATACTGTGCTCACAGCTACGATGGCCGGCCAAAGGTCTCTGTACAGACACTCTGCTGCCAACTACGTGACAAGTAATTGAGCAACTTTCAGAAGAAATCCCGTCTTGTCCTAACAGTGCTCCTAAATTACCCAGCTTGGAGGGGGGTGGCCAGCTACGGTTCGCTTTGCAGCACCTTCAGAGCACTTCGAGCACCCAAAGCTATTTGCTCATAGCACGTAGCTCGCATGCACAGGGCACTGCGTCTTGTATCTCCTCAGGTGTACTGTGCAGCAAGGAAGCGGTACGAAAAGACAACGTCGCTAGTCACTTAATTATCAATTTGTAATCAAATATGCAAGCCTTGTAACGAGCTACGCTACACTAAAACACATTCGAGTACTGCTCGAGGGTAGCGGGCAAGGGAATGTGGCAATTCTGATGAGACGAAATAAATTTCAAGTTTGTGGTGGGTCAAGAGCAAAGTGTCTCGATACAGAGATCACATAATGAGCGTTGTAATTTAAGAGTTTGCCCTGATGTTATGCTAGTTTGGGGGGCAAATAACCCTATAGGAACCTAGGGGAAGCAATAAAATGAATTACTAGACAAAAATGTAGACCGATTCACCTGTGCATACTTCTAAGAGTACTCCTTGTTGTCTGTCCCGAAATTTTGTACTAGAGGGTGCACAAGCCGATCGCCTGTACCCCCGGAGAGGTGTGTACACCAATAGGCTCGGCTTTTTCCTTGTCATATTTTCAAAGCCGCCAAACTGTAGTAGAGTAGAGCTTCGGCATCGGTAGCGTCTACTACAGCCCTTTATTCTCGCCAGTACCGCCATTGCTTCTTTTTGCTATGCCTTTACGCCTTCTGTTGGAACGCAACTACCGTAGCCAACTGTACTGCTGCTGCGTTCCTCCGTGTACTTCCAGCTCATCAATGCACTTAGAGGCACTGAGATGCATACACAGATACAGAAGAACCTGCTCCACTTTCAGATAATATCTGAATATAAATGCATAGCTTCAGGCGCTGCCTCCAGGAGAATGCCTATGAATGAAGATAACGCTTAGCCTCGTAGTAGCTTGTCTTTCGCCTCGTTCACTTTTGCGGCCACATAGGTGGAGCCTACACAAAGAATGCACAACGGGTCACGGAATAGCTGACTCCAACCAGAGCCATGCTTCGTCTCGTCACCGCGAATTCATACATGCGTGCTCACCTCCATTGTCTGGGTGATTCCTTAGCATCAGCTGCTTATGCGTCTGCAGAATCTTTTCCTTTGATGCCGCGGGACTGAAACACGCAAACACCGCAAGACCAAGGGAAACACCTGATATACAGCCACTTCATCTTTCAATTGCCCGATCTCTTGACTCTCCTGCCCTTTATCTTTAGACAGAAGAGTCTTCGCGTTGGCCTTTGAATACTGCCTGTGCGAGGCTCTCCTTTTACTTCGTCAAGCCAGAGGCACCTCGCTGCCAATTGCTGCCACTTCCTCGCCCCTGGCCTGTCCACACCTACCCAAGTTTGAGGATTTGATAAGCTTCTGATCTTGTCATAGGAGTTTCAAAACCCTTCATGTCGCGTGTAAGGTGCTCCACTTGATGTCGCAGATCTCCCGCCTTCTTTAGCACGCCTTCCAGCCACGCAGGAGTTCCGAGAGGTACCCCCTGAGATGCCCCATGTGAGCTGCCCGACGCTCCCAAACGCGTGCGGCTCGCTAGTCGAAAGGCTCCACGGACGGCATAGGCCGCACCACCCGCAGCCAGAAACACCAGCGGCCACACCATCACAGACTCTGAAATAAGAAGCAGAGGCCGGATAGATGCCAAACGCAGTATTTTAGAGATTAAGGCATCCAAAAAGAACCACAATTAAAAAGAATATCAGCGAAGAGCTAAAGGCAGAAGAAGGAGGCAAAGTGCGGCCACCCCAACGCAATCCTCACAGCCAACAAGCTGAAAGGCTTTGCCAATCGCTGGGGGCCCCTGCAGAGGAAGCAAGTTCAAGAATTGCAAGGTATACCGAGAGATAAGAGACTTCTTCCACCGCGCCAGACTAAATGAACGGCGACGCCCAAGGGCCCCTTTTATCCGCTAAAGGGCCCCAAGGCCCCGCAGGGCCCCCCATGCTTAACAACGGCCTCTAGAATCCGGCCCTGGCACTCTGTTTGTGCTGTGTTTCCTGGTTTTACGTCTAGATCTCCATTCAGATTTCTTCCACTGGCGCTTTTCCTTCCAGCATCTCCTTGCGCCCAATTGTTTCTGGGGGCCTGGAGGGGCCCCCACGAAAACAGCAGACGCAGTGGCGCCCAATGCGGTTACCCAAAGGCCAGGCAGGGACCTCTTCAGGCTCCCCTGCCTCACGAGCCTCTGCTGATACCACCGGGGCCTCTAAGGCCCCCGAAGGGAGCAGCCCCCACAGTACGGACCCTCCTGCCTCCCCAGGTGGGGAGGGCCCTAATCTGTCGCTCCTTGTGGCTAAGACAGAGGTCTTGGCCCACTTGTTGAAGGCTCGTGTGGCGCTGCCCCTGCTCTACCCGCTGAACACTAGGGGCCTCACTGACCCCCTCCAACCTTCACCTATTGCGTCCAACCGGTGGAAACGGGAAGACATACTCCTCGGTCTCTCGCAAGTGGCTCCCCTGGCACTCTCTCTCTCCCGAGTTGGGGGTCTCCTTAGGGCAGCACAGGCCTTGAAGCTTATGGGACCCCCAGCTGGGGCTACAGGAGCCTTGACTGTCCCCAAGCGGGCGTCCTTAAGGCGCAAGCAGACCTACAGAGATACGAACCATTTCTTACGACCCCAAGTATGGCGGGTCCTCAAGCCTGGAGAAGAAAGAGCCACCAAACACCTCAGGTGGCGCTAACATGATACTCAGGAGAGGCCCTATCGCGGGCCCCTAGTGGCCCTCCAAAAGATCCCACAGAAAAAAGGGCTTCCTCAAGGGGCGTTGACCACAACCCGCCTGTTTGCTGGACCCTTTCGACCGCGGTACTGCCATAGGGGCCTCCAGAAGCAGCAAACAGGGCCCTTTATCTAGAGAATCTGGGAACACGGGTCGCCGTGCGGGGCGCACCAAACTCCTGAGGGTCTATGACACTCTAAACTGCACGAATTCCCCGACTGTGGCCCAGCGTTTATATCTAGATCTCCGCAGTAGTCCGTGCATCGGCCAGCCCAATGCCCCCAAGCGTTCAATGACGCCCTATAAATAAGGGGCATTCGACGACTTCTTACGGGAAAGAGCTCGCCAGACACAGAGGCCCCAAGCTGTGCTGGAAAAGGGGAGCACTGGTTCCCGACCCGTCTCAAAGGGGACCTCTGACAGTTTGCTACTAGCGCAGCATTATTATATCTGTCTGCCGCTATTGTTTTGGGACCTCATGGAGCGTTTGCATTCCTCGCTGAGCCACGTGTCTTTACTTCTGCCTACTGCCTGGCTACGCGGTTCTATATATATACTATATGCATTTAGGCATATGTTGGCCACTGAGACCGGCGATTGTGAGGTGTCTGTACAATGAACTGGCTGCACGTAGTTTTCAGCCTTTCTTAGGGCTGATGGAAACGCGCACATATCCACGCTTCATGCCTCGTTAGCCATAGCGGCTGGCGCAGCCAGCTGCTGATGGCCTTGCTCCTGTTGGTGCCCCTGCAACTGGTTGCGCTGGTGAATGAGCCTAAGAAATCGGGACATAGCGAAGAAGAACTCCCTTCTCGAAAGCAGCTCCAAATTATTATGCCCTCCTCCCTCAACCCAGAATGGACTGACCCGCAGACGAGCCTTTTTGTACAGCTCCTGCGGCGCACACATTCCGAAACATGGGCCCCCTAAGTGCACATGCCTCGCACCATGGCAAGGAGAAGACACGCGCTGGCCTCCAGGAAGGACCTTGGGTGGTGGGCAAAATGCGGGTGGGTCGAGCGAAACAGCGAGCATGCAATTGCCAAGTGCAGCACACGAAAGTTTCCATTAGGCACTTTGTGAGGGGTCGCGCCTTACAATTCCGTGTGCTACAGGGACAATTTCGTCGTTGGTGCCGTGAATAGAGAAGACGGGGCACTCCACTTTGTGAATTTTCTCAATGTTTTTGAAAAGGTCTCCTGGGAGAGACAGCCGCAGCCGCAAGGCGACGCGGTGGACCGACAGCAGGGCCGATTGCAGGATGAGGCCCCCCAACGGATGTAGTGCGCATAGATGCACGCTGGGCCCCGATCCTGCACGAAGAAGGCGCACAGGCTAGCGATTAACGGCAGCTTATCCGGTGGCAGCCCTCAGTAGGAGCTACAGTAGTGGCAAAAAAAGGCAACAGGCGAACCACGGGCCCTCTCTTCAGGGTGTGCAGCAGCAACAAGCGCAGCAGCGTCAGCAGCAGACCAAGAGATCTCCCATAAGCAACGATTTTGCCGGGATGTATACGCAGCTCTTGTGTCAGATACTCCAACGCTGCCTCCGCGGACTCATACACGCCTTGCTCGGAGGGCTTTCCAGTGCTCCATCCATACCCTGCAGCGGCAACAGGGGCAGCAGGCATAACTGGATATTGAAAGTAAGGGCATGGGACCCTAAGAATCTTCTTTCGAGGGTGGTCTCCTCCGCGGTTCCTTGTTTGGACACCCTCAACCTCGGATCGTTTTGCTCTTGCTTGTCTACTGCGTAAAAGCTCCACGCTGGGGCCTCTTAGCTACAGGGCCGCAGAGAAGCCGCTGCATACTTCATGCGTACCAACATACTCGTAAAGGAACACATCCACGGCGCAGAACGCGGCGAGTTGCTGGAAATATCCTCTTGAAAGAGTGATGTCTTCCGCATTGCCATGGGAGTACAGAAGAGTTAGAGTTCCTCCTCCCCTTTGTAGCAGCAGCGAAAGCATAAGCACCATCAGAAGCAAAAAATCGTTATGCGGTGGATCGGTGCATGGTTTAATTCCGCAAAATCTCTATCCGCTAGCCTGGGTAGGTGCTCCAAAGGGGCCCTTTGAGGCGCCCTCCTTCAGCTTTCTTTAGGGCCATGTCAGGGCTCGAATAGGTGGTCTATGTGCTTTCGCTAAGACACCTTAAGCCCTACACGCGCTGCGTACCCTTTGATGTGAAAGGCGTGAATTGTATCTCCCTTCTTTGTGGTGAGGGTGACGAGATCGCTGGTTTCAGGAGGCGTCCCGGGGCCCCCAGGATATTGTGGGGGCTGGAAGACCACTCGAGAGAGTGCTGCTCCCATTTTAGCCATACAGAATCTCCTTCGGGGTCGTTCGTAGCACAGCCCAAGGGGATTTTCCCGATACACGGTCGCCAGTGAACCCTAGGTAATGGTTAGGCAGCAGAAGATTTGAGGTGATCCTACACTCCAGTTTTCGCGCCAAGTGGCACATGTCACGTGGCTCAAGCTGAAAGGCCTCCCTCAAGCTGCTGATGGCGAAAGGCTCTCGGCTGTATGTCTCTCAGGGCCTCAGGGGCCCTAAGGACCCCATGCGCTACAGGCGCCTCTTTTGAGGCCCTTAAAAGGAGAGGCGTAGCGAAAAGTCAAAAAGTATCGAGGTGGGAGTGCTAAAGGCTCAGGGCCTGGGGCAGACAAAGAAGCGCTTATGGATCCCAGTTAGCGATGCGAGCCTGGCGACCACACCGCCTCACCGGTGACTTCTGTCCAAAAAGTCTAGTTGACAGCACAAACAGTGTGCTATACTGCCAAGCAAAAGATTTCAAAGATACGAAGGGCCCCAGTAGGTCGCAGTTCAACCTTCCAGTTGAGGCACCAGGGCCCCCAACGGCCTGCTGGGATTTCCCGGGGGCCCCCATCTACCACCTGGGGCTCCCCCGGGGGCCCCTTCAGGTGCAATCGGTTCTGCTTTTGATACAATCACCTAGGCATGCTTAATAACGTGTTGACACCACAATAATCTTTTAGAGCTGGAGGATTTGAAGGAGCAAGCAAGTGCCGCGGGGTAGGTACACACCCGGGCAGCCGACTGCCACCGACGAAGCTGCTGGGCGTAGAAGGCACGCATCTTCCATTCTGACGCTTGGCGGCACCTATTTTTGCCTTAGAGGCGTTTAAATGGACTGTTTAGACACCAGCTAGTGTTCGCTCACTCAAATTGGAAACGTCCACCCTCAGCTCTGCGGCTTTTTGGCTGCCCAAGGCGAGTATTAGGAAGCGATTTAATTTCTTTGGGCCGCGATCGACCCTTTTCTTTCTGCAGCGCGCTTGGAGCAATGGTGAGTCAATGCATAAAGCGACAATCTTTTAACCCTCGTGCGCTTGAAGTGCCCCTGCTTTCCTTGCACCCCATCATGGCTCTCCCTCCCCCGTCTAGTCACTTTCCACAGTTTTGCTTCGTATGGCATGTGATTAGGCCGAAGTAGAAGAAACTCTTAACCGTATCAAAACGCACAAGGGCGTGCGTGGGGTGATTGTTCTTGGAGCCGATGGTGCAGTGCTGCGCTCAACGCTCGACGCGCAACAAACCGCCGCCTATGCAGGCGCTGCGTCCCAGCTGTCAGAGAGAGCAAGGTCCCTTGTGAGAGACCTAGACCCTCAGGTAAGGACCTTGGCGTCAAAACTGGGTCAGACAATATTGCTCCGAGACGCAATCTTTTGTCTTTGGGCCTGAAAAAATAGTTAGAGCTGGCCCAAGGTTTTCCCAGAATGCAGAATTTTACGCCTTCTGGTTTGTGTGCAGAATGACGTCACTTTTCTGCGCGTTCGCTCGAAGAAGCATGAGATTCTTTTAGCGCCAGACGGAGAATATCTTCTCCTGGTAATCCAAGATCCAAATGCAGATACTCAGGGCGCAGCAACTAGCTAGCCAGCAGCCCAACCTCCGAACCATTTAGCCACCCAGATTTATTACTTGCTGCATGAATGACTACCTAGAGGGCGAACTTCAAAATTTCCTAATTAGCTGGTCAGCCAACTATGCAAGGGACACCGGTGCTTGCTTGGCGCGTGGCTAGGCAGAATCGTACTCAATTGGGCACGAAGCCTTGATTAATGAGGAGAGCAACTAGGCACGTGGCCAGCTGGAAAATTCGGCTGTTTGGAAGCTGCACGGTCACCTGGGCACGCATGCAGCCTTTTCAATCGCTATTCATGTAGCTACCTAAATGGCAAGCTGACCAGCGAGCAGAACAGGGGGCCAAGGGGCGGAGTAGGGAACTGTGTATCCTTAACCGTTTGTAAACTGAATCCTATTCTATCCTTTAGCTGTTTTGCACCTCGTGTGAGCATCAATGCGAGGAGGAACAGGGGCAGCATACATGCGTATTGACATATTCTGCTCCCAGTCTGCTGACTTCGCACTGTGTGAGACCGACGTCGCCACAACTGATTTGCAAGGGAAAATCTTCACGTATGAGATTAGAAGACGTATGCGAACTACCGTGCTACATGCGAGGAGACCCATCAAAGCCCGCCAAGTGGGTGGCGCTGGTGCGTTTTGAAGGAAGGAAACCTTTCACGAACTCCCACCATGAGGTCTAGGGTTTATTGTTTGTGGCAGACTCAAGCTTGTTCTCCCCTGCGTTGTGTCCTGAGCCTAAACCACTTGTTAAAATGTTTGACGTCTCTGGGAACCTCCTCTTCCTGCGCAAGCTTCCGGAGGAGAGGTTCCCCCTGCGAGTTCGTCCACGTGGCCCACTTGAAGGCGTTAAAGTGCTCTCTATCCGCGTCTGTAGTAAGGTGCCTCTGGTTCTGCCTCTGCCGCATCCATTCTTTCCTTTCGGGGGCCAGCTTGACCCCGTATTTACTCCTCTTGCGTCCTCTATTCTTCACTGGCAACAAATCATACACTCCCCTAACGGCTTTGTAGTTGCTGCAGCAGAACAGCCAAAAGTGGATGCACAGACGCCAGGCATGTAAATGTCCATCCCGTTCTAACGCGTCCGGACCAGAGCCCGCAACAGGCGCCTAATATTAGAGAGGGCGGTTTATAGACACATATATTTCGATAGCTATGTACAGCTACTGATGCAAACGTGCACATACGCCACCGTAGAACCAATAGCGCTACTGCCCACACGAACAAGCAGCAGCCGGCCGCTCTTCTCATCAGATTCGATTCACATAAAAAAGCGCAACACCATTGGATGGGAGTGCCCCCTTAAATGAGGTCCCCAGTGTAGGGGGCCCCCCTCAGCAGCATGCAGGTGCAGGCCTTTGCAGCGAGAGGATACAGGCGAGCGGTGGCTCACCATCCAGGGACGTCTGGACATCTTCCTCCTCTCAAGAGAACGCTGGAGTGTACTGACAACGAATGCCCTGCCCCTGGTATGTACGCCAGCACCACACGGCCGGTGGAGAGACGCACCCTCGCAACCTTGCGCAAACCGCTGTTTGGCTTACGGGGAGTCTGGACTCTGACCTGAACACACAGGAAGCGGCGACACGGCATCGCGGAAAAGGTGGAGATGCGACCCCACAGCGAAGAAGCACCCAACAAGGCACGCAAGGCTCCCAAATTTGTACGGTCACGAGGCGCGAAAGCGAGGACACGCGAAGTGCTCGGCGTTCGAGCCTAGGGAGACACACGGGGAGGGAGGAAGGCGACAGTAGTGGGAGTGAGGCAGCGAGGAGCAGGGCAGAGTAAGAAGAAGGTTTTACTCACCCACACACACTTACACACACGAACACAGCCTCAGGAGCCACAAGCGAGAGGAGAGAACAAGGGGACGCAGAAGGAACGGAGATGATACTGGAAAGGATGAGGCCAGTGAAGTGAGTGATGAATGCGCAAAAAGTGAAAGCGCCATTCAACAAGAGCGTGATATCACAGAAGGAACTGCAGCCAGAGGCGGAGGGTGTAGAGCTTTGATTACCTTCACACAGATGCCCTTCTTGTGGGGGGCCCCTTCCAGCCATTTGCTGCGAGCGGCGTCATACATATATACACACACTCACACTCCATGGTAACACCTTATTGAATCCCCTGTAAAGAAAGCTTAGGAACGAGGGAAACTGGAATTAACTCAGTACCTCCGTATGTTGGGGGGTTTAAGCCTCGGAACCTGCAGCGGCCTTCGCTTGTAGAAAAGGCGACCCCGGATGTTGCGGGTGCTGAAGTTTCGCCGGCTGACTCCTACTGCCTCAAAGACTCTATGTGATGGGGGAGAAACATGTGCTGCAGCAGCTGGTGCGTCGGGAGAAGCACACACAGGGTTCCGGGTGTCACTATTGCCTTTTGAGAGGCCATTTCGCAAAATCGAAATTCTTAGAGCTCTACATGTCCTAGCATCTGGCGAAAAGCCTCCTGAGAGTATCCCTGCTGCTTTCGCAGTCTTCATCAGGACCTCTCCCGGAGGAGGCTTGCCGAGATGTGGGTTAGCCTTCCACGCGTAGGAATGACAGAGTACTGGCCTCGCGGAGGGGGGGACGACGGACGCTCTCTTGAGAGCAAGCACGAGAGGGAAGCCTTGCCTTATGGCAGGGGCCCACATCGTGCTTTCGTTGCTGCCGCTGCAACTGTTGCTGCGACAACTGCTGGTGTTGCTGAGACTGCTGCTGCAATGGGGAGCGATAGCAAAGGTGACGGAGAGAAGAGAGGCCTCGAAGGCACGCAAAAAGATGCAGAAGGATCACGCAGGCCCGGCTGAAGCCGTAAAGAAGCAAGAGATAGTGGAGGATACAAAGTTCCCAGGGAATAACGGCAAAAAGGCAAAGGCGTGGTACAGTAACTCCCGCGGCTTAGCATCCAGGGGAGATCTGCAGAAAGCGGGGCCTCCGAAGAGACAGTCAAGCAGGTAATAAACATGCAAAAATACCCCTAAACCGTAAGCACTAATTAGCACTTAATGGTAGCCTCTTCCTCCATGCAAACGCTCGGAACCCCTAGGAGTAGGTGGGCCCCTCAGGGGCCCCCCGCCGGCGCGTGTCCCATTGGGTAATTTGGGCCACCCGTACCCCAAAGAGTCAAATTTTAAACTCGTACTCAAATTTTTGAAGGGGGAACGGGCTTTCTGGGGTGTGTGTCAGTAAGCAGCCACACTCTCAAAATACCCCTGAACTCTAGACCTAGGCCCTAAAGGCACTACAGAACGCACAATGAGCTTTCAAACAAAATTCTCGCATATCGGCTTGCACTTTTTAAGACTGCTCCACTCCCTTTGCAACTAGGGGCTCGTGTATTTGCTGGTGTGCCCCAAGACCGCTACGACGCATTCTACAGAAGCTATCACTAGCGTTCACGCCTTTGCCTCTCCCTGTCTGCCGACTCACTTGTGGCTTCCTGTCTCATTCTCTGCCAGCAGCGTTTTCGTACCTTTTTGGGGAACCCCCGTATGGCGGCAATGGGCCCCTGATTGCGTTCTAAAGGGACCCCTCAGACCTCCTAATCTGCTGCTTTTTCAGACTTCTCGGTGCCGCTGTTAGGCTCCTCGTGATACAATCGCTGGTGTCGAAAGAGTAATTTCGCTTTACCGTGTGCCTCTCGCTGCCTTCAGGGATGCCCTCACAGCGCTACAGCCTCGGGCTGGCGTTCGGTCTCGCAGCGCTCCTCGCACTGCTGCTGCACCCTGCTGTGCGTTGATTTGAAAACAGTCACCCTGCCAAAAGGGCCCAGGGGGCCCTTGAAGGTGCCTTTAAAGGGCCTCTCAAAGAGGGTCTCCAAGGGGGCCCTACAGAACCTCTGGGCTTCCCTACAGGGGTCCCTCCAGTTGGACCCTTAGAAGGCCATCTAGTGCCACTTCAAGGACAGCTTTCCTAGGATTTCTCGCGCAAAAGGGTGTTTCTGTGACGCAGGCTCTGAATTGGTTCTTGGTCAAGCCCGTCTCGAAAGAAGAAGACGAATGCACGACCATCTTCTGCTTCCAGAACTGTGAGTTGCTGCTGCGATAAGTGCCGCCAGCATTATTTTTGTAGGCTTTTGTGGCCGCCCCTTTTAGAGTGGTACTTTCAAATGGGGGCACGAACATGTTTAAGAATACCAGTGGATGTGTGTGTGCTCTGAGGGCCCCCAACTGGGCGACGATTCTCAGTCTTTGACGGTAATTGCTGGCCTCTCTTGACCTTCCTAGAACCTGATCTGTCGGTACATTCTGTTGTGCAACTGTGACATCTGTAGGGGCGAGGTTTCCAACTTCTGGCGGCTGTTTGCTCCTCTTGGTGGTGGCCATCTTTGAGTTACTCTTGCTGCTGCTGTGCTGCGTTCCTTGCTGGTCACCTCGCTTTGCTCTCTGGAGAGCTCTCAAGAGGGCGCGGCCTGGGCCTGACTGCGATGTTTTCGGGGGCACCGATGTCGATGCCCTCTTGGACGGGGATCAAGCCTCGCCTCAGGAAGGCTCCTCCCAGCTGGTAGAGGCTCTGAAAAGGATGCGCGAGAAGCACATGGGGGACGCACAAGAAGAGTGCAAAATGGTGTTATGTGTAAGGAATGGTGAGCCAACTCTTCCGCGCACTGAGGTGCTTGTGCTAGCTATCATTGCAGCCTTGTTGTGCAAAAGAAGGGGGAGGTGGTGGCTCGCGGGCAATAGGGGATCGGAGGGAAGATGAAATGGAGGGTCTTTACACCGCATGCTTGCTGGGCTCATTGGAAGTTCCTCCGCTTTCAAGCTGCTCAGAGTACTGCGTGGCTGGCGAAGGCATTTCTTGATGGGACCTGTTGGGTTCTTCGTTGCTCTAGAGCTGGAGTGGCGCCTTGTCTTGGGGGATTCGTTAGTGCGTCTCCTGCTGCACTTGCTGCTTTTGCCTGTGCTGATGCTGCTTAGATGTTGGTATGGGGAAGGGGAAGATGGCGGCTCAGTGTAGCCATGCGGCGCTGGGGGCCTACCGAAGGGCCCGAGATGCACAAGAGGCGGTTAAAGCTGCAGCGCGAAGAGGCACCGGTTCCTCGACGCTTCCTCCAGAGAAACTCGAGTTTTACGAGAAGCTCTCAATGTGGCTGGACATCTGGGAGGAAGCAGGCGAGGCCAAGATTGCCGTTAAGTTGCCCGTACGCAGAACACCCCCCCAAAGCGCGCCGTTCAACAGAGGCCCTAGATAGGACCTTGGTAGTAGCCCATTAGGGTAGTCAAAAGACAAGTCAGCGACGGTGGAGTCTTAAGACGCTCCTAGGGGGGGAGAATCAGGAGAGCTTGACAGTGGCCTCCAGGGACCCTAGACCCTATTAGCCACACTAGCAACCATAGTGTCTTGGGCTGCAACGGTTGATGGATTTGGGAAGTGGTGGCACTGCTGCTGATCGTTGATGCTCGCTGGTCTCCACAAGTTTCTGTTGGATTGCCGCTACAGGATGCAGAGGCTGGCTTGGCAGTCATCAAGGCCGCCATGCTGGAAGGGATTAACGTGTTTTGTGTTCGAGACGCAGTGAGTATAGGGTCTAGGATTTGAGGTTCGAGCAAACGCCAGATCTGCATAGACCGTCAATTTTGCAGTTGTTGGGGTTTTGGGCGTGTAGTAGATACACTCCCTTTCAGAACGTATTGCCTGTGCAGAAGCGGCACCATTTGAAGGCCCCAGCGAAGTTTCTTTTTTAAGCCGTCTTTGCTGCGGCGATGGGTGGCTGCACCTCACAAGGAGTACTATCGTGCCCTTTTCTAGTGGGGCCCTCTGCGCAGTTTCAAGCCTGTGCAGCACCAGTGGCAACACAGACTCCTAGAAATTCAGGCACCCCGGTATTTTCTTGGCGTGATGCTTGTCAGGGAAGAACTCAAGTGCCGCGCGGGACAATGACGGCCATTGCTGTAGGCCCTGGTGAGAGAAGCAGCAGCAGCAATCATTGCAGCAACAGATGCAGCTGGCTAGGCAGTTGCAGGGGGGCGAGCAAGGGCAGGATATGAGGCGGGGGTCTGGAAGGGAGCAGAACGGCATTGCCGGTAAGCGTTTCCAGTGGTGATTTTTGCATTCGTGTCTTCTTGTGTTGCGCAGCGCCCATAAGTCGTATCAACAAAGTCACCGGACACCTGAAACTCCTCTGAGTTGCACGCACGCGATAAAGGAGCACCACTCATGCTGCAGCAGCAGTGGCACAGATACTCGTCACTGATGGAATCGCAAAGGGACGCGCAACACGCCGGCAGCAAGTCTTCCTCGTGTTGCTGGTACCGGACCAGCAGATCCTTGTGCTGTTCTAGGTACCTCCGCGTTTCTCGATGCGTACTCCCCCTTGCAACTGCTGCTGCACTGTGGCCACGCCGAAATTTTAGCGTAGAAGGAGGACGATTGTTGCAGCCTCGGCCACCGTGCCTGTGCGTGATGAGCCAGCTCTAAGGGTCCAGGGGCTAAATGTTTCTGCGCGTTGTGTATGCCGAGAAACGCATTTCGCTCAGACTTTACAGGTTTCGAGTAATTTTCTAAAGAAACTAGAAACAGATACAAATATGGATGCACATGCGTAGAAGCATGTGTAGCTTACATTCATTTTTACGCAGCACGAGCTTGACCATATGGAGATTGCCCTGGCATAGCCACACAGAGCAAATCAGAGCTGCGTGCATTCGTCTACAGATGTACTTTCACCGAAAAATGGCATTTAAGAAAGCGCTGGTGTATCTAGACACAAGTAGGCCCAAATAAGTACAAGTAGCTCAGCGTGTCCGTGCTCGAGGAGAATTTGGGAGAGCGAAAATCCCTGCATCCACGAATCTCCTGGAAGTCGTCAGCAGCTCAGGACCCATTTTTTTGACCAAAACTAACAGTTCTCGTCACAAGCATATGCGCATGCTTGTATGTGCACACATGCTGTGAAAAACAATTCATCTATGTTCCTCTCTCCTGTAAGCAGCGAATATTATTCAAAAACTACGGCTTTTTGGTAGGAAGCGAAAGCCATGAGTCGCTCGATTCTTCGCTGTGAGACTTACATATCTATGCACATGCAACGCACACACGTTTCCCCCATACTTCTACTGGCTATCCATACACAGACTAGCGCACTAGAATCTTTTCGCCTCTATAAGCAACTCCGCAAGCAAATATTGATGCAAGTGTACATGCGCCCATTAAACCATGTGTACTATGCATACAGGATGCGTCCGTGCATCTAGGTATGTGCTTGTAGACCAGACACATATCATGTGGCTCTACATTTACGCACGCTGATGCACAGAAAAGCAGTATGGGTGAAGCAACGTCATTTGTTTGCCTGTTTTGATACCTATTAAAGACTGAAAAGGTCGGTTTCTTTTACCAAGTAAGAAGGTAAAGACAAACTCATGCATGAACAATCTTGTTTATAGATACATCCATGGATTCGTATAAACAGTAAAAAAAAAGCTGCGGTGAGGACATCTCGGCTGATGGACACAAGAAACTCAATTGAGTGTATTTGATGAAAACCTTCTTGTCCATAAACTGCTTGGCATTCGCGTGTCCCCTAAATCTTCGGCCCCAGGTATCTCAAGGAGACTGGTCCAACGTAAGACAGGCCAGTGGAGTATATGGCTTTTCCTCAGCCTGATCTTTAGAGTTCCTTTTGACGCCCTCCCTCTGAGTGCCCTCCATAAGTGGGGGCTGAAGTTTTGGTGGGACATTGCTCGTGTGAGTGTACCTGGCGCTAGCGAGGCGCAGGGAGCAAATGCTGCACCATGACATCAATTCTGTATGGGGCCCTACAGGAGCGGCGCGACATGCAGGCCATGAACATATCACGCATATGAGATTTATTGTGGTCCTCTTTTGTTCTCTCTGCTTCCATTGTCATATGTTTTCACTACACGTAGAGGTGTTGTGTGGGTCGTCATGATGTCGCTTCTGCTGCCGTCATGCATAGGATGGAGCCCTAGGCTTCCGACAAAAAGCTATCTTTTAGGGCATTAACAACCCGTCGCATTGCTCTCCAGCAAGTGTTCTATTGTACTTTTACGTGGATCATTTGAGCAGTGCTTGAGTCCTGTGGGCACCTGTGTCCCCCGTCTCTGCCGATGCCAGTCCTTCACATTCGCTGTCCCTTCCTTATTCGTTCTTCTCAATCTAACATATCAATGGGATCATCTCTTCGTATCGCTTTGCAGAGTCTTCGAATTCATATTTGCCGATCGCTTAGCTCTCCTTCCACCCTTCCTTCGTCACCCTCCGTTTCAGGCAGAATTTGAATCAAATTACGTTCTAAGAGGGAGAAAAGGGCGCATAGGGACCGTGTTCTGTAGCTCAAGATTTCCCGACACCGTGAACATTGCCTGGGAGTCTCGTAGCGCAAGTGTAAGGGAAAAGTACACTCAATACAATCGACAAGTGGCAAACAGAAGTGCATGCACTGCAAGATGCAAATCGACGGCAAGATATGCCCACAAATGAGCAGGGAACCCGAAGGCAAGTATAGCGTAAGAGGCGTAAGAAAGAGAGGCAGAGAAAAATAGGGAAACGGTAATGCGTATATAAATGGACCAATCACATTGTGAAATAGAGCGAAAAGCACGCCAGCTGCTATAAAGGGGAATTAGGAGCGGCATTAAGAGGTATTGGGTGACACACGGCCCAGCAAGATTAACAACACCTGGTCGACGTAGCTTTAGGGCTGTGGAATATGCCTTCGTCCCAACGAACCCGCAGCACGCTGCCTTTCTTTACCGTATCATTATTATAGGGCCCTTAGAAAACCCTTTCCAAGTGTCCACAGGGGATGCCCCTTTCTAGGAGCCTGTTTGCTCTTGACCGTTCCGCTTTAGATGAAGAAGCTACAGCTTATGACGGATAGATGAAGGGATGGGGCTTCCAGCGGGAATAGGCAGGGGCTTAGAAGGTGTGGATGAATTTGCGGAATGCGGTTCGTTTTCTCCTGGGGCGCATGCAGGAGTTCCTGGGGTAGAGGATACATCCTGCTGCTGACTGAGATTGGCCTGTGAAGGTTTGGATGCATCACATGATGTAATGGATGCAGGACGTGGTGGTCTTTAGGGCATCGCACATGTCTCCGCGTCCTTTCGACTCTCGGATGTGCAAGGAAATGAGCATGTTCATGTGTATGCATGCCAAAGGCGCCAGCATCAATTACACTACTTAGCAAGTCGGATAATGGCAGCGCTAAAGACTAATAACCCGGTTAACTGCGTTTTGAAAAGGTCTTATTGGGTGTGTAGGGTGTAGGGTGAAAGTACCAAGCAAAGATCCATCCAGAGATTCACAGGCTCTCCATGGGGGGCCGCATCACTCAACGCCTAGTGTAGGTTGAAGCACACGTCTTAGCTGATATCCACAGCACAACCGAAAGAAGACACGCGAAAAGAAAAGCGTAGACCTGCGGCCTCCGCTACTTGCGCCTCATATCTTCTCAGCAAGCTGTCAAACATGGCGGGCTAAGAAAAATTCGGGCGAGAAACTTCCATACAGGCCCCTACAGAGGCAGATTAAACAAACGACTAAAGAGGAACACACATGAGGGGCTGAGAGTGTACTTGAAAATACGTCCATACTACCTGAGAATCACAGCAACCTACTTAAATACAAATAGCAAGGTGTGAACAATCAGGTTCTTCGCGAAGGCAAAGTGAAACAAGGCTGGTCGGTAGTGTAGAAAAGCTCCATGTGGAGTTGGCCGTGATTGCGCACCCCGGCTTCGTACGAACTGACGAAGGCATGAGTGAAAAACAGAGCAAGGGCAATGTAGAAACGAGCAGCAACCTTGTTTCTTCCTATTTAGAGCATCTTGAAAAAGTTCCAAACTGCAATGGCAACTTTCGTGGCCCTAATAGAAGCACGACTATCCATCTTTTCAGCGCCAACAGTAGCATTTTGGCCACTACACCTGCCTCGTTGTACAAAGGCTTCCCCCATTCTCCATTATTAGGACCTTGCCTCTGCCGTTATCCTTCTTCTTGGATATCTGCTTCTCCATGACTCCAGCCTTGAGCCTGCCCACGATCTCCACGAAGGCTAAGCCAACAACATCTGTTGGTCGTAGACGCTCATGGCGGTGCTCCCACGCCCCCCTGAGAGCCTCATCTCCCACCTTTGAGTCCTCCGAAATTTTTCTTGGCCTCTTCTGAGAAGCCTGAAAGACCCTAACCGGCCCGTGTAAATGTCATCTGCTACACACTATGCGTGAGGTGGTGAAATAAATCTCCTGCGTGCACGGCTGGTAAATCGCATACAATGAGTGTCGTCCTTGCTTTGTATTGTGAAGCTATGTAACATTTTGTCTGTAGAGGAAGGAGTGAAACGAGCCATATGTGGTCACACCTATGATGTCAACCAGCAGCTACTCGCCACAGTCTGTGCATTACGGTGGAAGCTGCAAGGGCTACAGAGCACAGAACACCCAAACAGGACGTTTGCTACACAATAGCCCTAGGCAGGGAAGAATTAGGCTCCGGTTTCGATCCTATCAGGCTTTTAACAACCAATTAATGGTGGTTCAAAGCTAGTGCTCAATCCGAGGTCACCCCTATGCTGCGTAGACAGCAGGCTTTGCGATCAGTTTTTGGTTTTTCTTTGTTGGTGCACATTACACCTGAAGCAAACAGATATTATTGGACCTGGCAGGGGAAAAGTTTCCCCTATTCCTCCAAGTAGGGATCTGGCTGACTCACGCAGCAGAAGGTGGTGACGTGTTACGTTGCCCTCACGTGGTTTGCCTTGAATCAACTGCCTGAGGCCTTGCTTCATTGTGCATGGAATATGCAGCAAATATTGATTAAGAAGAGTACACTAAAACAAATGGAAAACCTCTACTCAACTCTCAATTTTGTGGGTACGGAGTATAAGGAGAAATTCCTGCCCCAGAATAAAAGAGAACAGGGCCAACAAGTTCTTCAAGGCTTTCTTCCAGCCCCATAAGTGCTTCTACTAAGGCTGAACAATGGAGTGCGGAGCTCATTCACTTGCATTCGCAGCTCCTAGATTGTTTCACCCATGGGCTGCATGTAAATGGATTTTCCTTCGGTTGTAGTAAGTAAAGCTGACGCTCTAACAGCGGCATGAAACGAATACTGTAGGCTACTTACTGTTGAACTATTGTCGCGTAGCCCAGTATTCAACACAC